CGCAGAACTTACACATTCTTAAGTATTTGGTCGGAATGTAGTCAGTCCTGTGACAAGTGTCAAATCTAAAATTAACTGACAAAAAAATTAATTAATTTGCACCAGAAAAAAAAAAAAAGAAATCCAAAATCGTATTCTTTTATTTATCACTGTTTGAATTTATTTCTCCATTTTTTATAAATTTCCAATCAAATCCTTATTCCCTTCCATTAATCAATAAAAGTAATAAACAAATAAATAAACAATGGGTCTTAAGAAAATGTTCCAAAAGAAGGAACCAACAGAAGCTGAATTAAGAGAAGATCTTAATCGAGCTGGTATTTCTACCAAATCAAATGGTGTTAGACAAGAGAAATTTGGTGCTTTTAGAAATTATGCTCAAGAAAAAGCACTGGCTCGTGCAGGCTATGCTCCTGTAAATAACCCATATGCTCAACAACATGGTAGTGCTCCTGGGTCGAATCCATATTTGGAACAACAGCAACAACCACAGGGACAACCTGGAAATAATCCATATGGATCTGGACAAGGCGGTAATCCCTATGGAAGTGGACAAGGTGGTAATCCATATGGAGGAGGAAGAATCGCACCTCCTCAACAGCAGCAAGGAGCATATAATAGACAACCATCTGATCCATATGCCAGAAGACCACAAAGACATGCAATGGACGACACAGAATCGCTCGACTTGAATGCAATCCCAACAAATCAAATGGCCCATCCATCCAATCGTCGCCCAGTTCGCCGTCTACCTGCAAATTATGAACAAGATGATGACTTAAATGCAATTGATGATGGAGAAAACTTGAATTTAGATATTGATCTCGATTTACCAGAACAGGAACAAGTGAATTCTGAAGATGAAGAAGTTGAGGCCATAAAACAAGATATTCGATTCGTGAAACAAGAATCAGTCCAGTCAACTAGAAATACATTAAGAATGGCCCAAGAAGCCGATGCATCCGGTACTAATACTTTAGGTATGTTGGGATCACAATCTGAACGATTATATAATGCAGAACAAAATTTATTATTGGCAGATACCCAAACCAAAATTGCCGATGAAAAAGTTAAAGAATTAAATCGATTAAATCGATCAATCTTTGTTCCTGCTTATGGGAACCCCTTTAATAAGAAATCAAGATTAAGACAACAAGAAGAACGAATTAAGTCACTGAAAATGCAAGAAAAATACTTGAAGGAAACAAATAGACAAGAAATGTATGCTAGTGAACAAAGAATCAAACAAGGATTATCAAATAATGCCACCAATAATGAAGTACATGAAAAATATCGTGGTGAACGTGATTTAGCTGCTGCTAAACGTTATCAATTTGAAAATGATTCTGAAGATGATGAAATGGAAAAAGAAATCGCCGGGAATTTGGATCAAATTGGTCAATACGCTAAAAAATTACATGGGTTGGCTAATACCATGGGACAAGAAGTTGAAAGTCAAAATCAAAGATTGAAAAAGATTGAAGATGATGCTGATAGATTGGATATTAATGTCCATATGAATAATACTAGATTGAGTAATATACGTTAGGATAGATGGTTATCTATATATATATATGTGTGATTAATGGCTCGGTGCTACTTTAAATTTAATGAAACTAATTTGCTTATAGTCTGTTGTCTCTCTAACAAATTGAAGAAAATTCCATGTAAAGTGTAGAAAGGACATACGAGATACATAGTTCTAAATCCTCAGATAAGCTCTAATAGATCTTATCTCAATACGTCTATAAGTCTCATTGTTGGTGCTATTCCCGAACTCGCATTAGTGCTGTTATTGGTTTGTTGGTGATAGAACACTTTCATTCGTTGTACCGTATTAACACGATAACGTGTGAAATCACGCCACGATCTATTATTTTGAGAAGTAATAGTATATTATATTAAAAGCGCTATAGACTAAGTAATTTCGGTTTGTTGATGTCCGAGATTCTCTCCTCAGAAAGTAGATGGTAAGGTTCTTGGCATAAATATAAATAAAATCTTTTTATCTCCTTACTTTGTTTTAGTTTTGTATATCTTTCAATGGAATCAATTTTAATTCAAGTAACTATTTAAGGCCGTATCTAATCAAATAAGGAAAAATGTTAATAACAAAAGCAGTAGGAACAGGATTGGGTGACAGGGATAATCATTACGGAGGAAGAGCTTCGTGCGCGACGGTTTCACAGTAGGCTCACCATCGAGCCGAGGAGCAACGGGACCTCCAATGAACATCAAGATTGATGGCAGCAAACGTTACTCATAGTTTAAAGTCTTCAGGGCCGGGTTCAACTAATTATTTGAATCAGAAGAGTCTTATCCCTTAGTTATGTCAGTTTCATCCTTCAGCGAATTCAGCTTATCAGAGTTCCTCGTTTTACACTCATCAGAAGTGTGTGCAAAACATAACGTTTATGGAACTTGCAGAAGTGTTGTTGCTTCTTAGCTTTCGAATCATCATGGTTACCAGCTGACTTCCGTTTTCCAAATTTGTTGTTAGAGGAATCAGATAATTTAGACTGATCACTGCTAGTTTGGGTGTTTGTTTTGGTTGTTTTAGCTTTGCCTTTGTTTCCAAAATGATTAGCATCGCCATTAGCCAAAGGTTGAGGCAAAGTAACCGTAGGAATAGTATCAATAGTCTTGACGTGTGCCTTCAAATACCACTGATTGTCTTTAAATGCGCCATCAGCAAATCTTCTCACAAGAGCTCAACTTGCTGCTAGAGAACATGCTATTGCTGCTGCTGCTCGTGCTAATGCTGATGCTTCTGCTAATGCTGTTGGTTCTAGTGCTGATCTTTGTCGGAAACCCCTATGGCTGCTACCTTGACGGTTGTTAATACCAAAAGCAATCGGATTAACTTCCTCTTGGATGTCACTAGAACGGAACAATGTACCAAGAGGAGTTCTTGATAGGTTCCTATCAGCAGAAAGCAATATACCACCTGTCTGGATCGAGGAATACATTAGTTTTCTTAGATAAGGCTACGAAGAAAATCAGTTTCGGTCTTTGCGAAGCTGACAACATTCGATCACCAAACCCGTGGATAATTTTTTATTGAAGCGGGTTAAGGACATATGTCTGTTTTGGTTGGTTAGCATGCTTCTCTTGTACCAATACAAGATGTGTCGTTATGATCATAACGGGTCGCATCTGGTTACTTCCCTAGAAGTGTTAATGCGGTGTCAGGTCCGTTTGATCCGGTCCCAATGGATATTGAAGTTATGAAAGTTAGATGGTCAGATGCTGAAGGAGCTAAATTGATGAAGTTAGGTGCTTGTTTCCAGTGCTAGCAGCAATGTCACGAGACTGTGTACCTAGTAGAGTATGGGAGTTTGTGCTTGTTGGCTATGCTGGTCGAGTTAATGAGCACTGTATAACGCTTTACAACGTGAGACTGCAAGTATAATAGGTTCCACGGTTGTAGATTTGTTGCTTGCTATTGGTTGATCGAAGAATTGTGTGTCAGATTTTTGAACTAATTGTTATTGGTTAGCATGTCGGTATAGTGTTAGCTGTTGTTTTGTTATCGCCAGTCATCAGTTCATCAGAGTTGTCCACCGGAGTCGGAGAGTATCCGCTAATACTGCTCGTCCTTTTTGAAAGCCTGTTTGCTATTGTTTGTTAAGTGCAATGCAATCCGAAATATTCTATTGCACCTGTCTGAGGGGCCGCCGATGTTACAATTGTTATCTATGCAGCACCATGTTCCCAATTTTGATTTTCAGCAGCCTGTAACAAACTTTGATGCAATACCAAAGGGGTTGAAAACATGGAAGTGAGGCTGTGGAACCAAGAAAGTGAGAATAGCTTCATGAGAAGGAAATCCAAACCATGGGATCTATATATTGCTGGAGCAACGAAGGATGAAGCACAGAAAGAGAACACATACCGAATAGCTGAAAGAATTTTGGATACCAACCAAAAAGGTAGACGATGGAAAGAGAACAGCATTACAAGTAAGAAACCAAAGCCCCGCTTTGCTGTGCCAAGGGATTTTCTGGAACTACGTCTCAACAATGATGTCTAAGTGGAAGAAACATTCTGAGTGTTGTAGGCAATGGCTGCGATGACGTCGTTTATTCCATCTACATCGACTTGGAGATTTTAAAGTGTGGATGACTGTAAACGACGAATGGCGGGGTATGGGGGAACCAAACGAGGAATTTAATGCAGGAAAGTTACAACCTAAATATTCGTAAACCTTGGAAAATAGCGGAGGTGATAGCAGATCCCAACCACTATTCTTCCCAATAGGGTAAAGCGGATATAGCAACGTCAATAGAATCATGGTACTGTGGGATGTGGGATTTCACCAGGAATCTGAGCATGTTCAAGCTTGGAAATATCAACACGAGTGCATTGTAACAACGGCTAAATGCATCAAGGATAGTACGAGTGTCCCCCTCCTACAAGTAGGATGGACATCTCGTGGACTGCTTCAACTAATGCTTCTACACAAATTTCGTTTAACCGAGTTTGGGAAAAGTTGTAAAGCTTTTCTGTAGAGCGGGGACAACCAGGAAGAATTCTTGTTTAAGTAAGGCAAAAATGGAGCAAAATAAGAGCCAGGAGCGAAAGGGCGGCGACAACTAGGATAAGGGCCCCGGGCCAGTAGCGGGAATAACACGGTGCATGTTTAATGAAAACGACCTCTACTCGTTGTCCAGTCTCTTGTAAAATATACACCGTAGTGAGTATACAACAGTATCTCAGTAGCTCAGAAGATATTGCACATCCAACAAACCCACTTTTAAACTGTTTTTTGGTCTAGAACAATACCGGGGATCGACGCCTAACATTTTGCAAGCACATTGGAAACGGTTCAAACTTAATTAAACATCGCCTAGACGTACATTTGTATAGCCTCGGCAACTTCAAGTTTCCGAAAATCGAACCATAAATTGGCTTTTTCTGACATATGTCTTTGAAAGGTAAAGGTTAACTATAAAACATTCGAAAGGAAAACACAGCATATCTATACCATGCTGGACACGATTGAAGAGTACTACATTTCCTGGAACTAATCTATAAGCATGAGGTTGAACATTTTGACCTTGCAGTATGACTCCAGATGTTAATGATAAGATATAGTAATGGTAGTGTACCTCTTACCAATTATGTCAATCTGATTCGTTAAATTTTATTTTTTAATATTCACGTGATCTCCAAAAAAACGTTGCTTTTTTTTTTGGCTAAACGGGTGAATTATACGACGAAACGGAAATTTTGTTGGCTTATCAATTTTGTGTTATAAATTATTATAGTGGGCAGTTGTACAATAAGGGGAATTGTTTCATTAATAGTTGAAACTTGTTGATCCCTTTAAGGAGATGGTATAAGTATTCAGAGAATCTTTAAAATGAAATTACGAGATAGAATTCCAAGAGTGAATAGTTAATTAACACAATTGGATGCAATTTATTTTCTTGATTGATAAATATTCACATGGAAGTTCAGTCTCCTTTTTTTTTTTTGACACTACGGCTTATCTCTATCTTTTTCTATTAGTTGTAGTATGGTGATGGGTCGTTTCATTTGCTAGCTAACTACAAAAAAGAAAAGGGGAATATCCTTAATTCTTATTGGGCCGTTTTGTAGTAGAGAATTTATTCCAAACTACATGTAGCAGTAAATGCACATCCCTCTCATAATGGAATTCTAATTTTTTACCAAGAAACCGTTTTAATAAACTCTACAGTGCAACTTGAAATGTACTTATGTAACCCCCTATTTTTCTAATTGCAATCTTATGACAAATTGTTATGTCTTAGATTTTCCATTGCCTTTTTCCTAATTGAGTTACAACTCATACATATTATCCTTTATAAGAATCATTAGCACTTGTTAAATAGATAACCTAAATAAAAAAGAAAATCAATTTAATGTGTGGTTAAATTGAAAAACAATAGAAAAATAAATCCAACAAAAATAAAAAAATAAAAAAGAAACTTTTTGAGAAAAAAAAAAAAAATAAATCGTAAAATTTTTCAAATCCCATTTTCTAAAGAGATTGTTAAAACATATAAAATGATTGTAATATATTCCTTCTTTTATTCTCCCTTCTTCTTCTTCTTGTTTGGAGTTTCCTTCTGTTTTTCTTCTTTTCTGATTGGTTTCCCCTTTCTAAAAGCGACATATCCCCCCCTTTACACAAAATGTCATCTGCAACTACATCATCAGGAGCTACTACTAGTGGATCATCTTCATCACAAACCACAGTCAATAAAAAAGGAAATGTCGCTTCATTTTCCCATCAAGTTGATACCAATTTAACTGCCATTGACACTTATGGTAATACTTTTAAAGTACCAGATTATAGTATTAAGGATATCTTGAGTGCTATTCCTGCCCATTGTTATGAACGTAGATTATTACAATCATTTTCATATGTCTTTAGAGATATCTTTTGTATGTTAACTTTAGGTTTTATTGCCAATAATTATATTCAATTATTACCAAATGTATATTTAAGAGGTATTGCTTGGGCTGCTTATATTTGGTGTCAAGGGTTATTTGGTACTGGTATTTGGGTTATGGCTCATGAATGTGGTCATCAAGCCTTTTCTGATTATGGTTGGGTTAATGATTTAACTGGTTGGGTTTTACATTCTTATTTATTAGTTCCTTACTTTTCTTGGAAATTTTCTCATGGTAAACATCATAAAGCAACTGGTCATATTACAAGAGATATGGTTTTTGTTCCAAAAACAAAGGACCAATTCTTGCAAGCTAGAGGTGCTCATGATTTAGAAGATATCGTTGGTGATTCTCCAATTTATACTTTATTACAATTAATCTTCCAACAAACTTTTGGTTGGATTTCTTATTTGATTGCAAATGTTTCTGGTCAAAAATATCCCGGTTATAATAAATTTGCTGTTAGTCATTTCAATCCAAATTCTCCAATTTTTGATAAGAAGGATTATTGGTTTGTTATTTTATCTGATATTGGTCTTTTAATCCAATCTACCGTTTTATACAATTGGTATCAAACGTTTGGTTTATTTAACATTACCGTTAATTACCTCATTCCATACTTTTTAGTCAATCATTGGTTAGTGTTTATCACTTTCTTACAACATTCCGACCCAAAGATGCCTCATTACGAAGCTCATCAATGGAATTTTGCTCGTGGTGCGGCCGCAACCATTGATCGTGAATTTGGTTTTGTTGGTAAACATATTTTCCATGATATTATTGAAACCCACGTGTTACATCATTATGTTTCTCGTATTCCATTTTATAATGCAAGAGAAGCAAGTGAAGCCATTAAGAAGGTTATGGGTGAACATTATCAATATTCTGATGAAAATATGTGGGTTTCTTTATGGAAATCTGGTAGATGGTGTCAATATGTTGATGGTGATAATGGGGTTTTAATGTATAGAAATTTAAATGGATTTGGAGTTGATCCAAAAAAGAAGACTCACTAGAATTTTAACGCCCCTGTAATTAGATATATATATATGTACATATATATATTATATAGTTTTTAGATATACAATTATTATAACTTAAACAAGAGCTTTATGTCTCTGCTTTTGGTATGTCAAATGGCAACCAATTCATTTTATTTTATTTGTCTGTTTTGATTGTCACAAAAACAAAGATCTACCAATTATATTACAAATTGGGATCTCATGATGAATAAGAAGTACGACTTTCTTCAATCAATCATCTGTGGATCATAACAAAGTCGAATGGATTATCCAGGTAAGGCGTGTTGTATTCTCCATAGAGAACAAACGTGGTTGACATGTTTTACTTGTGTGCTTTTTTTTTGCAACCAAAAAGGTTGATGGTTTCTGAAAATGTAGTTTAAGAAATCTGAGGATACGCTAACTATTGATTCATTCAACTAGTAATTCGAAGCAAACAAAACGCATCTTAAAAGTTTGATTTCCTGTTTAGAAGGTGATGACACCTTGGAGTTGAAGCACCTCTAGATAAGAGCATTTGTGGCTGCAAAAAAAAACTTGCACGATTCTTCAACCAGAAGTTACAAAGCCGACCGTTGCTCCTAATTTCTTTTTGACCCAAGAATCTTCAAAATCTGGGGTTCTCGGAGCTCTGCTCATTATTGCTTTTATTGCTTTTTGCATCTACTTCAAATGGTAAAGAGGTGCTTTTGCTGTGCGGACAAATAAGGATTTTGAATCGGGGGAATCTAATAAATCGATAGGAATGCTGCTATTTATTGTTTCATTGAAATAGTATACGAGATAGAACTAGTGTCCTTCTAATGATAATTACAACTTATAGCTTTGACCTGGAAGGCCTAGTCAATGGGTTCTTTGTTGGTTACGATCAGGGGTAGGAAGCTATTCGGTTTTTTTTCCGAATCCTATTCATTCACCCGAATTTTTTCGAATATGGCTTTGGGAAAACTCCACTCGAATGAATGGAGATGCTTGTACGGGTGAATGGGGTGAATTGGGTGCTGTGAAGGTCGATTCGAAAAATTCGCTTTTCAAAATGTATGTAGTTCGCCACAATAATTAAAACATAAATTTCTGCGTATTCTGAAAACAAATCAGAAAAAAGAGCTTTTAATCCTGTCTTGAATAAATCTCATTGGACGATTGCAATTTAAAACGCGTCATACAAATATGGGTATTATTGCATACAGAAATCCAAGCAATTGTCAAACTTGTTTGGTCAAGGTACAGCCAATCACAGATTGGTATCTTCCAAACCTTACTGATAGAATTGAGGAAAAACCATTACAAAAAACAACGTTGCAGCACATAAGTAAAAAAATGCAAAAGACGTTCCAAAAGCTTCATTTCCTGGAGAGGTGGCAAGCTCAATTTGAACTTGATGATTCACAGATTAAAAAATTCTGGAAGAATCTCAATAAATTACGTCTAGAAGATCCAGAAAATGTAGATGAAATTTGGTTATTCAACTTAGGATTAAGGAATAACATCTACAACGACACCCAAAACATCAGCACATCATATACGGAAGTCCCATATTGCATACTTTGCCTCAATCAAGGTAAACCTGAAGAAGTAGAACATGTGTACAGAGAATGTGAAATCACTCAACAAATCTGGCTGCTCGTTGGATTCACAGGGCAGATCCAATGGAAATACATCATGGCTCCAGATCCCATACACATGCAACTATACAAACAAACTAACAGTTTCCTCAAAATTGTGTTTCAACTAAGAATACATCGACGATACCAGGAAAATCAAATCATACCACTCACACGGAGCCAGCTAAAAGCGTGGGTCCAACAAGCTAAAGAATAAATTGATTTTATCGCTCAAAGTATACAATTTAAATATTAAAATAAAATAAATCAATAAATATAGAAAAGAAAAAAAAAAAAATAAAAATAAAAAAAAAAAATAAAAACAACTATAGGGAGATGACAAGAGACATAGCTATTTTCAAATAGGTTTAGAACACTACTAAGAATTATATTATTATGAAAAACCAAAAAACAAAAAAAAAAGAGAGAGAGAAGAGAAGAAATATCACGTTAATGAGAAAGGTAAAATGCATTTTTAATGTAAGGTTACAATTTTGCGTTTTTAGCGGGTTTGCTTTATTCCGTATATATGAGTGTATATAAGGTTAACTTTTTATAGTTTAATAAAGTTTGAACCATTTTTTGTAAAAAAAAAAAAAAAGACACGCGTGTTCAATATTTTTTGCGTGATTTTCAATTGTTGCGTTCTGCAACACACTATGAATAAGATAATTATGCTCTTTTCCCATAAACCTGATTGATATTCACTACAATATTAACAATGCTGTTGTCCTTAAACGACCAACGTCAGCCCTCCCAAGAACCAGCTACCGAATCTGATAATTCAGTCGCAATTGTTGCTAATTCTGCCTCTGAACCAGGAAATTTTAGTTATGCAAAAGAGAACCAGGAAAGTTATAAGCTAAAAGATTCGAAGGCTTACGTCTTTGAGAAAAAGTTGTTTACTCGAACATTGCTACCCATTGATTGCAAAAAGGAAAGGCAAGTTCTACTAAGTTGCAACAATTGCCCCTATACTATTACGGTAGACGTAAGGAAAATTAGCACAAAGAATTTGCAGCTGCACTACAGGGCAAAACACCGAAAGATAGCTTCTTGCGACACTACTGCAAAGTTTTTACCAGGCACTAGCAGAGAAACTCCGCCATCACCTTCAAAGCGTCCTATTGCAGAGTTTTTCGAAAGAAATCAAAAACGAGCAAGAATTAACTTCAATGAGAATTTGTATAATGAAAAAATGATCAGGATGCTAGTTAAAAAAAATTTACCGTTCGATTTTTTTGAAACACCGGAAGTCAAAGATGCTTTAGGGTATATACTGATGTGTGAACCTACAACGTTACCATCCTTGCACCATTCGAAGATTGAGAAAATTTTGAGGGAAAAGTTTAATGAACAATTTCCAAAAATGAACTTTGAATTAGAGCAGAATGTGAAATCTCATGGTTGTTTCTCATTGTCCTTGGATATCTGGACTTCGGGCGTCTCAAGAACGGACTATTTAGGAGTGATTCTTTCTTATATTGACCAAAATTTCCAATTGAATTACAGACTTATTGGTTTGGAAGTTTTGCAGGATCCTCATACCGGAGCATATATTTGTGACCAGCTTATGTTGGTACTAGAGCAGTTTCTGTCTTTAAAGATTGGGAGCATCTTTAGCATAACTAGAGATAATGCAAGTAACAATGACAAATGTTTGCTGTGCTTTAGCCATAGGTACTTTAACTCAGCTATGCTGGATTTTCAGAATGATATTAGATGCAATGCTAATATTTTAAACCTCGTCGCTAAGGCTATTCTTGACAAATTGGGTGTGCCTGCGCGCGATATTCTTAAGCGAGTTAAGAATATTGTTATTGCTGTGCGCGGAAAGAAGGAGATCAAACAGCTATTTGAGAGGTCTGTTCGAAGTCAAGGTTCAGGTAATGCCGTAACAATTCCGTTAGATTCCGTAACAAGATGGAATTCGACGTTGTATATGGTTCGTGGGACATTACGGGCCAGAGAACATTTAGAATTCGTCAAAAGATCGACCAAAGATGCATCTTTTCAAGACGATATGCTAAGTGCTACTGAATGGGAAGTGTTAGTTGGTATCAAAGATATCCTCGAGATTTTTGAAATTCCTTCTACCAACTTGCAAGGCCAAAAGTATACAACAATTAACGAGGCCTTGTTATACATGACTCATGTGTACCAATCCCTTCAATTACAGATTCACAAATGTCGAACAAACGAGGAATCTCTTTCCGATTCGCTCATCCCCTCCATTGAAAATGGTATCAATAAGTTATGCAAGTATTTCCCTCCAGTAACGAATTTCGAAGATTTAACCAAATTCAAAGCTTACCACTTAAGCATTGTGTTGGACCCAAGGGCAAAACTAAATCATTACTTAAATGGTGAGCTATTATGTTTTTACCCAGGAATAGAAGTTGATATTAAGTATTTACTTGAACGAGAATACAAGTCTCTTGAGAATGAATTGAAAGAAGTGTCGTCTGACATTTCAGAAGGTGAGATTGAGCCTGAACCAAAAGTGAATGACCTTAACCTCTACAATTTCAAGAGAAAGAAATACAGTGAGGTAGCCTCATATATAATCGATCCGGCTATAGATAGGTTTGCAAGTGCGCTTGATTATTGGAAGGTGAAACAGGATGTGTACCCTATTCTTAGTATTTTGGCAAGACGATATTTAGCCATACCTGCTACGTCAGCTTCTGTTGAAAGCACATTTTCGATTGCTAGGAATATCATCTCCTACCAACGAAACCGTCTTCTGCCAACCAATTCAAAGCATCTTATGCTTTTAAAGAGTTGGGGGGTAAAAGGAGTGGAAGAGTTAGAAGATTCTTACTTCAGAGAAAGTGAAGATTGAGTATATAAGTATTTAAAGTTAATGAAGTAAACTAGTTCTAAGTTAATACTATTATCTATAAATCATTAAATTTTTGTGCCACGTAATAGCCAAATTCGTTCGGGTATTTCGAGTTTTTCGAATACGAATCGAATTTGACTGGCTAGCTACTTCGAGTGAATAGAATCTTCCAGCAAAACGTAAAAGCGAATACAAAAAGCGCGAAATTCGGAAAATTCGATTCGTTTCCTACCCCTGGTTACGATTAGTTCTTATGCTGTCAAAATGCATTCGGTTTAGTTGTGTTAACTGGGTTTCTTCGACATTTGCCATAAGTCTATTATAATGTGTACATTCATCATATGAGATAGCCTTGCAATCCAGATTTGTTTGTGTTCTAAGCTGAAATAATTCCAGGCTGGACTTCCTAGAAGTACGGCAAGCACTGTTAGGAACTTAGCATTTGGCTACACGGTCTTGAATGTGGAAAAATGAATTGGGAATATCAATCCATATTCTAAGAGTATCAGAAGGTATACTTCAAATTTTTCATAATAGTGGATGATGCCCTTTTTGCTTTCGAATCTCCTCGTTGATAAAAGACATCAGTCCATTTTTCATTATCTGCAATATAACTCCGATCCTTATGCCAAGACTTCCAAAAAGTCATAAATTTAGGTTTTGTGATTCAAAAATCATGACGAAGTAGATTACTCAGCCGAAGATACACTAACTAAAAAGATTTATACATATATAATTTAAGTTAATAGAGAATTATAACTCTATTCATTAAAGTTTATGAACATTCCGTTCTTAAACAACTTTGATTTTGGTTTCTGTTGTTTCACGATTTTAATGATTTGAATTATATATAAGAAAATTTGTATAATCATTAAGAATTCTAATCATGAATGATATATTATAAACAGCATTATATTCCATATTTCATGCTTGTTTGGACGTTCATTTGGAGTGTCAACAATTAAAAAATATAGCTATTACATTTATCATTATTAAGTGACCAGATTCACGAATAAGTAAGTATAATATCTAGTTAAGAAAAGCATGATTGTTTCATAAAGCAATTTCGAAACTATAACTTTATTTCTTATTAACAAAACACTAACGTGGGTTACAAGTATAACAAATCCTGAAAATACCTATAGCCAGGTTTTCAGCAGAATATTTAAAGTTTTGGGGGGTTTTAACGGGATGTTACACATCAGAATTGCACCTTAATTCCAACACAAAAATGATTGAAGTTGATCCAGTTGCTTGGAAAGGACACGCGAAATTTAGATTGATCAGAAGATCTACAACTCAGTTCTCGTGAGTCAGAGGTTACTACTCATCCGCGACTTCTCAATACTAGAATTTGCCCAAATCAAAAGAAAATGTAGTCTTAGATTGATGGGTGTGGGTTATTTTTCCAAATCAAAGCAACACTTCCAGCATCGAACGCTATTAAACTTTTCAAAGTTAAACCTAATTGATTATCTCGCTTAGAATGTTTTACCCTTTTAGGTTTACATATTAATCACGTACTCGTAAGCACAAATCAGTCGGTTTGAACTCGTACAGCGCGATTGTTTGCATTTAAATAGTTACAAAAATCCACACAAAAAGTAGATATCTTGTTGTTTTGGAAGTCTAATACTATTCGGAAATTCTCAAAGATGAAAATCTCAACTATAATATTTGCTTCAATAATTGCCGGTGCTTTGGCCCAAGAATCTCCATTCAGGTGGTTCTCCAAAAGATCTTGTGATGATTGCAACGAAGCTCAAGATTTCCTAGTAGAACAATGTCCAGAAGATCTATATGCCGTAGAAAAAAAAGCTGAATTATTGGAATGTCTTTGCGACCTTCCAATTGAATACTTTGAAACATTGGTAATTTGCATGTCCAGTTGTGAAGACTTAGATCTTTCGGATCAACTCATCTCGTTTGACGCCGAGGAATTGAATGGGTATTATTGTGATGCTGCCCAGCAAATTAAAACTTATACTGGAGATCTTGCTGATTTTACATATTCTCTAGAAGAAGAAAACGACACCTCAGTTCCGGAAGAAGAAAGCAACACCTCCGTTCAGAAAGAAGAAAGCGACACCTCAGTGGTGGATTCTGATTCAACGACAACTGCAGGCAGTACAACTAGCATGACTGCATCGTCCACCAATTCTGCTGCTACTTTCGGAGTTGCCTCGATTCTTGTTTTGTTTGCCTTGTCGATGTTGTAAAATGAATTACCATAAACTTTGAAATATATTGTCTATTCATACCTCATATGTTCGTATATATTAATTAGTTTAATTAGACATCAAATTTGCTGTCTTGGATTTTCTCTATTTTTCACTTTGTTCTCGTGTTTGGTATTGGAAGACTTGCAACCTTCGTTCAAGCTAAAGCTGTACCAAAGTTAGTATTAAGCTTACTGGAAGTTCACACTTTAAGTTAGTAAGAAATTGGTCAAGAAATCCATCTTATGAGAAGATGTAATTCAAATTTTTCAAAAATCAGACAGATAGTCTTTCTGATTTCGAATTCCCTCATTGACTGACGACAATAAGTCATGAGTTCATTCTAGTATGTCTAGTATACCTCCGATCACTAAGCCAAGACTTTCAAACCGCAAAATTTACTATGCACTATTTCTGGAGATTACTCATCGCAAATAAGTAAACAAATAAATCGTACCAGTTGGAAAATGATTGAAGTAGATCCAGATGTTTGGAAAAAAAAATGCGCGAGATTGCGCTTGATCAGAAGAATTACAATTCAGTTCTCGTGACTCGCAGTTTATTATCCGACCACGACTTCACAATGATGGAGCGTACCCAGTCAAAAGACAATGCAACCTTAGATCTCAAGGAAGGTCGTCACAGTGTGGGGTGGAGTTCTTGATTTTTTCAAAATAAAAACTTCACCTCCAACATTGAGTGGCACACCACTTTTCAAAGTGGGTGCCTTAAAAACTAATTATCTCGCCTACAATATTTCACATTTTCAATGTTTACATATTTGAAGTAATTTATTTTCCAATCTCGTTAATCTTGTTGTCAGTTGATTCATTTTTAAACTGTTAGTCAATTAAAGGACATAAAAGCCTACAAATTAATATAAAAAGTCATTACTTTCTAAACTTTCATATCTTGTACAAGTCTATAATTCCTCAATTTCGACAACTTAAATGATCAATTTAATGACTAATAATCCCTGATATTCTAAACCAAATAGGGGTGGCGTACCCAATAACCCAAGATGCCCAATAATCCAAGATGCCCAATAGTCCAAACGGAAGAAATACTCACCGAAACCAAGCAGATCACTCTCTAGTTGTTCTCGTTTGTAAAAATAATTTCGTTAAATAGTTAAAATGCAAACAAAGGCTTATGGTTTAGTTTTTTTTAAATTATTGGGTATTTAGGAGTAGTGGATACGCCACCCCTATATTCTTTCACACAAACAATAATTCGTCACAACAATGGATGCAATATTTGTCAGCCAAACCAATGGCTTTGAATTCATGAACGATGCATTTGTTATGATATAAATAGATATCAAGATTCCACACAAAAAAGATACATATGTCTCGTTGTATTTGAAGTCTAATACTATTGAGAAAGTCGCAAAGATGAAACTCTCAAATATAACATATGCTTCAATAATTGCCGGTGCTGCTGCTGAAGAATTCTTTCCATTCAAGGCGTTCTTAAAAGGCGATCGTCTATCCAAAAGATCATGTCTTGATTGCTATAGTGCTCTGGAGATCCAAGTAGAACACTGTCCAGAAGATCTACTCTATGACGTAGACAAAAAAATTGAATTGTTCGAATGTCTCTGCGCTCTTCCAATCGAATATTATCAGAAGATGGTGGATTGCATGTACGGCTGTGACGAATTAAGTCTTTCCGAAACTACGACGTTTGATGCCGACGGTTTGAAACTGTCCTATTGTGTTAATGCCAAGGAGATCCAAACCTATAATGGCGATCTTGAAGATTTTCCAAATTCTATGCAAGGAGAAAACAACACCTCGGTGCTCGATCCAATGGCGAATGTAATTAGCAGTACTGCAACAGGTTCCACTACATCTTCCACCAATTCTGCTGCCACTTTGGGAGTTGCCTCGATTCTTGCCTTGTTTGCGTTGTCGTTGTTATAAGTTTGCGGATTACTATAGACTTTGAGAAATATTGTCCATATATATATTAATTAGTTTAATTAGAAATCAGTTTGTTTTCTTGGATTTTCTCTACCTTTCACTTTGTCCTCATTCTTGGTATTGGAAGATTTACAACCTTCATTCAAGCTGAAAATGTACCAAAGTTAGCACTAAAAGTACTGGATACTTAAAGTTGGTAAGAAATTGGACAAGTGATCCATCTTATGAGAAGCTCTAAAGGTGTTCTTTAAATTTGTCATAAATCAAGCAGATTTTCTTGCTCATTGACAACCCCCTACAATTTTATGTTCACCGCTCGTTGTTTTTTTGTTACACAAAACCGTAAAAGATATAAAAATTAGACACCAAAAGCTCGTGGGTTCATACGTCATTTCTAGGGCTTGGTGTCTAACTCTGATCATCGCGCCAAGACTCCCAAACCGCAAAATTTATGAAGCAAATTTCCTGGAGATTACTCATCACAAATACAAGTAAACAAATAAATCATACCTAGTTGGAAAATGATTGAAAGTAGATCCAGATGTTTGGAAAAGATGCGCGAAATGGCTCTCGATCAGATATGTTTCCTGGCACATTTAAGTATGTTTTTACGTATGTTCGGTATGTTTAAAATGGATATTTCTATGTGCTTTTGCTTTGACTTCATCCCTTTTCGGTGTTTGTCTTAATATTCTACACAGTTTCACACTTAAGGCTTTTTTGTATTGATAATGAAAGACTTAGATTATTTTTTGAGATTTACAACGGTTGCCCATTGTTTTTTTTCTAAAAAATACTTTTTATTTTTTAAGACATTGTTTAACAAAAAAAGCCAGCTGGCAATTAAAAGCGAAACGGGCCAATAGTTCGTGAAATTATCTAAATCCGGTCATTTTGCCAAGACTTCAAAAACGCCAAGACTTCAAAAATGCCAAAAATTGAAGTTGTCAGATTTAAATTTTGACGACAAAGCTTTTTTGGGAAATTACTCATCTCAAATAAGTAAACAAACAAATCATACCAGTTGGAAAAGGATTGAAGTAGGTCCATGTTTGGAGAAGATGCACGAAATTGGGCTTGATCTGAAGAACTACAACTCAGTTCTGGTGACTCAGGGGTTATCATTAGACTACCACTTCACAATAATAGAGTTTACCCAGTCAAAAGACAATACAGTCTTAGATCGCAAGGATGGTCACAAGGTGGGGTCCAGTTTGTGGCTTTTTCAAAATAAAAACATCACCTGCAAACAATGATTAAAACCTTTCATTGTGGGTGTCTTAAAAATTAATTATATCGCTTACAGTATTTCACACTTTCATTGTTTGTATATTAGTCATATGTACTCGGAATTCCAAACAAGCCAGTTTGAATTCAGACAGAGCGATGCATTTGTTGGGATATAAATAGGTATCAAAATTCCACTCAAAAAGATATCTATAGTGTTGTTTTTGAAGTCTGATACTATTTAGAAACTCACGAAGATGAAACTCTCAACTTTAATATATGCTTCAATAATTTCCGGTGCTGCTGCTGAAGAATTCTTTCCATTGAAATTGTTCTTAAATGCCGATCGTCTATCCAAAAGATCATGTAGTGATTGCTACGATGCTCAGGATATCCAATTAGATCACTGCCCAGCAGACCTAGTATATGACACAGATAAAAGAATTGAATTATTGGACTGTCTCTGCGATCTTCCAATTGAATATTATGAAAAGTTGATAGATTGTATGACCGACTGTGAACTGGTAGTTCTTTTGGAAAGCACAACGCTTGACCCCGAAGATTTAAAATGGACATATTGTGATGGTGCCAAGCAGATCAAAACCTATACTGGTGATCTAGCTGATTATACCTATTCTCCCGAAGAAGAAAACCACACCTCAGTTCTGCAAGAAGAAAACCACACCTCAGTTCTGCAAGAAGAAAACCACACCTCAGTTCCGCAAGAAGAAAACAACACCTTAGTACAGGGTCCAACAACGAATGTAAGCAACAAAACTACAACAGCTTCCACTACATCTTCCACCAATTCTGCTGCCACTTTCGGAGTTGCCTCGATTCTTGCCTTGTTTGCCTTGTCGATGTTATAAACGTGCGGATCACCATAAATTTAGAAATATACTGTCAATTTATACCTCAAATGCTTGTATATATTAATTAGTTTAATTAGACATCAAATTTGCTTTCTTAGATTTTCTCTGTTTTTCACTTTGTTCTGTATTGGAAGATTTACAACCTTCATTTAAGCTAAAAATGTACCAACGCTAGCACTAAAAGTATTGCGCACTTAAAGTTGGTAAGAAATTGGACAAGTGATCCATCTTATGAGAAGTTCTAAAGGTATACTTTAGATTTTTCATAAATCAAGTGGATTTTCTTTCTCATTTCGAACCCCCTCATTGATAGACGCTGTGTCGCCCGTATATACACACTGTTGTTCGTAAAATAATTGAGAAGTCACGTGAAGTCCATCAACCCCAATAGTTGATAATAATTTGATAATAAATTGGTATCTGTTTAGCGAATGTAATAGTCTAAACCAGCCAAATGTAAATTATAAGTAGTAGTGATCAAACAATATACAAATTATATATAGAATAGTCCATGCCCTCCTCCCTTACATTCCATCGTAGATGAAGATTATTACATCCACTTCTGTAGTTCCCACCGTCGTCGAGACAAAAGTGAGAACTTTTCATGCCTGCATATTGTCAAGGATATACGATACTCCTAATGGATAGTAGAACGTGCGACACAATGATGTCGCGACTCTATCTCCAATGACAATTCGCGAACAATAGTTCGTGAGCTCCTAGGGTCTGGAATCTAACTCCGATCATTATGCCAAGACTTCCAAAATGCAAAAATTGAAGTCGTCTGATTCAAAATTTGACGACAAAGCTTTTTTGGGAAATTACTCATCGCAAGTAAGTAAACAAACAAATCATACCAGTTGGAAAAGGATTGAAGTAGATCCAGATGTTTGGAGAAGATGCACGAACTTGGGCTTGATCAGAAGAACTACAACTCAGTTCTGGTAACTCAGGGGCTATCATTCGACTACCACTTCACAATAATGGAGTTTACCCAGTCAAAAGACAATGCAACCTTAGATCGCAAGTATGGTCACCGTGTGGGGTGAAGTTTGTGATTTTTTTCAAAATAAAAACATCACCTGCAACATTAAGTGGCATTTAAACTTTTCAAGGTGGGGTCATAGAAATTAATTATCTCGCTTACAGGATTTCACGTTTTCAATGTTTACATATTAGTCATTTGTACTCGGAATCCCAAACCAGTCACTTTGAATTCATACAGAGCGATGCATTTGTTGGGATATAAATAGGTATCAAATTTCCACACGAAAAGGTATCTATTGTGTTGTTTTTGAAGTCTGATACTATTTAGAAACTCGCAAAGATGAAACTCTCAAATATAATATATGCTTCAATAATTGCTGGTGCTGCTGCTGAAGAATTCTTTCCATTCAAGGTGTTCTTAAAAGGCAACCGTCTATCCAAAAGATCATGTAATGATTGCTACGATGCTGAAGAGATCCAATTAGACCATTGTCCTGCAAACCTAGTCTACGACACAGACAAAAGAATTGAATTATTGGATTGTCTCTGCGATCTTCCAATTCAATACTTTGAAAAGTTGGTAGATTGTATGTCCGACTGTGAGCAGATACTTCTTTTGGAAACCACGACGTTTGATGCTGAGGATTTAAAATGGACATATTGTGATGGTGCCGAGCAGATCAAAACCTATACTGGTGATCTTGCTGATTATACCTATTCTCCTGAAGAAGAAAATGCCAACACCGTGATTCCAGCTGGTCCAAAGACAAATGTAAGCAACAGCACGGTACCACGTTCCACAATGGAATCTCCCAGTTCCTCAACGACGTCTTCCAACAATTCCGCTGCTACTTTGGGTTTCGTATCTGCTTTTGCCTTGTTTGCGTTATCTATGTTGTAAATGCCGGAAACGATAGATTAGAGTTTATACCTCAGGTTTGTTTTGAGGCTTTTGTATACATTAATTTTTTGATCTTCATGTATTATTATGAGGTTCGTATATATATTGATTAAATGATTTAGATCTACTTTAATGACTTTCACTCCGCTCTCTGCCTGGTTCTCGGCATCGGTATCTCCCCTCGATTTAATATAACTTGCAATGAATGGAAGATTCTACTATCTAAACCTCTCTTTATTCATTATAATCTATAAAAAGTATTTTACAATGTATATGCCTCTCAGACTTCCTAAGCACCCCTTATTCGAAATCGAAATTATTACCAGTAATGTTCGATTTGTCACACATTTCTCGAAATATACTCCCGGGAGTAATAAACAAGGACCAAGATGTATCAAACTCCATAACGGTTCCTTTATCCATCACAAGAATTCTATTATAGTTAAGAATGGTCTTTAATCTATGAGCAATACATAATATCGTACAGTCGGAAATTCATTCGCGATTGATTTTTGAATGGTATTATCTGTCATGTAATCAACTGAAGAAGTAGTTTCATCGAGTATAATGATTTTTGATTCTCTACCCATTGTCCGGGCGAATGATACCAATTGTCGTTCTCCCAAGGCAAAATTTTGTCCTTGAGCTTCAACAACTTTATCTAGATGGAATTTGGGTAATAATTCAGATGGTGTAGATTTATCAATTGACTTGAAGCATGTAATCTCTTTAGCTGTGATAATTCCGGATCTCCTTGATGAAATCCATAACTTTTCATCGTCATGTTCATTAAATGGATCTAGGTTGGTTCTAATGGTCCCGTTGAATAAGACTGGATCCTGAGGAATAATGGATAATTTTGATCTTAAATCTTTCATACCAATAGGTATACTCAATGATATCCAAGTCATGAATCATATATATTGAAACGGCTTTTTGAACATAGCTATATAAATTAACCGCCGTGGGCTTGATCTCTCATCTCTGGGGGGGTTAATCATTTTATTTGATCTCCTGCAACCAATTTCATTGGCCTTGTTCGGGTCTTGTACCAAGGATCTCTTGATAATTAAAAACAGTCACATTTTCAGTTACTTGTTTTACTCCGTTTTCTATTAGTTCTACAGTGTGACGATTTCTTCGTTCTACATTACATGTCTCCTACGCTTGATCTATTATTCCATAAGACAGTTGATTGTTACTTTGATTTGGAAATGGGACTGATTGGTGGTCTTTCGTTGACGTGTTGAGTGTAGAGTTTGGTCTTTTTTTGCCCACTTCTTTTCTGCAACCACAATCATAAATTCAATCTTTTAAAAGAAGTTCTAGAAGCTTAAGAATGTTACGATAATTCTATCCTCTAGCATTCGCCCAAGTCAGTACCATCTTGGAGTCTGACTAACTTCAACGTTTTCTTTTGACCTTCTTCTCAAAACGTGATTGAAGATATTCAATCATTTCCAAACCGCTCAAAGCTTCTGCAGTCTGTAGATTAATATATGAAATGATCAGAAACAAATTTGCATGAATGGAGACATCTTTATCAGCAATATTACTATTCAGATGTGAATCTTTCTCATTCAACTGTCGTGGTTGTCAAACTATCTTCTATATAGTTGTACATTTCAATACATATACGGTTCTGGCACTCAGACTAGTCGAGTTTCAGGTTATAGTTGTTATATAAACGCCCAATTATGAACCTTGATGGAATCAATCGCATTCGGAATTCCATGAAAAATCGATGGACGTACAAAACTATCCAATAAATTAATTCTCACATTTTTTCACAGCTGATCCACAATTTGTATTCTACTATCGGGAACAAAAAGACCATTGTAGTAATTGATTGAGAGCACGCGTGAATTAATGAGTTGGATAGCTGTGATGGAAACCCGAACGTTGCTCCCTATGTTGTTTCATGGGGTCACAATTGGGTGATCTTTGCTTAGGTGAAATCACAAATGCCCTTTTTTGGCTTTAAGTAGCACTGTGTCTTAAGCGCGAGATCGCAAGCGACCAAGACCGGGTAAAAGTATATCGTTCATTAAAATATATGTACATTAATGGTACATGAAAATAGTATGCAATGCCATCTCTCTGTATATACAGTCTTTAATAATCTATATCATCATCCAAGTCCTAGTTCTATTTCTATACTTTCTATAATCATCTCCAAAAAAACTAATCAAATAACTTTCTTCAAATTCAATTCTTGCTTTAAAAAACTTCCATAATACTCTTCCACCAAACACTAATACTATCCAGTTATTCAAAAATAATTCTAATCCAATAAACCAAATCCCAAATCCGAAATAACTTGGATGTCTAAATATTGAATATATTCCATTAGTAATCAATTTATGTTTTTGTTCATGATGTTGTCTTTGGATATAATGATTGAATGATTCTCGGGCAGTATACATTGCGAAGCTTCGGATAAATTGCCCCAAAAGGAATAACAATACTCCGAAAATGCTTACTAAGGAATAGAATTTATTATCAGGTATGAAATTGATATGAATTATATATTCAAGAATGGAAACGGAAGTTGTGATGTATAAATCGGTATCTTCAAGTATGAAAGAATCATCATCTACTTCTGAATTATTAAATAATACGGTATTTATAAATTCTAATATATGAAATATACTTAAGAATATGAAATATATATGAATTTTATAAAATGATGGGAATGGATGGAAATGATTGAAATGAATTAAAATTAAACAAATTATATTGAATGAAAGTGATGTACCTAAAATGAACGATTTTAAACAAACTTTTAGAAGATTTACTTTGGTTGGATCATATCTTGATAAATTCCCTTTTGAAAATGTTGATGATGAAGGTGATGACATTTATATTGAATCGGAAGTTCATAGTCTTTTATAATTCTGTCCAAGAGAATTTGAAAAATTTCAAAAATGATTGTTGACTGGATCAAATGGGGTTACCCGGATAATAACCCGATATCTAAGAAAATTACACCAATAGTCAAGAGATCTTTAAAACAGCGCTGATGGTTATTAGACGATAATGTGTCTGATATGAATAGAAAGCAGCTAATGATGATGTATGATCCTAAAAGGAATTCATTATTGGAGATTTCAATTGTTTCTATAATCCTTGGGATAATTACAACTACTTCATTATTTAGTTTGGTTTATTCACCAGAGAAATACATACCCATTATAATTTATATAATTATATTATGTTTGTATTTTATAATTGAATTTATAAATAGTTCTTTATATCAACCATTATCAGTTAATTCAAAATCATTCTTAATTTATGGTAATAAAGGTAATGAACATTTTTGGTATATGCAATTACTAACAATATGGGAATATTTCATTATACGAAGTAATAAACTACAATGGATATATACTCCTATACCATATAAAGTAGTGTTACAACCAATTGGTATGATAATGATAATATCTGGAATATATATAAGACACCTTGCTATGAAAACATGTGGAAATTCATTCACTCATTATATATCAACTATCCCAAGGCATCAACAACATAAATTGGTAACGCATGGCATTTATAGTATATTTAGACATCCAAGTTATTTTGGATTTTGGTGTTTTGTAATTGGATCACAATTGTTCTTATGTAATATTGGTAATTTACTTATAGATTTATGGATATTGGGAATATTCTTTCTGAAAAGAATTGAATATGAAGAATGGTTATTAATCCATAAATTCTATGGACAAGAATATAGAGAGTATAAAGATAGAGTACATACATGGATTCCATTTGTACGAATAAATGAATAGACTACTATATATATAACACTACCACTTAATCTATAAACTTGTATTCATGAATCTTCTCTTTGTGAAAGCTAACCAGTATTTACTTGGACCATCAATATCATTTTCATAAATTCTTTTAATTAATCTATCAGCCAATTCTTGTCTAAATTGTTGTAAATAACTTCTTAATAAATCACTTTCATTCTTATTACTTGGACCAGTATAAATAGTATTCAATGGGAATCCAATTTCTCCAGGTAAACTAAAATTATCTAAACTTAAATTATTCAACACACGAACAGCTTCTTTTGAATTCATAATTGGATTTAATTTACTTAAACATTGATTAACATATAATATTCCATATATTAATAATCTATCGGCATTCCCCTTAATTTCAAAATTACGAAAGAATGAATTAGCTCTAAATAAATCTAAAATTTCTTCAATAATATCATATTCTTGATCAGGTGGGAATGATGGTCCACGAAATTTTGTATGGAATGGTAATAAAATTAAATTCCCAATTGTTCGATTTGCTGAACTTTGTTCTTCAGCTAAGAATGTGGAATGATATGCTGGCATTGAATAGATAGAATGTTGCGAAGAGGGTATTGGATTTGTCCTGGCAATTGATAAATTTACCTTCTACTTCGGGATCTCAAGGAGTTTCAAGGTGGATTGGCGAATTAAGTTGAATATGTCGTATGACTAGTTTTTCGGGAGATACGACATTTTAGGGAGACATTTTTCACATGACTTGCGCGTGATTTTTAAGCCGCACGGAAATGTGAAATTTTAACAGGTGAGAAACTATCGTCGCATATTCCACCCACTCCCCTCTCATTTCTAGAAATCTATAATAAGCAATATTGAGAAGGTGCTGGAACTTGAAAGTTTAATCGGTTTAACATATTGAAGAGTATTCAAAATTTTTTGAAGTAACATGAATTTGTGAGATATTTTGCAATTGTCTCGTCAAAAAAACACAACACGCCCCATCCAACGACTTCTAATTCATAACTGGCATTTACAAAACGGTATTAACGTCCATATTAGAATATGCGCATATACACCACCTGACTTGAAATATGTTGAGAAGCGGCGGTAAGGTCTTCTCGTATAAATAAAATGGAAGAAGAATGTGGGTTAATTGTCAATATATGAATTTATAAATTTATGTTGCAATATCATTTCCTAATTGGGAAGAAATATAAACATTGGCAATAAAAATTTCTTTGAATTCATACTTCCGTTGCAAAAGAAAAATCTTTCTTTAAGGATTTCGTCTCTGTGGTATTCTTAAGATATTTGTATACAAGCCCATTGTGTTGTTAATTGGACAATAGAAGAACTTGAATTGATAGAAAGAGAGAGGAGAAAAGCCAAAAGAATCAAGAAAACCAAGTTCCACAATTTTTACATTTTTTATCCAAGAGTTCATTTCATTAGCCGATCTCATTTCATAATCATTTCAGTTTGCTTTTTGACAACGAACTTTAGTCAGCGTTTAGCATACAAATAGAGAAAACCTACCCTCATCATCATACATCAGCATATATACAACAACTATGTCAATAGTAATACATTCACCCAATAATAAAGAAATTCTTTTTGAGAACACCAAACTTAATAATCATGATACATCAACTTATAAACCCAATGAGACTGATCCTAAAAGACGATTTCAACAACAACATATCTCATCATATGATGAGACTGGAGAGAATATTGTATCTTCATTATCACCATCCAAAAGACAATTCTTACATCAAATGAGTCCTAATGTATCCAAAAAGACAATCTATGTAAATCAAAATCCATTTAGACAACCTTCTAGTGGTTCAACTACACTTCAATTACCACCTTCAAGTGCACCAATGTCAGCATCGACCAATCTTCTAGCTTCAACAAGTCGAGAGATTGGTCCTACTCCATCACTGAGATCCACTAGTCGATTTCATAGACCTCAATTGCCTGCTTCATTAAAGGCACCCATGAATATTGCTCGTTCACAAACAACTGCATTTGCATTTCCTTCAACTAGGAAACAAATAACATCAAATAATACATCTCCATTTAAATTACGTAGAGCAAATTCATTAATTAGTCATGGTGGTTCTTCATCCTCACTGGATCAACAACAACAATCATCAACCATCTCATCTGATCGATTTATTCCATCTCGTCATAATTCAACCACGGGGAAATTGGATCCAAATAATGAAGATAAACCAGTTCCACCAAATGCATCTCCACAAACATATATCAATTCACAAACTTCAAAAATCTATAAACATCATGTTGCTGAAGCTTGTGGATTGGAAGTTAATTCTAGAATATTGTTATATCAACCATTACCTCCAGAACGTAAGAAACCAGTTAGTTTATTAGGACAATTATCAACATCAACCACTTCAATAGTTTCAAAACAACTAGGAGGTAAAAATTCACTTACTCCCTCTGCTGCATCAGCTAGAGCGAAAAAGATCCCCACTGCACCGGAACGAGTCTTAGATGCACCTGGATTGGTTGATGATTTCTATTTAAACCTATTAGCATGGTCACTGACGAATTTATTAGCCATTGGACTTGAGGATGCGGTATATGTATGGAATGCCAATACTGGATCAGTAGGATTATTATGTGAATTACCCGATAAAACAATAGTTACTAGTTTAAGATGGTCAAATGATGGATCCTATATTTCAATTGGGAAAGATGATGGATTGATGGAGATTTGGGATATTGAAACAAATACAAAATTAAGAACTTTGAATTGTAATAATCATCAAACTAGAATTGCGGCCCAAGATTGGAATCAACATATTTTGACATCTGGTAGTCGATTAGGGAATATTTATAATTCGGATGTAAGAGTGGCTTCTCATGTTGTTAGTGCTTTAGAAGGATCTCATACTGCTGAAATTTGTGGGATTGAATATCGTGCTGATGGGAGTCAATTTGCTTCCGGTGGGAATGACAATGTTGTATGTATATGGGATGCCAGGAATGTCACCCCAACCTCAACTTCCTCCACCAATTCCACTACAGCCACAACCACCCAACCATTATTCTCCAAAACCACTCATAAAGCAGCCGTGAAGGCATTATCATGGTGTCCATACCAATCATCCCTCCTAGCAACCGGTGGAGGATCCAGTGACAAAACCATAAATTTCTGGAATACATCCACCGGATCACGCACCAATACAATCGAAACCGGATCACAAATCTCCTCCTTGAATTGGGGATATGCAAATGGAACAGGTATGGAAATCGTAGCTACTCATGGATTCCCCACCAATTCAATTTCATTATATAATTACCCGACTTTACAAAAGACGGGAGAGATTAATCTGGCTCATGATACTAGAATTTTAGGTGGTTGTTTGAGTCCGGATAATTTGACGTTGGCTACTGTTGCTGGGGATGAGAATTTGAAGTTTTGGAGTATTTTTGATATGTATAAGAAACGAGATTATGAGGGTGTGGGTGTAGGAGGAGTTGGAGGTGGTGGTGTGAGTGGAGGAGGGATTGATGGAAATGGGGGTGACGATGATAATCAAGAGACCAAGAGAATGAAAAAGATGATGAACCTTCGATAGACAGAGGGAGGGAGAGAGGGACGGACAGTGTGGTTTGCCATACACATTTATAGGAATGTGATTCTTTCTAATTAATTTAAGTAATTATCTAGAACTTTTCTTTATTTATAAAATATAAACATTGACATTTCTCAATTTGCAGCCATCTTGATATTATCGGTGGTGATGTACCTCGGGCTGAGTGAGATACGACACTACAAGCAACATTGCCACTGGCATTAGTCATTGAACGGCAAGCATTGCCACAAACAGCTTGTACCTGTTTCTTTTCAGTTGTTACATTGTACGTTGTCTTTGAGTACAAATAGAAAGCACAGCCTTGGTGTTCCACAAAAAGCAATCAGACAAAGTAAAATAATTAATGATTTTCCAGCAATAGCAAAATCATTTTTTTTGTTCATTATTTATTTTACGTATATGAATGACATCATTTAGAGGCAGTACTTCATTTTACATTATTTATAAGTGAATACTAATTACGAACTATCGACTATTGATATATATATATAAAGAACAAGCTAAGCAAGAATGAGACAACCAACTAACACATTAATACTTACAGAATTAGATTCATCTTTATTAAATAATCCTTCCAATCTACTTGAATATATATCCCAACATAACAATAATTTAATAGAATTAATTGTATTAATTAAATTCTCAAGAATATTAATAATTTGTGAATCATCTTCAATTGCAACTGATATATTGAATCTATTGAAGTCATCACCATTTAATATTAGAGTATCTTATAGTTTAAGAGATAACAAGTTTAATTTAAATCAATCAGATTTAACAATAAATCATTTAGATCAAGATATGCAATATTTAGAATTACCTTCAGAAGCAGGGAGTAGAAGATTCTTAATCTCACCTCCATTATCTCCACCTGCAGAATGGGATCATTGGGATAAAGTAGAAGAAGGTCCAAATCAAAAAACCTTATATTCTCCAGAAGAATTATCTCATTTATTATGGGAAAGATTAGGCGGATTTGATAGTGAGTTTGTAAGAAGATTTCAGGGTGACGAAGGAATCGACCAAGGAGGTGATCTGATAACTAATAATGGAAATAATGGCATATCTAAGAGAAAGGTTAAATTACCGTCTACAGCAATTAATATTAAAAGAGAACCTGAATTATTATTTCAAGATATAAAAGAAAATGGAGTACCTGCTATCATATTAGACACTACAAATAATGCAGATATAGAATATGAAGATACTACTACCACCCTAATACGTCCTCCAACACCGTTACCTAAAACATCGTTACCACCACCGTTATAGATTCACGTGATTCGTAGGGATATGGATTTATATGCAGGAACTAATCAATTTTTTTTTTCAGTCTTCGCATCGAGAAAGAATCAAAAAGAGAAGAGATGAGCCTTGGGAATCTTTTTCTTCTTATACGAGGTTATACCAACAATATATAATATATAGACATAGAATAAACTAAAAATGGCTAGAACTAGATCAAAAGGGATTACATCATCCCCAGCTGCTTCTAAAGTAAAATCAACAACTACATCTCCAAAGAAAACTAAATCAACAAAAGCTAAGAAAGTAGAAAAGAAAGTAGTAGTTGATGAACAACCAGTTGAAGAAGTAGAAGAACAAGTAGACCAAACCCAATCAGAAACAATCATCCCTTCAGAAGTTTCAACTAAAGCCATTTCAGAATTAATTAAATATGTTGCTAGAGAAAAAGAATCTAAACAACCAAATAAACAAAGTTTATTCGATGATGAAGATACTTCAGAAGATAAATTATACGTTACCATAAATTCCAAGAAATATCTTTCTGATAAACCCCAATTCAAACCAATTTTAATCAAATTAAATAATTCAATTTATAACCAATCAGAATTAAAAACCTGTTTAATAATTCGTGATCAATTAGTTACAACTAATGAACAATTAGAATCCCTTGAATCAGAAAATTTATCAACTATTGAACAAATCTTACCATTAACCACTTTAAAGAATGAATATAAAAACTTTGAAAAACGTCGTGATTTATATTCTTCATATGATTTATTTTTGGTTGATGATGCTTTATTAAATTTAATGCCAACTTTATTAGGTAAGATCTTTTACACTGGTAACAAAATACCAGTCCCAATTAGAATTACTAGTACTGGTGGTAAAGCCAAGGAATTATCATTGGTTACTTTAAAAAATCAAATTAATAAAGTATTAGAGAGTACTGTTTATTTACCTCCAATGGGATCAAATGTTAGTATTGTAATTGGATCAATTAAATCTCATACCCAAGAACAATTGGTTGATAATTTGAATAAAGTAGTTGATTCATTTAATATTAAAACTGTTAAGAATATTATGTTGAAAACTACCAATTCTCCTGCATTACCTTTATATTATACTGATAGTTTATTCGATGAAGAAAATGATGTTGAAAAGAAGGTTAATAAGAAGGTTGAAGAAGAAGAAGAAGAAGAAGAAGTTAAGTTGTCTGCTTTTGAAAAGGGATTATTGGAATTGGGTGATGTTGATTCTGTTTCCAAGATTATTGGTAAGAAATTAGGTGAAAAGAATAAGAAAAAGAGAAAGGTTGTTAAAGGTAAAGTTTCTAAGAAGTAAGCCTATATAGATTTAAGTATTAGTTTTGTATAATAATAATAGCATAGTAATTTGAATAGCTTCCAGCAGAGATGGTTATAATGTTCAATATATTCAGTTGATATTTGAAGCACTTGGTAGCATCATTCTTGTGTATAATTTTTCAGGTAAGTTTACTTTTTTCAATTAAACTTCCCCCAAAGAACCCTTAATCATTAATACTACTTCAAAGACAACTACCATGTGGATTGTAAAACATAAAGGAGATCCACTAGGAGGTATGTATCCCACAAACCAAAACCATTCATCCAAACCCCTCATTCATACTAACAATCAATTCCCCTAGAACTCCGATGTCTAACATCAAATTCCAAATACTTAATAGGCAGAGACACAGACGCTGATTTCTCCTTCCAAAGCCCCAAAGCATCCCGACACCAAATCGAACTCATAACCGGCCCCTCATCCACGCCTATCACCCAATTAAAGATCCGAATATTGTCAAGAGCAAAAACGAAAATAAATCAAACATTATACAAACTCGAAAAAGACTCTCCCGGACCCCTAGAATACGATTTCTCAACCACCGCCAATATCATAATCGAAAGCATCTCAAATAATGGCGAAGACACGCCAATCGAAATCCATTGGCATCCATTCAATCTCTTCCCCGGACAGGCATCATCCATACTCGACGCGATTGGGGACATGATCGATATTCGAATCGTGGATGATGTCAGACAAGCGACGCATTATTATACGAATAAAGAATTGGATGATGCGGGGTTTAGACTAGCGGTGATGATGGGGTTGCCGTTGGTGAATAATAAATGGTTTCAGACTATTATGGATCATCCTGGTGATGTGGGGAGGTGGCTAGTGGATTTGGAAGCGGGGAGATATTTGCCCGGTGGTGATGAGATGTTGTTGCCTCGAAAAGAAAGGAGGAGGTTGTTTGATGGAGTGGGTGTGTTTGTAATAGGCAAGAGGGTGGAATGGTTGGAGATGGGGGTGGAGGTTGATGAGAAGAATGGGGGTGTGAAAGGACAGATTAGGGAGATGATGGGGGATAAAGAGGAGTTTATTGTGGTCGGCAAGAAATCAATTGATGGAATTGATGTGGTGTCGGAGGATGATATTTGGAATGCGGTGAAGATGTGTTCGGTTAAGGGATTGAAAATTAATACAAAACAACAACTCAATCCACCGCCTGCACGAGCTGCCCTACCTGCGCCAATCCTACCAGAACCAAGCATTCCAGCTAAACGATCAATATCTCCCGAAGAATCCACAATTGCACCAGCTGCAACAACAACACGTCCAGGCACGCGAAAGAGAAGAAGGTATGAAAAAGTCGACAAATTGCATTTCTTCAGCTTGGCAACACCAACTAGTGATGCAGATAGCATTAATAATACCGATTCTGCACCAAAACAAGCACAGGAAGAAGAAAAATCTCAATCAGTAGAGATTTCCCCAGAGGTAGAAGAGACCCCTACTCCTGCTGTTGTACTGGAGGATACAAATAGTGCGACTGCTGAGATTGAAGAAACGGTAGCAAATCGAGAGCCGTCTCCGATATTAGAACCAATCGCACCAGAATCCGAGCCAGAAGAAATCGAAAACGTGATAAGTTCGAAGAAGAGACGGCCACCTGTTGAAGAAATTGAAGAGGAGAGGAAACCAACTAAGATTCCCAAATTCATGCCAAAAGTATCCCTAGTCGACGCTATTAAACAAACTCGTGCAAAATCGATCAAAAACATAAATGAAGAACTAGGAATCACTGAAGAATCCGAACAAGTGGATGAAAAAGAACTACAAGAAAACCTATCAAATTTGGCAATCGTAGAAGTTATCGATATAACAATCCGTCCAAAGAGAATATCCCCAATCACGGAGGATGTGAATGAGAAATATAAGGGTAGGAAAAATTTTAAAAAGTTTCATAAAAATATATCTATAAAATCCAATTTTGCTAGAAGTTATGTCCCTTTGGAAACCGTGTCTGTTGATAATGAAGTTGAATTGAAGTCTGCTGGTGGTGGCGGTCATAATGTCGCTGCAGAGTTTGATTCGTTTATGGGACAAGTGAAGGGGTTTGCACCTGAAGAACCGATGTTGTTTGTTCAGGAGGAATCGGATCTGGAGACGGAGGAACAGCTGGTGTTTCGTAACGAGCCTCCTAGAAGTAGGCCGAACGCATATGAACAACGGAATAATGATAATGATGTGGAGGTGGATGATGACGATGACGAAGAAGAGGATGACCAACCGAGATTTAGATTTAGTAGACAACGTAGATAGATATCTCACCCCTTCTAGATAATCCCACAAAATCCCATTCTTCTAAAATATGTAATATGAGTCTGTAAATAATTTTGAGGATGTAGTAATAATAACATTTTCTTTATATATCTCCCCAATGAAAAATCCTTGGCGATACATAATTCATTCTCCCCAGTTATACAATCTACCACTTGCTCTTGACCTGGGTTCTGTTCTCCAGATGAACAATTTAGATAGATCTGATTATCGAATTGCCAATATGGATCTAGCAGGATCTTATTCTTGCTAGGTATAACCGTGACAATGTCCTCCTTATGAATAACTCTCAAATATTTCCTCTCAACTGATTCTGGTGGGGAGATACTCCCAAACACAATATCGGTCCATTCCGTAAAAGGTTTATTTCCAATCAAGGGTTGTCCCATAGTTATGAGGGATAGTTTATCATATCCCAAATCCAAATAATTCAATCCCAAAAAAACAGCCACACTTCCACCCAATGAATGTCCCAAGATAATCAATTCATAATCATCTTCAACATCTTGGAGTTCTTCGATTATATATTGATGGATTAGTGATAATGTTCGAGAATAATATTCATGAAATCCTTTGTGCACCCTACATTCATGACCACAGAATGGGAGGTGTTGACCTAGGTTTGAATATGCCTTCATGTCGACTTTCATGTCGATATATGTGTCAGTTATGGATTTTGTTCCTCTTAAAGAAACAATAATTGTCTTTGTCGGTTTCTCATCTGTTTTGTTGAAGATGTTTTCATATGTGGTGGCGATATATCCTGCTACTGAATCTTCGAAATACCATTGATATACAATTGTCATATTGGGGAATTTTGTTTCACAATCGATTGGACATTTGAAAGGTGGGTCTATTTTGTGGATGGGTGTGACGCAATAGGATATGTCTATTAGATGGGCATATGTGAATAGATTTGTGTATATTTGGGCGTTGATTGGTTGTGGCATGGGTGATGATGGATTGAGATTAGGAAATATAATTGGTGATATGAAAGTTGTGAATAATAGGGGATATGGTATATTTATTAATATTATGAATATTAAGAAGAAGGGCACAATTAGTTTTGTTATCATTTGATATCTATTGACTAACTAAGATAAAGATAAACATAAAGAAGATAAAGAAGATGAGATGATTATAAGCTTTTGTGGATTTCTTCATTGTTCATTTGTGGGGGAGGGGTAAACGTAAATAAAAAATGTCATTCCTCGAAAAACCTATGATTTATGTTCTTTCATTATTGGATGCAAATTGCAACCATTAAATTATTACTTAACAGCAACCAAATCAAGTAAATGAATAAACCCCAAAGCTAACCCAACTCCTAAACAAACAGCAACAAGTTTAAACCAATTATCAACCATCAATTCAACTATCCACTTCATTGGACTCAATCTATACACTCTAATCCACAATGGTTGAAATAGGATAAATATTGACCAAATTAACAAAATCAAAAATAGATTATATCCAAATTGAAACCCACCTGTAAACTTATCAATATACACTTGTGCAAGTTGTTGTATTTTGCTTGGGATTGTTTTTGCATGTTGAGTTATTGCCATGGTGAAATTTAATCCAGTTTCAAACATCCTGGAACCGACTTGAAAGATTCCTATTACTTGATTGATATTTGTGTTTAGATCGTCTATAGATTGTTCAGTCTGATTGATTTTGATGTTGATATTAGATAGGGATTTGCTCAACAATACTTCAAATTGAAGGATGGTTTCAGAAGCAGCTAGATTTAATTCTTGTGTAAATTTGATGGCAATCTCATGTAGGATTATAGAAGTTTGGTTATCGATATATTGAGATTGTAGAATATAATCATCAATTGATTTATCAATCAAGTTATTTAACAAATCAAGATTGAATGAAGAATATTGGATTTTGGTTTGAATATCTATTGCCATATTTTGAGAAGATTGCCAATATTGATTCACATTCAGTTCAATCATATCCATATTATCCAACACTTTCTCAGACTGCTTTGTAATCTTATCATTCACCTTCATAATTTCAACCTGTTGATCCTTAATTTCCTGCTTCTCCTGTCTCATTAATTCATACAAATCCTTAATCTCATCCACAAAATAACTCAAATGTTTCCCCATCTCACCTAAATTAGTATCCACCCCATCATAACTATTTCCAAGCACAACCATGGCATTATTCAACACTAGTTCAAAATTCTCCTTAAACCCCTTCATCTCCCCTTCCATCTCCCGTTTCTCCCTTCTCTTCTCATCCAATATCTCATCCACAACCAGCACCATCTCCTCAAATTTCTTCCTAATCCCATCCTGCATTTCTTCAGAATACTTCCTATTTTCCTGCATTTCATGAAATAAGTTCTGATAAATATGTGTAATATTCTCATATATCCCCAATATCTGATCCTTCTCATAGGGTAAACTAGCCTGATGACATATATTTTTCAACTCACGATAATTCCCACTAAAAGTTGTCCAATACTGGGGACTTTTCTCTAGGGCCAGAATACAACCCTCGATCTCTAATTTTCGAATAGATGTTGCACATGCTAGGGGATATTCAATGCCGGAGTTTTCGAATTCACATATGGATAATTCGACAGCGATTTGGCGTTGTTGGTGAGGGGAGAGGGATTCTATTCCTAAGGTGGCACATTGGGGGAGGAGGGTGTGGAGGGCTTGGGTGGCACAGTCGGTGCGCCAGTTGGTCAAGTGGGTGAAGTCGTCTGGTTTGATTAGTTGGTGTTGGGTGGCAAGGATGTGGTGGATGAGTACTAGTAATGGTATTAAAAAGTGCATTTATGAACATATGGTAACTTGATAGATAAGAAAATGAATCCTTCTGCATTTTATTAAAATCCTTATTTAAAACATGATCCCTTCTATATATATGTTAATTGGTGGTTTTATTCAATTGCTGCAAATTGCAAACAATTATGAAACATTAGACAACTGGTAGCACCAACCAAAAGAGAATGCCCAAAAAATAAATTTAAAAATTTTTCAATTCCGAGATTCGATCAATCATGGCCAGTCAGTCAGACAAAGACATAACGAGGAAGGAATAACAAGGAGAGGAAACCATGCTAAGACACACAACGACCAAACGATCCATAATACGATCCCCCCTCCGTTCCATCCAACGTACCTACACCACCCCCAAAAAACCATTCGTCTTCCAGCCATACCTCCCAAATGACAATTCGAAATACATCTTCCCCCAAGAAAAACTCACCCCTGAAGAAAACCAAGCCGCCATCCCCCCTAGGCCCACTTTTGATGACATCAGCAAGAAAGTCTTCGATATCCCAAATCCTGAAGATGTGGCTGATTTGGTGACGAGGTTGAATAAGACCGATATATTAATTTCAAGATTTTCGAAATCGAGAAGATTGTTTAATAATAGTCATACCGTCGTCATAAAGAATAAAGAAGGCGGTGATAGGGCTGGTGTTAGGCAGGTTGTGTTTCCATATTTGAATGTGGCTAATAGTTGGACTAGATTATTTAATGCCCAAATCAAACCTTTAAAAGATGTGGCAGCTACTAAGGCTGGGTTTGGGGTTAGTATTACCAAAACGTTGAAAGCGAAATTGGATTCAGTGTATGAGAAAAGTAATGATATTGGCGAGTTCTTTAGAGAAGTGAATGCGTTGGAGAATTCGAGGTTGGTTTTGAAAGGAAAGGTGAATCCTGTGGAATTGGCGGGGTTGATAACGATTGATAATGCCACTATTTATTTATTGAATCGAGGTGATATTCTTGATGATTTTATAGAATTGATGCAATTAATCACATTTATTCAATCCAATGTTTCTATGTTCACGAATAAAGGATTGAGCGATGTTTTGGAGAAACTTGCGCGCGTGGTGTATAATGATTCCACAAGGGAATCTGATTTACATGTCTTGAACGATTTTCTTAAGGGATTGATTGAGACTCAGAGAGATGTGAGTATTGCGAAGTTACATCCCGTTACTTTGGATAAATTGGCGTATATTTTGATTAAAGAGGGAGATTTGGCGTCTGGGTTTGAATTATTGAAGATAATGATTGATGAGATGTCAGAATGTCCTAGTGAGAAGACATTGGCTGTTATATTTAATGAATATAATCAACAGCATTCTGGGAAAAGTATAGAAGAAATGATAAGGGAGTTATGTTTCTTAAAACCAGCTATATTTCATAAAGGTGTCGATGTTAATTCATTTCCAGTTTTGTTGAAAATTGTGAGAGATTTACGTGATTTTCAAAAATTGATTGATTTAGTTGGGGATAATAAAGTTGTACTTGATACTTTCCAACTTGATATCTTTAAAAGGTTTAAACAATTTCAAGATCAATTCTCTGTAGATGAATACGATTCAAGACAAACAAGAAGGTTATACTTAACGCAATTGATAAGAGTATTTCAACGAAAGAGAATCAATTTGAATGAAGAAACAATAAAACATTTAAAGAATGAATTTACTTTATTGAAAGATCCTGTCAATTTGACTGTATTAAATAATTTATAATCTTTTATTTCATTTTGTATATAACATATAACACTTAATAGACTTATTACCTTCGTAGATTTTGTAATTGTATATTATCTTGATATTGTCCAAGATTTGATTCTATAGAATATTCATCATCATCAGTTGCACCCCGATTATCAAAAGGTGAAGTCGGTATTTGAGTTTCACTATCCTGATCAGATCGTCTTCTTCTTCCACCATGTAAGTTCTTATTCTGATTATCAGTCGTACTATAAAACCCATCAGTAAATACATAAAATCCATCATCACTTGAATTATCATTATTATTCCAACCAAAATGATCAATTACATTCTTTCTCATCATTCTCATATCATCATTAGCATACTGATGTTGGAGATTATTGTTATCATCATCAAAGAATTTCCGACTTGATATTGATCTCTTGAGGAAACATAACATTGAAGTAGTTAATGCCATTGATACTATGGGGATTAATTGTAACCAACCTATAAAACTTAAATGAGGGATGAATAATAAAATATCAGCAAGGAATGCTAACAAAGTTGTTAAGAATGAGAATAATGTCATTACTAACATTAGATTAAAGTAGGGAGTTAAATCTCGTTTCTTTAATTCTCCCTGGTGTTGTTGTTGTTGTTGTTGTTCATCTCCTAGTGATGATACTCTTATTGACTTCCTTCTTTGATCTAAGAAATTAATAACCAACAATAAAATAATAACCACTATCAAGATACTTGAAAAACAAAAAGCTAATACATGAACAACCAATAACTTTGATATTGAATAAGTTACTTTTGAAGGTAATATAATTCCACCATCATAACCAAAATCTGTATTACTTGTAAAATCAGAAAATGTTGAATTTAATGAAGGATATCCAATCTTAGCTTCACTACATACTTGTTCTTTTAAATCACATATACCAAATACTCCATATTTATAATCTCTAAAATATGATAAATATAAGACTGATGTTATTGGGACTGATATAACCGGTAATAACTGTATTACCCAACATACTAATACGAGACCCAATAGGGCCAGTAATGGTTTAATATACATAGTCGATTACTTTGGTTTATTCTAGTAGTAGTAGTAGTAGTAGTAGTAGTGTTTTATAAGGTTTCATTATCTTCTGAAAGGAAACAGGAAAGGAAAGGAAAAGAGTGCTTGTTAACTTTCCAAGCATTAAAATCTTGTCATGACGTTTATATAAATTTCTTCTTATTTAAATTTCTTGGTGTTTTTTTAATGAAGTCACGTGAATCAATATATATCACACATGGTAGCACTCAAATACTACAATCATCGGCAACTTTTTGTTAATTTACAATGTCATCTTCTTTTGAAAGAACTAAAAGAACATTCTCATATTAGCGACGTCCAAACCCTCTCATTTCTTATATATACTGCTGCAAATATTATATCTTTAATAGAAAATATCAAATGAAATATCCTATCCTCTTTCGTCTGAATATCTTCTGAAAAGAAAGCATATTGAATGTATACTAAAAATCAGAGCAAGAAGTAATTAATTGAATTAGAAACAGTGAAAGATGCCTTTGTCAATAGTTCTATTGAATTGCATATTGTATTAGTTAACGAGAGCGGAACCGGACTTATATTCCAGATAATGGTTCACGTGACTTGGCATCATGGGGCTATCTTTTCAATTTTGTGCGTTGACTTCCGAATTGGGAAAGAACCGAGTTATTTTGATTATCAAAAATTTTCACTTTCTCCAATTGTTCTTCTTCCTTAAGTCAACTTTCTTATATGAAGACAATTTCCAAGTTTATATTATCAACACTAATTGTATTGTTTTCCATAATCTCATTAAGAAATATACTATCCAATAGGACAACTACCATAAGAACAATCTCCAAGATGTCCTCCAATCATCCATATGCAAAAGAATTAGAAATTGCAACATTAGCAGTTAAAAGAGCTTCATTATTAACTAAAGGATTAAGTGATTCAATTCAAAGCTTACAAAAGTCAGGTAATACAATCACCAAGGATGATAAATCTCCAGTCACAGTTGGTGATTTTGCATCTCAAGCAATTGTCAATTATGCAATTGGTCGCAATTTCCCTGAAGATGAAATTGTAGGTGAAGAAGATTCTGAAAGTCTTCAAGCTGAAGATGGAGCCGAAATCAGTTCTAAGATCTTACAACTAATCAAAGATGTTCAATCGGAAACTTCTTCATATAATGGCAAATTAGGACAATTGGAAGATATCAATCAAGTATATGAAAGTATCGATAAGGGGAATTCTCAAGGTGGATCCAAGGGAAGATTCTGGGCATTGGATCCAATTGATGGTACAAAAGGATTCCTTAGAGGTGATCAATTTGCTGTTTGTTTAGCCCTTATTGAAGATGGAAAAGTTGTATTGGGTGTCATTGGATGTCCTAATTTATCAGAAACAATCATCGCCAATGATAAACATTCTGGAATCGTGGGAGGATTATATTCTGCTATTAAAGGTGTTGGAGCTTATTATACTCCATTATTCACTTCGCAAGAATTTATCCCATTGGATAAACAAAAACGTATATCAATGACTGACAACACCACTCCTGAGACATTAAAGGTTGTAGAGGGAGTCGAAAAGGGTCATTCATCTCATTCAACACAAGCTCAAATTAAAGAAAAATTAGGATTTAATCCAAATACAGTCTCCCAACAAACACTTAATTTAGATTCACAAGTTAAGTATTGTGTATTGGCAAGTGGTCAAGCTGATATTTATTTAAGATTACCCGTTAGTGATACATATCGTGAAAAAATCTGGGATCATGCTGCTGGAAATGTATTGATTTATGAAAGTGGTGGACAGGTTGGTGATATTACTGGGAAGCCGCTTGATTTTGGTACGGGAAGAACCTTAAATTCAAAAGGTGTTATTGCTGGGAATAAACAAATATTTGATAAAGTTATAAATGCAGTTCAACAAGTTTTAAATTAATAAAGTCTATAGATTTCTATATATCTGTAATTAATTATTCATTAACGTTAATTTTATTACCTCCAATAATATGAGGTGCAATTTCTTGTAACCAAGATAATTCAATTGCTGAACAATTCCTAGCATATCCTTTCATAGTATAAACATATTCAATATACATGATTGCATCTAAGTTTGCTTTTCCAAATAAATTAGATGAAGGATGAATACTAATTAGTTGTCCGGTATTAAAAGTTCTAAATGATCTATCTGGCATTCCAACGGCTGTATTGGTGATATATCCTTTTAAGAATGATTTCAAAATAGCCGGAATATTCAACGACCCCTTCACGTCAACCTCATCATCGTCATCCTCTTCATGCTTGTCAGCAAATTGTGCTCTCAATTTTGTCAATTCAACTTCACGTTCTTCAGAACTCAAACTATCATCTTGCCTAATTGTCGACAACATATAATCCTTCAATTGATTCCTCACCTTAATAACATTCTTAAACCCCTTGAAACTAAACCACAAATCACTACACCATTCCTTACACTCACTCACATTCCCATCATACAACTCCTTAAAATTCTGGAAATACTCATACACAGCAATCAAATCACCATACTTCCCACCCAAGGGACAATATCCCCTTCTCTTAAAATTAACATCATCCCTCGACTCCCCCGTCACATTTAGGATCAAATTATCAACCGACAAACAACTCACAATATCCACCACTGGTCCCAATACCCCCCATTCACTCGCAGTTAATAACACAACCGATAATTGTGGCTGAAGCGGTAAGATCGACATCTTATATCCCAATCTCGTAATCTTCCCACCATCATCCAACGCTCCCAACATATATAAACTATTCAAGGCTGACAATATCGCCTCTTGACCGGGGAATTCTAACCAGGTCCAATTCAATAAATCATCAATTCCCAATTTTTTCAATGTTAGGATTGGTAATATGATATCATTTCGTTTTATTTCGGATTCTTGTTGTTTCGGAAGCGTGGAATAGATTGATTCGGGATAGAGACGGAATACTTTCCCTGGAGATTCTCTACCGGCACGCCCTGCTCTTTGTCTCGCTGAAGCTTGCGAGATTGGGGTGGTTAATAATGTGGAAAGCCCGAGATTGTGTTTCCAGACTTTGACTTTTCGTAATCCGGAATCGATGACGTATTTGACACCAGGGACGGTGATCGAGGTTTCGGCGATATTGGTTGCTAGGATGACTTTTCTTCTACGAGGAGGGAGTTTTTCAAAGATTTTCAGTTGTTGAGAGGGAGATAATGCGGCATAGAGTGGTAAGGGGACGATAATCGGTGCTTGTTTGGGGAGTTGGGGTGAGATTGTAGTTAATACATTCACACAATTATCGATTTCTTCTTGACCGGCTAAGAAACATAGAATATCCCCTTCTGGTTCATTTAAATTCACTTGAATCACCGTTCGGATCATCGTATCCACAATATCCTGACTATCTTCTCCTGTTAAATACAACTGTGTCACAGGATACATCTTCCCCTCAACATATAATACCGGAGCATTATTAAAAAACCCACTAAACAACTCCGCATTCAATGTCGCAGACATAACCACAATCTTTAAATCATCTTTCCTCTCCCCACTCTCAATCAAACTCTTCAAAAACCCCATAATCAAATCCGTCAATATCGTCCTCTCATGAGCTTCATCCAATATAATAATCCCATATTTCAGTAATCGATTTTCCAACATAATCTCCCTCAACAACATCCCATCAGTCAAATATTTCAACTTTGTCGTTCTGTGATGGGTCATATTCGTAAATCGAACCTGATATCCCACCTCATGTCCCAATTTACATCCATATTCTTCACTGACTCTCGAAGCTAAGGACGCGGCTGCGACCCTTCTCGGCTGGGTAACCCCAATCATCTGGCCTGGTTTAAGGGAATCCATCAAGAATTGTGGGATTTGGGTGGATTTACCAGACCCCGTCTCCCCAATAATGATGGTGACTTGGTTGTTGTTGATGTATTGGGTTATTTTGGATCGATGTTGGTAGATGGGTAAGGATTTCCTGATTTCTAAGAGTTCGGTGGCACGTTGAGAGAGTGCTTGGGATTGGTGGTCGGAGGGGATGGTGAATTTGGTGTTGGTGTATGGGTCGTCATCGGAATCAGGGTTGGTGTCTTCTTTGTCATGGAATTTGACTGTTTTGTTATGGTGGTGTTTGTGCTTATGCTTTTCCTCATGCTTATGGTGGTGCTTGTGTTCCTTCTCGCCATGTTTGTGTTTGTGCTTATGTTTATGTTTATGCTCTTCTTTAGACTCATGATGATGATGCTTCTTATCCACTACTCCGTTTGGTTTGTTCTCTTCCTCCTGTTCTTCTTGTTGGTCTGGTTGCTCACTGTTAAGGGTCTCCTTAATGACTTCTATACTCCCATTAACTGGCTCAGAATCAAATTTCAACTTCTTATTCTGTCTCTTGATTTGTTCAAGCTCATCTCGGCCATCTTGAACAACTTTTTCTGGCTCTGGCTTGACAATGTCTGGTTCAGGCTCCTGCTTTCCTTTATTTCTCCTTCTTTTTCTCTTTTTGGTTCCATTCTGATTATGAACATCTGCTTTGACTTGCTCTGTCATTATGTTCTCTAATGTCTAATATCTAAGGTAAGAAACATGAAATGAAAATAAATTAATTTGCGATGGACTTGTAAATAAATATTTTTTTTAAAGACAATAAATTGACGCTACCAAACGTAGACGCTACCAATGAGATTGAAAGAAATATTGCGGAAATGAAAAACTTCCATCCACCAGACCACCATCGGTATATCAACCAACCAACCAGACAATGCTTCGAACAGCCACACGTATAAAACGTATCTCAACCATTCCCCGTATCCTACTCAGATTCAATTCCACCAATGTACGTGATCCAGTAACAATCATCCCCACAATCTATGAACTAACCAATTCCAAAACTCTTTCCGCCGAGACTGATTCTTCATTATTAGCCTATCTCAGATCTCGTCACCTTGTTGAATCCCAAACTAGTGAGAAATTATTCGAATTAACAAAACCAGACAGTTCACAACAATTTAAATTATATTGTGGAGCTGATCCCCTGGCCGCAAGTCTTCATCTTGGGAATTTATTGCCACTTATGATCCTCCTTCATTTCAACCTTAGGGGACACGATGTGGTTGGATTGGTAGGTGGAGCGACTGGACAGATTGGGGATCCGAGCGGGAGATTGACTGAACGAAGTCAGATGAAGAGTGATACTCGTGAGACGAATGTTGAAAAGATTCAAGGACAACTTGAGAGATTTTTAAATAATGGGATTGAGTATGCCAAGTCAAGATCGTTCCCACAAGCTAAAGAGGCAAAGGTTGAGATTATGAATAATAAAACCTGGTGGGCACCTATTAAGATGTTGGATTTCTTGGCTGAATATGGAAGATTTATTAGAATATCATCAATGTTAGCCAGAGACTCTATTTCTTCAAGACTTGAGAATACCGAAGGAGGAGGACTTGGATTTAATGAATTTACCTATCAGATTCTTCAGGCCTATGATTTCTGGCATCTCTATCGTCAGCATGGCGTGAACCTTCAAGTTGGAGGCAATGATCAATGGGGAAACATCACCGCTGGAATTGACTTAATTGGTAGATTACAACATCATTATAAAATAAAACCAGAACCCGTATTCGGAGTCACGGTACCATTATTAACAACCCCCACTGGAGAGAAATTCGGAAAATCAGCCGGAAATGCAGTATTCATCGACGAACGTTTGACAACCCCGTATCAAATGTATCAATATTTTATCCATACCCCTGATGAAATGGTCGAGAAACTCCTCAAAATATTCACACTTTTGCCATTATCAGTCATCGAACAGGAAATCATGCCACGCCAAGAGCAAGACCCTGGTGTAAGATTAGCCCAACGTGTCCTAGCTCGAGAAGTTGTTGATTTGATTCATGGTGTCGGCACTGGGGATGAAATGGCATTCGTAACTGGGTTTTTATTCCCAACCCCAGATCAACCATATAATAACGTTGTTAGTGCTGAGAAATTGATTAAAATATTCCGGAAATCAGGTATTTTGGTCACGATAAAACTTGATGAATTAGATCCAGAAATTAGATTGAGTAAATTGTTAGCTAAGATCACCAAAAAATCTAATCGTGAGATGAGACAATTGATTAAATCGGGTGGGGTATATTTGGGATTGGAAAGAGATCAATTTGAAGATCCTGATGATGTGGTTTTGTTTGATCCAAAACATCATTTGATTGAAGAGAAGATGATGTTGGTTAGAGTGGGGAAACAGAATTATTCTGTGGTTGAATTTGTATAGACAGCTGGAAAAGTGAATATATTATATAGACATTTTAGGGAGTATTGTTTTGCTAGGTGAAAATTGTATATAGAAAATTAAATGAATACGTTTTACATGAGTCTCTGGCTTGCATTGATGTACAGACCTACATGAAGATCATTATTTTGGAACCACTTCCAATGTACCATTGGGCTGAGTCTAATCCATACTACTCTTGACCAATATGTCTCCTTTGCTCTCTCCCAACTTCAAATTCTGGAGTCCGCATCATGTAAAATATTTCCTCTTTCCAAGGAGTTGGAGCTCAGGATGCTGTGACAACAAAGCTTAATGATGGCTTCTGTCTCTTATTACTAATTTTGACAGTTTGATGCTCCTAAAGCCGACCAAGTTGCCTAAAGCTATCTTTAGAGAATGAGTAAGATTCAATATAATGTTTTGGAACCCAAAAGTTCAATCTCCTAATGCGCTGGGATTCACCAATTGTTAATGAAAGTTTTCCTGGAGTACAATGTATTTTGCTGGAGCTGTCGCACCTGATCAATGAGACAAATCTTATATAACTTGTTTCTGCAGTCAAACAACATCTCCCAACGTCAACTAGATGTAGTTTTATTCTTTTGTTTTAGTGTCTTCCGGAAATATGATATCCTGTTTACCAAGGGTGTTCTTTCACAGTCTTGCTTTGACCAAGGGTTGCGACATTTTTTGCAACCTAAAAAAGCGCAATTTTTAACTTAACAACTCACTTGCCTCAACGTTCAATATTGTGAGATATTATTTTTATGCATGATACGGAGTTAATGCATTATATGCATAATATGCATATACTTAATGCATCACATACATATAGGTGAACACCTCTTATATCAACAGACCCCTCAAAAATGACTTGCATAATTCCGTTATTTGGAGGCACTGAATCTGAACCCCCCCTCTGTGTGGAGGAACCAGAAATACACAAAATTAGCAGAGAACGTAATAGCAGTCTGTATAAAAGTTTCCCAACTAAAACCAAAAGGAATGACATTGAAAATGAAAATTTTTATTACTTAGCACCCACCAAATCATCACAATAGATAAAAGTACTCCTTGTCGCCGTTAATTTCCTTAGATCACGACTACAACGACTTCATCCGGAAATGGAATTATCGGTGGAGTATTTAACGAAGTGAGTACAACTACAAACTTAATTGCAAACTAAACTGATATCACCTATGGTTTTCTTTTTTTCCAATAATTGTTCCTCACATTAATTGAATAAATTTGTTGATAGTATTTTTCTGTAATTGAATTTATATTTATTTTATATGAATCATAAAAATGAAACTAATAAAATGGAATTAAATTATATCGCAAAAAAAAAAAAACCGGGACCAATTGAAAGCACATAAACAATGATGATGTCAACAGCAAAGTAATTTTTAATTCTACAATTGTGTACCCCTATGAGCCTTCCTCGGTATATCCCTTTAACTCAAGCTTTTACTTACAATTAATTGTTAAGGAAAATGAACAACATTGAAGTTAGGAAATGTCGGAGATGTAAAAAGCAGAGACTGGATGATGAACCAGTCGAAGCTAGACAATTCAAAACGTGCCCAAGCTGCCGTCTCCATGAGAGTCAGAGAAATAAAGAAACCCGAAAACAAATCAGAGAGAGGCTTCATAGTGGACTTAGGTTATGTACCAGATGTGGGAAGGATAGACCAGATGATGAAGCAGAGGAAACCAGAAAGTTCAAAAATTGCTTGACATGTCGTCTCTATCAACATCAACGAGAGAAAGAAATCCAAAGGCAAATCAGAGAGGGCTTTGGTAGTGGTGTTAGGCTGTGCACCAGGTGTAGAAAGTCTAGACCCGATGATGAAGCAGAGGAAACTAGAAAGTTCAAACAGTGCTCGAGCTGCCGTGTCCAAGATAGCCAGCGTGGGAAAAGGCGCAATAGAAAGATTCAGGAGAGGTTCAATCGCGGACTTCGGATATGTACCGGATGTGGAAAAGATAGACCATACGATGAACCAGAGGCCAGTCGAAAGTTCAAGTGTTGCTCGACATGTCGTCTCAGACGTCAACGATATAAAGAGACGAGAAAGAAGACTCTAAATCGCGTCGCTTTAGCTTGTCCCACAGCAGTTGAATTACCCAGTGTTGATAAGCAATTGAGTATAGAGTTAGGTGGTCAAGATGCGACCTCCGGTAGCCCTCCGGTTCAGTCACCAGGCAGGATTGCACATAATCAAAAATTTACCATACACTCTCCAGGCACCGATAATGAACAAACGTGCCCGCGTTCTCTTGAAGCAGGGGAGATTGCTCTCCAACAAGAGATAGAAGATATTCAACCACAGTACGCGACGCTCGAAAGGAATCTAATTACAAGAGCTCTGAGAGAACCAAACAATTTATCGGCTTACCACTGTATACAACTGGAAGTAGAAACCATTTCAAGCGGTAAGGCTGAAGATAGCGAGATCTCCGAGGAAACTGAGATGATTAATCCCTCTTCTTCAGATTTCCTTGAAACATTGAAGCCAGATCCTGAATTACAATCCGAATATCGAAAGTATTTAGCCAACGATGATCTCATGGGTTTTCTGGAGCGTTATATTTCCGATACGATGGACAAGTATGATATTTGTAGAATGATCGTCGCATTAGGTTATCCTAAAGAAAGTATAAAGGATTATATACATCTCACGGTGACTGAGACTCTTGAAGTTTTAATTGATTTGATTCGCGAAGACTTTTTCCAAGAGTCTGATGTATGAATAAGCTCGTTAAAAAATCGCAGATTTAGTTCAATGATTAATATAGAATCTACGGTATTAAGTAAACAGCTCTAAAGTAGATAATTTATTTATAAATTGAATACAAGGTATATTTTGTAATCGATAATAAATAAACTCTACATAATGTAGATACACAAAGATCCTGGGATCAAAAATATACGGAAATACTCCGTAAAGCTATGTTGATAAAATAAAAGCACAGCGTGTTGGACTGTCAGTGGTAAATACACGGCTTGAATATGCACTGTGATCAGTCAAGTTATGAATCACTCTGACCTAGTCCCGTTGGCATGTAAAGTTGGGGTCATAAGGATATTATTATTACGACAATAACACGACCAATGAAAACCACACAAATAATGTTGACAACAAAGCAATTTTTAGTTCTACAATTGAGTACGCTTATAAGACTTCATAGGGATATCCCTTTAACTCAACCTTTTACTTCCAATTAATTATTATGGAAAATGAATCACTCAGAAGTTAGGATATGTCTGAAATGTAAAAAGGAGAGACTGGATGATGAAACAGAGGAAGCAAGGAAGTTCAAGACGTGCACCAGCTGTCGTAGCTATATTCAGCAGTCTACGAAAAAGCGTCAAAAACAGATTCAAGAAAGTTTCAATAGTGGACTTCGGTTATGTATCAGATGTGGGAAGGGGAGATCAGACGATGAATCAGAGGAAACAAGGAAGTTCAAAATGTGCTCCAGCTGCCGTACCAAACATACTCTGTATCGGAAAACGCGTCTCAGAAAGATTAAGGAGAGAGTCAATAGTGGACTTCGGATATGTACCAGACGTAGGAAGGCAAAGACGGATGATGAGGCAGATGAAACTGGGGAGTCCAAATTATGCTCCAGCTGTCGTCACCATGTTTACCAGTATACGCAAAAGAGCCAAAGAAAGATAAAGGAGAGTTCCAATAGTGAAGTTAGGTTATGTACCAGATGTGGAAAGACGAGACCTGACAATGAACCAGAAGCTAACCGAAAGTTTGGGTATTGCTCACCGTGTCGCCGCACTTACCGCCAGAAAGCGAAAGAAATCCAAAGAGAAATTACAGAGACTTCAATTAATGGAATCAGCTTATGTACAAGGTGTGGAAAGGAGAGACCAGATCATGAACCAGAGGAATCCAGAAAGTTCATGAATTGCTTGGTGTGTCGTCTGGCTGATCGTCAACGCAAAAACGGGATTGGAAAGAAGACTCTGTTTTGGGTCACACTACCTTATCCCAACGACATCCAATTACTCAATTCTGATACTCAATCGAATATAGAGTCAGCCGGTCGAAATAAGTCCCTGTTTTGGGTCACACTAACCTATCCCAAACGAGTCCAATTACTCAGTGCTGATACTCAATTGAGTATAGAGTCAGGTGTTAGAGATGCTACATCCGATAGTTCCCCTGTTCAATCACCTTCCAGGATTGCACAAAACCAAAATTTCACCATACAGTCTCCAAGCACCGATAATGAGCAAACGTACCCCCTTTCTCTGGAGTCAGGGGAGATTTCACTCGATCAAGAGATAGCAGATATTCAACCACAGCACGCGATGCTCGAAAGCAATCGAATTGCAAGAGCCATGAGAGATCCGAACAATTTGTTGGCTTATTACTGTATCGAGCGGGAAGTGGAAGTCATCTCATGCGGTGAGGGTGAAGATAGCGAGATCTCCGAGGAAACTGAGATGACCAATTTCTCCTCTTCAGATTTCCTTGAAACATTGAAGCCAAATCCTGAATTACAATCCCAATATCAAAAGTATTTAGCGATTGATGATATTATGGGCTTTCTGGAGCGTTATATATCAGACACGATGGACAAGTATGATATTATTAAAATGATCGTTGCTTTGGGATATCCCAAGGAGAAGATAAGGAATTATAAACATCTCACGGCGACTGATATTCTTGAAGTGTTAATTGATTTGATTAATGAAGATGTTTTGCAAGAGGGTAATGTATCAGGAGAGCAAACGAGTTAAAAAGATCGTATATTTAGCTAAATAATTAATTTGTAGTAGCTACGTAGTTCTAAAGTACGCAAACAAATTGTGGTATATATTACCAAGAGCTGAGGCAAACCTGCTATGTCTATCATCATATAATAAAGAAGTTTCGAATGTGGCTGGAAATATAGATGGATCAGAAACCAAACCCATTGAGCTTGACATGGTTTGGGCAATATTCTGATTAAATGTTTGCTGAACATTGATACTAGGTGGTGACAATGCATCCCTGTTGTTGTTTCTCGTATTGTTAACAGTCAGTCTATTTTGGTTTCTATTACAGGTTGTTAACAGTCAGCCTATTTTGGTTTCTATTAGGGGTCCAGCTGATCACTGGATCTATTTTCTCTATCGATTAGAGTCGTACTGTATTTTTCAAATGAGACTTATGTTGTTTAGCCACCATTATTAATTGCTGCAAAAAATTTACTAACAATTTAGATTACCGGAAAATCAGTAAACACCGAACTTATAGTTTAGTCAGCAACATAATTCTAGACAACCATATCTGAGGAATCTACTATACTCTACAATCCAGATTATAGTAATACAAGTATGGCCACAATTTGAAAGTACATATCTCTCCGGAGATAAACAACTCTTGAACGGAAATAACAGTCTAGAACGAGATCTATTTTTTTTTTGCGGCGCACAGCCTTGGAACGTAATGGATTACATTTCTATTTAACGGAACGGAACAGTCTGTCTAAATAATTAGGGGAACCTAACTTATAATCCTAATAGCCGAGGACATAGCCATCGTTCAGATATAATTATCCTTTTTTACGAAGTTTTATTTAAAGTTATTGTGGATTTGGATAATGACTATGACGTATTTCACAACGTTTTCTGTAAATTTACTAAAAATATCACAGGGACCAAAAAAAAAACGGACTGAATTATAAAAATTATAAATAGTTTTACTTCTTTCTCTTTCTCTATATACCTTTTGAGTTTATCAATTGATTAATCAAATAACACGCAATAATGTCAACATTCCATGAATTAACACCAAAAGATGCCAAAGGAGAACCATATCCATTTAGTAATCTTAAAGGTAAAGTAGTTGTAATTGTTAATGTGGCATCTAAATGTGGTTTTACTCCACAATATAAACAATTAGAAGAATTAAATCAAAAATATAAAGATTCAGAAAATGTTCAAATATTAGGATTTCCATGTAATCAATTTGGACATCAAGAACCAGGAACAAATGAAGAAATTGCTGAATTTTGTAAATTAAATTATGGAGTTACATTTCCAGTTTTAAATAAAATTGATGTTAATGGTAATGACGCTGATCCTGTTTATCAATTTTTAAAGAGTAAAAAAAGTGGTGTATTAGGATTAAATAGAATTAAATGGAATTTTGAAAAGTTTTTAATTGATCAAGATGGGAATGTAATTGAAAGATATAGTTCATTAACTAAACCTTTGGATCTTGCACCAAAGATTGATGAATTATTAGCAAAGAAGTAAGATATAGACCCTTCAACGGGGGTATGAGGGGTTCATTTAGTGTAGTATTCTATATATAGTTTGTTTATATGATTTAATTAATTGATAATAGGATTTTATTGTTACTGTAGCTGTTTCCAATTGCATATAATAGGACACAATAGAACAAGGGCATAACTTTAAGAACATCGTGGAAGCCATAAGTGTGGTTTAGAAACAATCTTGGGTACGGCATATAAGTCCATTATAATTATAATTGACAATATGGAGAGCTTCAATTCATTACGTAATCAAGAAGAAAAAAGAATCCAAAAGAAAAAAATCTCGTCATTTATTTTTTTGTTCTTTGGGATTCTTTTAAATTTCCAACAAAAATAAAACAATTTCCCCCAACTTCTTTTGTTTCTTTTTTAGGTACATTAAATCTAATCACATGATCTTACACAATACATACTATAAATTTTATTATGACTGATTTAAACGACAACGCCTCCCCTTTTTTAAATTTCTCTTAACTCTAATACTTTTATTTAAAGAACACACGATCATTTAATTTATTTTTACAACCATCACCACTTTTTTCTTACAACACATTTAATCAATACAAACTAACAAACTAAATCTACTCCATCTATCAAAATAACCATTAGACTTTTGTTGTACTATTTTGTATATACTTGTAATACTATAGAGTGTAGTCTTAATAAAGTCTAACTACCCAACCCCAACCCCCCTACCAAACCAACCAACTACATCCCAAACAACCAACCTATACCCCTATTTTCTTTTGTATTTTTTTTATTTTGTTATTATTATTCCTAAATGTATACAACAATTAAGCAACTTCAATCAGGTTCATTTGGTGAAGTATCTTTAGCTAAAGCTAAAGATGATACTAATCAATCATTAGTTTGTATCAAATCAATGACAAAGAAGGATTCAACTATTAAAGAAATTGCATATAATGAAATTTCAATATTAAAACAATTAAATCATCATCCAAATATTTGTCAATTAATAGATTCTTATGAAGATGATGACAAGATATATATAGTATTAGAATATTGTTCACAAGGTGATTTATATGATTTAATTCATTCAACTACTTTAACTGATAAACAAATTCTTAATTTATCAAATCAATTAATTGACGCCATTACATTTGCCCATTCAAGAGGTATTTATCATCGAGATATTAAACCTGAAAATATATTGATTGATTCTCATGGACAATTTAAATTAGCTGATTGGGGTTTAGCTACTACTATTGAATATAATGATGAATTTAATGTGGGGACTGATAAATATATGGCACCTGAATGTATGTCATCTTTAAGATCAATACAACCAACTACTTATGATTGTAAATATGCTGATTATTGGTCTGTTGGTATAACTTTATTAACAAGTATATTTGGTACTTGTCCATTTAAAACAAATTCACAAAATAAATTAGATTCAAATTTTAAGAATTTTGTTGAATTAAATAATTTACATATATTATTTGATATTTATCCAAATATGAATAATAATTGTTTTGAAATATTTGTTAAGAATTTATTAAAAATTGGTACTGATGATGATGATTTAGATAATTATAATTCAAAAATTAAATCAAGAGATTTAAATAAATTTAAATCTGATTTAAATAAAAATTGGATTTATGGTTTTACCCTTGATGAATATGAAGAAGAAGAAATTGAACCTGAAGATATCTCATCAACTCATGAAGATCAATATGTATTCAACATGGATGATGATGATGAATATAATGAAGAATTCAACCAACTCTCATCCAACCCAATCGACTCCTCATATCCAATTATATCCACCTATCCAATCACAACCATCCTCAACACCACTACCTCCACCACCACGCATAACCAATCCCACTCCTCCCCATCTGAAACTGAAGAAGTTGGAGAACCAATGGTTAAATTACCAAGCTTAGTCAAATCATCATATCAATCCAGTGGACAATCATATCATTCTTCACAATCTTGGTGTGATTTGGATGAAGATGAAGGATTTAATATTGAATTCGAGATTATGAGAATGAGTTTGAATGGTGGTAAGCTTGGTGGAATTAAGATTAATGAAGTTGAGATATTAGAAGAGGAATCTGAAGTTGCATAAAGATGACCCGTAGGGTCATCGTAATTAATGGCCGTAGGCCATTATAATTGACTGAAGGTCATCTTTCCATGGGGATGGCCCTTGGCCATCCAATTGAAATGAATGAATTAGAAGAAGAATGAGGGATTGCATAGAACGATGATGACCCCTTTGGGGTCATCAATTGAATGAATGTTACGAATATGAATAATTATGGGAACTCCTACAATCACAGGAGTAGGACAATTAAGGGAGATACGCTTTTTTTATAAATTATTAATTATGAATGATTTTATTAGATTTTTATTTTTATTTTATTATCTATTAGAAATGTTGTTGTTGTTATCGATGGTTTTTTATTTTTATATTGAGTTATTATGAAGAGAGAGTTTAGGCATATAAAGTTAAATAATTAGGTTTTACTTTTGTATATATTGTTTTTTTTTGAATGAATAGTTCGTCTTTTTTTTTTAATCCAATCAATCTTGTAGATATTCATGGTTGATGCTCTTATGTGGGGAATATGGATCTAATTTGCCATCCCACGGTCTGATGTACCCCTTGACATATTAATCGGTCAAAAATTCAGGGCCGTTATATATCATCTAGATCAAGAAGAATGGAACCTCCACCCGAAAATCAAATTCAGGACCTGAACCGGCGAAAACTGAACGAATGGCTTTTTTCCAGGGTGTTCCATATCTAAAAATTCATGATAGACACAAAATTTGATTTTGTGTTATATGGTGGTTATTATGACTCTTTGCGAATTTGTGATTGGTTTCATCGTTGGCTGAGTCATTTGGAAGAGCAAGAGAGAGAGAGTGGTGTGGGTGAACGGAAGAGAACTGGTGACGAATTGAAAGGAATCGTGAGTGGGAAGAAGTTATAAGGGAGAAAATGAAATGCGATGTAAATTTATGATTGATAGTAGAACGCATAGTATAAGGGCTAGTCAGGCAGTTGGTTGAAATAATTATTAATGAAAAGTAAATTGCAAAAAGATTGATCTGATCCCATCCGTAATTCCGAAATTGATTTTCATAGAAATAGGCATAATTCCGGTTTTCGCGCCTGTAAACGGTATACACTATATGCAGTACCCAACCAAATTAAGAAAAAAAATCATTTTTCAGTCATTTTGAAAATTTCAACAAAAATTTTTCAACAGCATAAATATCCCTTGAAATTCTCCTCACTTTTTTTCTTTTTAATCTTCTTCTTCTTTTCAATTCATTCAAAAAACAACTCAATTGATCAATTAATATCAACCATGTCTATGAGAACTGCTTCTATGCGTATGGCTACTAGATTAGCCGTCAGACCAACCGTCTCCAAGAGAGCTTTACACATGTTAGCCAATGCTGTTGCTCGTCCAACTACCTACAAGGCCATTACTCCATTTGGTACTCGTGGTGTTAAGACCATCAATTTCGGTGGTACTGAAGAAATCGTCTATGAACGTTCCGATTGGCCAAGAGAAAAATTATTAGAATATTTCAAGAATGATACTTTAGCTTTAATCGGTTATGGATCTCAAGGTTATGGTCAAGGTTTAAACTTGAGAGATAATGGATTAAATGTCATTATTGGTGTTCGTAAGAATGGTCAATCTTGGAAGGCTGCTGTTGAAGATGGTTGGGTTCCAGGTGAAAATTTATTCGATGTTACTGAAGCTATTCAAAAAGGTACCATTGTTATGAATTTATTATCTGATGCTGCTCAATCTGAAACTTGGCCAACTATTAAACCTTTATTAACTGAAGGTAAGACCTTATACTTCTCCCATGGGTTTTCTCCAGTTTTCAAGGATTTAACTCATGTTGAACCACCTTCAAACATTGATGTCATTTTAGCTGCTCCAAAGGGTTCAGGTAGAACTGTTAGATCTTTATTCAAGGAAGGTAGAGGTATCAACTCTTCTTATGCCGTCTGGAACGATGTTACCGGTAAGGCTGAAGAAAAGGCTATTGCTTTAGCTGTTGCTGTTGGTTCTGGTTATGTTTACCAAACCACTTTTGAACGTGAAGTTAATTCCGATTTATACGGTGAACGTGGTTGTTTAATGGGTGGTATTCACGGTATGTTCTTAGCTCAATACGAAGTCTTGAGAGAAAATGGTCATACTCCATCTGAAGCTTTCAATGAAACTGTTGAAGAAGCTACTCAATCTTTATACCCATTGATTGGTAAATATGGTATGGATTACATGTACGATGCTTGTTCTACTACTGCCAGAAGAGGTGCTTTGGATTGGTATCCAAGATTCAAGGATGCTTTGAAACCAGTTTTCGAAGACTTATATGAATCTGTTAAGAATGGTTCTGAAACTAAACGTTCTTTAGAATTCAATTCTCAAGTTGATTATAGAGAAAAATTGGAAGCCGAATTAAAGACCATTAGAGAAATGGAAATCTGGAGAGTTGGTAAGGAAGTTAGAAAATTACGTCCTGAAAACCAATAAGCGTGTCGAGTTTGTTGACGTTGAAAATATCATAATGGTCTTATGAATGACTTTTTTTATTAATAATAATGTTTTATTTATTCAATTCTTTTTTATGGGTTTTGTTTTAATTTTTTTGTATCTTTTATATATTTAGTATTTAGCATTAGGGGAAACATTTTATGTTTGTTGAATAAACAATTTGTTCTCAAAAGTACTTTATGTGGAGTTTATCAATGTAGTAGTAAACCATACCGTATGTTGGTTGTTAATTGGAAATGTCGTATAATTAAAACTTTTGTGTGTCTATCGTTTAGTGTCGTATGTCGTATACAAAAGTGGTAAATTGATAAGAGAGAGGTTGCTAAGAAAAATCATTCATTTTTTGTTTTTTTTAGGCTGGTGAATTTACAACCATCAAGTTTGCTACCATACATTCCCCCCAATTTGCAATCTGTGATTCAATCAAGTTAATCGTATAAAATCATCAATTGATTACTCCAAATACTTTCATATATATCGTTCCCATCCCCCTCGAAAAAAAGAAATTAATAAACCATCCTTTTTGAATTTATCTGAAACCATCGCATCACTCATACTGAATCTTACTGCCTTATGCTGCTACCACTAAATGATCCAATTGAAGATGATGAAGATGCTTGGTCTTATTCATTTCCTTCTACTAATGGATCATTAGGATCTTCAAATGATAACAATAGTGACAATAAACAACCTGAATCTACGCGAAAACCTCCTAATGGAAACATCAGATCAAATAAGAATGGCCATACAATCACAAGATCAAATAATAATAATGGATTAGCAATCGAACCACTTTTAACAAGAGACGACAATAATTCAACAAATGATAAACCCACAGAAGTAGATCCAATAAAAGTAGTTTGCCAAGAATCAGGTCCTTTGAAATCTTCAATATCTTTACAATCTGCATTAGCTAAATCAGCACCCTTAGATCCTTTGATGACAAAAGAAGATGCCAATTCAATAATATCCAAAGAAGGAACAGATAGCAATATAGGATCTAACACTTCACCTACTGCACCTCAACGATTCCTAAATTCTATGAAAGAATTAAAAGAGTATGAAAACAGCATTATAGAAAAACAACAACAAGAACCACCCTCACCAAAAGACCCCCCATTAACCAAGGTTGCATCCCCAAAAATAATAACCTACAGGAAATCAAAACGAACAGTCAGCGATACATCAGGAATATTTACCAGCACAGCAACATCGTCCATGTTTTCTCCATCTTCGGCAACCCCTCCTCCCCCGCCACCCCCAAGTTCAAAATACGACACTCGTCTATATGTTGACGAAATTTATAAGGATACGACATATCACTTTGCAACCATGAATCGTAATGTCGATTTTCATCAAATATTCCCTTCGGTAGATTTAACCGATCGATTATTGGATGATTTTGCTTGTGCATTAAGTCGAGAAATATTATTACAAGGAAGAATTTACTTGACTGAGAATTATATTTGTTTTAATTCGAATTTATTGGGGTGGGTTACGTCATTGGTTATAACTATGGATGAAATCATCCGGATTGAGAAGAGATCGACGGCGGGGTTGTTTCCGAATGGAATTGGGATTGTGACGAGGGATGCAAAACATATTTTTGCCAGTTTTATATCAAGAGATGCCACTTTTGAGATGATGGTGGCGGTGTGGAAGGGTTCAACTGGAAGAGAAAAGTTTGAAGAAGATAGACCCGACGAAGGAGATGGAAAGAGTAATGATGGGAAAGAAAATGGTGAACGACGGATTAGTGATGGTCTGGCTGTAAGCGAGACAGCTCAAGCTGATTTAAATTCAAGTAAAATTGAATCCTATATAATGACTATTGACGGCGATGACGAAGCCGAACGACATACAAGTGAAGAAGGAAGTAATGATGAAAGCGAATATGAAGATGATGACGAAGATTACGATGACGACGATAATGACGAACAACAAGAAGACATAGAAGAACTTACAAAAATACAAACTCCCCCTTTGAAAAAGCAAAAGGTTACCACAACAACAACAGCTGCCACCAGAATCCTAAAACTCAAACCGGAATCCCTTTACAAAAACAAAGGACCCGATGTACATTCCCCCACCAAAGCCCGAGTTGAAAAAAACCCAGCTGAAGTTGAACTCGCAGATGAAATAATCGACGCACCTATGGGTGTCGTATTTGCAATCCTATTCGGCCCCAATCCAAAATTCCAACTCACCTTCCTTGAATCTCATGACGGATCAGAAATATCCCCATATGGAGAATTCTCCCCCACCGAAGAAGATCCAACCATATTACAACGCACCTTCACCTACAGACGTGCGCTCGGATTCCCCATTGGACCAAAATCAACTCGATGTAACGTGACTGGAACCATCGAACATTTGAATCTATCAGATTATGCCGTAGTTGTGAGCACGACAAATACTCCCGATGTGCCCCTGGGAGGATCATTTTCAGTTAAGACGAGATATGTCTTCAGTTGGACTACTGAGAATAAGACAAATTTGGTGATTTCCCATTTGGTGGATTGGAATAGTCGATCATGGATGAAGAATGTGATTGAAAAACTGAGTTTGTCAGGTCTGAGTGCGATTACTAAGGAGATGATGGAGGAGTTGAAGAAGGAGATTAAGGAGAATACATACTATATCGATGGACCTCCTGTTGCGGCCGAGGCAGGAGAAGTGGCTGTGGTGGCAACTAAAGAGAAGGCTGCTAAGAAGGTGAAGGCTGCTAAGATAAGTAAAGCCAAACCTGAAGTCGCTGTCGTGTCGGGTGCTAATCAACTTATTAGGAATAATATTGTCATTGTGTGTTATTTGTTATTATCATTCTTGGTTCTACTTTTGATCCTACAATTGAGATTATTTAGAGTTGTGAATGAGACGAATGAAATATCTAAAGGACAATTAATCTGGTTGAATGCTCAATTAACATATGCTATTTTGCGATTACAAGGGGATAATCAATTAGTTACGAAATTTGAGGAAGTACAGAAAGATAACAAATTATGGAAATGGACCAATAAAGAATTTGGAAAAGAATTATCACCGGTTGAGAAGTTTGAATTTTTGACATCGCAATTACAGGGTATTTATCAAGAGAATAACGAGAAGAATTTGAAGAATCTGAAGACAAACAAGAAGAAGGAACTGCCGCTCGATCAATTGGGTGACTTTCTCGATCTGGTAATCAATAATCAGGACCTCGATAGTGTTCGCAGGTTTATTAAAGAGTTATTGTAAGAATGCCTAGATATCAGATGCATTTTTAATTTTTGACACGGATATAGAAATTCTTCAATGTATATAAATGTATTTATACATACATACCCGGGTTTATCGCTAATTCTATATACACGATTCTCTTTTTGTATGCACACCATGCTCTCTTTCTCTCTCCTGGCTCGCTTCAACATACTCTCAATGAACTATCAACATCTTCAGTTTGGAACCTTTCTACAACATCCACATTCTCAATAGTATGAACCAATATCTTAGTATTATCATCATTCAATTCAAATATAAACAACCCCGAAATAACCCTCTCCAATTTCTTTGGCTCTTTAGTCAATCCCATCAAAGTCTTCGGCAATCTTCCCAAAGCACCCGTCAAATATGACAACTTGGCATTACTCTCCTCCCCATTCCCTCCATGATGATTTTTAAATAATTTCATCGTATCCAGTTTTGACCACCTATGTGAACCCAAATGCGCATGCGAAGTTGAATGAAAATCCCCTCCACCATTATCTTCATCAGATAATAAATGAGGACAACCTTCGGCACAAGTCGACCAGCGAACAAATATCTTAGTAGTATCCTCCAACATCGCCTGGGGATCTGGTCCATCATGGATTCGTATTGATTGAATGTGGAGTTTTACTTTTGGACTCAATATTACGGAAGTTAAGAATAATTGAATTGTTTTACAAGTTGTATAATATGTGACATGACCTTTTAAATTAGGGAGATAATTTTCATCGAATTGAGATGGACAGATGCGGAGATGGATATGTGGTGATATGATTGATTTCTCGAGGGATTTTTCTAAGATGTTGGGAATTGTGGTTTTAAGCTGTTCAACTATTGAACCTAAATTGGCTTTCTTTTCGAGAACTTCTTTCTTGTGTTTGTCTTTGTTTGGATTTTGATCGAGATTAGATAACCTCGGTGATTGTTTGAAGAGTATATGCGATGATGCTTTGGCCCGTTGTTGTCCAATTGGGGTGTTTTTGATAGACGTTGCTTTGTTGTGGGGAATCATACCCCGTTGAGGGTGAATGCGGGTTTTCAGGGGAATGGCGGTTGTTGGATCATTGCTAATAATATGCTGTGATATTGAATTGGCTGCGATAGAAGGTGTGCAATTAGAAGAAATTCTAATTAACCTCTGAGAACACTCTCTACCTATCAATGACATGTAATATATAACGCTTTGTGTTAAGAGAAGAATGAATGAAAGAAAAGATCAAATAATAGACAAGCAATTTGTAATTTTAGCTTAAATTTATTTTTTCTTCAAGTTGGCAATTGAAAATTTAAGTACATGTACCATTGACTAATGAAGAATATCTAAAACTTCCTGTCTTAAGAATCATTTTCGATGATTAAAGAGTCAGCAAACTGAGTTAGGTTGACATTTTACCCACGGAAGAGAAGACACTTCAATATAAAGCAATTGTGAAATAATTCTAGATTCGCTAGTATCCGCGGCGATAACTAAAAATAGCGCAACCACCATTGTTCAGCACACCCCAAGGCAATATTCAGAGATAATAACTTTAGTTTATATTTCTAGATACTCCTAAAAAAGCATTCATATAAATAGAAAAACAGACACAAACAAAACACAATCATTGAGCAGCAGTAGCAATAGCAGGTTTAAATCCAAGTTCTAAATCACCCTATAAGGTTTCATACAACAATTCATTCAATCTATACTCTTCATTAGCTTCGTCAATATCATGCCAATTTCCAATCACATCATCACCTCTAACAACCCCAGGTAAGGTTTTTCCTTGCCCATATCTTCTCCAAATCTTTTTAGCTTCTTCATCAGTACCTAAATCACGATATGTAAATTTGATTCCATTCCCAGTTAAGATTGTAACTAATCGGTTTGTTCTATTTGTGATTTGCATCCCACCTGCTAACGAAGTGAAAAGATAGATTGGTTGCGATTCGAGGTGTTTACGAATTTCTTCCGGAGAAATTTCCAAGTCGTCAATAGAATCGTCGGCATCTGGTGCGGCGTCGGTCTTGTTTGGTTCTTCTTCGAGGGGAACTTCTTCCTTTACCAGTTTTTCCTTATCTTCTTCTGCTGCCTTGGGCTTTTCAGACGCTTCTTCAATTTTTGGTTCTACGTTGGCTTCTTCAGACTTTTCTTCAACTTCTGGTTCTGCCTTGACTTCCCCTTCGACATCTTTCTGAACCGTATCTTCTTTTGCTACTTCTTGCTTTTCTTCTTCTTCTTTGGCACCTTTCACTTCTTCTTCATTATCTTCTTTAGTATCGTCAACCAGTTTTGCTGAATCAAGCGGTTCTTCAAGTGCAGTAGCATATCCAGTAGTTTCAATTTCGTCATCTTCATTAGAAGGTTCTCCTGCTTGTTTTGTATCTTCATTTTCAACATCTTCTTCTTCGACAACTGATTCATCTTTTATTTCTGCTCCCTTTTTTTGTTCAGGTTCAGCTTCTTTAGATTCTGATTCAGTCAATTCAACCTTTTTAGATTCCTCTTCTGGAACTTCCACTTCTTCAGACACAACAGAATCTTGAATCTTTTCTTTTTTTGAACCATCCTCATCTTCTTGTTCATCCTTCGGTTCATCCTCTTCTTGAATATTTTCAATCTCATGCACATCCGAACCCTCATTCTTATTTCCCATCCCCAGTAAGACTTCCTCCACCATACTATCCAATTTATCAATACTTACATACGGGTCATCACTAATCAACGCCCCACCACTCACCAAATTATCAACATTGGCATCATTTTTCCCATCAAGTTCACTACCAGTAATACCACCAGTTGGACCCGATACAGTTACATTCCCATCCCTAGTCTGAGATCTTTCTCTTGCTCTTGAACGAGAACGGGAAATGGTACGTAAATAATTCGTGGCCGACGCCGATCTAGCAGCATACAAATTCCCAGTGGCAGGTAAATTATTTCTTGGATTATCAACTTCAAAATTCACATAATCACCAGTGGTGACTAAACTTGGATCTCTGGTTAAGGGGTGTTCATCATAATCTCCAACTCCGAATTTTGGAGCAGAGGCGATTGGGGTTCTTCTTGGAGAATAGATTCCAGTTGTACCTGCTGCGGCAGCTGCAGCTTCGGCTTGGAGTGCTTCTGCTCTAGCTACAGATTCTCTCATGGTTGGTCTGGAACGTCTAGAACGTCTGTCATCCTCTTCCTCGTCTTCTTCTACTACTGCTTCTTGTACTCCGTATTCATGGACAGATTCTTCTTCGGTAGTGCTACTCAATTGAGAAGTTGAAGTTGCAGCAGTGGCATTAGCTGGTGAGTCAGTACCGGCAAAATCGGGAGGCAATTCATAATTGGAAGGTTCTTCACGATTAGTATTCTTGTATGAATCACCACGAGCTAAATGAGGTTTCAATTGTCTAGTAGAAGGTGAAGTTCTTGAAGATGATCTTTCACCAGCATTTTTTGAAGAAGGATTAGCTGATCTAGATCTAGATCCTGCTCTTTCAGTATGTAAATAAGGGGCGTGCATAGTCTTATCCATGTGTACTAATCCCTCAGCAAGTGGTTTAATTGGAGGTTTGGAAATTGGAGTTGCAATACCACTAGCGGTATTTGATTTACTAAATGAACTTCCAGGTGTTCCTCTTTGGCTAGCTAAGGCGTCAAAAGAACGGGGTAATTTATCAAGATCATGAGATTGAACATTTTGCAATAATTCAGAATGATCTTTAATTTGATGTTCTAATTGATATTCAGATAAATTAGGATTTGAATAGAAAGCGGCATCAGCAGTAGCATCACTAACTCCAACACTTGCAGCTCCAACATTTCCAACTCCAAAACTTTGGGCAGGAGAAGGACCTGATGGTCTTTCAGATTCAATGTCTTCTTGTTGTTTTGGTTTTTCAATCACTTCTTGATTTTCCTTTTTGGAATCATCTACCTCCTTTTGTTGAATAGATGGTTTTGTTGATTCAGCATCTTGCTTAGTTAATAATTTAACTTCACTTTTAATAGTACCATCTTGTTCTAAGAAACGATCAAAATCTTCTTCAGAACCAAGCAAAGCACCTTCATTGATTAAATCATCTAAAGAAGCAGCAATTGATGGATTTAATAATTGAGAAGAAGTTCTTTCAGTAGTTGGTCTCTTTTTCGATGGTTTTTGTTTTGATGATTGATATTTTTCAGGATGAATATAATTATTATGAATTGAATCATCGGCTGATCTTAATGATGATCCGACTAAATGAGGTGAATCCTTTTGTTCTACTTCTTCTAATCTTTGTTCAAAATCCATTTTGCTTTTACTACTATAACGAGGGTGACCTTTGGGTGTTAAGTATTGATTGATTGATGTGTGTATATTTGAATGTGTAAATAAAAGTTTGTGTAAAGAAAATGTGGTTGCTAGTTTTAAATTTCGTTAAATACAATATTTATTTATGTGTGGTGTAATTTGGGGGCGGAAACGAAAGATAAGACAATAAATTGAAATTTATTAACAAAATTGAAAATTCTGAAAATTTTCTTTTCAAAAAAAGTCTTAACGTTTTTAGGAGAATAGAAAATGGATCGGTAGTTTGTTTATAGATACATTCTCTATGTATATCGATTATTAAGATACGCTAAGGCTACCCTAGTGCAAGTATATATTATAGTAATTGGTTGGACTTCTGCGCCAACAAACTCGCGGTAGGAGAAGAGGGAGAGTACTTTTGGTTGTACATGTAGTCATATTTACGAAATTAGAGTATGACCATTTTCTTAATACGTGAAGATTGATTACATATCAAAGCATGTAGCCATTCAAGGTAAGGACATACGGATCAATCGTGGTTGGCCAAGAAACAAAAAAGGGTTGATCGATACAAATTTCAAGTGTAGAATATCCAACAGAAGGGAATACTCTTCAGAAGGGGGCGGATCTCTATTTGAGTCATATCCTTACTTCCGAGTATACCAAACGCCAAAATCGACAATGTGTCAATGCACTACAGATTATAACTAACAAGTCGAGAAATCCAAACAGTGTTACATTTTCCATGAAGGTGATTGGTTAAAGGGGATCGGTTTTCCATGTGATAAGATAAGGATTGAAAAATTATTTAGATCATATGACGTAGAAAATTCATACAAGACAAACGCCCTGTTTCAAACGTGCCTATAACTATAAATACTTTTCCAAATCCTTCACAATGTTGTCTAGAATCATCAGCATTAACCCTGGACCTAGAAGTCAATTTACCCTGGTATCTTGTCGGGTCCTTGACTGGAATCCCGGAGATCAGAGACAAGGGATAACCTGCAAAACTGACCGGGGCAAAAAATATATTTTGCACTTTCCCAAAGAAATTGTTTGACGTTGAGTTTGACTCCAAGCAAAAGGCTCACTAAATGTGTGACACTCATTGAATATTATAGAATAGCTAGAGAAATCTCTACTGGAGATAGTAACAGCCAAGGTAGAACACAAATAAGCGTAGTCATATCATAATGTTGGATTCCCCCCTGGAAAGAATACGAAAAGAGCGCGGAAAACTTGAATTAACAGTTCCAAGTTATCAGGATATTTCTGCTGAAAGTTCTCAAGGAGCCTAAACCATGCTCTACAGATAATAATGTTACATTTGTTACAATGAGTTTGAACAGATATATTTGTTAAGAGATTTTTTGCCACCGTGGGTAGGGCTACCACGTGCATGAAACCATTTTTAGGCGAAACTTCCGTCATCCGCTTACGGCATCATGATTGAATTTCTAATAAAAGTATTTACATGACCATAGAGTATTGTATTGAATGACCTATATAGCCTTCTTTTAGGAATTGTACATTATATTTTACATGTAATTCATGACCAATTTTAAGAAGGAACTTCGGAACCTAAGCTGAGAAGTTCCGTGGAACTTCCTGCATATAACTTCTTTTTTTTGCAGTTTGTTCCTTCTAGTACATTCGCCTTCAATTTCTTTTTTCGCCATTAAAAAATTTTCTATTTAAATAAAGATCAAATTACTTTCTATAAACTTTTTTACACTTTCCATTCAACCATCAACATTAACTAACATAACTAACAATGGCCAGACAAAGAAGATCAGCTCCAGCTCCAAGAGCAAGAACTCAAACTAGATCAGCCCACACCGCCGCTGCTCCAGCTGCTGCCCCAGCTCAACCACATTACCCAGCTGCTCATCCAACTGCCCCACCAGTACAACAAGCTCAACAACCAGGTTTATTCGCCCAAATGGCTTCCACTGCTGCGGGTGTAGCCGTTGGTTCCGCTGTTGGTCATACTATTGGTGCTGGTATCAGTGGTATGTTTGGTGGTTCTTCTGCCCCAGCTGAAGCTGCTCCACAACAACAACAAGTTGCACCAATGCAACAAACTCAACAATATCAAGAACAAGCTAAACATTGTGATGCAGATGCTAGAAGTTTCACCAGATGTTTGGAAGAAAACAGTGGTAATATGCAAGCTTGTGATTATTACTTACAACAATTAAAAGCTTGTCAAGAAGCTTCTAGACAATACTAGACACCTACCAAAAGGCATATAAAATGAGTTGTATATAGAGACAAAGCTAATTATTTATAAATTTCAATTTTAATAAAACAATATTAAAAAAGATTAGTTTGGGTAGATTTGTATGTTTATTTTATCTTTTCTATTTATTTATACTTAACAAAGAAACATCCTTAGAGAAAACAACAGTTCAATTCACAAGCAAAGGAGCTTAGTCTATTAGTCACTCCTTTTAACCCTTTGGTGCAGCAACATCAGCACCACCCACATTAAGAACATCCCCAGTATTAATTTCCGGATTAATAGAAGTCTGGGTATATTTCAATCTTTCCGCTCTCTTTTCATCCTTACCTTCATTCTTTTTTGCTGCCGACTTCAAATGAACATCAATAGGTTTACTAGCCTTGTATTCAAGTGTTTCAGGAGCATTTTGAACATTAACCCCACCTCTAAGAACAGTAGCCTCATTAGCTTCTACTTTCATCGTCTTGCCAGCTTCTAAATTAAACAATTCTTGTTCAACGCTGGCTAATTTCTCCTGAGCAATATCTTGTTTAATTGCCTCATCGGTGAGCGCCGGAGCTTTGGGAGTATGGGTTTTAGGGATAAAATCATATCTGAATTCCCATTCATTGATTGAAGTTTGGGATGGTAATCTAATTGAATCCATGGGAGCAGAATCTCCTTTGGCTAATAAGCGACATCCGCAATAAAGAGTTCTAGTAGAACTGACTCTAGTTAATAGGGTCTTAGCAATTGAGTGTCTAATCATTTGATGTGAAATTAGTTTTCAATAAACAGCAAACAAAGAAAGTGAAGAAAGTGAAAACTGTACTTATCAACACTTTTTTTTAAGGTTAGCGTAAAAATTATGAAATTTCTGATTAAAGAGATTTTTATGGAAAATTATGCATGATTCCCTCGTTTCCTTACTAATGTTACACAAAACTATATTTAGTAGTGTCCCCCACATTTTTTTTGTAGGGAGCGTGGAGGCATTGACATAAAAACAATTTACGCCTCATTGGTTTTTAATTGAGACATTGTTCAATTGCTGCAAAATATGTTACATATCAACTACACTTTTTGTCATTGATTATCTACTACTATTGTATATATAATATATCTAAAAATATCAATTTTCAAAATATCAACAACTGCCTATATAAATATGTAATACGAAAACAAGAAACTCTACAAATCTTCTTAACTTCATCTACTTTGATCCAACAACTCTTCAAGCGTCTGACTTGGCGGGCGACGTCCACCATAACTATTATTATTACTGACCATTCGAGCATTATAACCATTATTATTATTGCCATAATTATTCGAATTCCCTCTATAATCATATAATCTAGATGTTGGAATCACGGTCTGACTTTCATGCATACTACCCAATTCCGTAGAATTATTATACTCCTCACTACCTCCCCAACCGGAAGTTCTATCAGATAATGGTGATTGATTATGAACACTAGTAGTACTATATCCTGGTCTAGTCATAGACATCCCTGATAAAGACCCATATGATCCATTATCATGCATACCTAACCCAACCACCGATCTTGAATATTGATGTTGTGAATGAGTTGGAGTATATCTTGAAGCCCGCTTATTTGAAAGTTCTAAAGTTGGACTAATAAATAATGATTGTTTATTATTATTCTGGCCAACATTTAATAAATTATCACGATATGCTCGACCTTGATTACTTGAATATTCATATTGACTACCGCCTCCTCCAACTGGCCCATATCCCGAATGGAACGATCTAGAATCACTACTGGTGAATTTACTATCGGAAGTACTATATCCATGAGCAAACGCCCCAACCATCCCTCCAGCCATACCTCCACCTGCTCCACCTCCGCCATTACCACCACCGCCATTTCCACTCGATGGTGAATAATCAGACAACAATTCCGAATTAAACACCCTATTATGGTTCATGAACTGATATACCCCCGTCTCTTTCTTCGCCCTCCGATTCGACAACATAGCAGTCACTAAATGATATGCAATAAACGCCAACAATAAAAACGCGATCACCGCTCCCATAACGATAAATACAGTATTGGTAGGCAAGGTCGACATACTCACATATGGATTCTGAACCAGCCCATCATCTTCAGGATCCGTACCTTTTCCCTGAGGCCCAGCGGGGATTTGGATCACATAAGTCATATATTGATCATCGGCATTCGTTAATGTTGGCATATCGAGGATGGCATCGGTGAGTGCAGGTGGGGGGTTGTTGTTGGAAGTTGCACTCACGGGTTTATCATCCACGGTTTCGGAAGTACTGGTGGTGGATACTGGAAGATCTGTTCTTAAAGAAGTGGTAGAAGTTGAACTTGAACTTGTCGTTGTTGTTGTTGGTCTTTCTTCGTCTTCATTATCACTATCGTTGTCACTATCCTCGTCATCACTATTGTCTTCTTGTGGGGTGGGTGTAGTGGTGGTACGTTGACTAGTGGTAGTAGGTGTCGTAGCTGGAGCTGAAGCGGTCGTGGTTGTAGGTTGTGTTTGTTGAGTGGTTGTGGCCGGTGCTGGGGTGTTTGTGGTTGGCGCAGCTGTTGTTCTTGGTGTTGTAGAAGTAGTTTGAGGAGTAGTTGACGTTGTTGCGGGTGTACTCGTTCTCGTAACGACTACCACTGTTGGGGTTGTCTGTTGATTATTATTATTTTGTGGTTCATCGTCTTCTTCTTCATCTCCGTCTGCTCTCTTCTTGTGCTGGCGATCTGGTGAAAACTTATTTACAACCTGATGAAATCGGTTTACTATTGAGTAGTGTGGTCTATTATTATTATTAACGATGATTTCTTGGTTATTAGTTCTATGGGTGTCTCCTTGTGATAATGGAGAAGCTAATGATATAGCCACTACAAATAGTAAGGTTGTAATCCTCATATTTGATATTCTGTATACCTCGTTAAGCGAATGATAATTAGTCAAAGTAAATGAATATAATATAAGATATATGTGTACCTAAAACAATACTAATAATTAATATCTACTTAAACAAAGAATCGCTAAATTATTTAAAACAAAGATGAATAGAAAAATAAAAACTCCATACAAATTTAAAATCAACGAATAAAAATTTTATCAAATGTTTTTCTTTTTTGAATCAAAACTTTTTAAAAGAGAGAAAGATTTATAAGTTATTTTTAGAAATGGTACTGTAAAGATTTCTTGATTAGTTAAGCTATTTTCGTATCCTGATGTAAAAATTATAGATATATAATTTCTTGGTATGATCCTGATATAAACTTCTATTCTTTTTAAGGGTGTATGATCCTAAGCTTTCTCTTTCCCACTATCGTAGTAGTTTCCTGTTCTGTGAAATAGGAGTAAAGCTACTTCATTTTATTTCTTTCTTCTTCTCGACGGGTTTGAATTTTCCGGGAAGCTTATTTAACTATATCTAGAATATAAAGTTTTATGTTTTATTACATGATTTTTTGGTTTTTTTTTTTTCTTAGCGTAAAATTCATTTTCAATCTGTTGCATTGGCATGCATATTTCAAAGAGGGTTCAAGATCAATAGAGGTTTACCAAATCAGTCTTTATAATCCAGTAATTTAGGTAATTAAGGTATGAGTGTAGTTTCAGATTGGTGTATTTGTGTAGTTCTGGTGTGTGCGTTGTTTTGGAATGGTTTGCAACTCTTGTTTTTCAATCATGTTGAAGAATTATTTTTTGAGTTTGAGGTTGCAAAAAAAATAATTTTATTGTAAAAGCCCACATTTAATAAAAAATAAATTAAAGGCTTAGAACTCAAAAAATATTTCAGACACGAAAATTAAATTTATAGACGCTGTTAAATTATAGACGCGTTTAATTAAATACACGAAATTGCAAAACTTTTTTACAAGAACATGTTTTTTATTTATTTATTAATAACCAATAATAATAATTTACTTATTTACATAACTTTACAAAATACTGCAACAATCAAAGCAACCAACCATTACAAACAAACATACAAACAAATACAATTCAAACCTTCCTCCCAACTAGAATCTCCAATTTTCATCCGCAGATTCAATCGCCCAAGTAAACTTCTCTCTTAAAGTTTTAGTAAACAACTTCTCAATTGGAACATCATACTTCTTCGAAAACATGACTGTTAATCTAGGATCAATATAATTCATCTTGGATGTACCCAACGAAACCTCTGAATTATCTTCTTTATCCTTCAATTGTAATGCAGTGGTAGTATATCTATTCTCAACTGTTTCAATCTGTTGTTTCAATTTTTCAACCGTGAGATTCTTATTAGCGATAACTGGTTTCCCAGTCTTTAATTCTTTCTTATATTCTTTTTCCAATTCATCAATCTTGGCTAATTTATCTTTGATATCTGCCTTAGTTAATAATGGTTTCTTTTCAATTTTTAATTTTTCATTATCACGTTCCAATCTCTTAAACACTTGTTCACGTTGTCTTTTGATAATAGTATGATGGATATGTTCTTCATCTTCCTTGACCAAATCATCAATTTCTTCAAAATATTTCATATCCTTCTTTTTTAATTTTGGTTCAAGTATTAAGATCATCTTTTTTAATCTAATCTTTTGCCATAATAATTCTTTTAATTTATCATTAATCTTTTGAATCGAATTCCCATGATTTTTCGAAACCGAACGCTGGTGATTACATAATATAGCCACGGTTCTATTTGCTGCATTAAATTTCACAACTTTTTCAGCCACAGTACCTTCATTAGGTATCAAATCCAATTGATCTTGCATGGTCTTGGAAGCATTATAAGTACGGAAAACTTTTGCCGATAAACCTTTCATATATTTCTGTAAGTGTTTATTTAAAAGACTAGGATTAATCCTATCAAATAAATCATCACCAGGTTGTTTTGGAGATTTTTTAAATATTCTTAAATTCTTAAATACTTGTTTATCAACTTCAACTTCTTGATAAAATCGAATAGAATCCTTACCCAAAAAATCAAAAATCACCTTATTGGGAGGTTTTAAAGTAATATGTTCAAATCTAAGAGAACAACATCCAACAGTATCAGCTTCATCATCCCCTTTTTCACCCCCGGCTCTTAATGCAAACACATCAATTAAATAAGTCGCCGTGGCCATTTGTCTATCCTGCATGACTTCAGATTTAAGCATCTTGGTATAATCTTTTCTAATTGCATCAATATGATGACGTAAATTTCTGGCAGTTTCAAACTTCTTAAAATCAGATTGTCCTTTAACGGATGAATTAGCGGCAAATCTCACATATTTAAATGAATCGGCAATATTTTCTTTCCACATAGCTAACCAAGTCACAGTATTATCATGTTTGATATCACCCCATTTATGACCAGCCGGTGGGTCAGGGATTTTGCAATCTTTACTAAGATTAAGTGTCACATCTTCGGGATATACTCTTCTTTTCAATTTCCCAGTCTTTGGATGGGCACCACGACCACGGAATAATCCTGGAGGTTCGATTCTGAAATTCCCCACAAGTTCTTTTCTTCCATTAAGATAACATGTTTTAAAAGGTTCTTCTAATTTTTCTTTTGCTAATTTGATGGCTTTCTTTTCATCTCTTGACATGGCTTTTTTCTCTTCTCGAAGTTGTTCAAAATATGCATACATTTTGGAGAAATCCAATTTTTCAAATGATTTAATTTCAACTCCATCCCAATTACATTCTTTTAATACTTGTTTGAAATCTTCAAAGAAATTCTTTTGAAATGTGGGGTTTTTGGCATGATCAGTTTCGACCATAGCTCCGAAAAATCCAGCAACTTCTTCAGCTGCCGGTGGGAGTGATACTGGTTTCCCATCATAATATAATTTGATATGAGAAGGTAATGGTTCATATTCTGGAGGAAACATGACCCCATTGTGATGTAGCAGTTCCCATTTTATTTCTCCATCTAAATCTTGAGCTTCCCACCATTTATAAGTTTCTTCTGATTCTTCCTCATTGCCATTTTCTCTTTGAGAACCTGGAGTCAGAGGAGTTTCTTCTTTAATTTCAGCTTTTATAGATGATGGTGATGACTTGACTTTTGTAGCCTTCTTAGCTGTTGCTGATGCTGTTGCTTTCTTTGGAGTCAGTGGTGTTTCCTTTTTCTTTGCAGCTTTCTTTGTCTTAGTTGTACTTTCAGTTTTGATTTTTTTAGTTGGTGAAGACTTTGTTGATCCATTCTTGGCAACCTTTCTCTTTTTTATGGTAAGCGTATCATCCTCACTATAATCGTCATCTTCATCCAGACTTAGTTTCTTACGCGTACTAGTATGTTTTCTAGCAACTTTATGTAATGGTAAATCATCATCTTCACTTTCGTCGTTTATAGAACTTGGAGATGTTGAAGTATTTCCATTTATACTATTATTGCTGTTAATTCTGTTAGTTCTCTTTGGAATTCTAGAAAGAACAATTTCATCTTCATCTGAAGAATAACTCATTGGTGGAACAATATTCAAGCGTATGTTTGGTGTTTGAATTCTTGAGGAAATTGAAGTAGCTGAAGTAGTAGCAGCAGATGATGATTGTAGGGTTGAGTAGAATCTCTTTTGATATGAGCAATTTAAAAGTGATGTTCTAGCCAATCGTAGTAAACTAGCAGTTGAGAATATGGTGGATAATTATTATTGATTTGGGGATAAAAGTAATTAGTAGAAAAAGAATGAAAATTTAAGAAAGAAGGTTTTTAATATTTATATTATATAAGAAGAAGAAGAAGATTAAAAATTAAAAATAAAAAATGGCAACACAAGAAAAGAAAGGGGAGGAAGAAGAAGAAGAAGAAGAAGAAGAGCGAGACATTTTAGAACGCCAAAAAAAAATATGTTGAAACTGCCACCAATGCGACATCAATCTCGTAACCAATGGTTATATACGTTTGTTCATATTCTAGTCATTCAAAAAGAATTCCTCCTTGATAGAATCTTAAATCCCTAACTTAAATTGATGAGCTGTCTTCAACTTTAAGAGGAGTAGCTTGATTGAAACGTATAGAAGGGACACGTATTGTTCTCTATTGTTATTGCGCACTTCCAAAAAATGCATGGAACACTACACGACATTACACGCCTTACTTACGGGCCTGTAAAAAAAGCATTTACCACACACACACACAAATAATTTGTGGATGTCCCTAAGTTTTGAAAACATAGCAAGAGCCAACCATCTCTCTTGGGAATCATCATCTCTTTTAAATCATTGAAATATTCCTTTGGAACGTATCATATAATTTAACCGGTTCTGCATGCTGACAGGAAAATGTTTGGTCTCTTTTTTTTAACAGTATTCTAAACTCTACCTTCAATTTCACGAAAAAAGAACCAGTCAAACTCATCTTGTGTTCTATTGTCTATTGAAGACTTTGGATATGATCTACACTAGTAGCCATTCTTGAATATAAAGCTGAACCTCCAGGTTCTGTTATACCTTTAGGAATTTTTGTAAATTAAGCATTTTTCGTGATTTTTTTTAACAAAATCTACCGTTCCCCAACATCTTAGTATTTTAAGTCATAACTGTTATCAAATCAACTGGAATTAAATTCAGACAAGATGGCCTTAACGACAATTGCCTCTAATAATATAAATCTGAAGTATTTCTAATACTTTCTGTGTTACCAGTTTTTGGTTGCAAAAATTAAATCGAACATCACCAAAAAAAACAAAGATAAACATAAAGCAGTCAAAATACAAATGTTATAAAAGATTGCTGAAGAATATCACGAAAGAATTGAGTAATTGATACGAATTTAGACTAATCTTATCAAAGTCTTTACGGATCTACGGAGTAATCTGTCCATCAATCTTCCCCCCAACCCCACTGGATAATCCTATACCGGATATCCGAAATGATTACAATGGCAGAAGAGCATTCCAAAAATGGAAGATTCACGAAGAAAGAAATGGAGTTCGCAGAGACTTACTCTCCTAAATTGAGAACCTGTCTCAAAATGGAACTTATGACATTCGTTTCATGGGGTAAATGGCAATAAATATGCCCATGTTATTCTTTTTCAGAAGTTGGATTTGCCCCACTTGATATCTTAGATAACTTAGGAAATGTATATTTCTGTTAAGGAAGGACCCTTTAAAAATACAAGTCCCTAAATTTGAAGAATTCCTTTGTCATTTCCAATGACCTAAAAGAGTCAAAATAGCGAAACCAATTTATTTCCTTTTGGCGTCAGACTCCGAAACAGGAATTGACCCTTTTGAAAAAGACGGGTGCGTTACAAAAAAAAATAATTAAAACTTCGGAGAAAGATTGCAGCAATAAAAAAAGAAAAAAGAAATTTTCATTTATTCTGTTACATTTTATGTCAAAAAATCAGAAGCTAGATCCTGTGGCTTGTCAATATCGATCTCTGATAGCAAATCACAAATTTAGAAAGGAGAAAAGATTTCCGTAATAACACCATTTCTAAGCACAAGTCAAAAATGGCATTCCAAATCGAGACATCAAGCCGTAGACGGAAGGGACCAACGAGATATTTGACAATGGGCCGTATTTATTATTTCACAAGGCAATTATTTCTTTTTGCCTTCAACTATAGCTGGTACGGCGTTTAAAAATACAGAAAAAATTTTCGCGATGAGATTCCATTAGAGGTTGAATGACCTATCAATATTGTGCCTCTTGTAAGAAAAAACACCGCATATATGTCAAAATTGGGATTTGGTAAGGGTTCAAAGGATTTAAAGTATTTCAGTTAACAGCAAGCAAACACGAATTGATCTTTTTAGAACTCTGAAATTCCATTCTTTATCTAAAAATATGGGGTAAAAGGGAAGAAGGGGTAGATAATGCTTCGTATTAACCGAAGACAAAGAAGCAAGAGGGGGAATTACTTCAAATCTAACAGAGAAGTACATTGAGATTAGAGATTATTTTTTAATACAATCGATTTTTGATTGTTCTTCTAATTGATTTAGCCCCAATTCACTTTATTCTAATTCGTTGTATTAACTTTTGTTTATCGATTTTTGATCTGGGTTAGAGCTGGCGAGATAGATTCTTAAGATTCAAAGTAGTCTAAGGTCAAACACTTAAATACTTTAGATGATTTACAGGACTTACATATATGTCAAACTTAAAAGAAAGCTAATGATACACTGTATTTATCCGAAGTATGTATGCATACGACCTTTAAACGTCTGAAACCGTATCACAAAAACTAATGAAAGATATTAATTAATTATTACTGCATCTTTATCTAAAAAAATCACTCATTTGAAACAATAGAAATTTAACGCTGATAAATTACAAAAAGAAACTACCGTCATAATATTTTTACGAATGCAATATTATATAAATATGAATGAAAATTCCAGAATGTCAGGCACTTGACTAAAGCTCGCTTGTCCCTCTTTCTTTCTTTCCTTTCTGTAATCTACCCTCCCCGTACTTGTAGTCTCATCCATTCATAATGACTCTTGATTACGAAAAATACGCTACAAGCTCAAATGACTCCCATCTTAGAGATATACATCCAGCTGGTTCTAAAATAGATAACAAGGAAAAACAACCACAATATGTCGATACGGCAGAATTTGAACAAGAATATTCCGTGCTGGCCGCTGAAGAAGAAGTAAGAAGAAACTTAAAACCAAGGCACATATCAATGATTGCCCTTGGTGGTACTATCGGTACCGGTCTTTTTATTTCCACTGGTGGTGTCATTGCCAATGCTGGTCCAGTATCTTCATTATTATCATTCTTATTCATGACTACTTTAGCATTCTCCATTACTCAATCATTAGGTGAAATGGCAACTTTAATCCCAGTTTCTGGTTCTTTTGTCCAATTTGTCACTAGATGGTGTTCTCCTTCTTTAGGTGCTGCCAATGGTTGGAACTATTGGTTCTCATGGGCTATTACTTTTGCTTTGGAATTATCTATTGTCGGTCAAGTTATTCAATATTGGACTGATGCTGTTCCATTAGCTGCTTGGATTTCTATTTTCTTGGTTATCTTAACTGTATTCAATTTATTCCCAGTCAAGTATTATGGTGAAGTTGAATTCTGGGTTGCTTCTATCAAAGTTGTTGCCGTTGCTGGTTGGATCTTATATGCCTTCATCATGGTTTGTGGTGCTGGTAAGACCGGTCCTGTTGGTTTCAGATATTGGAGAAACCCAGGTCCATGGGGTCCAGGTATCTTAGTTGAAGGTAATATCCATACTGCTCAATTCTTAGGTTGGCTTTCTTCTTTAATCAGTGCTGCTTTTACTTTCCAAGGTACTGAATTAGTCGGTATTTCTGCCGGTGAAAGTCATAATCCAAGAAAAGCCGTTCCTGCTGCCATTAGAAAAGTCTTATACAGAATCCTTATCTTTTACGTTTTATGTATCCTTTTCCTTGGTTTATTAGTTCCTTACGATGATCCTAAATTAACTAATGGTGGTTATACTTCAACCTCCCCATTCATTGTTGCCATGATCAACTCAGGAACCAAGATTTTACCAGATATCTTCAACGCTGTCATTCTTGCCACCATTATCTCCGCCGGTAATTCTAATGTCTATAGTGGATCCCGTATTCTTTATGGTCTTGCCCAATCCGGTGTTGCACCAAAATTCTTCACCAAATTGAACCGTGGTGGTGTTCCATACATTTCTGTTCTTTTCACCGCTGCTTTTGGTGCTTTGGGATACTTGGCTTGTTCTGAAACAGGTAATCAAGCTTTCAACTGGTTATTAAACATTACTGCCACCGCTGGTCTTATTGCTTGGGGTTGGATTGCTTATACTCATATTAGATTTATGAATATTCTTAAATCAAGAAATATTTCAAGAGATTCATTACCTTTCAAAGCAATGTTCATGCCTTTTAATGCTTATTATGCTTGTATTGCCATCTTTATCTTGGTATTCATTCAAGGGTTCTCTGTTTTCTGGGATGTCACCGCCAGTGGATTTTTCACTGCTTATATTTCAGTAATCCTTTTTGTTGTCACTTGGGTCTTCTTCCATTTCTTATTTAATGGATTTGGAAAGAAAGCATGGAGTTGGTCAAGCTTTTTGATTCCTTTGGATGAATGTGATATTGATACTGGTGTTAGAGAAATTGATGAAATGGAATTTGAAGATAATGAACCAAAGAATCTTTGGCAGAAGTTCTGGGAATTTATGGCATAGAGAAATGTCTCTCTCATTTTGAATACCATTTTTGTACATTATTAACTTCCTTTATTTTTAATTCCTTCATTTCATCGTTTATTTTTTATTTGTATATGTTTAATTCTTAATTTCGAAATAATTATAGTCGTAAGAAGTTGTAGACAATTCATCTCTTCTTTCGGTTGCCAAATATTTTTTATTTGCTGCAAAATTTTTCTGCTTTTTTTTTTCTTCTGCTCTTGTTGTAAGGTAGTGTATGGGGGGTTGCTTTTTTTTTTCTTATAGTCTATTAGGAAAAAAAAAAAAAAAAAAAAAATAAAACCATTGATTACATAATAAATACGAAACCCCGAACCATTTTTAACATAGCCCTGCGTATTGGAACTTGTCGTCACATATTCGCCTCAGTTACACTTTTGTGACATGGAGTTACATACCTTGGTAGTTCGTTTCAAGGGTTTTGAATTAGGCATAGAATTTCTGCGAAGAAGGTGGAGAGACCGCATTTGTAGAACAGCTGAGATTCGTATAAATTGCAGCAATTGCGAAAATTTTGCTTAGCTTAGCTTTTTCACAAGCTTGTGGAATCTGTTGTCCACCTTACTGAACGAAAGGCTATATGCTTAATATACTGTAGATTCAAATCGCCAAGTCTCCTCATAAAGAACAATCCCGCCCCCGCAGCATTTCCAAATATTTATTTGAATAAAGTTCCAATCACTCCATTCTAAAAACGCATGTTCTCTTAAATTTCTGCAAAACTTTTCCTTAGTATATTTTTTTCCAATTCTACAGAATGACCGACCTGGAACAGAGTTACCAATACCCTCGGTATCGATGTTGTCTACCAAGACAAATAGTGGATAAATTGTAGTCGTTTAATTCTATTTAAAGTTTCTTGAATATGAAAAAATAAAATACCGGATAAAAAATTTTGAATTTTTTATTTATGAACTATAATCCTAATCCTGTTATGACAACCAAAAATATTCTAGGGGGTTAAGGAATTACAAAAGATAATTTTAACCAAGTACCCTAAGGAAAGAATCCGAACATCATATGGTTACGTAGATAAAAGATAATGATAAAATCATACCACCATCATGAATTCCATATCTAATTTTTATCGTGTGCAATTAAATTTTCAGATCTACACGATCTCTAGTAATTAACACAAAAGTTAAAAATTTCCAAATCTCTTTCATTCACATTTCCTACATGGCATTTTCATTCAACCTGAAGTATAGATTCCTAATAGAAGCTTACGCCGAGGAGGGGAATGGATCAAGACCGGGGATAGACTATATGGAACCCTTCCTTATCTCTTCACTTTCGCTTTTTTGACTTACTTCAGCCTTGGTGAATACTTTACTGCCAAGAACTTTGAAATCTACATGTAAAATCCACCTTTTGGTGCAAATATCTGTAGCATTGTCTATTGAAAATTTATTGAAAGTTTAAAATCTTATTTGATTTGTCAAACAAATTGCAATGTCATGCAACCAGTCGACTCGCAAGGGTGGGATTTTCTTGATAAGGTTCAAAACCTTAAAAATAAAAATCAACGATGGTGGTATATAACCATCTCCTTTGTCACTTTTCAATTTCAAATTCACCAGGATAAAGATTTATTAAGATCTTGACAAAATTAAATCATATCAAACATAACCATGAGTCAGAAAGTTCCACGCGACAACACTCTGCTGCCGGATCCAGTCCTCGATAAAGAAAAGTCTCCCGTCTTCGTTAGTCCAGATGATATTCTGGAATTAGGTGGAGAGCATGTTGTAAGAAAATTAAAGGCAAGACATGTTTCCATGATTGCTCTTGGGGGACCATTGGAACTGGTCTTTTCATATCCACAGGAAGTATTCTTGCCAAATCGGGTCCTGCAAGTGCTTTGATTTCATTTTTATTTGTGGGTAGTTTGGTTATTTCACTTACCTATTCCTTAGGGGAAATGGCTACCTTGATCCCAGTATCTGGTTCATTTCTTCAATTTGTTACCAGATTCTGTTCTCCTGCATTAGGAGCAGCTAATGGGTGGTCCTATTGGTTTTCATGGGCAATTACTTATGCATTGGAATTGTCTATTGTGGGTAGAATTGTTCAATACTGGACAGATGCTGTTCCATTATGGGCTTGGATTACTATGACCTATGTTGGATTAACTGCTTTGAATTTGTTCCCGGTCAGATATTATGGAGAAGTAGAATTCTGGATGGCTGCTATTAAAGTTTTTGCTTTGCTCGTCTTCTTGCTTTATGCATTTATTATTGTTTGTGGTGCTGGACAAACTGGTCCAATTGGATTCAGATACTGGAGAAATCCTGGTGCATTCGGACCTGGTATCTTGGTTGAAAATCAGAACACTGCCCGTTTCTTGGGTTGGCTTTCTTCTTTGGTCAATGCAGTTTTTACCTTCCAAGGAACTGAATTGGTAGGGATTGCTGCTGGTGAAGCTTCAAATCCTAGAAAGACCGTCCCTGCTGCCATTACGAAAGTTTTGTATAGAATTTTGATCTTTTTCATCGGATCTATTATTTTCCTTGGTATGTTAGTTCCCTACGATGATGCTAGATTAGAAGGTGATTCTCAAGACACCAGAACTTCCCCATTTATTATCGCAATGAATCTTGCCGGAACAAAAGTCTTGCCTGATATTTTCAATGCCGTTATTTTGACTACCATTTTATCAGCAGGTAATTCAAATGTCTATAGTGGGTCAAGAATCATGTATGGATTAGCAGAATCGGGAGTTGCACCAAAATTTTTCCTTCATACTACAAAGAAAGGTGTACCTTATGTTGCTGTCCTTTTTACTGCTCTCTTTGGTTCATTGGGATATTTGGCACTTGATAGTAGAGGAAAAGGTACCGAGGCCTTTGATTGGTTATTGAACATTTCTGCCACGGCTGGAATGATCTCATGGGGATTAATTTCATGCACTCACATTAGATTCATGCATATCTTGAGGAGTAGAAATATAAGCAGAGACTCATTACCTTACAAAGTTCCATTCATGCCATATGGTGCCTACTATGCCGCTATTGCTGTCTTTATCGCCGTATTTGTCCAAGGTTTCGAAGTCTTCTTTGAGTTCAATGTAGAAGATTTCTTCATTTATTATATTTCTTTGATCTTTTTCGTTGTGGCCTACATATTCTTTTACATATTCTTCTATGTAACTAAGGCGCAAACAGCCTTTTTGATTCCTTATGACGAATGTGACATTGACACCGGTGCAAGAGAAATTGATGAAATGGTGTTTGATGATACTCCTCCAAAGAACCTTTGGGAAAAGTTCTGGTATTGGGTTTCTTAGATTACATTGTCCCCTGTTCTTGTTGTTTATTATTTAAGTGTGATTTGTTTTAATCGTCAGCTTATACACTCCTTGTTTAGAAATTTAGCTGTTAATATAATATAAATATTGTTCTTGTCCCCACTCCAAATCTTTCTCAATAATTACAATTTTTTAATTCAAATATTCAGTAAGTATTTATAATTGATTATAATTATTTATAATTAATTATGCCCACCGTTATAACTAAACCCATTGTTGGGCAACAAAGCGGATTGTGCTCCAAAATCTTATGTGTGGATGTGCTCTAGCCTTGTATCCCCCGTGCCTTCCACTGTCTCTGGGTAACCTATTGTATTGTTTGACTAGTTCTAACGGCTCCCTGGACCCTTCGAATTGACATGTGATATTTACTAGTCAACTTATTAGAGAGGTATCTATTGAAATACACCCTACTCGTTAAACTTCTACTTAAAATTTTAATAAATTAACGTATACATATAGAAAAAGATACCCACGGTCATATATAAAAATCTGACCAGCTAAATATAAAAATAAAAAATCCGAATAAAGAAAGAAAGAAATAGTCGTAGTAGAGTGTCATTTGTACAATATAGATTTTTTAAAGAGAGCTGTTGTCTTTCTCTAATATAAGACGTAAACACCTCTTCCTGTAGTGACACCGACAGTACAACCATCAGAACCACCATTGTAAACACCATTCTCGTAAACACATTGACCACTAACACTAGATCCGACGTCAGCAACGATTTTGACATTGAAATTCAATGGTGCACGGTTATTTGGATTTGGAATCAAGGATAAGTAAGCAATACCATTGTCGTAACCAGCACCGAAGTTAATTGGAGACCAATTTCCAATACCGGAACCTGGAGAACCCCAAGTACAACCAGTTTGCCAATCAACACCGGCATCGTTAACATAGTATTGAGCAGAAGTTAAACCACCTCTCCATCTGTAATAAGTTTGTTGATCAACAACTGTGATTGGTGAAGTTTGGCCACCACCGACAACGGTTGGAATAACCATATTTTCAGTTCCTGGGTAATCTGTTCTACAGATTGCCACGGTTTGTCCTAAGGTATTTTGAACGATGGCCTTGTCAACACCCCATTCACATAAATAATTAGATCTTGAATTGGTCTTGTACAATTTTCCTCCTCTGCAAATTAATCCACCAACGGAAACACCATTAGCTGGTTGTGCTTCTGGCCATTGCGTTTTGGACATACCACTTTGACAAGCGTATGAACAATAAGAACCTTCACGACAGAGACCACCGGTTGAAGTGTCACTGTTGTAGATACCAGACCATCCACCGAAACCTAAATGATCTAATGCGATAACACCTTGCCCAACTGGGAATTGGTCGCACGAGTAAACACCATCTGGGAATTCTTGAGTTGGGTTTTGATAAGCACCTAAGTCTCCCTGTATACCGTTGTTGACTCCAGCTGGAGGTTGTGCTGGTTCGGAAGGAGCAGCAGGAGATTCAGAACTTGCGGCGGGAGGAGCTTGTTGTTCCTCCAGGGCAGAAGATGGGGCAACAACTTCAACTGCAGGAGTGGGTGATTCTGGGACAGGGTTGATGGTATTTCCCTGACTATCAACTGTGATGGTAACATATTCGTAATCATAGACAACGGCACGTTTGTGTTTATGATGAGCATGGTATTGGGTTTGTGCACAATCGTCACGTTTATGATTTGGAGCTGCGGGAACAGCGAGCGATAAAGTAGCAAAAGCTAATATAGCTAAAGAAAGCTTCATTTTTGTTTAATTAACAGTAAAAGTAAGGAATGACTAAAGGTTAGTTGATTAACTAAATTGAATTGATTGAAAGAAGAAGAAGAAGAAGAAGAAGAAAGGAAGAAAGAAAGGAACAAACAAAGGAAAGTAAAAATTTTTCCAACCATTTTCAAACGAGGTTTCTTGATCATTATAATTGATTGACGAGAGGTTCTCTAAAGAGTAATTGGGATTGTTTTGGTTTCATGACGAATTGGATGCCAAAACTCTTAATTAATTAAATTCCGTGTTTTTTGTGTAACACAATAAAGCTTAATTATTTTTTTCTCAGCTAACTGGTCGGAATTCAAAAATCACGCGAATTTAATTTTCTTGTCTAAATTCTCCCCCTTTTAAAACAATAGTAAAACATACAATTTTCATTGTGAAAACGTCGTATCTAACAACAACCGAAATCGTAATACAAAAATTATATGGCCGGAATTCATTTACCATTGACCAAAATGGAAAATTTTGCAAGAACCGAGATCTCGCAAAAGTTGTCTAACAGGACTAAGGTTCATCTATATTGTCATTCCATTGGAATTATGCATCCAATTTACCTGAAGGTACAGAAAGGAACGCCATTGGTAATTGCATCGAAAGAGATTAATATTCAAAGGTTCTAGAATTTCAATGGGCAAGAAACTTCCCTTATTTTGTGTTTCAGAAATGTTTTATCAAATAGAATCGAAGAAGAAGGCTGGCGGCTATCTGATTCTCTAAAGCTTGCAAAGTCCAAAAAAGGTATTGGATGGTAAAATTATTACTACTTACAATGAGGCAACCTGAAATTCTCATATTGCTGAATCAACTAACACTAAAATGATAAATCAGATCAGTTAATATCTGGCTGGTTCAATTTCTATGATGATACATTGGAGCCAGCAGAAAAAATTGATTCTGAATTCCGAGGGCCCCATCCAGAAAAATACCCAACTGCAAAATTACGTTATGAGAAAAAAAAATATATTTTCTATGCGTGTTAAACAAATTTTTATTGTTTGAAAAATTAAATGTGCATTAAGCGATTTTTCTATGCACCAGAAACTAGATCAAAATATGTCTTAAGGATTGATCCAGATCATTTGTCTACTTTTGTTTCTAAGGAAGGTAATTTAGCGGGGATTGTGGATATTGCATTTGATGCAGCAAGGATTCTAGAAAACCACTATCCTGATTCCCAGTGTCTCTTGTTTAATTTTCAAACAGCGAAAGGGTGTGATAACATTCGTGTTCCAATTGGTGAAACAGGCATGCCTAGGTTCAGCAATCTTGAATGGCACCAAAACCGTTCTCCCACATAAAAAAACACAAACTCATTTGTGTCCAGTACTTACTTGGATATTAGTGGGTGGGTGTGGTTTATTTCGGAAAATCTATATCTGCTTTGGGTATTGTCCATTCCAAAAGCAGAAAGTTTATTTCTTAGTTGCGGTTCCAAGAATTTTTCTGAATCTGATTCAACTTAATTTTTTCTAGGGAAAACAATCATAAAACGGCCATGAAGCAATTTTGAAGCACGTTTGGTCCGCAAGCGTTTGTTGAAATTTCTTAGCTCTCAGCATGAGATACGACATCCGACGATTCAATGTTCTAGAATCAAGATGGTCAGAAAGTTTTGATCTCTAGCTGAACCCACAACAACAACTATTAGCGCATGCTACTTATAATTTTAGTATCCGTGCACTTGTTATTTTGTGATTTGTTGTAAGATAGATAGTGTTTTACTCGAATTTATGAGAATACTCAAGTTGATTGAACGTGGAAGCGCTTGACCGTCTATTGAATCGACCGAGCGAATGTATATTAGGAATTCCCAGAGTGAACCAAAGTTCTGTGTTGTATATAATCTATGTAATAGATCGTTGTTCCCCAATCAAATCTCAAAAGCTTAAAAGGGGGAATCCACAGGTATTTATCCTCGAGCCCTAAAGTTTAGGAAATGGGGAAGATAGAGGCCGAGTCGAAGCTTTTCAGAAATCAACTGTAATGTAATAAGTTACACACAGGAACCACGTCCAGGCCCCCGCCATACCACATACTCACTAACGACCGACGAAAGTCTATTATCTCCGCGATTACTCCAATTCCAAATTGGGAAGGAGCACATAACCACTCCTTACATTTGTACAGCAGTATGTGTTGTTTCTTAGAACTATTTTAGGTCATGTGATTTAATTGAGAATTTCAAGAATATATTTACGAGAATTGTTTGAGAGTTATTTTTTATATTTTTTATATTACTTTCTTTTAGTTAACGAGTGTTTATTTTATTATATTATATTATTGTTTTTGTGTGACAACTCATAACTATAATACTCTTATTGATCATTATTGCAGAATAGCTCAAGAAGTTATCAAAGAAGATCGATAATACAACAAGTACTAAAAGTTAACAATCAAAATAAAGGGGACACCAGATCCTTAGTATTATTAACTGAAAGTCATACCAAATTAATGCCGGTAAATACAACACTCACAGATGCTGCATGCACTCTTATAGCTAAGAGGAAGAGGTAATATTTGGAATTGTCTGATCAGATTTGTGTAAAATAGAAATGGTCGCCTCATTTGGAAGAGCCTATTATCGGCGAAACAGTTCCAGAAGTTTTCAATTTGGTCTAATTGTTGCTGAATTTAAATGGCAACCTCATGGTTGCTTTCGCTTTCGAATTTAGCAGAGTGTTGTCGGAGACAACGAAAGTACTTCAGTTAATACATCTGCAGAATCCTAACCATGAGAAAAGGGTGCATATGTTGTATTTACCGGTATTAATTTGGTATGACTTTCAGTTAATAATACTAAGGATCTGGTGTCCCCTTTATTTTGATTGTTAACTTTTAGTACTTGTTGTATTATCGATCTTCTTTGATAACTTCTTGAGCTATTCTGCAATAATGATCAATAAGAGTATTATAGTTATGAGTTGTCACACAAAAACAATAATATAATATAATAAAATAAACACTCGTTAACTAAAAGAAAGTAATATAAAAAATATAAAAAATAACTCTCAAACAATTCTCGTAAATATATTCTTGAAATTCTCAATTAAATCACATGACCTAAAATAGTTCTAAGAAACAACATGAGAAATAAGCGAATTAAACGCAAGAGAGGTTATGTATTTGACATCAGAGATATTGTTAACCAATAACTCTCCTCTCCTAGATGTGATATATAGATAACCCTGTTTAACCAAATCAAGTTGCATAATCTCAATTCCAGCTAAGGTCGGAAATCCACTCTTATTGATATTCATCAAAATTATATGTCTATTTAATGGGTTCCCTGTAAGCACGACTTGTAGTTCCTATTACCTGAAATCTCCCCAGTTTACTAATTCAACCTAAAGAAGAACTACATTCACCCTTGGAGCTGACAGGCCTAATGTAAGGAGTCTTTATGTGCTGTCCCTTTCGGCCTTGCTTGCGGAAAACCTAATACAGCAGAATGTGGTATGACAGTAACCCGGACTGAGGTTCCCATAATGCAAGTTACTTGCTTGGTCCTTCGTTGGCATAGAGTCCGCTCTAGTGTTTCAGAATGGTGCCTCGTCACATTCGTTTTAGGTTGAGTTTACGCCCAGATTCGTCTGTCACATCTGCGTCACACGGTGTCCCGCCTGACTAGGATAAATACCTGTGGACCTTCCCCTTCTTCGGATTGGAATCAGGAATGGATAGAAAAAAGTCCTCCATGGTGCTCGCTCACACAAGAGGACTTTCACAGTTCTCGTCTACAACGACAACTTCTTATATAGAACTACGTTCACCTCCCACATTGCAATACACAATCGCTCGGTTCCTCCACGGACAGAGCTTCCCTGCCATCAAACATTCTTAACTACGATTCCGACCTAATGTAGCTTCTCTCTTAAGGTCTTTACCCCTGGGTATTGTCTCCCTTATACCTAAAGACCACAGCATGCATAATTTCAGAATTGATCCTTACATAAGGATTGGGCGATTTATCTGTGCAGCTGTATCGCCCCATTACCAGATTCGATTCGGGAGAATACTACCGAGGACTTAAGTATATTTCATGACAAAATCAAATGGATCATGAGCCTCTAGAATGAATACTTTATAGAGTAGGTGACGGCAATGCCGCAATGCGCAAATCCAAATCCGAATAGAGAGCTGAATCGCTTGATTTCGAAAGTCGTTCTTGGTGTTCTATAATACTTAGCTATGTGTCTTCCTGTAGTGTCTTGTGAGCGGGCAATTTATCGTCACTCCTATGGAGAAGCCATATTCCCAAGTTCCCAAGAGACCCTTTATTCTTCTCGTAGTATGTTTATCATGACATGAGAAAATATTGTATCGAAGAGTTGGGATGTGAAAATCACACTGCTAATTAGCTAGGGCCAAGGGGGGACTGTTTGCTGCTATCAAAAACAATATGATGCATGTTGTTGCAGCAAAAAAATTATTTCCCAGGGCCAGTATCAGCTCATGGAAGGACGTCCAATACCAAGCTATTATCAACCCATTTGAATTGGAGGATTCGTAAGAGAGTTTCATGGGATATCATCTCAGTTTGTTGGATAGTGAAATTACACTGAATGGGCTTCGTTATTACAAAAGCTTGGGGATCAAACTTAGGTCAACTGTACGGGATTCGTGATCAATCCTCCCGATGATATGCTTGAGCTAGTGAGGCTTACCGTCATCATTTATATATGATTTTTACTTAAATTGCTGCCATTCCTTTGTATTGTGATGACAACTACGAGGGCTGTATCGTGCAGAAGGGACACCATGATGGATGTGAAGGTTGTTTATCAAACCCCCTGACGCATATAAGGTGTTTAGGTACTTGAGTGTACCCTATATTGGTTGATAAGGAAGAAATAGCCGGGCCGTCCCTGAGCTTGTGTTGTTCCAAGAACATGCTCTTGCGTCCGGAATCGGGTTCTGTGTTTTCTTTATGTTCTATTAATTAGATATGCCTCCAAGAAAATATTCGGAGTTTTTAAGCCAAACAAAAAAAGCATTGTTATTTTCTGCTTCCGTAGCATGGACATCATGCGCTGAATGGGATGCATATCTCAAAAAGAGGCTTGCTGAGATGGGCGGTGGGCGGGCATGAAATGAAAATAGGTCTTTCAAAGAAGGAGTATATGCCGTTTAACTCGTAAAACAAAAACATACGTCTAGAAAATAGAAATTATCACGTATTTTTATTGACGTAACTATTATTTTTTGGCTGCAAACGAGTATTTTTTCAGTCTGTTTCATCTTATTTTTAAAGATCTATAAATTGATCTAAGAATATCATCCGATTTTTTGTGTATATATCCCCTTCCCCTACAACGGTTTCCATAACTGCTTTATATTATTGAAAGGCCGACCCTTTCGTCGTTTTTTATAACCGTCTTATGACAGCATTTGGCTTCTTTTACAGTTGGCAATATTTAAGCAGCAAATTTGGTCATCTAAATTAAAAGCAAGATTATCTAATCACGAGTGTCTCTGTTGACAAAAATAAATCCGTGTGATAATCAAGTCTTCAATCAGGCTTATTAGTAAAAAATTTCTCTTGATTCTCGTACCAGTGGTGAATAAATGAGCCCGTGAGACGCATGCTACTATCCTCCTCGTTATCGACACTTTTGTTGTATCAGAGGTGAGAACTTGAAATTCACAACCTTGATTCACGTTGAAGATCGCCCATTTCTGAAGCAAAAGTCTTGGCTTCCAGCTATATGCAAACGCATATCTGTAATGGTTGTATCTACTCTGTAAATTCTGATTCGGTACTCAGGGAGGTTGTAGAATTGCTTTTTGTCTGGCACGCAAATTTTACAACCGATGGTCTCATATTTAGACAATCTATGATTTTTAGGCAATTATTGGCGAAAACGTATGATTCTCCCACTGAAGAAAAAACATTACTTCCTTTTATTAAGCGAAATTTCACAATGGCACCCCAGAGTACGAAGCCTGATCGGTGTTATTACCCAGCTTTTATGCACGGATTTTCAAAGCCAAAAAGAATTAAGCCGATTATTATTTTTCATCAAAAAAATTTGTGACCTATCTCATTTAGCAACATTTCCGCCACCTCTGCAAGGGGACCAGTCTAGATTTTCTTAATGTGGCTTCGTCTACGACCAATATCATTTTTATTTGGTTCAAACTCGGATTTACTTATTTTCTGAATTTCCGATTAGTCTATTAGGAATTGCGGGTGTATCTTGCGAAAGTCGGGCTGCGAATTTCTATAGAATTCTATATTCGTAATATAGATTAAGCAAGTTTTCACAATCCAACCAGCACTTCGTTTAGTCGTTATAACCAAAGCTAGGGGGTGTCTTTCATACGTTCTAAGGATATAGTGAACGTAGTCAATTTTCCGATTCTGTTCGTAGACACCTCAATTTAATTTCGATCATGCACATCCCAATACAATTAAAGCTTTGGAAAATATTTTATTTTTTTGATCTTTGAGAAAATATCTTTCGCTATTTGCATGACTCCATTGTATTGACAGTTTAGCCAAAAAAATGACTAACTTCATCTACAATCGCAGGTCGGATGACATTTCTCATGGACTCCTTTCCGAAATGCACAACTGCTTACTTGATTGTTACGTTGAAATACTAGTGTAATGGTTAAATATTTGAATGAAAAAGAAGATCTACAACTAGTATGATATAATCTATAACGAAATCTGGATTGTTGATTCAATTTTTTTCCAGAGAATCGCCATGTATTCCAGGTGTAGAAAGGGCATGTATGCGATTGAATACCAATAGTAGAAGAAGATTTATCCATTAATGACCTTGAGATTGTTCCTGGATCAAATAAAAAAGAAATGACGATAAAATAGAAATATACTGGGGCGTTAAAAATATCTGCAATAGAAGAATATTTTTTAATTTAATAATAGAATTATTTTTTTTGCTTTCCTCTTATTTTCTACCAAATAATATGGCAATTTATTAAGATCAATTATTAATATTATTGTTTACCGTCTTCCAAGCGTCAAACTTGATTTGATAATAAATAATTATTTATTATTGGATCTTGAAATGATCAGACGCACCACGGAAAATATATAAAGATTAATTCCCGTCATGTTACATTTCGCCAGATTTACACTTGCAGAAAGTTGCAAAAACATAAGATTCGCGCTAATTCTTGCTAAATTTAGTCCTGATATTCTTTCTTACAATCAATCATCAGCCCCCCTCAGATATCACCAGAGGCAACCCCCATCCGATCTCACAACACGTATAAGTATTGACCAAAATTCAGTTCTATATTCTGAAAATAATGAATTATAGGCTAGTAGTAATTCATATAATATCACAATTATAAAACAAAAATATAGATGGAAGTAATCACCCATTCAGAATACAATCAACTTCAACTTGATTCAACAAACATGAACAATATCAACAACTCTTTCGATCCACCTCAAAAAAGTCTGTCAACATCTCAGAGAAGTACACCAACGCCTCCGTATAGTATTCAGCAACAAGTAGGTGGGCAGCAACCCAACCAGTTTGTTTCTACACCAAGAGAACCGATTCAGAACGGAGCAGTCCAAACATCTCTTTCGGGACACTCGTCAACAATACCGACAAATCACGATAATTTAAAACCGGTCCTCCAACCATCTCATTCGCCTTATGTTCCTCCCATTCAACCTCAACAATCTGTTCCACAACAAAGCTATTCCCAAGCTCAGTATGATTCCTATACGGCATATCCTATTAGAAGCACCTACGTTCCTCAATCTGAGGTCTATCAACCTACATATCAAGTCCATCCAGATATGTCAATGCAACAAAACACAGTCCAGCCTCCACCTATAGTTCCAACACAGCATTATAATTCTGGCTCTATGCCAATCGACAATGTTGCAGTTGCATATCCCATTGAATACGCCCACTACCCTGACCTCACCACTATGGTAAATTCCAATGCAAACATCGCGGTCCCATTAGTAGAAGCACAGTTTGTAGACCATAAAGTGTGCAGTCTTTGCGGAAAGAAAATTACTCGTGATATGTCGCGACATATGAGAACACATCAAGCAGAATCTAGATTTACTTGTGTATTTCCAAGAAGTCAATGCATCCATAAGCTGGGTAAATTTAATCGACCCTATGATTTCAAAAAGCATCTTTTGAATAGACATTTTCAATTCGACAATCCAACAGTTAAAAAATTACATAATTTGAGTGATAAATTAGACCATTGGGGTACCTGTCCATGTGGGCATAGAGCTCTAGGTAGACATTGGTTAGATTTCCATGTATTAACTGACGATGCTTCTAATCGTTGTCCATACATCGAAGTGCCATGATTTTCATTAGATAAATAGTTGCGAATTCGTTATTATTCTAGAGCCAGTCTCTCAGTAGGATATTTACTTAAGTTATTTTCTATTTTCAATTCATAAGTAGAGTTTTCTAGTATTCAATCATATTAAATACAATTTTCAATCCCATGTGGCTGTTTTTCCGAAACAATTTATGCACTGTAGATGTACAACTTATTTTCAGCGGAAAAAGATTTTATTTTTTTTCTGTGGCTGCGAATAATTCTGCATAACGCAGGAAGAATGACATGTCTTGGACAACAACAAATGACCAGTCCAATTAACAAGCAAAATAAAGCCATGTGAGATCTAATATCGTATATACCACGCAGGGGTTCCCAAGGCAGAGGGATACAGCATAACTTGATACTCATAGACAATAGCTCTAATCTTTCTGCTATTCCGTGAGTCATATAATTAGTGTGACTAAGCATTTCTATATTACAACTATACTACTAAAGGTTTGGTTTTCTTGATCTTCACCAAACCTAGATGTTTCTCACTTATGACTCTGAGCTTTGTCCAGAGGCACCCAGGTGACGTCGACCACAGGATAAAAAACGGTCTCGGCAAGATGTAGGTGCAACGAGTCAATAAATATTTTCTTAATGCGCCTAGATACGTTTCATAATTTGAATCTGCTAGATTGCTGATGTACATAAATGTACATTCAAACAAGATAAATTACGATTAAGACGTAACGATGACGATATTAAAAAAGAAAGAAATTGCGCAATTTGTAGTGCGCAATATTTCTTACGTTAAAGACAAAAGCAACTTTTCAATTTTGTTGCAAAAAAAGAAGTTTTACAACCAGATCATATTTCCCATTACAACGAAGTATTCCGTGTTTCCTGAATAGCTAAGTTTTCTGAAAGGGTGCGTTCATGGAATCAACAGTCAATAATGATAAATGAACCATTTCCATCAAACCTTCAAAAATGTATGAAAATTGAAACTCTAGAATTGCAAAAGAAGTTGACCACGTGAACTTTATAGATCAAAACCGGCAACTCTAGCTCCTTACAAAAATTATCCTTACCTGGAAGTTAATCATTTATCTCACTTTCAGAACCTATAGACTCCAAATTAGTTTCAAGGTACAAAAGTAGGTAAGCTATAGAAAATTTGTTCTTAGAGGCACGGAAGATGCAATGCAAAATGTATCTGACAAAAGTTTATCGATACTTTTTTTACATTTGCTTGGAAGTGTGGCTGCTTCAATTTGGAGGTGAGAAGAATTGATCTATAAGGGCACCACCACTGAACATCGAGTCTCCTCCAGTAGAAATGTTTTTGGGAAAGTGCCAAACGTATGTACTCACACTTATATTCAATACTTCGAGCTTATCAATGAAATCGGGGCCGCGGATATTCGTGATGGCTTTGTGTGGTTGAAAATACGGATAACAAGGGGGCTGATTCTTCACATGTGTCAATCTACTAAATTGATAACAGAGACGACATTACTGGCACATTATGCTACACAACAGACTTCCTTGTACTGCTTCGGCATATTTTCTATTCCAGAAGATGTTTCATATTTAATACTTTGTGCATGAATAGAATTCGGAATTAAGAATATATGCCCCCTCTCCTCACCCCCCACCATAGTTAAGAAATCCGCAATTAAGAAGGCAAGGAAGGAGAGAGAGAGAGAAAAAAAAATAAAATAAAAAACAATAAAAATAAATTTGTTAAGAAAATTTAGTTTGACGCACACTTAAGATTGATTTTAGAAAAACAGGAAACCTAACGAAAAGAATCTAAGGAAAAAAAAACACCGAGTGGCCCCCCCCCCCCCCTAATCAAATTTTATTATAGCTTTTAGGAATACAACCACACAATTTGTAGTATAGAATAATGGCACAGAGTAGTAGCCGGAGTGAGGCTAACCCTTCTGAATATCCCGCTTCAAGTGACGTATATCAACTAGAAACGTTGTTTAATCATTTGGAAAATTCAACGACCCCTAAAGATAACAGTACATTGTTTAGTATTCAAGAACAGACTGGGAATATATCAGGCTATATATCCGAGTTGAACGAACCCAACGTCATACCATCCCATTCCGGAAATGAGAAAGATGACGAATATGAATACTTTTCTAATAGAATATCTTCGTCAGTACCTTCGTCAAGCATCGACCATTTATATAATGACAACCTCGTTCATCAACAGTTTTCACAGCTTTTACAACAACAGCAACATCAACAACAAGCGGTTAAAATACCGCAACATCTTCCACATCATCACCCGCTTGGGCACCCGGTTCCACAACCAGGTGTTCAACCTGAGGTATACGAAGTACAACAACAATTTTCCCCACAACGCCAATACGCCCAAAATGGTAATCCACAGTACTTACAACAATTTGACGTGCCTGCGTCCAATCCACAAACACTACCACAGTCATCACCGCCTCAGGCGACATCATTTCCTCAAAGACCTCAATCCATACGACAGCAATCACTTCCAATACATCCTACAAAACATGCTATAGAGTATCAAATCAAGGAAATCCCGGAAGATGCCGAGAAGGTTGTTGGGTTCGATATACAACCGACCTACTACAATAACCCACAACCAGGACAATTTAAATCTCCCAAGATAGCGCATCAACTTTACAGTCGACAACCGCAGCACCAACAACATCAAGCCCAACCGCAACACATCAAAGATTCTATGGGACTCCCTGTCAAAAGTTTAAGGCCGGATGAAATTATACTGAAAGATATCAAAACCAAAGCCAAAAGAGGAAGACCCAAGAAGAATAGAAATCCGGGATTTCATATTAAATTGGATGGCATAAATAAGAAGCCAATCCTTGGTCAGAGAATTATTACTTCTTCACAATCAGATTCAGGCGCCGATTACTGGAGTAGAACTCCTGGAGGACATAGGATACCGTCGTCACTTGCTTTTACGCCTGCTCATACCTCATTTAGAGATGATACTGATTCTCATAAATATATGCAGTTTTCTGAGAATGAGTTAGAATTAACAGATGATACTTTGGGAATGTCAATACCATCTTTTAATATCACTCCTTCTATGGAACCACCAGCAAGGGTTAGTGGATATTTCGATATAGCTAACACTCAACCAACTTTGAACACGGGTAATTTCTTTTCACCTGGAATTGATGCAAATGAAAATGGTGTTGATAACTTTAACGAAACTTTTGAAAGCTATATGAGACAAAATGATGGGGTATATGATGATAATAGTAGTGCACATTATAGTGACAGGCATGACGCAGTTCCAGCTGTCACTTTTACTGATTTGCCGTTTGAGTTTGCGGCACCACCACAACATCCCCATCAGGTCTCCCAACAGCCACCCGTCTCAGTACAGCCCTCTGCGAAGGCTGATATCCAACAAACACCGGCAATCAGCCTCCCTGAGACTATTGGAATTGATGTATTTGATTCTTCACATAGTGAAACAACTTCAAATAATGAATTCTTGTCTCCTCCAGAAAGTATTTTCATGAGAAAGAGAGCATATTCAATTGAACATAAACAAGTATCTCCAGATAGCATTGAGCAACAACAATCAAATAAATCGTTGCCTGGCTCAGATGATAATTCCGAAAATGAGAACGAGAAATATTTGACACGTCCTACAATTCCCAGGAGCAAATCAGATCAAGGTGTAACCAATGTTGGAAAACCTAAAGGTGAGCTATCTCCAAATGCATCTAAGCCAGGAAAGAAGAGAGTATCTAGAGGTGCGGTATGTTCGGTTTGTGATAAGTTTATTAGTCGAGATTTAACAAGACATATGAGAATTCATAATGAAGTTGGAAGATTCCAATGCATATATCCAAAATATATGTGTAATCATAGAACACAATATTTTAATCGTCCTTATGATTATAAGAAACATTTATTACACCTGCATTTTAAATTTGATGATCCTAAAGGAAAAGCAGCACATACCTTAACTGATAAATTGCCACTATATGGTACTTGTATTGCATGTGGTACAAGATATACTGCTGCTGAATGGTTGGATTATCATGTTTTGGTTAATGATAAGAGTCAAAGATGTGCTTTTATAGAAGATAAGGATCCACAGACATGAATGTTGAATAGATAATTAAAATGTTTGGTTTGGTTTGTCCTAATAAAGTTTGTGCGAGCGCAAATATTTATATTCGTAAAGAGTAGGTTGTAACGTTATTTAATTTTTAATATAAATGCTTTTAATTCGTCTTTTTACAATGATTTTCCAAGTTCATGATTCAAATCTCTTGGTGTAACCCTTGAATCATTGGCATTTTCCTGCAGTATAAAATGAAATGGATTTCTAGATTACCGAAATATCGGAGGTGCCTTCCTAATTAGGAAAGTGAAAAATTGCGCAACTCACTCGTATTTCTTTAGCCGTTCTCTTTGTACCCTTGAAGTTACAAAACAAGTACCAAAGAATTTGCTCATCAAGGGACCCTACTTTTAATATATAAACCAACGTCATTTCCCCTTGTCCCCTCCACCTCACATCTCATTCCCCTTGTTTTTCTTTAATATACTTTCAATATAATTCACATACACACACCCAGTCAATATGAATATGAATAGTGAATCCGTGTCATCATCAATGGACCATGCCATGCACATGATGTCCACTACAGCAACCTCTACCATGGCATCCATGACTTCTCATGTCCATGATACTGCAAGTTCAACAATGACAGGTATGGCAGGAATGGCATCTATGGCTGAAAGTGCCACAACAGCTGCTGCTGATCATGGAAGTATGGATATGGGAGGTATGCATATGTACTTTACTACCAATTTTAAAGATTATCCAGTTGTTTTCAAAGGATTGGCTGCTAGTAATAGTGGAGAAGCGTTTGGAATCTTTGTATTGTTGTTTTTTGTTGCTATTTTTGCAAGATTGTTAGTTTTTGGTAGAGTTTATTTAGAAGAAGTTGTTTGGAACACTGATTCCCATTCAAAGATACAAGGAGATGGTACTGGGGTTGTCGTGGCTCCTGCTCTTAGTAGTGCTCAATCCTGTGACGGATGTGGTCCTAAATTTAGCAGTGAACAGGAATCTACTCATGCTGTTGCACAAAATAAATCAATTTCCACTGTTTCATCATTGTTTAGAGAGTTTATTAAGTTGATTCTTTTTGTTATCCCAGATATCTTCAGTTACGGTTTGATGCTTGCTGTTATGACTTATACTTTGACTTATTTCTTTGCTGTTGCTGTTGGAAGTGGTGTAGGTAATTATCTTACAAACAGATTAATCGAAAACTATCGATTATCTAAACCACATGGTTCATGTTGTTAAGCGTGCCCTTATATTTATAAAATTGTACATAATAATATACATAACGAAATGAATTAATAATACGAACTATAATCTCATTGCATGATTTCATCAATCTTCTTTAATAAATCTGCATACTTTCCTTTATTAAAGGAACTACCAGTACCGTCTGCCAATTTCTCACTATAGATCATTCTAGCCATATTGTTGAATGCCGATTTAGTATAGTTGTGATCATTGGATTTCACTCTATTAGTAAAAGTGAATTCATTCAAGGTAAACATTTCAAAATATATTGAAGCTTTAGTAAAATCAATCGATGCAGGAGATTTAGCCAAGCTTCTTAACATTTGTTGTAAAGTATAAATATTCAACAATATTCTCTTGATCCCATTACTATTGATTTTCTTTATTTTTGAAGAACCTTGAATAATTAAATCATTTAAGAATCTCGTCAATCCAACGAAAATACTTTCACGTTCCACATCACTTAATGTTTTCGATAATTTATTATCCACGGCGAATACTTCTTGATTAAATAACCCAATATAATGATCGGCATCCCCAGGTTCTGAAATGGGCATCCAATCTACCAATTTAAATGAATTAGAAACATAATAGATGGCTTTACATCTTAAATCATATCTCAATGCCAACAATGCTCTATCTCTAATAGTACCAAAAGTTTGAATGATTTGATCAAATTGGGTACATTTTGCAGAATTCAAAGCTAAATAAACATTGTGTTGAAGAATATCTGAACTATTTGCCGAAAAATTGATTGTTGGTCTTCCATTTTCTAAAAATGACCAATTGTATCTTAATTTATCCACAGCATGAGTTGTTGCATCATCGCCATCACTTTCATAGACTACACTATAATTTGATTCTTTTTTGATTAATGGCAACCAGGATAAAATCCAAGATGTAGTTAATAACAAGTGGACAACTTGAGAATATGCTTCGGAATCTAATAAATCATCTTTAGTTATAGAATAGACTTGATTATTATTATCGAATAAGATCACTTGTGATTCAGATTCAATCAAATCCATTAAACCTGCTGTATTTCCCGAGGCATTACTTTGAAGAATCCTACCACTGACTTCAGATAATGCCGATATTTTCATCCATTTACTAATTTGTGACACTGGACGTGCTGATTGATTACCGCTTGAGATTGTTGAATCACCAGTTGATAATAATTCTTCATAGAGATTATTATATTCTTTTGCGAAATTTTCCAAAACACGTAATGTTAGATCACAATAATCCTCACGATAAGTCAATGAAGTATTCAACATCAAACATAATTCCATAAATAATTTCTTAAAATTAAAAGCATTTTCATAAATCACTAAATTGGTAGAAGAATCTGTTGGATTTTGAGTTTGAACATTGGCAATCACAGTAACATCAGTACTGAAATCTTGATTTAAGGAAATTAAATCCAATTTCAATCCGGAAGCATGAATAGATCTATCAGTATCGGATCTGGAAGTATATGATCCCCCAACTTGTTCTCCAAATGCCATTTCTATACTTTCACGTAAATGCGACAAGAATGAAATTTTCATAAAATCATCAAAAAATTGGAATGCAGCTTTAATATGAGGAGGTATATTACCATCTTTCTTTTCGTGTTCAGTATTAAAATCAAGGAATACTCTCTGTGAACCTTCAATGAAAATTAAAAAGAATTCTAAGATTATTCTCATATTGAATAAATTCTTGGGTACTAATACTTCAATCATGGCATTAAATGATTCACTTTGGATATATGGAGAACTTGAATCGATGATTGCGCTTTTACCATTTTCATCCGAAACATTAAATCCAGGGAAGATATCGGTTAATATGCCGGCCAAATCATCTTGTGGTTTTTTAGCATTATATGAAACATTCTCAAATTTGAATAGTTTGGTAGTTTTCTTCATGGCATTGTAGATTTTGCTTTGATCTTTTATCCTAGTTGCTTCATTAAGCCCTTCTGATTTAAATGCAGCTTCATCATATATATAGCTCAACATTGATGATTTCAATTCTTTCTTGATTATATTCCAAATATTTACTAAATGATTATATGAAACATCGACGGCTTTATACCCTGGTGTGGTTTTAACTGCTCTTGTGGTAGCTAAATTTTGACCAGCTTCTATCAATTTAACAATCTCGGAAACTGCTTTATGTCTATGGAATACAGCTAAGCATTTAATGAAAATAGACCCAAATAGATCTTGTAACACTACCACAGCGGCATCATTAAATCCATTATGGCCGGTAATTTCGAATAGTGTTTGATCTTGAATGTGCCCTGTAGCTGGGACTTTTGATAATTTGGACAATGCACGGGCATTTTGCAGTTTGATTTCTTCTGTGGTTCTGTTTATTAATCCATGAAGTTCCAGTTGATTTGTATCTAGAAGGATTTCTGTAACTTGATGCAATCTACTTAATTTGGATGCTGTGATTAATAACATATATATATAATGGAATGATTCTGTGCTGGGATTCAGTTTTGATTCAAGTAAAACTTTATAATCTATAATACTTTCATTCGAAACCATATGAGTATGTAATTCAGGTAATTGATTCATTAAAAAGTTTTCAATTGGTTGAGTCATAAAATCAACAATTTCAGTCATGTCTAAATTTGCTGAATTATTAACATATTGTTCTAAATTTTTCAGATTTATTAAGGACGAAAAAGAACTTAATTGTGGAGTTTTTGAATGAAGCATATTTGTCCAAGCAAATATTGTCTGTTTAGGAGAATTATCAGCATTCCCTCTAGTATTCTTTAAGTATATTTCATTTTGTAATTCATCAATAATCATATCAAACAATTTATTCGATTGTAATTCCAAATAACTTTGAATTCCATTCATGGCAGGTAATGACCAAAGATTATATTTTTCAGCAAGTTTATATCCATCAGAAATCACATCATAAACTTCATGAATCTTCTTATCTATAACCAACTGTTCAATCTTTTCAGGTATACTATTTAATTCAGCAATTGCATCCAAAATATCAATCATTCCAGCATACCTTATAGAAGTTTGATTTAAATCCTTTAATAAATCCGATCTATCATGGATCTCTTTATTAGAAGATTCCAAGAAATCCTTAATTGAAGCAGAATCTTCTTGAGATTCCGTTAAGGTTGATAATAACATATGATAAGTCCCAATACTATTATTAAATAATTCATGATGTTCATTTACAACATGACGTAATGCTAACTCAGTTTTAGATTTCAATAATCTAAAATCTTCCAATCTATGAGCTAGACCAACTGAAGAATCATCTAATAATGAAATAGCAGTATCTATTGGATTTGCATGTTCGTCTAATATTTGTGGCCAATCGTATCTAATTGTTTGATAAACGTCTTTTAATTCGGAGATTGATTCATCCATTGATTTATTTTTGGGTCTGCCATTGGTTGGCATACTAAATGAAAGTCTTCTTGAAGCAGCCATCTTGTCGTGGCACTAGTTACTGTTGGATCTCTATGGTGTGTTTGTTGGTGGACTACAGGTTCAATCGGTGGTTGTAAAAAAAACAAAAATGTGTTTTGCTCAATTTTCAAAGTTTCTAGAAGGAGACATTTTTATACAACGACATTGCTCTTGATTTACGACATTCGCCATTTCTAACAATTTTTTCCAATTTGATCTTTTTAGCAAACACTACTGTTAATCGCTGGCTTTTGACTTAAGGCAATCAGTATGAATCTGATAGAAGTAATAGATTTATCATTCGATGATACGGATGATAGAGTGCTACCACTTTCACAACGACAACCACAGCGTAATCTGGAAGTTATAGAAATGTATGTATTTCCTTCATCGATATTCGAGTTTAGACGCGTCTTACTAACTTTACCAATGCAGCGATTCATCATCAGAAGATGAAGCACCACATATTCCAACCGCAGCTCCTACTGTAGCTAGAGCAACATATCCTATATCATCTCCAGTTCAACAATCAGCTCCTCCATCACAACCATCATTTGTAAATGATTCCATTGTTGATTCTTCTTTTTCTTTCGTTGTTGCAACTCCATCAACTATGGCACAGAAATTGAACAACACGAATATCGCACATAATAACGGTTATAGACCTGAATTTAGTTCTCCGTCAATTCCGCTGAATAAAGATATTACTAATAATCCTCGGAATCAAGGTACCCCAGTGAGCGTTCATTGCTCCTCCGCCCGCAAAAAGATCCCATATGAGCTGTTGGAATTATCTCCAGTACGTGCCACTACAAATAAGAAAACCCCTGCAAAACGTCAACCTCGTACCTCAGTAAATAATAGCGTACCTGCAGTACCACAACCTCAGTTCATTTCAAATACAAAAGCTCCTGCAATACCTCAACATCAGGCCATATCAATTAAGAATGCACCTGCAATATCTCAACCCGTTGCTCGCCCAATCATGCCTATTGTCAACTCGGCAACGGAAAATTTTGACATCCCCCCCATGCCAAATCTCATTCATTGGTTATCCAGTGATGAAGAAGACGATGAGATTTCAAATACTCGAATATCGAGTTCACAACCAATTATCCCGACCCTACCCAAGGCAACACCCATATTGGCTGCGAAATCAAATTCAACGATTTTCTCCGATGTAATGTCATCACCTACTCCAAATATGGCAAAGCGGTCCAAGACCATGGATGATAGTTTGATGATAACTCCGAAAAAAGCGAAGACTGATAGTGCTGCTAGTGGAACTATTGCTACAGCAACTACTACTACTGCAAAGAGTAAACCGATCAAACGGTCAAAAACTGATGATTTGATTTCTCATTATCCCAAAATTGATAATTTCCAATATACACAAAAAGATCTAAATGAAGTCAATAGAGTCACAAGAAAGAAAGAAGAACTATTAAGTGAAATGGAACTACATATTCCCGAATCCCTCAAACCTGAATTCGACCCCCATTCTGCCGATTTCCAAATGAAAATCATCCATTCAAATAGTTGTCCAACAGGATTACCATTAATGATCTGGAAAAGAAATGTGAAATCACAATATAATCAAGAATTAGATCTTTTCATTCCTTGTCAACCCACAAAACTCCTTGAGAAAACATTCGTATTATATTATCTGGCCGATCAATTCTTTAAACATTTAAAAAACAATCAACTTGGCCCAGACATATCCCGGGCATTCCAACATAACCTAACCATCGATCGCAAAAACCATCATCCCGTAATCGTTGTCGAAGGATATGATCAACTCTTGAATAAGATAAAGGCGTACGAACAACGACAATTCAAAAAACAAGTTCTTGGGGGGTTGAATGTGGCAGAACAACGACGAAATCTGAAAAAAGATCAAATGGTGAGTGAATATCCTACCAGTAAAGAAATTGAACGATTGATTAATAAAACTCAGATAGAATTACGATGTAATATATTTTTAGTTCGGACTAGATTGGAGATTGTACAATGGTTGAATTCATTTACGTTTACGATTGCATCGGCGTTATATGATAAGTTTGAGAGAAATAAGGGGTTGGGGAATTTAGGGAGTGTTAAGAGTGGGAGTGATACTAAATCGACGTTTATTCAGTCGATGCAACAATTTCATAGAATGAATGAGGCAAAAGCTGATATGTTGTATGTTCTGTATCAGTCTATGAAACAAGTGTATAGTAGTATTAGAAGTAAGGGGACATTGGGGAAGGATACATTTGGGAGAAAGATTGTGCCTCCGACTGTTGATAGTGCTATGGTTAAGTTTTTCAATTCGAATGATCCAGATGAAGTGGTGAATGAATGAGTGAGTGAATGAGTGTTTATTTATTAGGGTATTAATATACAATGTAATATACAAGAAGAAGGGTTTTTTTTAAGCAAGTGCCTTTTTGGCATCGGCTATGTTGTCTTCATTTAATTGATCACCCAAGTGTTCAACTTGTTTTATACCTTCGGCGATACTTGATTTCTCTCCAGTAGAAAATTGATAATTGTTACGATGTAAATCAGCAATGATTGAAAGTGATTTATCAATGATATTAGAATTTGCATCTTTATCTTGTAATATTGAACATAATAAATGAATTAAGTTTTGTTGTTGTAATAATTCTTGATTGAATTCATTACTTAAGATTGCTGAGATTAATGATAACACTCTAACTAATAGTTTATTATCATTAGAACTCATATTATTATTAATAATCTCCCAACCATTCAATTGTTCGAATCTAGTATAACCAGGTTTGAAATTTCTTATAAATGATGCAATTGCAAATATAGCTTTTAATTGAAGTGATTTATTTGAATTATTATTAGCAATTTTAATCAACTTTTCTAATCCAGTCTCATGACTATTGAAATTTTCTTGAGATATAGGATTATTCTGTACCGCAATTCCAATGATACTACAAGCCAACACTTTCAAATCACTATCATCAACATCATCATTTAATAATTTAATTATACTTGGCCATAATTTCAAATTTTCAATATTATTAGCATTATCCAAATTCTCAATCAACATTTCAAAGTTTTCAAGAGCAATTTGTTTATTTTCTGAAGTAGCTTCTGGATGTTCAACTACTTCTATTGATTGTTTCATTAATGTTGGTTCATCAGGTCCTGTTCCAAATAATTTACCTAATGTTTCTGGGTCTGGTTGACCTATTCTTTCCATAGCTTCTCTGTCGCCTGATTGTTGGGCAATAGACCATTGTAAGAGTTTCTCCATGTTGTGAATATGTTACTTTGCTTGTATAAAAACTTGTTTGACCGACAAGTAAAGATATCTATAAATGGGAAAGGATAGGGATATTTAAAGCTGCGATGATCTGAGAAATGTCAATTTTTTTCTGGTGAGTGCGAATAAATATTTTGCAACAGAAAAATCTAGAAGGTTCTAAGAACGTTTATTTTAGTTTAATATGAGACTTTACAACGTCATTATTATACACGCTATCAGAATGTGGTTAAGAGACTCCAGTGGAATTGCCGATTGAATTTAGATGGCTAGTTTGTACATGTATTTGAGCCTGTATAGAAAAAGAGTAGTGGAATTGGTTTGTAGATACTGGCATTCATAGTGATTCGAATCTTATCAGAGTTGTTGCAACCACATCAAACTTCAGTAATTATAGATTGTGTTTCAATTCAGATGTGGCTGCAAATTACGAACACGTTTAGAATTCAAAAGATACCACAGAGTGACATGATGAAACTCTAAGGTTGTATTCTCGTTTTTTACCACACAATTTCTGTTGTAGATTTGTTTCTATGTGTATGCATTACATTGAAATCATAAAAAATCTCCGAGCTACCAGTTTACATCATTTGTATCCCATTCACCCCTTCCACCGAGGTTGGATCAAATTAAAGGAATTGCATCTTACAATTTATATAAATTATATAATTAATTATATATAATGAATCAAGTGTGGACATACCCACATCAATAACCGTTTTATCGATCGTCTAATCAGAGGGTGTGTACAATACTTCTTCTATGTAAATTGTCTCCTTACCGTTTCTGTCAGCTGATTGTGAAAAAAAAAAAGCGTTTTTTTCTGTCAACCGGAAGATTGAAATCCGCCGGGATTATTTTTTTTTGTTGCTGTTTTAAGTGAGTGTAGGGGACACCGGGGTAGTGGAACCAGTAACACATGGGCACATACTATTTATGTCTTTTAAATTGCTATATATACCTTGTTGATTATGTTCTACTATATCAATTGAGTAGTGTGAATTAGTCATTGACTATTGGTAATGTCAATTAGTGTCCCTTTTTTGTATCTATAATTACAGGGGAATTGTATCTAATCACTCCGAAAGTTTCTCTCTCGGAGTAAATAAAAATATTATAATTAACTGAAAAATAATTCTGGCCGTGGCGTAATGTTTGAATTTTTCAATCTTTTCATTATCAAATGGGTTATCCCTTGTTCTTTTTTTTTCATAAAGTATAAATTTCAATTAAATTTCCCCCTTTTTAAAATAATTTTAAAATAAAAATCCTTCTTTCTTATTTTAATTCAATTGGTTATAAATCAAAGAATATTACTTTTACAATCATGTCATTATCAAACAAATTATCAGTTAAAGACTTAGATGTCGCTAACAAAAGAGTCTTCATTAGAGTTGATTTCAATGTTCCATTAGATGGTAAAACTATTACCAACAATCAAAGAATTGTTGCTGCTTTACCAACTATTCAATATGTATTAGAAAACAAGGCTAAATCTGTCATTTTAGCTTCTCATTTAGGTAGACCAAATGGTGAACCAAATGATAAATATTCTTTAGCTCCAGTTGCTGCTGAATTGGAAAAATTATTAGGTAAACCAGTTACTTTCTTAAGTGATTGTGTTGGTCCAGAAGTTGAAGCTGCTGTCAATGCTGGTAAGAATGGTCAAGTCTTCTTATTAGAAAACTTGAGATATCATATTGAAGAAGAAGGTTCTCAAAAGAAGGATGGTCAAAAAATTAAAGCTAGTGCAGAAGCTGTCAAGAAATTCAGAGAACAATTGACTGCTTTAGCTGATGTCTATGTTAATGATGCTTTTGGTACTGCCCACAGAGCTCATTCTTCAATGGTTGGTTTAGAATTACCACAAAGAGCTGCTGGTTTCTTAATGGCCAAGGAATTAGAATACTTTGCTAAAGCTTTAGAAAACCCAAACAGACCATTCCTTGCCATCTTAGGTGGTGCTAAGGTTTCTGATAAGATTCAATTGATTGATAACTTGTTAGATAAAGTTGATTTATTAATTGTTGGAGGTGGTATGGCCTTCACTTTTAAGAAAGTCTTGGATAACATGAACATTGGTACTTCATTATTCGATGAAGCCGGTTCCAAGAATGTTCTTCACTTGGTTGAAAAGGCCAAGAAGAATGGTGTTGAATTAATCTTACCTGTTGATTTCGTCACTGCTGATAAATTCGATAAAGATGCCCAAGTAGGTACTGCCACTCAAGAAGAAGGTATTCCAGACAATTGGATGGGTTTGGATGCTGGTCCAAAATCAAACAAATTATTCGCTGATGCAGTTGCTAAAGCAAAGACTATTGTTTGGAATGGTCCTCCAGGTGTTTTTGAATTTGAAAAATTCGCAACTGGTACTAAATCTTTATTAGATGCTGCTGTTTCTTCTGCTGAAGCTGGTAATATCGTTATCATTGGTGGTGGTGATACCGCTACCGTTGCCAAGAAGTATGGTGTTGTTGACAAATTATCCCATGTTTCTACTGGTGGTGGTGCTTCTTTGGAATTATTAGAAGGTAAGGCTTTACCTGGTGTTGTAGCCCTTTCTAATAAGGATTAGAAGTTGTAAAAAAACATTAATTAATGAATACCGTCTTTCTTTTGGATAAATTAGTTCTGATATATGAGTTTTAAATAATAAGACATTTTAATATAATGAGTAGATTTTTGTAAATTAGTTAATGTAGATGTAAATTGTATAGATTTAAGCAATTAATTGAGTTTCGAAGTATATAATGTTGGTAGCGCACGCTTTGTTACGTTCGGGACTGAGCTACCATGCGCACATTAGAATCTTCCTCTATTTAAAACGTTTAGAGAAGTCCTTTCCACGTATTATTCGTTGGGTTGGACCGGGCCAATTCATTCATTTGTTCTTTACCGGAACACTAGAGTGGTAATTGTCCTAACTAAAATACGAAAGCGCTCATAGTGAAAGTCTTACTGATACAAACACGAATGGAGAAATTCTATGTTAAACATATAAACGAATATATTCTCTAATTATACATCCTATCATATACAAATAAACAAAAGAAGAATTGCTCTTACAACTTAGCTTTCCCATGACAAATATTATACCAAGCTTCTTCAGTTAATTCTTCATACTTCTCCCCATTCAACCAATAAATCAATTCAGATCCATCATCACCTTTTGGTAATTTCTGTTTCTTGAATTGATTCTTTGGAACCTTATTATTATGACTACTTTCAATCTCAGGAGTAATCTTAATGAATTGAGGTTGGGCATAATTTGGTAATGAATGCATTACATGTTCATGAACCTTCTTCAACACTTGCTGATCCGACAAATCATCAAGTGGTTCAAGAACAGCGAAACAAGCTCTACCTTCATGTTTTGGTACTTGAACCCCAACCACGACTGATTGTTTTATGACCCCCGAACCCATTAATTCATTCTCAACTTCAGTAGCGGACACATTTTCTGATTTCCATCTAAACGTATCACCTAACCTATCCACGAAATATAGTAATCCATGTTTATCCATCTTTAATAAATCACCAGATCTAAACCAAGCATCACCTTTTCTGAAAACATTGAGTAAAATTTTCGAATTGGTGGCTTCTTTATTTCCATAATATCCTTGGAAAGTTTCTTCAACTTTTTGAGGATTTAAAATCTTCATAATAAATTCACCCGGTTTATCAATTGCCGCCACTTTACAAAATCCAGTCTTTGGATCTCTCCAAATCTCATTCTCATCTTCCGGATCCATCATCACAATCCTTTGTTGGAAAGACAATAACAAATTCAAAAATGATCCAAATTTCCTACATGCTCCAATTCCAAAATCACCAAATTGTAAATTCGTAGTCGCAATTGGCGATTCCGTCGCCGCATAAAATTCCCCCACCGCTTCAATCCTAAACCTCTCTTTAAACAGCTTCCAAATATCACGACGTAATCCATTCCCATACGCAATCCTCACTTGATGTTTCGTTTCATCAGGATGATATTTCGAATTAATCAAATATCGACAAGTCTCACCCACATATTGAATATGTGTCGATTTACTCAATTTAGCCTGAGTCCAAAAAGTCGATGACGAAAACTTCGCCGAAAGGGTAACACAACCACCAACCAATAACGTGGGACATATGGCCAACATGGCGGCAGTGGCATGATATAATGGCATGGCGGTTAATACGTTGGATTGGGAATCGATTTTCATGATATATCCGAAAAACATAGCTGCCATGAATGCTTTTCTCCAAGACATGATACCGGCTTTTGGTAAGCCCGTAGTCCCCGATGTATAAATCAATACTCCGGGTGAACAGTCGGTGTTTTCTGGACGTCTGGTCTTATCAGCTGCACGGTGTTTGGGAGTGGTTTTGGATTTCAATCTTGCAAATAGTTCGGATTCATTAATGTAGTTTAATTTAACATGAGGTAATTCTTCATTGATCTTGGGTTCTGATTCTTGGATATTGATGGCACAATCGGGATCAATGAATATTTGTGAAATATCCGCGATTTTAATACAATGAATCAATGGTTTTTCCATGGTATTATAATTGATAAAAGATGGTAATGCACCAATGTTCCATAATGCAAACCATAACACCAAAAATAATGGTTTATTAGTACTATTAATCCCAATTGTATCCTTCAGAGTAATACCATGTTCATTCACCAATATCCAAGACATTCTCAATATCATATCATAAAGTTCCAGATATGTATATTCTTCAATCAGAAACAATTCATCATAAATAGGATATCCCGCATCATCCAATCGGGCCTCATTGGTAGGTTTGATTTGTTTGGTGTATGAAATAGCCTTCTTTTGGGGGAATTTCTTGGCGGCTTGTTCGAAATAATACCAATATTGGGCATATCCTCTCTTAGACCAATATAGATATGGAAGAGTACTTCTGATTACTTTTTGGACTAATAAGAAATCTTCTTTGATTAAATATTTGGATTCTAATAGTTGGGTACCTAAGAGACCAGCAATAGCAAATTCTGCACCTATCATATTCTATGGGGTGTTATATCTGGGGGGAGTTTGGATTGGAGAAAGGGTTGAAATTTTGAGTTTTTATATTTTTGGTTGTAACCTCATCAATTGCGAAAGATCGTGGGGGATTTAAGATATTTATATGATGGAGAAGGAGAGATTGAAATTTTTCATATGTCAATTTTTTGCGTCTAATTAAAGATTGAGTTTTTACTACTGAAAAAAACATGTAAAGAGGAGTAAAATAAAAATGTAATTTAAGTTGTTAATTAGTTACATTATTGTTTCTTGACAGTGTAATTTGTTGTGGATCTCCATAAATTCACAAGGCAGGCTAGCTCTTTAACTAAAACAATATAGAGTTTGGCCTGCCAATCCCTGCTTTGAAGTCTGGAGTATTCCTCGAGGATTCCTGCCAATAGAAGACTTCTCCCCAACAAACCCACGCGGTTTATAGAACTGAAGTGACATACTTGTACCAATCACTCATCATCTCGATCCATGTAAACACCGTGACTATAACATCCGAGATTTCTGAATTTCCATTGTCAAGTTCAGGATTTATCACATGATTCAACAATGATGATGTCATTTGCCTTAGTTAAGTAATTTCACACACATCAAATATTTTTTTTGGGCACGGTCTCGGCAACGTGATGAGAAATATGCAAGTTACGGACTTAATAAAGTCCTATCTCCGCCATACAATAAACCCACCATTTCTGTCAACGTTAACTTATTATACTTTTACAAAGAGATATTTCTAGTAAGTTAATTGTTTCATATTTTACAATTTCACATAATATACAAATTCCTATTTAAAGAAAAAGAAACGTCACAAAAAACAATGGCTGCAAAATCATCGTCTTTTTTGACCCCGTTATCGAAACCCCGGAATTCTTCGACTATCACCACTTGATTTATTCAAATCAATAGTTGAAGAAGGTTTCACTGAAACATCATATATCCCAAGATCCATTTCTTCTTCTGTCTCCACATCAGTAGCATCTTCCGTGTCATGCTGATCCTCATCTTCATCTTCTGCTTCCTCCTCATCTTCCTCAGTTATTAGATTTAAATGACTTGTCACTACTCCGAAATTCCAGGAATGGGGTAATGATCCAGAACTCCTACTACTTGTATGTGTATCATTATTATTTTGACTATTAAAGGCCTGATTATTCTTTGATCTTGTCTGCTTTTGATTCAGCACCTTTCCTTTTTGTTTCTGCTGTAGTTTCTGTTCTTGTTTCTTATACAATGGAGCCGTAAAGAATCCTTCTGCATATTCACTAGTCAACGAAAAGATAGAACTCTCATTCCCCCCACCACCACCTTCCTCGGTCTCAATCCTCCATCCAGCTATCTTCGGGTCATTCTTAATCAAAATCTCTAATATCTCATTCGCCTTAGCAACAACAAATTCCAGATCGTTATATAATCCAAACTGAACCACTGATTTCAATTCAACATTGGAATCATGTATATAATGTTCCATACAACATTGACAATGATTCAGGATTAATATCTTAAGTATCTCAAAAAAGAAAATTTTATTTCGAGTTAAATTGGTGACATCAACAGCTTGGGCCAACATGGGGATATATCCGATATAATCATTACATATACTATGTTTGATAGCTTCTCGAATCACAAGGGCGATTTTTAATTCTATTTCGGATAACAATTTGGCGGGGGTGGATTGGATTGAATAAAGACCTAATTGGAGATTACATAATATTCTAAATATTGTGGTTCTGGTTTGGATGATTGGTTGTTTTAGGTTCCATTTTTTGAATTGGGTGAGGATTATGTGGGTTGAGGATTGGGGTTTTTCGTCTTGGTAGTCATAATATCTATAATGATTCCAACAATATGTGAGGATGACTTCTACTAGTTGCAATTGGAGATTTGGGTTGATTTCGTTGAATACGATAAATATTGATCCGTTATCGATTATTTCCTCCATGCAATCATTGAATGATTCCAAGTATGTGTTGGGGTTCCCACGGACTAAGTTTTGACATTTCCCAATTGAAATCAATTGTAAAACAGCTAAAGATTTCTCAACGGGACATTGAGAATTAATGATTGAATTCTTGATTTCAAATATTACTCTAGTTAATTTCCAAGCCTGATCAAATTGAGAAATTGGGATTTGAATATTGGTATTATTTGATAATAATAATTTCGACATTGATAATTTATATTTTGTCTTTTTGATTTGTGAAAGTCTTAATAAACTATCATCATCCCAATCTAAAGTTCTATTATATCTTTGTAATTCTTCAATTGAATAAGTAATTTTATATTTGATTTGACTATTTGTAAGTTTTGAAATTGATTTATCACTAAACCCAGTAATATTCCCTTGTCTATGACTGACTAAATTGAACCTACTATGACTGTTCTTGGTATATGAACTAGTTCCCAGATTATTGGAACTTTCAGTTATATTTGAATTTTGAGAATCTTCCCAACCTGGTGAATTCTCAGTATTATTCTTATCATCCCCAAATTGTGTCAAACCAGAAGTAATTGCCTCCGCAAGGTTTCTATTCTGATTTGATCCTATTCCATTCATTGCTATCTGTTGTTGATGATTAAGTATCTTCTGTTGTTGAAGTTGTTGCTGCATTAGTCTCCCATCCGTATTCCCATCTCCCTCTTTGTTGTCCCCTCCTCCATCTCCACCACCTCCTCCCCTGTCGGTAACATGTTTCAAATCATTCCAATTATATAACCTTGTAACTTCACTAGTTGACGAATTAAGTCGATTCTTAAAAGATAAATAATATTCTCTAATTCCAAATGAAATAGCAGCAATGATTATAATAAGTAAGATAATTGTGGCAAACATATAAAATGCATTGGCTAGTATTATTGAATTTGCCGCCACAAAAGATGATGAAGTCGTGGTTGATGTAAAGGTTGTATGGAATGGTTTTATATCTTCAATGGCTTTCTTAGAGCCTATTCTTAAATATGAATCTCGGTAATTGTTTTGGATATATGGAGGATCTTCATTTATAGGTTGATGTCTTTGATATGCCTTGTGTTGTTGTGGTGGTGGAGTTTTAACGACCACGATATGTTGCAAATTATTGGGAGATTTTTGATGGGATTTCTTTGCTGTAATTGATATATCGGGCATTATGGATATATTGTAATAGTCTTTGGGGTGGATCAGATAGTCTGTATGTATGTTATGTATGCAATGGGCAAGAACCTGACTATGTATAGATGATTAATTAAGTTATCTCTGTGTTTGTGGTATTAATTTTATAAAAAATTCTTTTGAAAATGGCTGCAATAAACAAAAACAAATGGCAAGCCACTGTTAACTATTGATGTTTGGATGTAATCACTATAGAAGAAAAAAATGCAACCAATCTGTCTCGGTTGTTTATATGCAGTACCACAAATAAAATCATCCAATTCTTTATTTTTATTTTTTATTTTTTAATCCAATTGGAAAAATTTCATTTCTCATCACCTTATACACGACCCACACACCTGCTTACTTATAAATAATTACACTTACTTACTTACTACCCTCCCTTCATTCACCCCTCCTAACCCTATAGAAGCCCATATAGTAAAAGTACAGGTCATAGTCCCCAACCATGTTATCAAGGACTCGATTCTTTTTCACTAAGAATACTTCTGTATTAAAGACCTTAGCTCAAAACAAGGGATGTAAATTAACATTACTTCCAACTAAACAATCAATATTTCAACTGTTTAAAACCTCAAGAATATGTCCAACTACTTCTAAGATAACCAATTCATGGAAATCTTCAAGTGTAACTTTCAAGAGATCATACTCAACTGGAGCTACTACTAGTGCTATTAAAGCTACTGCTGAATCAAACTCCGTTCCAAAACCAAGTGTTTCGGATTATTCCAAATCAGAAAATCCAAAAGTAACTTCAAACAGAATAGTAGGATATTGGTTAATCGGAACCTCGGGATTAGTCTTCGGGATCGTCGTACTTGGAGGATTGACAAGATTGACCGAATCGGGACTTTCAATCACCGAATGGAAACCCGTCACCGGAGCAATTCCACCAATAACTCAACAAGATTGGGAAGATGAATTTTCTAAATATAAAGAATCTCCTGAATTCAAATTATTAAATTCTCATATTACTTTAGAAGAATTTAAATTTATTTTTTATATGGAATGGGGACATCGATTAATGGGAAGATTTATTGGGATGTTTTTCATCTTGCCGGCAGTTTATTTCTGGACTACCAAGAGATTCACGCCACATGTTACGAAAAGAGTGATTGGATTGACTGGATTGTTAGGATTACAAGGTGCGATTGGTTGGTGGATGGTTAAATCCGGATTAGATGAAGAACAATTAAAAGAAAGAAGATCAATCCCAACTGTTTCACAATATCGTTTGACAACTCATCTAGGTGCGGCTTTTTTGATGTATTTAGGGGTATTATGGACTTCAATGGAAATCTTAAATGAGAATAAATATTTGGAATTGGCTAAAAAGAGTCAAGATAAATTATTAAAGATTTTTAATCTTTTGAAATCAAGTAAGATTAATCGAATTCGTGCATTTGGATATGGATTATTGGGATTGACTTTCATAACCGCCATGTCAGGTGGGATGGTTGCTGGATTAGATGCTGGTTTGATTTATAATACCTTCCCTCATATGGGAGAAGATTGGATTCCATCAAAGGGAGAATTATTTTCTCCACTTTTTGCAAGAAAGGAAGATTTATCTGATTTATGGTGGAGAAACTTATTAGAAAACCCAACCACTGTCCAATTAGTCCATCGTATTTTTGCAACAACTACTTTTTTTGTTGCTTTGTGGGGACACTTCTACGTTTCGAGAAATAAGAAGATTATACCAGAAGCAGCCAGAAAGGCAATGCATGTCGTTATGGGAGTTGCAACAGTACAAGTTGCATTAGGAATTACTACCTTGCTTTATTTAGTGCCAATTAATATCGCAGCTGCTCATCAAGCTGGTGCTTTGGCACTTTTGACTGCTTCTCTTGCCTTTTCGGCCAAATTGAAGAGACCAAGACCACAAATTGAGTTACAAGTTGGTCAAAGTTTAAAGAATTTTACAAATATAGCCAGACAACAAACCCAGAAACAAATCCTCGCACAAGCTCAACCACAAGTTAAGCCCCAAGTTGTCAAGCAAGCTCAAATACAACCAAACAACCCAGCTAAAGAAATATCAGAAGAAGAAACAAAACAACTCAGCGTCAAAGAAATAGAAGAAAAATTAGCCCAAGTGAAAGAGAAACAACAACAACAAACAATCACAGCTCAAGCAGCAACTCCTGAATCAACCAAAAAATCAAAAAAGAAGAAGAAGTCGAAGGCTAATCATTAAATCTTGTATAAATCTATTTATATAAACAAACTTCTTGTATATAAAAATTATGCCTTAATATGTTCTTACCATATTTTTTTACTTGCCATCTTGTATCGCATTACTTTTGATAATCCCTCATCACCATTATCTTGTTCTAATTTATTAAATGGACCTTTCATCAATTGTTTATTTCTTCTTTGTTCAATTGTGGGCGGGATCTTTTCGTCAGGGTCATATAGATGGGCTCTTGTTTTTGGATTGATGGTTGATGGCTCGGTATTTGGAGATCCTCTAAGGAATGAAGTGTGGATGGATGAACAGGGTGATGAAAAGTCTTCTTCGGGACCGGGTGTGGGGGAGGGAGTTCTGATATTTGGGAATGAGTTTCTGCTGGAGCTGGCAGCTACGGATTCTAGTTTCATGGTGAGTTTAGATTTTGGTTGGGGACTGGCAACTGCTGTGGCGGTTGAAGTAGTGCTAGTGGTGTTAGCGATTGATTTTATAATCTGATCTTGATATTTCTTATGCCTTACAACATAATAATTAGCCATTTTAAAAATTACAAGTCCCAATATAACTCTTATCAAAAGCAATGTCAAGAAAGTTGTAGCAATAAGACATACACTTGCCAAAACTGCCAGAACTTTAGAATTCGAAACTGTTACGGGGAAAGTAAAAACTCTCGTCAAATCGGGTAATGTCATTCTCAAAAAACAAACCACTGAAGCCAATAACGGTAATCCAATTCTTCTTGTCAATACAATATAATCAGTAAATTCTCGATTAACTTTTGGTTGAAATACTTCCAAGAAATCCAAACACGATACATATATGAAATTTCGATATATCTTTGGTTTAAATTTATTAAATTTTGAAATATAACAATGTTTTAACCAATCCACAAATATTTCACTTCCAATAACAACAATCACAGGACCAAACATAACACCAAACCAAGTATTCCAACTTTGCCAACTATTTGGGATTAAACCAATTTGTTTCCCACTTCCACTTAATTGGAAAATATTTCTAAGAGCAATTATCCCTAACATTAATGATAATTGAAATCTTTCTGATAAATCTGCCATTGTTATTTGAAATAATCCTTCTCTATCGAATTTCTTAAATACTGATCCTTTTAATTCTGAAAACTGATTTGATAGGAGTAATGTCATTAAAGCATTTGAATATGAATTAGCAGCAACATTTAATGATACTGTTTGATAAATTAAGATATATGCATGGAATGATAAATAAAATATTGCAATTATATAAAATCCAATAAATCTTGTATATTCATCAGTTGGTGATGTTTGATATAAGATATTAAGAATATCTTGACCAATTGATGAACATAATTTCTCAGCAACTTCTAATACTCCAAACGTTACATATAATTTTATATCGGTTTGACCTCTAACATCATGATACATTCTTGAAATATCTAATCTTGAAGTTGTTGATAAAATATAGATTGATATTATAATTATTGTTATTGTAACTACATCTCTTTTGATTAATCTAAGATGGGGAGTTTTCTTGGTTAATAAATGACTATAAATTGATTGACAACTTACAATCAATATCTTTAATGGTGCCAATGTAAATAAGGTTAAGAATGAATTAAAACATACTAATAATCCAAATATCATAAATTTTTCTAAATAATAAGGAATCTTTATCATATTTTGTAATTCTTCAAATGAATTACTATCTTCAATTAACCCTTTTGGTTCTTCTTCATCTATCCATTCCAGTTGATTAGATGTTGATTGTAAATTCATTTCCATTAATAAAAGATTATATAACGATGTCAATCGTCTTTTATTCCTGGTAGTGTTATTACTACTATTACTATTAGTGCTGCTACTTTCATTCTTAGTTAGCTTGGTACTACGACCACTACTACCATTACTATTCGCAGTCAGTGATAAATCAATAGATCTTCGTCTACTACCAAACAAATAATTCACAATTGATTTGTTATGGGATCGGGATGATGATAATGATGTTGAGGTTGATCCAGATCGTGATCGTACTCCTGTAGAACTTGCTATATGTCTTATTGGAACACTCTGATGTTGTTGTTGTTGTTTCTCTTTATCCAATCGATTGATTGGTGACTTTGATTTATGTTTAGTCATTCACTTTGAATCCCGTTGTGTCTATTGTTTATTAAGAAAGAATGATTAAATTAAGATTAAAGTTAAATTTATTTTTTCTGTTTCGGATCTTCTTACCTTTTAAATTTGATTAACTACTTTGTAAAGTGAGATTATTTGATTGCTAAGTAATATTTCTCACCCACTTGTAATTTGTTCTGGTGAGAGTAATTTAATATCTTAATTGATTCATTGATGAGGTTTATATATTTATAAAACCCTTTTCTTTGATTTCTTATAATTTTGATATGGAACAGTAGTACACAACACAATTAAATATGGAATTATTAACATTAGAATCATTTATTCAACATTTAGAATCATTTGCTAATAAAGAATTATTAACAACAACAGAATCAATTAAATTACAATTAATAATTACTGAATTATTAGTTGATTATTATGTTGATTTCAAATTATTACGATTCTTAAGTAGATTCTTAACTCAACAAACTTATGATGAAATCATAGAAGAAAGAAACATAGAACATCAATGTGGTTATATTCTTTGTTCTAATACCCCAAAACAAATGGTTAGAAGATTATCCATGAATAGTAACGGTATAACTAGTGCAAGTATACAAGATCCAGGTGCATCTACTCATTATCAAATATCAAATAGGAAACCTACTATGATATTACCAAACACTTATCTATCTCAATATTGTTGTAAAGAACATTATCAAGCCCTGATTTTTTATAGAAATCAACTTTCAAATGAAGCTATCTTTGCTAGAAATAATATTATGATTATTGAACCCTTTCCCTTGCATTTACCTACTTGGTATGAAAATTCAATTACTTGTTTAGAAGAAGTCATTGCCAAGCATAAAGAATTAAAACAACATGGAAAATCCTTATCTGAAGTCATTGCTATGATGAGTGGGTTATCGGTAGCTGATCATGAAACAAATCAAGAAACAAATGATCTAGCTAAATTGATTGAAGATTTTGAAATCGTAGAAAAGGAATCTAATCTAGTTGGAGATGCTCCTCGAGATCCATACTCTGCTGTTGGTGGTGTTCGTGGAGGAGGTGGTGTTGTTGTTCCTGAAGAAGATGATGAAGAGGATGAAACTGGGATGGCAAATACAATTGAGGGATATGTTACGAATCATAAAAGTTTTGGAGGTTATGTAGTGTAATGCTTGGTATGTATTGTAGAAATGAATATCTATGGACGTCTTGTATAATTTGCACGATCTCTAGGATGTCTAGAGTTATCCCTATCAGTTCGATCTCTAGGTTGCCTGGAGTTATCTTTATCACGACGATCTCTTGGTTGTCTAAAGCTATCCCTATCAGCACGATCTCTAGATTGCCTAGTGTTATCCCTAAGGGTGCAATCTCTAGGAGGTCTATCCAGAGAGTAATTCTTGGCGGGACGATCTGTAGGAGATCTATCAGATCGATTTGATATAACCCTATCTCTGGGATTTCTATCAGATCTAGGCGGGATGTACCTATCGTTGCCTTCAGTATCTTCTATAAGTTTGGTACTAGGAGTTTCTTTGAACCGGAATCTTTTAGTAAATCCATATCCATATTGATAATCATATAATTCATTATGCTGAAGGAAATCTCCCAAGGTTTTACCTTTTCCTATTCTATCTACACGAGGTAAAATTCCTTGAAGATCACGAGCTTTTAATTTCTTTCTTATACTAACCGTACATGGAGGTGAAACAATTTCTGAATGTTTATGAACTTTAAATTTCGAAAGATCCTCTAATAACTTCTCATATTTTGATAATTTCCTTTCATACATCCTAAACATTTCTTTTTGATACCTTGCTCTCTTTTCTTCAAATTCCTCACCCTTATACTCATCAATATCTTTAAAAAGATTATCAACCTGCTCCTTAACAAACAAACTACTTTCTTCTAATGGTCCATACCATTCTTTTTCCAACCCCCGAAAATTAATCTTCACATTCTCATTACCATCCTTCATCTTATTCTCTTCAATCTGAAGCAATCCTTCATACATGATCTCCCCCTCCACAAGCTCCTCATAATACGCCCTCGGGAACATTCTCCCCTCTGACCCAAACCCCCCACTACCACGAATATGAAAACTCCCATCTCTTTGTAATTTTTCCCCATCAATTGAACCCACTGCCTCCCACGCATACATTATCCTCATGGCGAGAATATATCGACGAATAAACCGGGCTAATGTGATCTTATCCGAGTTCCAGTGGGGTAGTTTTAAAAAAGGGATACCTGCCACGGTTGCCTTGTTGGCTCGAACTACCCAGGGACCTTTTTCATTTATGATTTTTTTAATCTTATTAAAATTATATTTATAATTTATATCATATTCTAGCCCGGGGATGACGATTCCGTATAAGTATTCCTTATCATATGCTTCTGAAACTGCTCTTTTGGTGGTCCGGTCTTCGAAATTATATGCATAGTATTGATCACCTTTCGTTTGTAATTTCTCCGGCGTGTATGGTAATAAGTTCGGATTCGGAATTTCTTGATCGGCTTGTAGGTTTCGAAGATGGTTATTTAGGACAGTATGACAATATGCCCCAATTTGTTCACGTGCCTGATTTAATCGTTGTCGATTTCTTTCTTCTGAGTTTATTATGAATTGTTGTGATGGTGTTTTATTATGTGATTGGGTTGATGATTTATGTTTGGCGTTTTTTGTGGATTGATAATGAAGTCTCATTTCTAATCCACGGAGTGTTTTTCCTTGATGGGCAAGAATCTCGACTTGTCGAGCTAGACGAGAACTGGTGTGTTTCTGGTGGGTGATGGTTTGGGTTCGTTGTTGGTCGCGAAATTTGAATAATTCATCCCATTGGTTCGATGTGATTGTTTGGTCGAGGATTTGGTTGAGTTGGATGGCTGATATTAGTTTCTCACTTAATTCTAATTCATTGGTGATGGGTGAGCGGAATTGTTCTTTGAGGTTGAATCGGAGTTCGAATGCTGTGTGTTTTAGAAATTGTTGTGGATTTTGGTGGTTGATATGAGATGCAAGTATACTGGGATCGATTTTCTTTAGTTTGTTGGATTGCCTTAGAAGTTGTTTATATAGTTGACATACTGATTCTTCATGACTCTTCCTTCGAAGCACATTGCTTAACATTTTGTATGAAAATCACTATAGCTTCTTTAAAGGACAGTACTCATCTTAAGATTTTTTTTCAGTCTCTAAACCTCACTTGTAAAGAGGAACGCGATTCTATCGACAGCTTTTCATTTCGATCCACAACTAAAGAGCAACCAAAATGGTATGTACCCCCCAACCCTGCTTCCAATTAATATGCTCGCCTCATACTAACAACTCTCTCTCCTACTCAGGCCCCACCAAAGAAATCAAAAGTCACAGACATCATAATATTAAAATTCAAAAGAGGTAAAACAACAATCACCCTCCCCATATCAACCATATCCCTAGACTCTATAAAACAAGAACTCACATCGGCAATCAATAGTACAGGCGGAGTACAACCCATCAAAGAAGAAGAAGAAGCACAAGAGAACTTTGATGACGAAGATGCTATTCCTGTTCCAAAATCGGAATATTTAGATGATGATGTCGAACAACAGACTGAATCGGACGTGGTGTCGGTATCCCCCGATCAGATACGAATTGGTATTCCCAAAGATCCCACATCTCCATATGATAACCAATGGACAGAAATAGATTCGGATGAGATATTGTCAGATATAATTTTTAAAGATTATGATATTTTGGCATTTGAATATTTGGAAAATCAACCATTTGAAATAGTTGAAGCTGCATATGATGATGATACTAATCAATAATAAACTTCTCTCTATTATAATAACTACAATTATAAAACACAAATACAAAATATAGAAACAAAGCATCTAATATACAAAAAGAATAATATTCATTAGCGTCTTCTCCTTTAATATTTCTTACCACTTGATTTTCTAATCCCACCGGAAAGAACTCTAGTACCTTGGAATTGATTAGGATGACTCTGTTGAATGACTGCACTCAGAGCTCTACTCTTTCTTGCCTTTGGCATTTTGATAGTTGGAGAACTTTGTGGGGATGATCCACCAAGCACACTAATCGTTTTCGTGGTTGTGGTGGTTGTGGTAGTCTTGGTTAAATGAACAGGTTGTGGAGTTCTGGAATTTGCCGATATGGATCTTAAGACACGCCAATCTTGATCACGTTTAGTTGAAACTGTACTATCGGGAGTTTTCATAATGGTGTCATTGCTATATTTATTCGGTGAACTGTCAATATCTTGCATAGTAGCTGAATTATTTTCTTCTTCAACATCAGAATTATTGATAAGATCAATGCTATCATTAGTCACATCCATTACGCGTTCTCCTTCTTCCTCTTCTTCTTCCACTTGTTTGTCATCTTCATTATATTTCCTTGGTTGACCTGGGGAATTCATAGGTACGGCGGTTTGGATCTTTGCTGCCAAAGCACCACTAATTTTTCTTCTTCTAATTGGAGTTTGGAATGATGAATCAGCATGACTGAATGATGAATTAATAGTTTGTTGACTTTGTAATTTTCTTTGTTTAAGTTCAGCTTTCATTCTTTGTTTAAATTCATCATATGGACATAATGGGAATAATCCACCAATAAATTCATCTGGTCTATTATCTAAGACCATTGTATGTCTCCAATCCCGGAAATCGTTTTGATGAAGATATAACCAATGTTGTTGTGGTCCAACTACCATTCCTGGTCTTATCATTCTCATATATGCAATACATTCATTAGCCGTGAAACCATGAGTATATATAAGATGAGCTCCAATTAAACATCCAGTTCTACCTAAACCAGCTTTACAATGTACAGCGATTTTTCCACCTTTGCTTATAATACATTCAGCTGCCCCTATGAATTTTTGAACGTATTCTAAAGTTGGACATGTCCCATCATCAAAGATCATATCTATATGTTGGATATTTCTTTTGGTGAATTCACGAGCATCATATAAATGAGAATTTAATCTTACAACCAATTTCACATCATTATCAGCAAAATAATTCAATACTTTTCTAAATGGCGCATTCAAAACATTTCGTCTTCCTTGTTGTGGTGATGCAAATGCAATAAAATCCTTTGAAATAACATTAAAATCCCCTTGTTCAACACGTTCATATTGTTCATATTCTTCTAAATCAAACGAAGTCAAATCAATCATTCCTCTTTCCTTAGCTCTCCACATGGCATATACAACATCTTGAATCGTAATCTCATAATCTGATTTCGAATATCCTGCATCTCTGAAACCTTGAAATGGGGGATCAATTTGAGAAATAGGTTGAAGAACTTGATGAGGTGACCAAGATTGGACTAGGACCATATAACAACATAATAAACATGCAGCGTTGGCTCTCAGCTTTGGGTCTGTGGAACTATAGAATACGGCGCCTTTTCCTTGATTAGATTCATCGTTTAACAAATTATGCAAAACTACCGCGAATCGATATAAATTACCAATGTTCAATGGACCAAAGTCTAAATGGAAGGCATTGTATGGTAATGCGTCTTCTACTGTGAAATGGACTAAGTCTTTAGTGTCTGTTGGAGTGTAATCAAAAGCACCTAAATAAACTCGATCTAAATAGCGTGAAATAGTTAGTAAATGGATCAATTGAAAACAAAGTAAACAAGTAACATACTTTTAAGAAACTCTATGAGTGGAACATCCACAATATTTTCCTTCATTGTTGTTGATATGTTTGAAGGACCAACCAAGTAAGAAGAAGTAAGAAGAAAGAATCGTTGTGTAGACTCTGAAATCAAAAATCAATTTGTTGTGAATTTCTATGGAGATTTTTTTGATTTTTTTGTTTTCATTTCTTCCCAATTAGGAAACCACACACTTGAGATTTCGAGCAACTTGAGCGCTACCCATTTAACTTTTATACAGGGGGTTCTGAAATTTTGGTTGACGGATTGATAGAAACGCATACCCATCTGTAAAGACAGTCCCATCAAATACAATTAGTCGAATTATGGTATGTAATCAATATCATTAGACAAATGAATCATGCTTACTAACAATTGACGTAGTCATCATCTTTATATACTTTCTCATCCGAGACTCTTAGTAGTCTTCGAAAGTTTAGATTTGGAAGTGCAAGAGTTGAGAATATGCAAGCTATAATATGTATGTACAAGAACTATTAATCATCACATCTGAACTTATTACTAATCTGAATTTCTTATAGATGAAATTGATAAAGAATCATATGAAGTTAAACGAGAAGACGAAGATCAAATAATAACCACTATTGAAGATTTAATTGAAGAATTACCTGACACTCAACCTCGATATGTTGTATTATCATATCCATTCAAATTATCTGATGGAAGATTGAAAACTCCTTTGGTGTTACTTTATTGGATCCCACCTACTAGTGGTCAAGAAAGTAGAATGCTATATGCTGGAGCTTTGGAACAATTTAGGGATAAAGCTGGAGTGTCTAAGTATGTATTGCCTATTCTGACTTATGATATTCAGAAATTATGCAGTGTGGAACTGATCCTGAATGTGGAATTCTTGATGTTTTTCTGGCTTTCTTGGAATTGAACTAAAGTCCAACAATTAAGAATCTCAAGATATCCAGGATCAATTTGGTTTAGATACTGTCACACCTCGTAATTCTGCAATCAGACTTCTCTGGCACGGGATACAGAAGTAATGAAGTAGTATATACTAACCATAATCGTTTAGGTTGATTAAAGTTGAAGATGAAGATGACTTTGACGACATTCAAGAACAATTACTATAAGAATGCTGCGAGCCTATATTGATTTTATAGATTGAATGCATATGATCGTATCCATCATTGGAGAAAATTAGGAGGTGTCAAACATATGTGCGTATGTTCTGACATATGACTAGGTGAACAAGGGCATTGTGACGCAATATGAAAACGAAATTGTACCCATTCTTATTTTGAGAATGAGACTAGCTGAGAAGCGTATTCAAAGCTTAAAAGTCTCCACCGTATTCTCAATGGTATATCTAAAATCGGTACAGAGGACGAATTTGTGACATCACTACCAATCGTTTTCAACCCTATTTAATGAGATCCATAGATTTACGGCCATTCGAAACTAACCGGATGGATTACCTTCCAGTATCTAAAGTGCCAATGGCGTTTCAAGCACAAGCTATGCAGGTAAACTGACAACTAATAATTGGGGTGAAGAGTATGGTTGCAAATCAACTGTTACTTATAGCCAATTTATCTGTACTCTAATTTACCCTGTGTATAAGTAATTTTCAGTCTTATCGAGAATTTATTTCTCCTGCTTGGTCGTGTGATTGTGCACAAAATATTCTAAAAAATTTTCAATTTTCTCTTCTTCTTCTTCTTCTTCTTCTCTCTATAAAAAAATTTTCACTTTTCATTATTCCTCTTCTTCTTCTCTTCTCTTCTTCTTCTCTTCTCTTCTTCTTCTCTTCTCTTCTTCTTCTTCTTTCATCACAACTAATAAAACAAATCAGTCATCATGGGTCGTATGCATTCATCTGTATGTGATTAATTCAAACAATAAGCAGATAGCTTCCTTCCCCTTCCTACCTCAGAGGATTCAAATATTTCACATTGTACTTAAAAAATCATCCTAGGTCTTGCCTAAAGTAAACAATTCACTATAATCCATAATGTGATTCGAATTGTTATTATACGCTTTAGGTATTTGATACTAGATGATTACTTTGTGAACAGAAAAAGATACATACCCATTAGCCTATTATCTTTTTCTGCTTTTGATATACCTACGATATTCATTTTTAACTACCATTATCCCAAGGAAAGAATCTAGTATCCCGGTGTGAACTACGGTCCGTCCGTATGAACAGGACGTATTAGTTTTCTTTTTCGAAGGGTACGGTTATTGAAACGATTACTATTTCTGGGGAGAACTTTATTCAATCAAGAGTAAAGAACCAAGTTTTACTAACAATTTTTTTTATTATAGGGTAAGGGTATTTCCTCCTCCGCTATTCCATACTCAAGAAACGCTCCATCTTGGTTCAAGTTATCTTCTGACGAAGTTGTTGAACAAGCCATCAAGTACGCCAGAAAGGGTTTAACTCCATCTCAAATTGGTGTTATCTTAAGAGATGCTCATGGTGTTTCTCAAGCTAAGGTTGTTACCGGTAACAAGATTTTAAGAATCTTAAAATCTAACGGTTTAGCTCCAGAAATTCCAGAAGATTTATACTACTTAATTAAGAAGGCTGTCTCTGTTAGAAAGCATTTAGAAAGAAACAGAAAAGATAGAGATTCTAAATTCAGATTAATTTTAATCGAATCTAGAATCCACAGATTAGCTAGATACTACAGAACCGTTGCTGTCTTACCACCAAACTGGAAGTACGAATCTGCTACTGCTTCTGCTTTAGTTGCTTAAGTTATTTAATTACAGTTTATATTCTTTTGTGTATATTGTATCATCATTAATAATGTAATTTAAATAATTTTATCAATTTGTTCACTTCTCCCTTTTGTATATAATAATTCCAGTTCGTATTAAAAAAAATTATATTGGCCCTGCGCTACCTCAAATCATTTTACTCTGCTTCTTCTACAAACAATAATGGAAGCAATCTCAGAAAGTGTATTCACAGACACAACATCCTCAGCAGAGATAGCAAGTGATGATCCTTCATTACTCACTGTCATCCTTGACATTAGTCCAATAGGATGGTATAATATACGACACCTAATTACCATCCAAGAAATAACCAAATCATTATTAGTCTTCTTAAATGCCCACCTATCCCTCAACAACTCCAACCAAGTCGCATTCATAGCCCTGGCCCCATCAGGGTCAAGATTCTTATATCCCAATCCTGCTAAAAACTATCAAGAAGTCAAGAATCATCATAAAAATGGTACTGGAACAGGAAATGATGAAAAATTACATACATATGTGAATAAAGGAATGTATCGACAATTTAGAATTGTAGATAATTCAGTCTTGGAAGAATTAGATGCATTTTTAGAAGAAATAAATAATAATATCGATGCTAATAAATCTACTGAGTCTAAATTATCAGGAGCATTAAGTATGGCATTAACTTATACTAATCGAATGTTAAAACTTGATCAATCAATTTCAACCACTACAGCATCCGCAATCTCATCAACTACAAGTATAAACACCGGCGGTTCATCCTCAACCACTTCCGGAGGTGGTGGCAGTTCCACCTCTGGATCAAGCGCATCCACATCCATCACATCCATGAAATCACGGATCTTGATTGTCTCAGCCAATGATGATGACGATATAAAATATATCCCAATCATGAATTCAATCTTTGCTGCCCAAAAGATGAAACTATCAATCGATATCGCCAAACTCGGCCCCCATAATTCTTCATTCCTTCAACAACCTTCCGACGCCACTAATGGGATTTATTTACATATCCAAGATCCTCGTGGGATAATTCAGATTTTGTCAACGGCATACTTTATAGAACCGAATCTTAGACCATTCATTATCCTTCCTACGAATTCAAATGTAAATTATCGTGCTAGTTGTTTCATAACTGGAAAAGCCGTAGATGTGGGATATGTATGTTCAGTATGTTTATGTATTATGAGTGTCTTGCCTGAGAGTGGATATTGTCCCGCTTGTAATTCTGAATTTGATAAGAAGATTATTCAACTGTTGAATAGAGAACCGGTGGTGTTGAGTAATAAGAAGAAACGAAAATTGGATATAAGTAAGAATGGAAGTTAGTTTAGTTTATATTCCTCTATTTATAATATTGAATGGATATTCTGAAGGGTAATTATGAGTTTTGATCATATGTAATTGGCGTTGTTCTTGGGTATGAAATATTTGATGACATGTATCTGAAAAACATTTATATATGGCTTCACCTTGTTCTTGTTTGATTGCGAGTATTGGATTATGATTTTCGTCAATATGATGATTTAGAATTGAATTGCTGGGGAATTGGCGATGACATTCTTCACATTCATAATCATGATGAGTTATTATATGCTGTTCGTATTCGAGATAATTTGTAAATCTCTCATTGGCACAAGATGGGTATATACATGTAATTGCCTTGGGCTTGTATCCTTCATTTTGCTCTCGAGAGTTATTATGATCGTCTTTCTCGTCTCTTGGTCGTTTTGACATGAGTTTCCTACAAAGAAAGAAGAATCAAAAGTGAGTGAAATTTTCTACAAACTTTTCATCAACTTCATCGTCATCATTATCCAATTACTTACACAACTTTTAAAAAGAAAAAATCTATTACATACGTCAAAACTAGTCTATTACTACTCTACTCACCAATATCTTCAAACCAATCTTGTGGTCTTTCATCAATAAACTTCTTCATCAAATCTTTACAATCTTGATCATCCATATTCACAACCTCAACCCCTTTTGACTTCAACAACTCTTCAGCACCCTGGAAATTCTCATTCTCTCCCAATACAACCCTTTTAATCCCATATAATAAACAAGCACCAGAACACATATTACATGGGGATAAAGTGGTATACATCGTACAATCCTTGTATGTCTTTCCGGGTAATCTACCTGCATTCTCAAGTGCTGACATTTCTCCATGTAAGATTGCACTACCCAGTTGAAATCTCATATTATGACCACGGCCTAATATAGTACCATCACTGGAAATCAAGGCACCTCCAATTGGAACACCTCCTTCTGAGTAACCTAAGATATTGTAAAGTTAGTTTATATTTTAATCAAACAAAGACGAGTCCCTCGAGAATTCATACCTTTACGAGCTTCTTCTAAAGCAATCTCTAATCCTTTCTTATCATCGAACGGCATTCTTGTGGATATAACTGAAAATAAACTTTCTCAAATCAAAAAACTAATGCCTGGCGGATGTTTTATACTTCAATAAAAAAAACGTTCCTAGATGAGATCCCTTTTTTTTGGTCCCCCACTCTCGCTCCCCCCACAAATTCTTAAACAATGGAAACAATTAACGGAACGGAACAATCATTTATAAAGATTAATAAGACCATTTCTATCCACGGAAACAATCATCTCAAACGGTTCATACAAAAGCCCTAATCCAGTAATAACATCTTGATGGGACTTAGTCACCCCTCCACCTAACATATCCCCCTCTCTCATAATTTCTTGAAATGATGATGAATGTTGTTTGAATGCATGTAGACTTGATTCTGGTTTTGGTTCCAATACTTCATCTATCATGATCTGATTCCCGATTGTTCGTTTATTGAATTTGGAAATCTGGGTGGTGTCTATTGATGATGAATCGGTTATTGAATTTAGGTTCCATAATGTGATTCTATTGTCTGATGTTGAACTTAAGAGACTGGGTTGATTGGTAATTATTGATTTGATGGAAGTTAGACATTTCTTATCGAAAGGTGTTGGTCCATCTAATAAAATTTCAATTTCTCGTTTGAGATCTTCAATTGGAGATGATGATGATGGGGTTCTTTTATGGGTGCTGGGGATTTCAATTAATTGATATTTTTCATAATATGATCTCGTAACATCACTACGTAAGATTGCTTTACATTCAAAACTAGGTATTTCCCAAATACTCACACTACTTGAACATTCTCCGCCACACATCATAGCAAATGACAATCCTGAAGTCTCTTTATTTGTTGTCTCGGAACTATTCCATAATTTCGACGGTAAGATTTGTAATGATTTAATTGAAGATACTTCCAGTTTTGTATCATTAATCTCTACAATCACTTTCCAACTCTTGATTAATAACTTAAATCTTAAATCCCAAAGACATAATATTCCTCGATCAGTTCCAATTAACAACCAAGTATTATTCTTAGTATCCATTATAAAACTATTCACAATCCCATATCTTAATGGATTCTGTAATTGTTCCAACCTTTCCATCGTGACTAAATTAAACAGTTGAATTCGTGATTGTGAATCAACACAAATCAATAAATTATCACGATCATTAATCACAACTTGCGAACTCATAACATATGAACCATCATTTAGATTATAATCTCTTATTAATTGTAATTTCATATATCGACTAATTCTCTTTGTTTTATTTCTCATAACATCAATTCTCAAAACTCGAATATTTCCATCTATTGTACTAACCACAATCACAAATCGATTAGGTAAAAATACAATATTGGTGATTTTTGACTTTAGGTCCATAGTCAAACTGGAACTCTTCACCGTTATAACTTTTTCCATCTTATAACTATCCCAAATCTTCAATATCCCCAATTCTGACCCCGTAATGAAGAATTCTGAAGTTGGACAAATTTCCAAACAGGTAATCCCATCAATTTCATCCGATTGATCATTACATCTAACATGTGCAACCAAAGTAGCTTTTGGTTTGAAAATTTCCTTAGGGGTGGGTTTTGGATATATGATATTTCCAAATTCGGTAAAATCACTTAAATTAGGATATAAATTCAATCCATTAAGATATTTCAAAATATATGGATTTTGCCCTTTGTAAGTATGTTTAATATGAGTAGTTACAATCTTGGAATTATTAACACTGAATACTCCATGTCTGGTATGTAAATCGCCTCGATATTCTTTTCCTCTTGAATCCTTCCCACGAGATTTGGTGTTGGTGTTGTTGTTGTTGCTGGTGGATGGATGAACATCCATTTCTCCAAATACGTTTGCTTCCACCGTCTGAACTGACGCCGTTACTCTTCCTATTGTTGGTAGCACTAAACTACCTGATCCTCTTCTTGTTTTGTTGGTTATTGAAACTGAATCTTTTTCTAATGCCGGAAGGACAGTTTCATTCTTGATTCCAACACTCGGTTGCACGATTGGTTCTGATTTATATATGATATCGAAAAATATATTCCTCGGTCTAACACTAATACCATTCTCAAATTGATTTTTCGTTTCTTGGGCCGATTTTTGGGATGTTTGAGTAGTAGTTGATTTACTTATATGATATATATAATCCCTCATGATGAAAACCTTCCATAATGACCTATCATCAAGCCCCAAGGATTTCAATTTAATCAACCATTGTTTATCTTCCGGAGATAATGGAACCGTTGATTTCGAAGTCTTTTTGTCACTATTATTGGAAAAACTCACTTCGGTATTCAATCGAGGTAAATAGACCGATTTCCCCATATTTTTCGAAAATGAAACCAATCTCTTCTTGGATGAACTTCCTGCTAATTCATTCACGACATAATTGGTCGATTTTTTCAGTTGCCAAAATAAGGATTTCCCCGTGGCATTTAAACACCACGTAATTGTCAAATCATAAATCGGTTTCGATAATGGTTTTGTCAAACATGGATATAGATTCCCCCAATCAATAATCGAAATGTCATATGATAAAAACCCTTTTATCAAAGGATATAAAAAACAATACCGATCCGCATCGGTAAGGTTTTGATTTATGTTAATAATCAACAATAATACCAGTTGTCGAATCCATTCATTTGGATGTAAGATTAAATTTATCGAATTGACAAGTAATTCTTTATATATCTCCAATGCATTAAATTCCGTCCTGGGATTAATTAACCTGTCGGCAACAAAAGTATTAAAAATCTCAAGTACTTTCAAAACCACCAATTGTTCACCATCTCCCAAACTTTGAATCAATAACGGGAGGATATATTGTTCAAATGACAATGCCCCGATGAATGGACCCATTTTTAATACTGATGAAAGAAATGCCATTCGAAGTCCTGGATCTGAATCATTCAAATATGAAATTAGATGGGGGAGTATGATATCGTTGGTTTTTTCAACTCCAAAGAATTGACATAATGGTAGGATATTTTGTAGGAGACTGATACGGACTGATGAATCTTTATCGGTTAATAATACCAATGTTATATCTTTAAATTTCAAATCAAGTTGATCTTTGGTAATGGTGGTTGAAGTATATGATTTCAAGATTTCATCAGATATTAGATTATTATTGGTATTATTTGGATAATATGATTGATAGATTGAAATATCCTTGCTTGGTTGGTTTTTGAATGATTTAGACATGATTAAGAATTTTTTGGAAACATTGGCTAAATGGGGTAAACAAGTTGCAATTGCACAATTTATCATTCTTTGTGAATCCTTATCAATTTTGGCAATTAATAAATTATATATCTTGGGAAGCAAATATTCCGGGAAAAGTGATGCATTTATAGGTGTGATATATGAACATGTCAGAAGTAAGGATGTGATTGAATAAAGGGCAAAACAGACCACTTTAGGTGAGATATTATGAGCAGTTGATCCTTGATTATTTGAATGATGAAATGTAGTTGCTTCTATAAATTCATCCAAAAATGAACATAAATAAGGTAATGATCTATCCAATTTACATTGATCATTGATTCTTTCCGATAATACAAGAATTAATTCACATGCTTTTATTTTGGAATTCACTTGTTTTAAGGTTTTGGATAATGCTATGACTGCATTTAAGATCAATAATGATGCTTCACTCAGAGAATCATTCTTAAACATTCGTGGTTTTATTGTATAATTATGTGGCATTGTAGGTAGATTCAATTTCAAAGGAATGGAAAACTCGTCGGAAGACTTAGTATCATTAAATTTATATTCAAACTTCAATTCACGACTTATTGATTCAAAACTATCATAGATATAGTTTATCTTTAAATCACTAATTGTTAAATTATCATCATTCTGAACAAAATTCTCACAATTATTCAAACTTTCCATAAACTCATATAAAAACGTATAAAAAAACTCCGGGAAACATTTCCCCTTATATTCCTCTAATAATTCTCTTGCACTTATTCTATCATCCGGATTAATTCTTAAACATTTCTCAATAATCTCGACAATATACTTATCCTGAAATCCCGAGAAATCAGGCTTATAATCCTCCTTAATGAATTTAAACAACTGGGACAAAGTAAATGTCGGTTCTCCATCCGCATATAATTCCGCAATCACACATCCCATACTGAAAAGATCCATTGAATCAGTAATGGTATTTTTTTTAAGTTTAAACAGTCCATCATCATTAAAATTCAGAACATACGTGGGATGATCTTGAGAATTATAAAATCGTTCTGGGGCAATATAACAGACTCTTCTGGCTGAACTATCGAAATAAAATGAGAATTGACTGGGGTTATCTTCAGGGATATATGTTGGTTTAATTAAATTGGCAAAATCAGATAATAAGATCCAATTCCAGGATGTGACTAAAATATTCTCTAATCGTAAATCACCATGATGAATATCTAAGGAATGTAATTCGGAAATTAATTTAATGATTTGAAAAACAATAAATAACTTTTCAATTGGTTCTAAGAAAGGTCTTAATGATAATCGATCATATAGATTAGTTTTAATCATTTGTCTAATTAAATAACCAGCTCGATCAGTTTCAATTAATTTATGCCAGGGTAATGTGTTTTTAAAGGGATATAAAATGGATGATTGTTTAACCAATAATTCTATGATCTCTTGTAATTGAATATTATAATTGGAAGTAGTTGTAACTGATGGTTTAATTAATAATTTGATTATAACTAAATTACCATTTGTCTTATCTATTGCTTTAATGGTTTTAAGGAATCGTGAATTATTGATTAATTCTAAATAATGGTAATTGTTCAATGCATCAACATATGAAGATACAGCAACTGTTGGAGCTGATGGTGCCAACAATGACAACCTGGCTCCCATTTCTTGTTTTACTTGATTAGGTCTATTAGTCAATGAAGATTAAGTTAAATCAGTTTTTACAACCAAATCAAATTGTATGGTGGGATTAGTGCGAACAAAGGCAAAGAAAAAAATGTTAGTGTGGTTGTAGGTTAAGGGGTATTACTGTGGATGATAGAATAATAATAATAATGAATAATGATGAAATTGAACAATATACAGGAACAGGAGGACAATCTCGTGCATTACCAATAGACCAAGATGATGAAGCTTCTATGGAAGTACAAAAGTATTTATTATCAGTACGACAAGAAGCATTAACTGGTCCATCAATTACATATGTTGAAGCCACAACTACCACAGTGCAAAGTCAGCCTGTCAACACAAATAAAGAAGAAGACAAACAGAACGTAGAAGAAGGTCACGAGCTTGTAATAGATCAAAACTTTATAGACTGGTCAGATCAATTGGTTAATCAACTCAGATTGGTGAAACAACAAATTGATCCATCACAATTATCATCACCAATAGAAGACCCATATATCCCCAAAGATAACAATTCATGGAGGAAATATATGAGTGAGAATGAACCACCAGGAATATCATATTTCTATAACCACTTAGACAAACCAACAATATTTAAATTAATCATATATATTACCAAATGGTTAAGTATCTCCCCTAAAGATACATTATCTCGATGGATTTGGAAATTGTTTATAAGAATAGATACTCCATTGCAAGCTGATGAATGTTCAATAATGAGAGATTTATGTAAGAAGGCAATCAAGATAAAAACAAAACAGAATTTGGTGGCTAATGATGAAATATCTACTAATAGTTCATTTACGGTTGATATGATAATTGTGGTTGTTTCCAAATATTATGGACAATTGGATTTATTCCCTGCATGATTGGATGATTGAAGATAATTGAACACCATACGTGTAAGAACCTGAATGCAATCATTTCAAGAACTGACTCATATACAACTAAGCATCGTATTGGGGTTGTGGCAATCCTCATGGCCAAGTAATTTTTGGTGCTACCATGTGAAGTGGTTCCGTTTATTAGAGGCATGTATGATGAACCAGCATAGACTATAATCTTATTTAACAGTAAACATAGGCATACTAGTGTTATATAGAGACATTTATATCAAGTTCTTGTTTGATTAAGATTACAATTAGTGCCTCCAATGTAATAAACAGACATCTATTAGAGACGGAAGAGTACATTTTTATTTTATTGGGTGTCTCCACCTTCTTTATCAATTCAAATGGAAAAAAATTAGTACTACAAGAAAGTGGTAGCGTCGTAGGTAGTGGATTGAAAAAAAAGTTGGACGAAAATAAATTTAAACAATCTCTTGATACGAATAGTGTTATATTATATATTACCATCCAATACAAATCAATAACTTGTTACAATAATGGCACCAAAGATAAATGCAGAATTAGTTGTACCGTATGTATACACCCATCAACCTAATAAACAGAAGCCCCATATATGTTTTACTAACACCCCTCTAGATACAAACATATGCCAGCCAAACCACGTAAGGAAGCCAGCTCAATGATGGCCCAATCCTTACCCATGGCCGCCATGTTCATGAGAAACAAAATCTTATCATGGTCAGCTGTCTTCTTGGCCATTCAATCCTATTTGAATGATCCAATTAATGCCCCACCGGCAGAAGATGGATCAACTTCAACTCCAGCATCTTTGAGGGTGATATTTGCACTTGTTTCTTTGGTAACTTGTTATATGGATGTTATTTTCCCAAGTTCTAATCCGGGGTTGAAGAAGGCGGTGGTTGAGACTGCGGCGGAGAGTATTACTTCGATTATTGAGACTGCTACCACTGGTGCTTAGTTTGGATGTTTAGGTCTAGTTAAATAATTTTTCAATTCTATATTCACGATTGTTACAAAATTTACATATTAGTATATACTATATATATACAATTTATTAATAATAATAATACACGCTCTGGCCCCCGAGTGAGGGTACATATATTTTATAAATTCTAAACGACACCATCTAATTCACATTCTTCTCGTCTAATGATACAATCACACTTTCGATATCATTATAAGAACCAGTCACATATTTCGATTCATAATCCCATTTCAAATCACATATTCCAACATTGACATTCTTATCTTGCTCTTGTCCTTTTTCCAAATCGGTTAAATCAGGTTCATATATCCCCAAACATCTAATCAAACTCTTTGACTCCCCCGCCTTGGTTATTCTATCCAAAGAAATATCCCAAATTGTAATCCGACAATAATCATCCCCCAAAGCAAGATATCTCCCATTTGGAGCCATCACCGCATTAAACACCAATGCATCTTCCTTCCCCTTCCTCGATTCATCAGTGTCAACATATTTAAAATTCTCATGATTTTTAAATAATTCCGAACTTTTCAAATTAGTATTATGATGATTATCGACATCCCAAATATTCAATATCCCATCCATACTCACCGACACCAAAATATTCCTCCCATCCTCACCATCCTTCCCAGGAGCTCCTATCCAATCCAATCCAACAATAGGACTAGAATGCAATTTAACATCATCATCACCAGCAGTTCCTGCTGGAATATTCAAATCAATACAATCCGATATCGAACCACTATTCCACACTTTTATCAAATAATCAAAATCAGAACAACTAGCAAGTAGTTTCGTGATTGGGTTTAATTTCATGATGGATATGATATGATTATGTCCTGGGAGTAATCCAATTGGTTGGATCTCAAATTGGGATATTCCGACCGTGGTGGCTGTCGGTGACGGGGTTATGTCATAGATTTTGATTGTGTTTTGGTGGGTTGTGATTGCGAATTTTGATTCTGCTAACCAGCATGCGGTTATTGGATTGGACATTGTGGTGGTGGTGGTGGTTGTTTCTATAGGGGGAGGGGTTGTGGTGTCGGGATCGGTGGTTTTGATTTGTTTTATGAGGGATAATGTATTTCCATCCCATAATGAGACATGATTATCATTATGGATAGTGATTAAGAATTTCCCCAGGGGTGGACTCCAATATAGACTGGTTATTATATTATTATTAGTAGTGGTTATCAATGTAGAACTAGCAGGAATATCATCGTCAGCTGTAGATTCAGATAGGGAAATCGTGGCGATATTTTTCAATTTCCCATCTGGAGACCAAACTCTTAATTCATTATTAGTTCCTGCTGTTATAATTGAATTACCTTGAGGTGACCAAGAAACTATATTTATATCATTACGAAGATTAAGTAAATTAGGATGATTTAAAGTTACAGTTTCTGTTATTTTATTATCTTTGAATGCATTTATTATTGCATTTCCATCTGATTTACCATATGCAAATACATTTGTTGATGATGGATGCCAATCAGATGTTAAATTTGATGAGAATTTAATAATTGGTTGAAGTATGCTGGTTTCAAATTCAATGTTTTCTTCGCCTTCGGCGGTATGTTCTGCATCTTCCATTTCAATATCATCCAGTTGTTCTGGTTTATTACCATTCAAAGTGGCTACTTCCAGTTTTAATAAGAATCTCTTGTCATTTGTTGTATCTTGTTCTTGTTGAGTATACTTAAATAAATCATCAGATATTAATGCATTTAATAATGATAATTTAGATTCATTATCATTATCTAGTTCAGTAGTAATTGTATTACCTGCTTGTAGTTGTGCTACACTGTATAATATCCCCTTTTGTATTAAATTAACTAAACAACCTGGTTTAATATTGGTGATGATATTGTTATTATCATCATTAGACAGTACATGAGATTGTTGGTCTAAAGCATAAGCAGCTAAATCATGACCTGATTCTTGTAGGTATCTCCATACCATATAGTTAAGCTCTTTACTTGTAAGTGACATCTATCCTATCCTATCTTGCTACTGCTATTGCTATTTAGTGGTTATCTTACTATCAATTAGAAAGAAAGAAAGAAAGAGGAACAAACAAATAGATAGATTAAATTTTTCATATAATAATTTACTTAACTAAGAAAATAAGAAAGTTTTTTTCTGATGATAAAAATAATTATTTAAATTGTTATTAACAAAAACCAGAAGAAGTTATTGAACCAGCAATATAAACTTAATCTAATTTTATAGATAATATATCTAACTTAGAAGGAAGGAGTATTCTTATCATGTATAAAATAGTAAGTAAGTATCATTATTTAAACAGAAAAATGGATTAAAAACTACAGCATCTAGAGGAAGCCCCATATCTGTTGTAGCAGAATCCACCAATAATAGTATGGTATTGGGTATTCCGCCCCCCATGGAAAAAGTCAATTCTTCTTTTAATATCCCCCCGCCAAACAATGATAAGTATAGTTAGTACATTTTCTCAAGTTTAGATATCCGTTTTAGTGGACCTGACTCGTACTAAAAGTTGAGAGCTTCAGACGTAATCCTCAACTAGAGAGAATGTCTTCTCAATACGGGAGACTAATAATCTTTTAGTTCCCATTAGCTCTTGGAGAACATGTTTGACAGTTGCCAAATCACCCATTAATGGGTTTTAGGGAAAGCATGTTCTCCAATATTTAAATGGAACTAAAAAGATTATTACATTGTACAAGCAAGATCTTATGGTACAATTGATTGAAACATACCGTTACACTGATCTTCGCCGTAAAATTCCACACAATTGTCTTTTTGGGGGACTTAATAAGATAAATTGTTTTTATATAGAGATACACTTATCATTTTGTGAGTTGTTTTAAGTATATATATATATACAAATATGTAGGTTGTTCTATATGATTCTTAAGTGAAAGCCCTGATTATTAATTGGAAGGTATTCTCTTCTCTTCTTCTTTGTTTCATTCATGTGTTCAATTGGTAAGTCAATAATATTTTTTTTTACTCTCTCTCTCTGTCTCTCTTATTAAAATACAATTTCGATTAAAATTGTTGAAATAAATAAGTTAAGCCAATTCTTTATGAACAAAGAAATAGCACGTGATAACAAAGTCGGGTAACACCCACCTGAATACTAAATTGAACAACAAAACAAAAGTGGACAACGTCCATAAAATTAACCAATGTATAGTCTTATATAGTTAACGAACGTAATTAATACATTAAGTGAACAAGGTTTTATAATATTGATTATACTAGTGAATTATATTAGTTACACATCTGAACTTATTTGTAATGTTTCTGGTCTCGAATTTCAACTGGTTATGAGCCCTGCTTCCTAGGCTGATACAATTAATAAAACTTCCACATTTATGAAGTGGAAATCAAAAGGCTTATCATAAGGTATTCCCTTCCAAATTTAATCAGATTTGTGTTGGCTCAGTTGCCCCTTAGTTAAAAGATGGTTATTTGAATGCTTAAGCTCAATTGCGGTTTAATATTTACGTTTGCCACTACTGTTAGAAATTATTAGTTACATTGAAATAATCGTATATGCATGTTGGCGATAAATTATTAACTTGTGTATAACTGAACGTGGGTGGAATTTGTCCAGCTAATTTTCAAGTGTTACCAGAGAGCGTATGTTATTAGCTCGATAAGTCTTGAGACCTTTATTGTTTATTGGTACAGAATTTTGATGATTCCTTAAGTATCATTAAATATCATAGAATAATTTAAAATGAACTAATTGTGCTATAGAACATGATTGCGATTGCAAGTCATATTGGTTATAAATTATTCAGCATCAGTCGCGTACAATTATAAATAATGCTTTGGGTATATTTTTGCATGTTAGTTGTCATGAAGAAATTTGATGTAAAGAATTCATTGATAGGACGTCTTATTTGAAAATACAACTGAAATGAAATATCTCATCTATCCATAAAGAAGAAGGCGAAGTAAAAGTCAACAATAACCAATTTGATTACAACATTGGAATCAATTGAATTGGTATTAGAATTGAAATTGGAGAAGTGAAATTGAACTTCGCTGGATTATCATAATGAACATAATTGGAATCATTATTACTTTGAAATTGTTTGCAGCTACTTCTATTCTCCATATTAGTTAAGGTTTGAAACCTTGTTATGAATTATCAAGATTTGAAATTATCAAATTGAGAAGTTTCGAAGTTGTTCTCTTTGAAGCTTGCAAAAGCATTTATTCTACGTGTCATTCAGCTAAAAGAAAAACTATTCATAACATGCCATTCATATAAATGTGAAATGTATCGTAATCCTTTATTATTGCTATTACTCATGGTTGACTTTGGTTTTGCTTGTGGTTATTGCTCTCAGAAGAGTATGTTTAGCATTAGAATTACCCTTGACATTAGAATTCAAGAAAAATTTATTCAGCATTTGAATCTATTTGATATTGTTGACTCGGAAGAATTATCATTTATCATTAACAGCAGATATTGGAATTATTCAAATGTCTTTCACGACAACTATGTTGGCAAATAAGTTAGAGAAATCAAGATTATCATCAGTTAAGTCATAGAGAATGTGAACTTTAGTGATTTTTTTTTATTTTTAACACATAGTTTTATTGAGATCAATGTTGTTTCATCCCACCCACCAATAACCCCACAACAATTATTACTCCGGATTATATTAGGATTGACCTGTTCCTTATAAATATGTACTTATTGCTAGATACTATTTTGGCATTGAAGAGCTTAATTATTATCAAGACTTAATTCTCATAGATTTGGTCAAAATTTGTCGTCGGCTGCTGAGAGAATTAACATTATTGGTGTTGCTCCTATTTATACAACTTCATACCTATGGTTGCTTTACCCAATTAAAGAGAGTCTCCGTTGTAAAGGTTATACTATCTGTAAATTGTCTTGGCTGTTCAGGTATTGTATCTCCGCTGTCAGATTGATAAGGATATGATGTCATGTGGCTTATCTATACAATGCATAAGTGCTAAGTGAGTTCGTTCCAAATTTTTGCCTCCTACTAGATGTATACGGTGACTGCTTCCATAATTGTTCTAATGGTAGCTTCAACACATTCGCCGAAGTGATTTCTAGTGGTGGAATTTTTTTTGAGGCTACTACACTCTACGAATATGAATGTCACAAGGAAAGATGGTTTATTATTTTCAAAGTCATTGGAGCTGCTTGTATTGTCAATTAAAATAGCTAGAAACTTATTATCAGGAATTCTTCAGTGTGTCCAATCATATTACATTATGTTGCTAAATTTTTCCGCATCAATGTTGAACGATGATGAAATCTGTAAACAAGCACAAGCTATTCCTAAGATATTGCATCGAGCAACACTGCAGAATTATCAAAGTAGTTTGAATCCAAGATGAATTTTGGTTTTCAGTTCGAATTTTGCGTTCGTTTGGTTCGTTTTTAAATCAGTCAAATAGATTGAAATTTTGAATCATTGACATTATTCGATATTAGTTGTTGAATATTGACATAAAACCCAACCGCCAATTAATTTATCAAATATGAATCGCTGTGTATTTCTTCTATTTCCTTTTAAAAGCAAGAATTAGTTACGAAATGTGCAAACCCATCATTTCGATTATTTGCTTCAGATCAAATTTGCCAAAACTATCGTTAATGTTGATGATGCTTATGGTTCAAATACTGTTTGATATTTTTTTTTTTTTTCCGCCTTTGCTTCTGAGGGGGAAAGTTTGTGTGCTTATCTTATCTTAATGCTGACATCTAATCCTTCCATTGAACCAGACCTAGAATAATTCATAAGAATCAAAGAATAAAATCGAACGCACAGCAGAAGCAAATCCAGAAAATGCTGAAATTAATAAATGAATTAGTAGTTGAGTAGACAAATATCAGTTTTTGGATTCCAAGGAATGCTGGTTTCAAAGTATCCCAAAATGAATCTCGGGAGCGAAGACATGGAGTGTTAGGATCCAACTAAAGAAATGAAATAATGAATTACAAAATTGAGGGAAGATGTGGAATAGAAACTGTCCAATACGAGCTACCTAAAGAAACATCCACAAACTAGATTAACTATATCGAATTAAACTTAGGGTTGCTGAAATTATTGAATAACTACAATCACCAGACAGGTAGTTGACAACATAAAATCCTGGTACCACACTGGTTTATAAATGAGAATAGAGGAAGTATTACTTTGCTAACCGTCATATTCAATTGAAGTTATTCGAGCTGGTATTTAATAGTTGTTGCAATATCTCCTGTTTGGAAATGCTGGATCCAAGGATAATGTGATGGGTCTCAAATCGGCTATCCACTCTGGGCAAAAATGCAATTGCATAAAACTGTATCTACTATTGAAATGTGCAACCTGAATTCCGGTTCATTCGGGATTTGAAAGTGTAAGACATTGGTTCCAGGGGGAATGCTCAATGGGGATGATTTAAATTTTGGTTTATCAGAACAGTGAAATTGTATAGAAAACACATTACTAAAACACGAAATAATGTTGAAGAAATTACTAAAGAAAATAAAAGGTCCGTTAAGGACATCTATGAAACGAAAAGGTCTGTTAATGACATCTATGAAACGAAAAGGAAAAGTTCTTATAAGTCAATCGCTTATATGAATAAAGAAATCGAAGAATAAGTAAGTAAAATATTAAGACTTACTTATTCGGGGTCGTCTATTTGATTGAGGAAACTTTATGTTAACTCAATTAAGTAAAGGGTACCAATAAGTCTTGAACTTATTGCGTTGTGGACTAACAAGTCAAAGTTCCTAAAAGGAAATTAATGAAACGAAGAAATAAAGTTCTTATAAGTAAACAATTACTTAAAGAAATTACTAAATAAAAGAAAAATTTCGAAGAATAAGTAGATATTAACTTCTACTTATTCGGGTGTGTATACTTGATTGGGGAAATTTCGTATTTACCCATTCAAGTAAAAGTACCAATAAGACTTATAAATCTTATTGAGTTTTAGGCTAGCTAGTCTAGTCAAATGTCCTTATAAGTAAACTAATTACTTATTTGAGTAATCTATAAAACAACAAGAAACTTACTAACTTAATTAAAAGTTATAAAACGAAAACTTACTAACTTAATTAAAAGTTATAAAACGAAAAACTTACTAACTTAATCAAAAGAATAATTACTAATTGAACTAAAGAAATTAATAGGCAAAGAGTAATATTTGCTTATTCTACCAAATGAATCAATTCCTTTTACAAGAAAAGACTAACAAGTCATCCTATAACAAATTCTAGCAAAAGTCAAACAAAGGATACATCTGATTTCAGAAGATGTAATAAATAAAATGAAAGTCACTTGATTTAATTGAGGGCCACTTAAATAAAGATTCTACTTGATAAAGTTCTTTTAACATAGAGTTTGAATAAAGATATTGGCTTAAGGGGGAATGTTGAAATAAATAAGTTAAGCCAATTCTTTATGAACAAAGAAATAGCACGTGATAACAAAGTCGGGTAACACCCACCTGAATACTAAATTGAACAACAAAACAAAAGTGGACAACGTCCATAAAATTAACCAATGTATAGTCTTATATAGTTAACGAACGTAATTAATACATTAAGTGAACAAGGTTTTATAATATTGATTATACTAGTGAATTATATTAGTTACACATCTGAACTTATTTGTAATGTTTCTGGTCTCGAATTTCAACTAAAATTCTCAATTTCATTTTATCACCACCACCACAATTTATTAAATCAACCATAACTTACTTACTTATTACTTCTCAATCAATTGAATATGAATGTTGATAAAGTAAGAAATAGAAAGAGTAGAGCACCATGGCAAGCTAATCAATCTTCTAATAGAACTCATACTAATCCTTATGCTATTGGTTACAACAATGAAACACCAACAACTTCTCCAATAAGATCAAAATCAAATACTCTTCAATTACCAGGTGAACATATTGAAGGTCCTTATCTTCCTGCTGCTACCACCACCATTCCTGGGCAGGCGGCACCCATTGATCAGGATAGAAAACATAGTAGAAGATTAAGTATTCATGCTTCTGCTGCTGCTCTTGCTCATAGAAGATCGTTTAGTCAAATTAGATATGATACCGGTAATGCTCCACCATTACCAAGTTTAGATGTTGAAAAATTATCCGATATTAGTGTTGAACAAAGAATTTATAAAGAATTAGGTAATGGATCGGCTGCTCAAGTTGATGATTATTATAAGACTTTATTAAAACAAAAACAATTAATAACAAGAGATATTAAAACTAATATTAATCAAAATCAAAAGAATATCCTTCAATTAACTGAAGATTTAAAACAAGCTCAAGAAGAATTAATGGATTTAAGAGGAAGTACTAAAGAATTATATGAAGTATTGGAAATATTTAGACAAGCGGCTCAAAGAAGATTAGAATTTGAATTTGATGTACCAGACCAATCTCAACAAAATAATCAAACACAAAAGCAGCAGCAATTAGGAATCCCCAATAGTAAACGTAAAGATAGATCTTCAATTTTAGTTCTTGAAAAAATGTGGGCAAGTGAATTACAATCCCTTTTTAAACATGTTGAAGGAGCTTCAAAATTCATTCAACCCCTTCCTGGAAGACATGTATTAGCTGAAAGTGGTCGTTGGCAAGAAGTTAATGTAGGGACTTGGAAACCAAATAATTTAACTCACTTATTCGTTTTGAATGATTTAATCCTAATTGCCAATAAAAAATCTTCCGCCATGCAACAACAACAACAACTGCAGCAATCAGATGCTAGCTCTAAACGTGGTCCTTCTCCTAGTCCACAAGGGAAATCTCGATTGCAAGCTACTCAATGTTGGCCATTAACTCAAGTCACAATCACCCAAATAAAACCTCCAAAAACTAATGATTCATCTGTGAAATTATATCTTATCAATATCAAATCAAAATCATTGAGTTATGTATATCAAACTGATAGATATGATCATTTCTTAAAAATAACAGAAGCATTTAATAAGGGGCGTAATGAAATGGTTCAAAAGGAAAGATTATTATCCCAACCAATGTCTGATGATTTTGATTCACAATCAAATTATAATAATAATATCCCTGCTTCTTCTTCTCGAGATTCAACCAAGGAAGAAAAGAGGCAATTACGTGAATCTCTTCGAAATTCAAGTGGGGCTAATTATGAAGGTATAATTGAAGATAATCAATTGAAACGATCAGCAACTACTAAAAAAAGACATAGTTCTGAATTTGTATTACAAGATATTTCCGCTCGAGTACATTCAAGAAATCGTTCACATGATTTTGGTAAAAAGGCAATCATCAATACTAATAGCAATGATAATAATAAGAAATTACAATTTTTCCAAGAAATTAAAACTTTGGAAGATAGGTTGGATGATGTTGATGTTGAAATTTCTCATAATCTGTATGCCCTGGCCGTGGGATTAATCGCCCATATCGAAAATAAACTCCATCAAATTGAATCCTCCCTCTTACTGTCCACCACCACCACCACCACCAAACAACTTGGAGATGAACAATTACTCCTCGATGTCTCCCGGTTAAAAATCAAAAACAGAAAAGAAAGCATCCAACTCATCCTAAAATTCGACCTCACTCACAATATCTCAAAACTAACCGAATCAGATATCGAAAACATCCTAACCTATTTCGACAGCTTTGACCAACTCCAAACCGGGATTCAAACCTATTTAGATTCAATGTCATCCTACCTCTCCACCACCATCTCCCGGCTAATCGTCGGCTTGCAAGGATCAACCAAAATCGATGTGGTGAATTATTTATCCAACCTCGTCGTCATCTATGTCGCCATTCTCAAACGGACGATCGAAACCTACAATCATAAAATCATGCCGTTGTTGAAGAAAAATAATGGAAATGTCGATTCGAGCGGATTGATCAATTGGTGTATTGAGGAGGTGTTGAAGTTGTCAAGACAGGTGAATAAACATTTATATGGGACTATGGTGACGTCCACGAGTAATGGTCTGGAGACTGATCAACAACCGGTTTATGTTATTAAGGATAGGGTATTATATGATGATTTTGTTAAGATTTTGGTGCCACAGTTGGGAGAATTGAAGAGGGTGGGGATAAATGTTGATTATATATTTGAACCTATTATGTCACTTTCATAGATTTTTAGGGTTGCTCCTAGGTTATATATATTTGAATGAAATTTACAATATTATGATTTTGTGTACTCAGTGACTTGTTGAAGATCCTTTTATCACTGCCGTGAACAATACTACGATTAGCTCTGTTTGAACTTTATTCAGATCCTTTTTGATAAACTTTTAGTTAAGATAGTCTATATGATTTCATATGAGAATACAGAAAACAATTACACCAAGCACTACTATGAACAAAATTTAAGTTGTATTAATGCAATGATAAAAAAGAGAAATGTTACTAAAATTGTCTATTAATGGAAATCCATCTAGTATAAATCACCATAATGCTTTCTAATTACACTTCCCCAAATCTTTATCCCTTCTTCTATCTCTTCTTCAGATAAGAAACTAATACTTAATCTAACACAACATTTCCCCCAATCTTGTGAATCTCCAGCAACTTCGAAATTTTCACCTCCAGCTAAAATTACATTATGATCTCGTTGAAGTTCTTTAACAATCAATGAATGATCCTCGATTTCAGGCAATATGATCCAAAAGAAATATCCCCCATCACCTCCATATACTTTTGTACTCTTAGGTAAATATTTCCCAATACTTTCAATAACAACCCTGGCTCTTTTTTTATAAACCCGTTTAAAATCTTCAATAATTTCATCAGCCTTACCTGATTTAATCATCTCGCCCACCACAAACGTCGATAATTGTGCCGGAGTACCTCCTGATTTATTTGCACCAGTTATAGCCAATTGTGAAACTAATTTCGATGTTGGTGTATGTTGCCAACCAACTCTTAATCCGGGAGCTAATATTTTTGAAAATGTAGCATTTGAAATTGTATTCCCATAAGTCTTATAACTTGGTAATGAATCTTTATCAAGTTGACTAAATGTTGCAATGGGGGGATGATTCTGTTCTTTATAATCGAGAAAATCATATACATCATCACTTATGATCAACATATCATACCTTCTTGCCAATTCGATCAATTTATGTCTTGTTTTTAATGAATAGGTGATTCCACCAGGATTTGAAAATGTAGGCACTAAATACATGACAAATCTATAAAGTTTTCTATCACCCCTAACTGGATCCTCAATAATATTAATCTCCCTTCCGTCATCGGCCAGTTCTAAATCTTTCGATTCTAATTCAAGTCGTCTTTCAAGCTCTTCGATATCAAGATCATATTCTTGTTCTGGAGTTTCTTTAATCGCAACCATATTAGATTCATCAAATCCTAAATCCAAGAATGATCCATTAATCAAATAATAAGTCGGCGTCACGATAAATGCAAGTTTCGTTATCCTACATGAATCAGTCACCGAGGCCAAAATATTAGCCACACCATATGAAGCACCCGCGGTTAGGTTTATACAATTCGGATCAATATATCCCCCTGTTTTACCATATTTCGTGTCGAGCCAATTGGATAATATTTTTCGAATATCGAGGTTTCCTGGGTCGGTTCCATATTGTAATGGATGTTGATTGCTTGGATCGGTGTCATATTCGAGATAATCAGATTCTAAAAGAATTTTTTGAAAGGTGCTTGCGATTGCTTTGGTGGGGAGAAGTTCTCGAGATGGATGGCCCTTGAAGAAGTTTATTATTGGTTTGGACATTTGCTTTTTGATGATAAATAGATGGAATAAGTGAATTAGAAAAAGAAAACTTCGAGTAATGATTTGAAAAAAGTGTGGAGTCGAGAGATCATTTGTCTGATCGAGGATTTGTTGGGGATGTAATTTTTTTTTTTTCTTTAAACGGTATCGATTAAATTATACACTAAAATTATAAACTATAATATATAAACTGATACTGACCCTCTGATACATATAGGGCATAACGTTCTGTAGAAATGGTAAAAACCTTTTATAGGCACTTAGGTGTATGATAAAAGCAACATAAGTAGTGTGAGAGTCCAAGACCAGCAGGACTGGGTTGTATACTCACTAAAAACCATTGGTACGAGTTGGCTGGGGGGATAAAGCGTAAATGATTTAGGATGGGGTTAAGCTTTGGATAGCGCTGGGTGGAGATGAATTTGGGATGGTTGTGTTGGTTAAAATGTTGGAGGGGTAGCCCAATTTTGTGTTACAACTCTTGAGAACAAAGGGAACTGGATCTTTACAATCAAAATAATACCTAACGGCATTTGAAAGAATTAATGAATTATCAAAATTTGGGGATTTGGTTGAGTCATTAATTTATCCTTCTGTAATCCTATCAAATACTTCGCAATGTTATTAATTTTTATCAACTCTTGATTTTCATAAGGTTTTTGAGGAAAAGTTTGGCAAATAATTTTACAACCTTCTAAATATAAAATTATTCATTCCTTACAAGTTAAAAAAGACATTAAAACTCCCACCCGATATTAATTCAATTGAATGAAGACAATTAACCTAACACAATTTATGTGATAATTATAGATTTGGAATATATTTGATTAGATAGAACACTTGATAGAGTAAGTATAAATTTCGCATCCTTCCGAATTGGGAAATTCAGTCACGCGAATATCATTCATTTATCACGTGCAAAATTATCGGATTTTAGCGCGACATATTTTGCAGCAAGCTGCAGCGAAAAAATGTCGCGGGGCTTAGCCCACCAATCGCAAACAATTCTGGAACAGTAGAACCTAACATTCTTTTCCCAGGCTAATTAGCCGAACTACTTAAACGCGTCCATTTTACCTTCCAAGAAATTATTCCAATTGATTAAGGGGGGCTTATATTATAGGATATTCAAATGGAATACTCAGAGATAATAGCCACAAAGTTTTTGCAACTTCCTAACGAGGTCTTGGAATTGGTCTTAGGTTATATTCCAACTACCTGTTTGTTGCAATATACTGACATTCAAACGATTAGTGAAATTGCTGGTGATATTTTAAATGATCGAAACATCAAAGTTTGGATTGGCAATTCTAATGTTGGTCTATTTCAAAGCTTTGACGGTATTAAGGAATGGGCCGAGGAACCAAATGGTGATGAAATGATGTTGGAGCCGGACACCTTGAACGGTCTTGAAACGGTTAATCCCATAAAATTTGCTGAGATTGATTGGGAAACACAATTCGGAAATTTCTATAAAGCGTTTCCAATTTTGAAAATCGATCTAACTATATTTGGTTGTGATCTTCTTAGGATGGTCTACAGTAAATTCCCAGCTTGTTTTGAAAATGTTAGAAAGTTAACATTGTTAAAGACCAAAGATGAAGAACAAACTGAGGATTCTGGAGCCCTTTCTGGTTTCCCCTATCCCATACACGGAATGGGTACTTTGAACAAAATTCAAAATTGTAAGTTGCCAGAGTCTATTCGAATGTTAGAAGTGGGAAACTTCTACGAGCTATTTAGTCCAAAAGATGTTGGATTGGCAGAGAGCCAAATCACCGAATTACATATCTGTTCAGCTATCGACATCAAGGATGTGAAATATTTACCAAGAGGTTTAAAGAAATTGCAGATTTCGTTGAAGACCTACCGTTCAGGATCCAAACCTAGCTTTCCGCCATGGCTAGAACTGCTTGAGATTGCATCCGATCGTTGGCGTTCTGTTATTAATAAGCTTAATATTTCTGAATTAAAGAACTTGAAGAGTTTAAAACTTATGAACTGGCATCTGCCAAACTTGAATACATTGAAGGCTCCTAAACAAATCAAAAATTTGGAATTGATTTCTAGAGATTTAGTATCATTGGATGGTATTCAGGTGTATAAAGAACTTAATGATTTCAAACTTTATGTTTTCCATAAAGATGCTTATTCAATTTTGAATGACCCTTTACCTAATTCCATAAGAAGACTAACCTTTGATTGGAAACCCGATTATCTGAATCAAATTGGAACCGGTCCGAGCAGGCTTGAAGAGGGGAAAGGAATGCAACCAATCCGATTACCTCCAAAGCTAAGGGTTCTTAATGTGACCACTGGATCTCCGTTGTTTTGTCCCCAAAGCTGGAATTTTCCTACTTCGTTGAGAGTACTTTCATTGAATGTTGCCATATTACCTCCACAGCTTCAGCTTCCTCCAAATTTAATTGCATTGGATTTACATGGCTATCTGACAAGTAATCTTCCTGACCCATTGCCCAAGTCCTTGGTCAGAATTCGAACTTCCTTGTTACCGTCCACGAAAGATTCTTTAGTGGATCTACATAATTTGAGTCATATTGATTTTGACTTCAAGAGGCAACCGGTAACCTCATTTGATTGGAATTTACCTAGTAGTTTAAGAAGATTGATTTTGCAATACGATCAGTTGAAAGCATTGAAACTAGAATCCTCAAAGCTACGTGTGGTTAAGGTAACTTTAGATTCTTTCAGCATGTTTGATGAACTTCAACTACCTGATTCAGTTATCAAATTGAGTATGCGATGGAACGCTAACCAACGCTATGCTTCAAAATTTGTAATTACAGATCGTCATAAGCTTCCAAAGAATTTACAAAGTTTCCAATTTGTCCAAACTAAGATTGATACCAAGTCGTTGATTAATTTAAGATTGAACGACTTGCAGAATTTACGATATATTAATCTAAACGACAACAAAATCACAGAAATTGAATGTGGAGCATTTCCTAGTACAACCAAAACGTTAATACTTCTGAATAATGATTTGCAAAAAGTTGGGACTAATGTATTCAAGGAACTTCCACAATTAGAGTGTCTCAATTTGGAATACAATAAATTGGGTGAAAATGTTAGTAACCCGATTGAATTTCCTGAGTCCTTGCGATTTTTATCATTAACAAACAACAGTTTGAAAGATGTTGATGATTTGATATTCGGCCAAGAACCTAGACTTAAAAGAATACAATTAAGAAACAATGAATTTCCAGATACAGAAGAGGTTTCCAATAAATTAAGACAAAAGTTGGGCAAGGCAGCAGCTATTATAATGAAATGGAACCAACATAAATAAGGATAGATGTTATGGTCAGCAAAAAGTTCTGAAGGGTTGTGGCTTCCAAATTGAGACCTAGACGAAGACTCTGCAAGTGAATATGTGACTAAATAGCTTCTTTTCTTGTAGTAAACATACTATTCTTTTCTTAAATATAGACGATAAGAAACATATTAGAAGTTTGGACCAACTGTGTTTTTTTTTACTCATATCAATTTGAAAAGCTATACAATTATAAAAACGATACAGAAAACCCTGCTCCCACTGAGTAAACTCAAAGGAGGTTGTTATTGGTTGATTATTTAATATACACGAGGAAATCATTTGCAAGAAATTTGGGAGCGCCAAGTTTTTCTTGTGCATGATAAGCCTTTTTTTTTTCTAGTATAAGTAGGAAATGCACTTTGATAAGCTATTTAATCTATTTTGGACCAGGTGGCAAATCAGCCCCAACTTTTATTCTCGTTCTTTCTTTCAGAATCATACCATTGTGATGCAAAATTCAGAAGTCCTTGTTCCACAGTTCCTACTGCTTCCATTGGAGGTCCTAGACTTGGTATTCAGTTATATCCCCACAATCTATTTGTTGACGTATCCAGAAATACCCGGTTTAAACGAGGTTTTGAGAAACGCATTGAATGATAGACACATTGAAGTCTCCATCGGTAAAAAATTAATCGTGGAACAAGAGGAAAAGTTCTATAGTTGGGGGAACTGGAACAAAGAACCAATTGGGGATGAGACAAGGTTGGATCTGCGCTTTGTGACAGATGTTAACGATGACCATCTCATTAAGTTTGATGAAGACGATTGTACCGAGAGGTTTCTAGACTTCATGTACAGACATCCTCTTTTGAAACCTAAAGTAATTATCAATGGAGTTGATAATTTAAAGCGGTTGCTTAACAAGGATCCTTCATGTTTTGAACAGATTCTGAGCCTTTCATTCGTCAAAGGTCTGATAGAAAATCAAGTGGAGTTCTTAGAGACGGCTTGTTGCATCCCATATCCCATCAACTGTCTTGGTACATTGGATGATCTAAGTATTCTTAGACTCTCCAAATCAGTTGAACTGTTGTATCTACTCTTAGAAGATCAAAGCAATCTACAATCCTTGAAATCACGAGAACAGGAGCTAAAAGAACTACGCTTATTAAGCCCAATGGCGGTTGGTGATTTGAAGTATTTGCCAAACTCATTGAAGACCTTAGAGATATCATTGGAATTGAATAGCCAAAGGTGTAGTCCCAATTTACCACATACATTAGAAACCCTCCTAGTGAAGTTTTCTGGAGGATGGGAGATTAAAGAATTTGATGTTTCTGGTCTTAATAATTTGAAGGAATTGAAGCTAGAAAATTTCTATCTGGAAACGCTCAGGCTGTTAAAAGGTCCTAAAGATCTAGAGAGCTTGATAGCTGCTTCTCACCACTTAACGTCATTGGATAGCATAGACCAATACACTAGGCTCAAGCAACTTCAACTAAGAATTATGCGGGCGAAAGCTCATTCAATCTTGAGTTGCACTTTCCCTGATAGTTTACAAAAGCTTGGTTTTGAGTGGTGGCTGGGATCCATCGTAGATTATGAGACAGATTATCTTGAAGAAGAGCTTCCGATTTCCCTACCGTCAAATCTCCAGGTGCTTCACGTTTTCACAGACTCTGACTTGCTTAGTAGGAACGCGTGGAATTTCCCACAATCATTAAGGGTCCTTTCGTTGAATATGCTGATTATGCCACCAGGGTTTCAACTTCCACCTAATTTGATAGCACTTTCGATCCTGCAGTGCGTGAATGACCGATTGCCACTGGCGTTACCCAAATCATTGGTTCGACTTAGTACGTCCGTATTACCACCTAATAGATTCTGTTTAACTCGCTTGACTAACTTGACTTATCTTCGATTCACGTTTGTTAGACAATCAATAGATTCCTTTAATTGGAGGTTACCAACTAGCTTGAGGAGATTGAAAGTCCAACAGCATCAAATGTCGGATTTTAAGGTAAGTTTGCCACATCTAAAATCAGTTGGGTTGTATGTGACGTCTCCTGGAAATTTTAGGATATGTGAACTACCTGATTCAGTAACTGATGTTACAATCTATGCGCCGCAATTTCAATTCGAGCGTCTTGTCACAGGTAAAGAGATCCACAAACTTCCACCAAATTCGAAAACTCTTGATCTTCACAGCAACTTTTTGGATCCTGAATCGCTTAGGCTGTTGCAATTGGAAAACTTTCAGCACTTATGGTATGTCAATTTATATTTCAACAGGATCAACGAACTTGAAACTGGAATGTTTCCTATTTCACTAGAGATATTAATTCTTCTGAAGAATACCTTAGAAAGAGTCGACCCTCACGTATTCAAAAACCTACCTCGTCTACAATATCTTTATTTGGAACAATGTTTCTTGGGTCTCTTCTTGGATATGGACCATCCATTGGAATTTCCTAGTCGTTTAAGGTTCATTCAATTAGCCAACAACGGTCTTGAACATATGGAGGTATTTCAGTTCCCGGCAGAGAACATGCTCAGAAGAATAGATCTTCGGTCCAATAGATTCGAAGGTGAAGGAGCCATACTCGAGCAATTGAGAAACAAATTGGGTCATGAAGTGGTTATCGAAGTTTAGTCAAACAGGAGTTTCATCTTTCAAGAGACAGGAGTATTTCAGAGGAAAAGGAGACATAGACAATACTGTGCTTAGACCTGTTGCAAATTTACCTTTGTCTGCTCTATATTGTGAATCATTAGAGTTCTCCAACACAAGGTGCTCGTTTGCTGCCCTAGAAAGGGATTTCACCTCCGAAATGCAGACTCAAAGCAGTGCTCATTTAGATAAATCAGTCTCGATATAGCCTTTTTTTTAGATTTACATACTCTCCTTTCTTTGAAATAAAAACATATACGAAAAAACTTGGAAACTTGGATCAGCGCTCTATACCCAGAAATAGACCAATGAGGGAATGAGTCTTGTGGACAATTTCGCTTATAATACTACTAACTTCTTCTTAAAACGACGTGCTTTATTAACCTCTAGTGTCTCGGAATTGTTCAAGTAGGGTTCTCGATCAGAACTAACTTAACTTATAAGATGCTGGTGTCGTTCCTTAGATCGAGTGTGAATAAAAGAATACAACAATTCTGATAATGAAATCAATAGTAAAGTACAATAGTTCAAAAAGAAAGATACTATAAGAATTATAGTAAATGCTTGCAAGTTAGAAGAGATGAAAATTTCCTTTGTTCATAATATTGAGCACGTGATTACACTTAAATTCGATGACCATCAGGGGTAGGATTCTACCCCAGTATTGTTTGTATGAGCTAACCCCCTAAATTTTCAAATGTTTGGCGAAACTAATCGATGCCAATTACTATCATCTTATTTCTCTCAATTGCATTATTATGACGAATTCACAAATCCACGTTTCAATTTTCCTGCTTCCGCAGGATGTGTTGGAATTGGTGCTTTCTTATATTCCCACGATCAATTTGTTATCTTTCACCAATATTCCAAACTTAGATGAACTAATAAGGAATGAATTAAGAAATCGACATATCAAAGTCATCGTATATGGGAAATCTGCGACAAGACCCAACACAGATCCATATCCCGCTGAATTCTGGGAAAGGGAGATAATTGGCGATGATTCGAGGTTGGACCTGAGAAGCGTATCACGGTATGAAGATTTGAATAGGATTGTGTTTAACGAGCCTGATAGCGTAGAAAGGTTTTTGGATTTCAAGCAGAGACACCCTAACTTGATTGCAAACTTGAATATCGTTGAAAATGATATTTTGGAAGAATTGGTTACCGAAGCTCCTTGGTGTTTTCAAGATATTCAGAGCTTAACGTTTACCGAACGTCAGCAACTGGAAAACTACTCGGAGACGCTCTCTAGTCTCCTATATAAGTATCTTACTGTTCAATTGTCCGATCTAGGCATTAATCTCCCGGAAATGATTTGGCTGTTGGAACTATCTGATTTTTTCAAACAAAAGAATCATTTGCAGTTGACACCCATAGAGTATCAGATAAAAGAATTGAGCACCCGCTGTCCAATTGAGGTTGAAGATTACAAGTACTTGCCAAGAGCATTACAGACTTTGAACACTAAATTGGCGTTGCATAGTCCAAGGTGTACTCTCGAACTACCGTTAACGTTAGAACAACTCACAATTGACTTTGATTCCGTTGAAGACCTTACAGAAATTAATATCTCTGATCTACCTAAGTTGAAGAAATTGCGCCTAGATTCATTTCCTCTGCAAGGGCTAAGAAGTATGAACGCTCCCAAACAATTAGAAAACTTGTCCATCTTTTCAAGAAATCTTGTGTCTTTGGAAAGTATAGCGGAGTATCACATGCTAAGAGAACTCGAGGTTTCAATTGCTCACCTGGATGGTGAGTCAATGTTGGATTGTACCTTACCTGATTCCTTGCAAAGGCTTCGCTTTACCTGGTGGGTTTTCCGTAATAGTGATCGTCAAGGCGAAGATGTCGAAGAGCTGCATTGTATGTCTCCGGTTAGACTACCTTCAAATCTCAAGCTGCTTGACTTTCAAACAAACTCCCCCTTGCTCTGTTTGAGAGAGTGGATTATCCCGCCCTCATTAAGGGTTCTTTCATTTGACGTAGAGAAGTTACCAGTTGGATTCAAGATTCCACCTAATTTGATATCCCTTTCGATACGTTGCTCCGAAAACGGTTCCTTACCTCGTCCTTTACCCAAATCATTAATTCGATTACATACAACTTTGGTACCACCAACCAAATGGTATCTAACGCAGTTGAAGAACTTGACCCAACTTAATTGTGACTTTATCAAACATAGAAAGTCTTCCTTTGATTGGAAATTGCCAACTAGTTTGAAAAGATTGATAATTGCTCATTGTTCCTTGGAAGCTCTAAACATAAACGTGCCAAACCTAAAAGCAGTCGACTTGCATCTAAAGTTTCCCGACCATTTGGAAAAGTTAGAGCTACCTTCTTCTGTAGTTGACTTGAAAATATATAGTATCAGGGATAATAAAATTTCTGAATTGTCGATTTCAAAGAAACATAAGCTTCCCACGAAGTTGAAGACGCTTAATTTGTTGCACGATTGTATGGATTCAAAATCGCTTAATAATTTACACTTGAAAAAGTATCAGCATTTGTGGTATATTAATCTATTTAAAAATAAGATCAAGAAAGTTGCAGATGGGGTGTTTCCTGCTTCCACAAAAGTACTCATCCTTCTGAGTAATCCCTTAAATGAAGTCGAGCCCAATGCATTCAAGAACCTACCCAACTTACAGTACTTGTACTTAGATTGTTGTAATCTTGGAGTAGCTGCAGCGCGAAATCAATCTTTGGAATTTCCGACTTCTTTGAAATATGTACAATTATCATGCAACTACCTTAAAGATATTAGCAGTTTTCATTTTCCCTCGGAGAATATGACTAGGATACGACTTTCCTTCAATACGTTTCCTGATAAAGAGAAAATTGTCGAAACATTGAAAGCTAAATTGGGAGAGAATGTGGCTATTGAAATATAGCCAAGAGGGCGTATCAAAGCAGAAATATAGAAATGAATAAGAATGACTACTGATTTGCCTTTATCTGCTCTACTTTGTAAATCTCAAGTATTCACTCAACGCAAGGGGCCGCTTGTTGCCCCAGAATAGTACAGTTACCATTAAATGGTAGCGCTCATTCAGACGGACCGTGGCGTAATTAATTTAGGTTTTTCTTACATGCTTTGAAGACTTTTAATGAATAAATTACACACGAAAAATCTTGAAAACTTGCACCAACGCTCCACACCCAGAAGTAGAACAATACGGGGGTGGACTCATATGCCAGAATTTCGCCTGAGCCATATTTTCTTGTATAATGCAACCCCTAAACGCTCAATTAGACAGCGCTTTTATTTGGCGGAACTAATCAACTAGAATTATTATCTTCTTACTTCTGTTGTGATATTTAAGCACTGTTATGATGTGTTTAGAAATCAATACTTCAAAGCTATTGCTGCTTCCATCCGAAGTATTGGAATTGGTGCTTTCATATATCCCCACAATCAATTTGTTGTCATATGCCAATATACCGAATTTAGATGATCTCTTAAAATGTGAATTAAATAATCGGCACGTTAAAGTCTATCTCCATACAAGATATATTGGAGATATTATACATTCAGAGGAACCGAAGTTCTGGGATAGAACACCAATTGGTGACGAGACAAGGTTGGACCTGCGAAGCATTCCACCGTCTGAAGGTTTCGATAGTATCGAGTTTAGAGAACCTGATTGCGTAGAAAGGTTTTTGGATTTCAGGAAAAGACATCCTAACTTGAGTCCAGAATTGAGGATCCATGAAACTGCTGTTTTAGAGAAGTTGCTTAGGGAAGACCCTTGGTGCTTTCAAGATATCCGGAGCCTAAATGTTATGGAAAGCGGGGACCCGAAAGAACAAGAAGAGTTTGTGAACGCAGTTTCTAGTTTTGCATACAACATAGATACTATTCGAATGTCCAATCTAGCTGACTGTACTCTCCCGAGATCGGTTAGACTGTTAGAACTATTTAATTTTCTGGAACAGAAGTATCATTTACGGTCCCCGTCAATAGAATATCAACTAAAAGAATTAACTATACTCTCTGCAATTGAAGTTGAAGATTGCAAATACTTACCAAGATCATTACAGAGTTTAAATACAGACATAAGCTTGGATGATCCAAGATGTACACTCGACTTACCATTAACATTACAACAGCTTGTGATTACATTTGCACCCTGGCCCTACGTTACAGAAATAGATATTTCCAAACTTCCTAGTTTAGAGAAATTGCGTCTAGTTCGCTTTCCTCTAGAAGAGTTAAAGGGATTGCACGCTCCCAAGCAATTGGAAAGTTTGACCATCATGTCAAATACTTTACGAGCGTTGGAAAGTATAGAGCAGTACACCATGCTCAAGGAACTCCTGGTTGCAATTCTCCGCTCCGGTGCAAAGTCGGTGTTGGATTGTACCTTACCTGATTCCTTACAAAGGTTTTATTTTGACTGGTGGACTATGGATGAAAGTGAGATGGTTGAAGATCAGGAGGTCGAAGAGCTGTATCGTAAGTCTTCAATTATTTTGCCTTTGAATCTCAAGCTGCTTCGGCTTACAACAAATTCTCCATTACTTTGCTTGAAAGAGTGGATTATCCCATGGTCATTAAGGACTCTTTCATTTCAAGTTACCAAGTTACCGGTCGGGTTCAAGATTCCACCAAATTTGATATCCCTTTCCATAATATGTTCAGAGAATGGTTTCTTACCTCGTCCTTTACCCAAATCCTTGGTTCGAATAATCACGACTTTGTTACCACCAAACAAATCGTGTCTAAAAAATTTGACAAACTTGACCTATCTTAATTGTCAGTTTCTTGAACAAGAAAGGATATACTTTGACTGGAAATTACCATCTAGTTTAAAACGTTTGATAGTTCATTACAATTACTTAGAAACTTTGAAACTAAACGTTCCAAACCTAAAGGCAGTGGAGTTGTTTCTTAGATTTCCTAACCTTTTGGAAAAATTAGAGCTACCTTCTTCTGTAATTGATTTGAGAATACATAGCGTCAAAGATAACGATGATGCAGAATTGTCCATTTCAAAGAAACATAAACTTCCTACACAATTAAGGGTGATTAACCTATTGCACGTTTTTATGGATTCAGAATCACTTAATAATTTACACTTGAAAAACTTTCAGTATTTGTGGTATATTAATCTATATAAAAATCAGATCAAGAAAGTTGCAGATGGGATGTTTCCTGCTTCCACAAAAGTACTCATCCTTCTGAGTAATTTCTTAGATGAAGTCGACCCTTATGCATTCAAGAATCTACCCAACTTACAGTACTTGTACTTGTCTCGTTGTGATCTTGGACTAGGGGCAGTAAAAAAACAACCTTTGGAATTCTCGACTTCTTTGAAGTATGTACAATTAGCATGCAACTACCTAAGAGATGTTGACAGTTTTCATTTTCCCTCGGAGAATATGACTAGAATAGGACTTACTTTCAATCACTTTCCTGATAACGAGAAAATTGTTGCAACATTGAGAACTAGATTGGGAGATAATGTGGTCGTTGAAGTGTAGCCTAGCCAACTTATCAATATCTTGGATCATTAGCCGTAGCCTAGACGCGTGCAGCAGTGGAATTGTGTCACTCTGTACCAAAGCATTAATTTGGAACAGCCTATTTTATTAGTCCAGACTAGAATAAACAAGGCACCTCCCTCCTAGGGAACAATTTTCAACATCAACTAGCGTGCTAAATGCTCATTTAGCTTCCTTATTTATATTTGCATTATGAAGCCTAATCGGTGCCGTTTGCTACAACAAGAGGTGGAATATGTCGTTTTGCAACCAACATGCGACATTTCTAAAATGTCGTTCTTATGAAGTTTGAACCATATTTTTACTTATCTTATAGGAAAATTCTATTGGTAAAAATAAATAAATATATATATATTAAATAAATACCTAAAATTGTTTATAACTTATCATATAAGATCGAAATATCATAGTTTTCTCTAAAATACATCCCATGTCTCTTCAAATACCATAAAACCAATGAACTAACCGTAAGAATCCCCATTAGGATGGAAAACAAGATCCCAGGTCCAATTGCTGCCAATAATGGTTCTACAATAAACGTCGCGATAGCCGCAAGAACTAGTCTTATTAAATTATTAAGTGCAACCCCAGTCGCACCTTTTCCCGGTAATGTGTCAACCAAATAGGTAACGACTGCAGTTATAAGCAACATAGTAGCAAACCCAAACAACGCAGTTCCGATCAAAGGCACCAACCAGAACTCACCATATTCAATAGTCCAACCAAAAATAAGACATGCTATGGGCAAGAGTATAACCGCCACCACGACATTCCAAGAGATTCTCGCCTCAGGAACTACCTCACCATGTTTTTTGATATATTTGTTTAATAAATAATCGTTCCATTTCCCACCCAACATTGAAGCAATTATATAGGTGACGGAATTGGGGATATATAATAATCCAACTATGATTTCTCGGAAATTGTATGGGGATCGGGAATAGGAGTATGTGATTGTCATATTGAAGAAATATAATACTGCGAAGGAAATGGCCGAATATGCGACTACGAGTGCCACTGGCGGGTGTTTTAATAATACGATTGAATGCATTGGACGGATGACGATATCGTAGGAGTTGGTTTTGAAAGTGGCCCATTTGGATCTAGGTGGTTGAGGGAGTGATATGGTTGATATTATTCGGGATTGTGTTTCATTTTCTAAATCCTGTTGGATTCTTCTTGAGTAGGTGGATCTATTGGTGGGGAATCGACTGATTGCAGGTGTGACTGGATCCATGACTGGACCTTCTTCTTCCAAGGCAGTCATTATTGAGTGGGTGGTCATTCGACTTAAGTTGGTTAACACTGGTTGAAGACGATTCAGATCCAAAGAATTAGAATCATGGGAATTATTCTTATCTTCTTCTTCCTGCTCCTCTAAGGTATGGTCATGTTGAGCTGCAGCCGCAGTTTTTAATAACTCTCTAACTGCCTGTAAATTCTCCGCTTGTCTTAATGTTTCCGGCAACAAAAACATAATCGAACAGAAATTACATCCTGAAAATATAACCAATAACCACTGAGTAGCTCTCCAACCCCAAGCATCAGACACAATACCTCCTAAAATCGGTGCCAAAAAAGGTCCCATAAGTGGACCCAAATAATACCAACCCATAGCCGTTCCTCTCTCTTGTGGAATAAATAAATCCGCGATAGTACCCGCACCCACTGCCTGCACTGATGCCGAACTTCCACCCTGCAAAACTCTCAAAATGATCAAAGAAGCAATATTTGGAGATAACGCAGTCCCAATGGAAAATGCAACAAACAAAGCAAAGGAAATCATATATACAGATCTTCTTCCGAACTGTTCACTAAACGCCGACCACCAAAGTGGGAATATACCTAATGATAATAAATAAATCCCCACGGAAATATTGACGACTGAAGTACTGGTATTTAGATCTATAACGATGGCATCGATAGCAGGCAACATGATTGAAGTCCCCATGGGCCCCGTGATGGATGCGAATGCGATGATTGTGATAATTAGGTATTTGACATTGGTGGGATAGTCTCTTGCATCTTGATATTCTGGGATGAGGACTAGTTGGGCCAAGAGACCTCTTCTATCTTTTCTCGGTACTCTGTTGGTTGCTATTGATGTGGTTCTGGATATTGGTTCAGTAGAGACATGGAGAGGGGGACGATGTCCGTCGGGTGGTAGGCTAGAGTCTCGAGATGTTGTTGTTAGTGGATGGTGATGATGGTGATGATGATGGTTGTCTGGATTTTCCAAGTCACTGGAAGCAAGTGAAAGTATTGGTGAGATGGGTATGGACGATTCCGGAACGGGGTCCTTCCCTATCTTTTCTTGTTGTACATCCTGTTCTTCGGGTTGCTGAGCATAATCTTGAGGTGCGGAGCTTGACGTGGAATCAACAGATGTTGATTTTTGTTGCAGTTGTGGTTTTGGTTCATTATCTGAACTAGTCATGATTCTGGATAGCTAGATGGGTTAAAAACGAAGGTGAAAATATGTACGACTAAATAGTTTTATACCATTAACTTCTTATCTAGTGAAATCTACGTGTCAAACTCTGTTTTCTATGAATGATATATGTTGCTATATTTGTCTTTAGTAATAAACTGAGAAAAGAGCGATGCAGAAAAAGACGACTGAGTCTATTTTATTATATTTTTTCGTTCGGTCCCGAGGAAGACGCATAAAGATGCAATAGAAAAAAAAATGGAGTTGGGGGGATTCATCGTCCAAATCGGGCAAATTCCGCTTTTTATTTTTTTTTTTATGTGTCATTTGGTTTTAGTTACGAAAATAACTCCGTGTGAAATGCGCATAGACTGTGTTTAGTTTGACTTCTATTTGACTGGAAGTTATTGTTAGCCATATACATCTTGAACTCTTGATTTTACGGGCATGCGATATGCCAGGAAAACTGTGTTGGGTAGGTATATAAACTCAACACCGACCTTGAGTTATGAGATTCAAAAATAAAGCCGATTTTATTCGCGCAATTCAACATTTTGTGTCACGGGTCATAACCATGTCTTCGGTCCGAGCATTCGATTAGTTAAACATGTCGATATTGCTTACTTTCAACAATCAGTAGTAGGCTGATACATAAAGCACAAGCTATCTCTTAGATTCCAATGAATGCCACAAAATACTAGTGAATGCACATCACACTTTCAAAATGTAGGATGCACTAAATCATTCTTATAGAATGATTTTTTCAAAACACAATATGTCATTTTGCAGACATAACTAGTGACTTCTGTCTTATCAGTCGCAAGTGTGAAATAAGATAGGCAGGGTGTAATTCAAAGACGTTTTCAAATAAAGAAGAAGACAACAAGCAGGCGGAGAGATTAAAGTTGACAAATAACTGTTATAACTAATGATTACTCATATGGACATGGAGATTCAATCAGGTGCCGTAAGTCATGTGCATTTGGTCGTATCATACAGAAAGCTGGCCAAATAGGCGGTTGTAGATCAAGCAAATGAAGCAACGGAGTAGCAGTGAACCTCAGAATAGTAGAAAAACTTACAGACATAAATATTAAAACAGACTCACGGCAGAAGTCTTTGCAATTGAAAATTCGAGCGAATTAGATTGTACTTGTTGAAAATGACGGATCAGTCCAGTACTACGTTCTCTCAAATCTGGCAAGGCTTATCCTGGACAGTTCTAAGCGGAACAAAGGACAATAAAGTGTTGCGTATCTCCAGATGCTGATCTTTGTTGACTGGTTCTGAAGCTTGGCTTTGACAGTTGGCTGAGCAACACCCCAGGAAACACCTCCGTACGTCAAATAGGAAATCACTGGAATGGGAACGTTAACACATTTTGTCCTTGGGGTTATTCCGTTATCCGTTATCCGTGAATTAGTCCTGTCTTTTATATTTTATATCAAAAATCGCTTGCTACTTTTAGATTGATGGCTCTGTAGCATATACTGTGTTGATAGTTATCTTGTGGTTGTATGGTAATGAGATTTTGATCTGTAAATCTGTGGGGTATTAAAAGAAATTTTCTGTTGAGAAATTTGTTGGATCTTTCTCATTTATTTATAACCACGGTATATACTTGTTGGTCTTTCGTAAGATACCATACTCCTTCTACATTTTATAGCTTGAGCAGAGTCTGGTGACTAGTTCTGATAGTAATTTCTAAGTTTAACGGAATAAGTGAAATTTCCAACAATATTTCATTCAACAACTGAAGATCTTATAGTAAAAGTTTAGATTTTTTGCCATCATCGATCAATCAATCAATCAATCAATCAACCAAAAAACGATAACAAGATAAAAAATAAATTGAATAAAAAAAGAATTACGAACGAATTTCATTTTTTTACGCTTTGCCATCATCAACACTCCTTTGTTTGATTTTATTGTCTACCTTCCTTACTATTTATAGAAAGTCAATTGTCTCAAATCATCTTTTTTTTGCATTTCATTTCATTTCGAATCTTTGTTAATTGTTGAGAGAGAAACAAACTCGATAAAATATGACCTATGATCAATTACCAACTACCATTATGAGTTTACGAAATACATTACCTGTTGTTATAGTTAGAACAGCTATAATGATCCCAACTTTCATGATTGGATGTTTATTTATAGTAACCACTCAATTGGTTGGAGTATTCTTATTTGAAAATTATCCAAGTTCAAAACAAGCTATATTTAATATTACTAAGAATCATTTTGTTATATTACTTACATTTATGACTTCAATTATAAATCCAAGTAAAATAGCTATAACATTAGATAAAAACATCGAAAGCATTCAATCATTTAAAGTTGATAATTCTGGTAATTTACATACTTCATTCATGCCAAATTCAATCTTTATATCAAATCATCAAATATATACTGATTGGTTATTTCTTTGGTTTTTAATTTATACTTCAAGATTAAGTGATTGTGTTCATATTGTCTTAAAGGATCTACTGAAGATACCTGTATTAGGTTATGGGATGAAGAATTATAATTTCTTATTTTTATCAAGAAAATGGGAAACTGATAAAATTATCCTTACTAATCAATTATTAGAAATAGATGCTAATGCAAGAGGAGTTGGACCTGCAAATGGAGTAAAACAAATTGCATCTACAAGTAATAGTGAAATTAAAACCTGGCCCAAGATAAATAGACCAGATAAGATTTGGCCTTATCAATTAATCTTATTCCCAGAGGGGACCGTTCCTTCTGATAGAACAACTAAGAAATCACGTGCATATATTGATTCCCAAGGTCATCAACCTTTAAAACATGTTTTATTACCTAGATATAGAGGATTATATCTTTCATTAAAGAAATTAAGAGGAACAGTAGAAGCAATATATGACATAACTACTGCTTATGCTGATTTAGCTGAAGATGAATATGGAGAAGATGTATTTTCATTAAAAAGATTTTATTTTAAAGGATATGGACCATCACAAATTAATTATTATATTAAACAATATAAAATTGATGAAATTCCATTAGGTGATGAAGAAGATATAGATGATGTTAAACCGGAAGATTTGAAACGATTTGAAACTTGGTTAATTAATGTTTGGTATGAAAAGGAACAATTAATGAGTAATTTTTATAAATATGGTGATTGGCAAGGAGATCAAGAAGGTGAAAAAGAATGCGTTAAAATTGTTGGGGATTTTAAGTTAAGAAATCAAGTGGAAATTATTTTACCTTATTTGGTTGGTCTTACTATATTGTTATTACTTAGAGGCATATATTTATTCATTAGGCATGTAGTATAGAATTCGTGTGTTTGGGTCAATGTTTCAAAAGTGTCTTAGGTGTAATGTTTAATTGTATTGATGTATTGATGTTTTATTATATGCAGTCTGTTGCAGATTTGTTTTAAAAAAAATTTTTTTTAAATTTTTGCAACTTCTTTTTGGTTTTAATTTGAAACATGTTTAATAGAAGCAAGTGTTTAATTTTAGGAAAATATATATATAAATAGATGCAATATTCTACATGAAATTGTAGCTTTCACTTTTACTCAAAATGGTTCTTTTCTTATTTCTACAATAAAAAACTTTCATAAACAACGGCCATGTTAAGTAAAGGAATTATTATATTATTAGTTATTATTCAATTCATTGCAACTATATTACTTAGTTTCTTAGTACTTGGATGTATAGACTCATCATCCAATTATTCAAATATATATTTATTATCCTATCAATTTAACTCGACTTCACCTTTATTTGATTATTTATCAATAACTCAAAACTCAACTACAATCACCGATAATTTTGAAGATTTACAAGTTAGAATAGGTTATTATGGTATTTGCTTAGACACTAACAGTACCCTTTCATGTTCTCATTACAACAATTTAAACACATTCCCTCAATATAAATTAAATCTCTTGAATACAAAACTCGATTTAGTCACATTAGCTCAAGAGTTCAGTGAAGTATGTCATCCAATAGTCTTATTACTGACTATTTTATTAACCATCCTTACATTACTATTATTATGCTATGTGATTATTCCATTCTTACCTGGGAAGTTCCACGTCAAGAAAGCTTTAGTGGCTACTACATTCATAAATTCAATTCTTTGGGGATTGGGAGCAATGTTACAACATGAAGCCGTGAAGGCAAGTGCAAAAATGATGCAGGTTGCTAGTATGGAATTATTATTGACTGGAATGGGAAAAAGGGCAGAAGTTATGACTTGGGTTGGGTTTCTGTTTTTGATTATTGTTTGTATTGGGGTTGTGTTTGATTTTATTAAAGATTGGAAGTTTCAAAAATCACAAGTGAGTACTCTTCAAAAATTGTAACGGCAAGAGATAGTTTATGGAAATTTTATAACAAAAATAAAGAACAAATAAATTTAGTTTGATTTTAGTATATGCATTTAAATATATGATTATAGTATATAGTAACAATAGTTTTTAAATATGATATTCGTTAATTCGTTATTAGTATCTAGTATAATGATTATCTAAATGGAAATATAATGGTAAGTAGCATTGATTACATAATCCAATAGTGAATGATTATATAATCAGAGTATCTCCTAATTGGGACACAGATCACGTGAAAAATGATTTTCCAGGGTAAATTGAATTTCCTGCAATAATTTTTTTTTTTTTCAAATAAGATTCATTTTTTTTACAACCATAAACAATTGGCACTAACAAATCAGAGAGAGTAAGAAACAACCACCAGTAATGTCATATACAGCACAGCTAGACGCGTTTGTATCTAGAATTAATGACAATAAAACTGATTACACCAAACAACATTCAATATTATCAGAATTATTAGATACTATAGAAACATTTAATGGAGCCGCTGAATATGAATACTTTTTAACTCATTTAATCCCAATCTTTAATAAGACATTGAATGATACTCCCATTTCATTTATTAGTTCATCTCCTGAACATAAATTACGTAATTCTATATTAGAAATACTTCATAGATCAATTATGAATGAAACTTTTCAACCTTTTGCTGAAGATATTTTAAATACTTTAACTAAAATATTAATTGAAGAAAATGAAGATAATGGGGTATTATGTATGAAGATTATTACAAGTTTACATAAAGCTTATAAATCTAAATTAGCTGATAAAGTTAAACCATTTGTGGAAATTATTGGACAAATCTATGATAATATGCCAAAAACAGTTCAAGAGGTTTTTAATCAAGATACAACAACAACAACAGCTGATGAAGAAGAACAAGACAAATCAACAACTGACATTTCACCATTTGAAGAAACCCCAACAGCTTCTAATAAATCATTGAGAAAAGCCATGTTTTCTTTCAAAACATTAGCTGAATGTCCTATAACCATGGTTTCATTATATTCATCTTACAAAGCATTAGTTCAATCGTCCCTTTCAATCTTTTTACCCAAAATAATCACCATATTGACATTGCAAGTTGAACAACAAAAGCAATATAGACAAGAATCACCAAATCAAATAGTCACTTCCATTTCCCCCAAAATTACTAATCGTCAAGCATATTCTGATTTCATCTTGGGACAAGTCAAAGCTGCTTCATTTTTAGCATATGTGTTTATTAGAGGATATGCCAATCAATACTTAAATTCTGAACAATCAAAATCAGTCCCTGATGTGATCTTACGTTTATTACAAGATTGTCCTGCTGAATTATCAGTTGCACGTAAAGAATTATTACATGCCACAAGACATATTTTATCTACTCCCTTCAGGGTTCAATTCATTCCCCAAATCGAATTATTATTCAATGAAAAGATCTTAATTGGTGATGGATTAACTTCTTATGAAACTTTAAGACCATTGGCATATAGTACAGTTGCTGATTTTATTCATAATGTGAGAAATGAATTAACACCAAAACAAATCTGGAGTACTGTGAATATTTATTGTGATTTATTAAAAGATGATAGTTTGGCTTTGACTGTACAAATCATGAGTGCGAAATTACTATTGAATTTAGTGGAAAGAATTATGAAATTACCTAACAAATTGGAAGGAAGACAATTGTTTTTGATTATTATTGATTCTTATGCTAAGAGATTTGAAAGCTTGAATAGGAAATATAAGTTTATTATTGCCAAACATAAGGAATTTGAAAGAAAGAAGGGATTGAAAGAAAAAGAAGCAAAATTGGCTATTGAAAGATATTCTAAGAAACAACCTGAAAGTAAATTAGTTGATGAGGATAAAATGGATGTTGACCAGGAAGAAGTTGTGATTGATGAGGATGAAGATAAGATGGATGAGGACAAGAAGATTGAAGAAGAAGAACCAGAAAAGAAAGAAGAAGAGGACGATGAAGAAACTTTCCCACTCGATTTATTCAATATTGATTCTCATTCGCCAATTGCAAGTTATCCAGTTACAAGTAATACTGATTTATTGAAAGATGCAAGATACTTATTTAAAACATTGATGACATTTTTGAAATCAGTTATTTTCGGGTTGAAGAACTGTAATCCACCAGTTCCACCACAACCTACACCAGATCCAAAGAATCCAGGTCAACAGGTCAATTATGATAAGTGGAATGATTCAGCAAAATTAATCTCCTACGAAGAAGTCAATATCTTAAGAGCATTATTTAGGGGTGGTATAACTTGTCTTAGATTCTTTTCAGTGTCCAAACCAAAACCATCAATCCAACAAGCTAAAGCATTCGATTTCTCAACTGGTGGACCAAATTTACCAATCACTTCATCAAAAGAAGAAAAAGATTTAATGGAAATCTTTGCCACTATTTTCATTCATGTTGATCCAGCTTCATTTAATGAAATTGTTAGTTCTGAATTACCATTTATGTTTGAATCAATGTTGGAAAATGCAGCTTTGTTACATTTACCACAATTCTTTTTAGCTAGTGAAGTTACACTGGCCAATTTTTCAAGTATTTTGATTTCATTCCTTCGAGATAATTTAGATCAATTGGGACTGGCAGATTTGATTAAATCAAATATCTTGATTCGATTGTTTAAACTTTGCTTCATGTCGGTTAATTTATTTCCCACAACTAATGAAACTGTGATATTACCTCATTTGAATTATTTGATTTTGGAATCATTGAAATTAGGTACAAAAGCTGAAGAGCCAATCGTATATTCATATTTAGTTAGGATTTTATTCAGAAGTATTAGTGGTGGAAGATTTGAAAACTTATATAAAGAAATCATGCCAATTTTGCCTGTTTTATTAGAAAATCTCAACAAAATGATTGCCAACACCAGAAGACCATATGAAAGAGACATATACGTTGAATTATGCTTAACTGTCCCTGTTAGACTTTCAGTCCTTGTCCCCCATCTCAACTACCTCACACGTCCATTAGTATATGCATTGAATGGATCGCAAGAATTAGTCAGCCAAGGATTACGTACTTTCGAATTATGTGTTGACAACCTTACTGCAGAATATTTCGACCCCATGATTGAACCAGTTATTGACGACATTATGGCAGCATTATGGAAACATTTAGAACCAGTCCCTTATCATCATCAACATTCTCATACTGCTATTAGAATCTTGGGTAAATTAGGTGGAAGAAATCATCGTCATTTCAAACCAGGGGAAAAATTAGCAACTCAATCTGAATTGGATCAAGAAGTTAAAGCATTATTCACAATACATGGATTGAATGGACAAGTACCTATTTCGATCACTCCTGGGGTTGAATCAGCTATTAAATTGTTGGAAGATGTTAGGTTGAAGGAACATTATAGGATTAGTGCATTTAATTATTTAGCTTCCATTTTGAAGTTGTTCATTAATAATTCGAGAATAGATGAAGGATTTGTGGGATATATCGAACAAGCTATTGAGGTTTTAAAACTGGATAAATTGGAAGATCATACAGGAACAGATCAAGAAGCTAATGGCGGTAGTAGTGGTAGAATTAATGGAATGGAATTAGAACCTTCAGGAATTAAAGATCTGGCTAAATTAGATAGACAACAGAAATTATTTTCGAAATTGTTAGAAATGATGTTTTATTCAGTTTCGATTCCAGAATTGAAACAAGAAGCTAGTGAATTGATTGATGGATTAACTACTCATTTTACATTACTTCATTTGGGTACTTCTGTAATTGACCGTATCAAGAAAGAAAGAAGGTTTTCGGTGAATGATAATGAAGGAAAAGCCTATATTAGTGAAACTGTTTTCTTGAATGGGTTGAATTATGCATTAAGTTTCTGGGATAAGGAAGTTAGACAAAAAGGGATTGATTCAATCAAGAAGATTTATTCAACTACAGTTACTATTTTTGGTGGATCAGAAGAATTAGCTTTGTATTCTCCAGTTTTCAGATCGATGTTTTACAAGTTTACTCATTGTTGTTATAATGAATATTATTATGCTAAATTAGGTGGTATCTTAGGTCTTAAAACAATGTTTCATGATTTGGGTATACCTGCAAAATGGTTCTTTAAGAGGCAATTTGAATTGGTAAGATCAATCTTTTTTATATTGAGAGATACTCCAGAAACCGCACCACATGAAGTTCGTGAATCTGCTAAAACATTGGTTTTGGAACTTTTGAAAACTTGTAATACTGGAATCACTAAGGAAACTGTCTTGGAAAAACCATTTCAAACATTAGTCGGGGCTTTGGTTTATGATTTAGCAAGTCCAACTCCAATGGTTCGTGAAGTTGCTCAACAAGCTTTGAAAGTCTTATCTGAAACAACTGGTGTTCCAATTGCTTCAATTATGGGTCCATGTAAACATTTATTATTAACACCTATATTTGGAAAGCCATTGAGAGCTTTACCATTCCCAATGCAAATTGGAAATATAGATGCAATTACATTTTGTTTAGCTTTACCAGATACATTTTTGACATTTAATGAAGAATTGAATAGATTGTTGTTAGAAGCTTTGGCTTTGGTTGATGCTGAAGATGAATCATTAGCTAATGTACATCGTCTTTATGAATACCGTACTTCAAAACAATTGATTGAACTTAGAGTGGTTTGTATCAAATTGCTTTCATTAGCTTTAACAAAACCAGATTTTTCGTTGGGATCTTTAGCTGAAGCAAGAATTAGAATATTGGGGGTTTTCTTCAAGGCATTGTGTAACAAATCTACAGAAATCATTAATGCTGCACATCAAGGATTAGCTTCAAGTTTGCAAGAGAATGCAAAGTTACCTAAGGAATTATTACAGAATGGATTAAGACCTATGCTTATGAATTTATCTGATCATAAGAAATTGACTGTGTCGGGATTGGAAGCATTAGCTAGATTATTAGAATTGTTGATTTCTTATTTTAGAGTTGAAATTGGTAGGAAATTATTAGATCATTTAATGGCTTGGGCTCAGATTAATACATTAAGACAAATTGCTGGTCAAGATTTAGAAAATAATCATACGGTACAGATTGTGATGGCCATTTTGAATATTTTCCATTTGTTACCTGCCAAAGCATATACTTTTATGGAAGAGATTATCAATACTTTACAATATTTGGAAGGGCATTTAGATCGTCATCAGGATTCACCATTTAGAAAACCAATTTCGAAATTTTTGAATCGATTTGCAGAAAATTGTATTGAATACTTAGTTAAGAATTTCAAGAATAGAAAATTGGGAAATATGTTGGCTATGATTGCTGGAATGGAAGGTTGCGAAAATATTAGAAAGATGGCAGAAGATAAAATTACAGTTTTAATGGATGATATTACCAATGAATCTGATCAAGAATTGAAAGTTATTAAATTTGCCAATATGATTGATTTATTGGAATCTATAACTAAGCATGATAATAGCTGGTTTGACAATCAACGTGAATTATTATTGAAGTTATCAAAAATCGTGGAAGATATATCAGATATTAGAAAGGCACCATTGATTTCAGCAGCTCATTTCCAAAGTGATCAAGGAATTGAAAAGTTACAGAGTATTATTGTGAATTATGTGACTAGAAACCCACAAGAATTTGATATTGTGTTTATGATTGTCGATCGTCATTCTAGATTGAAGTTGAAGATTTCTGATGTGGTAGAGAATTATCTTTTTAATGATATTGTTGCAAGCAAGGATATTGAAACTAGAGAGAGATTTTTGAATAAGACTATTGAATTTGTGAGTGAAGCTGATCCATGTTTGAAATCCAAGATTTTCTTTTTGAAGAAAGTATTCAATCCAATTTTCATTTATGAATATGATAAGAATGGGAAAGTAGATGCATTCTTTACTAAAGAACATCCAGAATGGTTAGAGAAATTAAGCAATAATATTTGGAAATCGACCCAGGATATCATTACTGATCATTCTTCAGGTTCGATGGATAGTTATAGATATGCATTACTTGAAGTGGCAGCACTATTACTTAAATTAGCACCAGCTTTCATTAGTGATTTACGTAAAGATATTATTAAGTTCAGTTGGAATTATATCAAGTTGGAAGATAATATTACTAAACAAGTTGCCTATGTCACTACATCATATTTCATTTCTGCTTATGAGACTCCAGCTAAATTGGCTACTCAAGTGTTTGTGGCACTTTTAAGAACTCATCAAACTGATTCTAGACATTTGGTTAGACAAGCTTTAGATATTTTGGCTCCTGTTATGTCCGAAAGAATGAAGGATACAGATACTCCTGAAAGTTGGTTGAAATGGCCTCGTCGTATTATTTCAGAAGATGGATTTAACGTGACTCAAGTTTTGAATGTGTATCAATTTATTGTTCAACATCCAGATTTATTCTTTGTGGCTAGAGAACATTTCATTTCAAATATTATTACTGCTATGGGGAAATTGACTATTCTTGCTAATCCTGCAATTGAGAATCAAGTGTTGGCTATTGAATTGGCAGAATTGATTTTATACTGGGAAAGAAAAGCCAAATCATTGAAAGTGGAAGAGGAAGTGAAAGATGAAGAAAAGGTTGAAGAAGATCAATTGGAAGAAATCAAGGATGAAGAAGGGGAACAACAGCAACAAGAGCAGCAATCTCCTGAAGAAGACTCAAAATTGAGTGATGGGCATGACTTTATTACTTCTCCAAATTATTCAATTCCATTTGGTCAAAGAGAAGCATGTGTAACTTTCTTGATCAGATATGTTTGCATCAGTCCACAAAGAGCTTCAGAAAGTGAATTGGGTCAAAAAGCATTAGGTATATTGTATGATTTATTGAGTCCTGAACATTGGCATGAAGTGTCTGTTAAGCTTAGTTTCTTTGAAAAGTTCTTGCTTTCGAATGATTTGAATTCTAATAATTTACTTGGGTATTGCTTGAATGCATTGGAAGTTTTAGGTGTTGTTTTGGAATGGAAGAAACCAGAGTGGATTGTATCTAATCTTTCTTATTTGCAGAAATTACTTGAGAAATGTATCAGATCAGATAATCATGATATTCAAGAGGTTTTACAACGTGTATTATCTACTGTCCTTAAAGCCATAAATGATCAAAAGGAATCAGAAGAAGAGGAAGAGGATGAAGAAGAAGATGTTAAAGAGTTTATTTCATTGTTGACTTCTACGGTCTCTGAAGATTTGGGAGATATGCCATCAGTTGCTGCTGGTGTTACGTTATCATGGACATTGGCCAACTATAGACCTTCCACATTGGATCCATTACTTCCACTGATTATGAAAACATTTAGCAAACTTTGTAAGGATCATATTACAATTACTCATCAAGGATCAAAATCATCATCCTCTTCTTCCAAGGAAGCTTCAAATTCCGAATATGAAGCCAAGATGACTACTAAATTACTTGAAAAAATTCTTAATTTATGTTCAATGAGAATTTCAAATTTGGGAGATCAAAGAAGAATCTTTTTATCATTGTTGGCACAATTAATTGAACGTAGTTTGGATAAGGATACCCTTGAGAAGATTATCAAGATTGTTAAGAATTGGGTATTTTCAAGAACTGATTTATTCCCAACCACTAAAGAAAAGGCTGCTATTTTATCCAAGATGATGGTTTTCGAAATTAGAGGTGAACCTACATTATCTAAAGAATTTTATCAAATCATCGTTGACATTTTTGAAGATGATACATTTAGTTGTACTGAACTTACTGTCCGCATGGAACAACCTTTCTTAGTGGGAACAAGATCTGCTGATGTTTCAATTAGAAGAAAATTAATGTCAATCTTGAATAATAGTTTGGAAAAAGATGTGGCAAAGAGACTATATTATGTTATTCGTGATCAAAACTGGGAGTTCTTAGCTGATTATCCATGGTTGAATCAAGCATTGCAATTGATATTTGGTTCGATTAATTATGGAAAGATTATCAAACTTATTGATGGAGAAAACCAATTGGCACCATTAGAAGCTTATCCATTACCAAAACCAGAACACAAAATGGATGTTGATCATTCCAATGATGAATTAAACCAGTTATTGAACAAACATTCTGAATTTTTGAAATCTGTTGGAGATATTAAGGCTGGTGATATTTTAGAATCTTTAATTGATATGTTCTATCAAAGTAGTGATACCATTCATAAGACATGGGCTAGTATTTTCCCAATTGTATTTGCATCAATTCCTCGTTCAGAACATTTAGATTTCACCAGATTCTTAGTAATTTTGTTATCAAAGGATTATCATACTCGTCAAATAGATAGTAGACCAAATGTTATTCAATCATTATTGGAAGGTGTGGCTCGTTGTGATGGATTACAATTACCACCATTTGCAGTCGAATGTCTTGCAGCTAATTTTAATGCCTGGTCTCAAGGTATTCATATTCTTGAAAAGATTGATGAAGAATCGGTAAATGCAAATGCAGAAGTTCGTGAAGTTACTCAAGATGCATTGGCGAAATTATATGCTACTTTGAAAGAAGATGATATTTTCTATGGATTATGGAGAAGAAGAGCCAAATATGCTGAAACTATTAGTGCTTTATCATATGAACAAATTGGACTTTGGGATAAAGCTCAACAATTGTATGAAACTGCTCAGATCAAGGCTAGAAGTGGTGCATTACCATATGGAGAATCAGAATATGCACTTTGGGAAGATCATTGGATTTTATGTTCTGAGAAATTACAACATTGGGATATTCTTACTGATTTAGCTAGACATGAAGGATTTTCTGATTTACTTTTAGAATGTGGTTGGAGAGTTGCTGATTGGTATAATGATAGAGAAACTTTAGATCAAACTGTTAAGAATGTTATGGATGTTCCAACTCCACGTCGTCAAGTATTCGAAACATTCCTTTGTTTACAAGGGTTTGGACAAGAAAAGGAAACGTTGCAAGATTTATCTAGATTATGTGATGAAGGTATTCAATTAGCATTACGTAAATGGCATGGATTACCACAAAGATTTAATAATGCTCATATTCCATTATTGCATACTTTCCAACAATATGTTGAATTCATGGAAGCAAGTCAAGTATATGCAAGTTTAGTTACTACAAATGCTCAGAATTTGGATGTTAAATCACAAGAATTAAAGAGAGTATTGCAGGTTTGGCGTGAAAGATTACCTAATATTTGGGATGATATTAATATTTGGAATGATTTAGTTACTTGGCGTCAACATGCTTTCCAAGTTATCAACAAAGTATATATGCCATTTATTCCAATTTTACAACAATCAAATGCTGGCGGTAATGCCAATTCGTATGCTTATCGTGGATTCCATGAAATTGCTTGGGTTATTAATAGATTTGCACATGTTGCTAGAAAACACAATATGCCAGAGGTTTGTATTAAGGAATTAACTAGAATTTATCAATTACCAAATATTGAAATCCAAGAAGCATTTTTGAAATTGAAAGAACAAGTTAAATGTCATTATCAAAATCCAAATGAATTAAATACTGGTCTTGATGTTATTAGTAATACTAATTTGGTTTATTTTGCTACTCAACAAAAGGCAGAATTTTTCACATTGAAAGGGATGTTTTTGAATAAATTGAATCAAAAAGATGAAGCCAATAAAGCATTTGCTACCTCAGTTCAAATTGATCTTAATTTACCTAAAGCATGGGCTGAATGGGGTATGTTCAATGACCGTCGTTTCAAAGAAAATCCAAATGATATGGTTTATGCCAATAATGCAATTAGTTGTTACTTACAAGCTGCTGGTCTTTACAAGAATGGTAAAACAAGGAAATTATTAGCTAGAATCTTGTGGTTGATAAGTTTGGATGATGCTTCAGGTACATTAGCACAAGCATTTGAAAATTTCAGAGGAGAAGTTCCAGTTTGGTATTGGATTACATTTATTCCACAATTATTATCTTCATTATCTCATAAAGAGGCTAAATTGGCGAAACAAGTATTGGTTAGAATTGCGAAGAGTTATCCACAAGCATTACATTTCCAACTTAGGACAACAAAGGAAGATTTTGCTGCTCAACAACGTCAAGCTATTGAAATTGCTCGTCAACAAGCTGCTGCTGCTGCAGCCGCTGCAGCAAGTCAAGATGGTAAAACAGAACAACCAACTGATGGAAATACTGAAACTGCTGCATCTCCGGTTAGAGCAAGAACTCATTCACCACAAGTATCACCTACTCAACAACATCAATCACCACCACAAATGCTGCAATCATCACCACAACCACCACGTCCACAATCCACCCAAAGCAACAGTAGCAATATTCAACAATTTAGAAATAACATTCCAAATTCAGTTCGTCAACCATTGGAACATGTTGAAGAGATCATGGGTATTTTGAAGACTGCATATCCATTATTAGCACTTTCATTGGAATCATTAGTTGATCAAATAAATCAAAGGTTTAAATGTACTGCAGATGAAGATGCGTATAGATTAGGTGTTGCATTACTTAATGATGGTGTTCAATATTTGAATAGATTAGGAAATCCACGTGATGATGCTAAATTACCACCAATCACTGAAGCTAATATTACAAGATTTGCTGAAACTGTGTTACCTAAACAAATCCGTGCAGAATTTGAAAAAGATTTAGTTATTGGTAAACCTAATTTGGAAACTTATATTATTAAGTTAAGGAAATGGCGTGATAGATTGGAAGATAAATTAGATCGAAGATTTTCTGAAGTTAATTTAGAAAACTTATGTCCACATTTAAGTGAATTTCATCATCAGAAATTTGAAGAAATTGAAGTACCAGGTCAATATTTGTTGAATAAAGATAATAATAGTCATTTTGTCAAGATTGAACGATTCTTACCTACAATTGATTTAGCTCGTGGAACTAATGCTTGTTATAAGAGATTAAGAATTAGAGGACATGATGGTAGTTTACATACATTTGCAATTCAATTCCCAGCAGCTCGTCATTGTCGTCGTGAAGAATGTGTTTTCCAATTGTTTAGAATTTTCAATGATAGTATTTCAAGAAAAGTGGAAACTCGTCGTCGTAATATTCAATTTACTTTACCTGTTGCAGTACCATTATCACCTCATATTAGAATTGTGAATGATGATCCAAAGGATATTACATTACAAAAGGTCTACGAAGATTTCTGTAAGAAGAATGGAAAGAGTCGTGATGAACCATTTATTTATACGATTGAGAAATTAAGAGCTGCTTATGATCAAAGATTACCAAAACCAGATTTAGCCAGTATTAGAGTTGAAATCTTAAGTGCAATTCAATCATTATTAATTCCATCTACAGTATTAAAGAATTATTTTATTGAATTATATCCTAATTTTGAAGATTTTTGGTTATTCCGTAAACAATTCACTTCACAATATGCTTCATTTATTTTTACTACTTATATGATGTGTGTTAATGCTAGACAACCACAGAAGATTCATGTTAATATGGGATCAGGAAATGTTTGGACATCAGATATGTTACCCTGTAAGATGCCAAGTAAAGCCAATACCACTTCAAGTGGTGATGCTAATGGTGGTGCCGCACCTGCCAAACCAACACCAATTTTTGTTAATGCTGAACAGGTTCCATTTAGATTGACTCCAAATATTCAAAAATTAATTGGTGAAAGTGGATTAGAAGGAATTTTGTCAGTATATGTTGCATGTATTGCTCGTGCTTTGATGGAACCAGAATCTGATTTAGAACAATATTTAACATTATTTGTTAGAGATGAAGTGATTTCTTGGTTTGCTCAACATGATAGATCTAGTCTTAGTGTTAATGGTAGTAGTGCAAATGCTGCTGCCAATGATAACCAAATTCGTGATGTTGTTAGGTTGAATGTTGATAGTATTATTAAGAGAGTTATGACGATGGGTCATATATCTTCTGGATCTGGGGTAGCTACTCAGAACATTTTAGAATTGATTTCACAAGCTGTTAATCCACGTAATTTAGCAGCTGCTGATACTTTATGGATGGCATACTTTTAGAATGTCAATTTGTTATTGTTATTATTATTAAATTTGTATATTATTGTTATTTGTGATTATTGTATATTTGTATATTATTATATTAATGTTTTATTGTGTTATTAGCCTTATAAATAGAGAGGGTAATTTATTACAACAGATAATACTTCCCTTGTAAAGTCATATATTCTTCCATTGAACTTTGAGAAGATTCATTTAAATTCTTAATCACTCTTCTATCAACTTTATTAGCTATATACTCCAAAGCTTTTGAACAAATGATAAACAACATAAATACACTCGTGGTAGCCAATGTTGTAACACCCATTGCTAATATATTAAACACATTAATATATGTATCCACTCTAGTCTGGACAATCCCTCCAGGATTCCTCTTTTCAACCTGAAACATCTCCCCAGCATTCAAACTCTGGACAACAGCAACGATATTGAAAACTAACGTTATTAATTCAAGAATAAATGAACCAAATATGCATCGAAGGGAAAGTAATGTGGGGATAGTACTTGAACACAACGGGAGAATCAGACAATTCACGACAAACTAGAACAAGCAGGGTTAGTAAAACATCAAGTAGAAATGAGTCCCAGGGGTAGTACACATACCATGATCAAAGTATATAAACAAGTGACAACACAAATAGGAGGTCGATTTTCAATATCTTCCAAAGGAACAGATGCATATACTAATATATATTGAATCAATAGAAACCCAAAATATAATCTGAAAAGATTCTTGAAAGCTGATAGGTTATATATGCTGTAAATATTATCGACAATTGTGTTATTACCAACATCAATTCTTTGACCTTCTGGAATGGGGGGATCAAATAGGACGTTATGTACCATTTTTTGTTGTACTATTGTTATTGATATTGGATGTTCTTCATGTGAGGTGTGAGTAGGATAGTAATGCGGTTGCAGTATATATATATTAAGTTATATATAATCTAATATATGAATCTATGGTAACTTCTTCTTCTATAAATTTGTCTTTGTGCTAATTGCAAGTATAAATTGTCATTCAAATGATTGCGAAAATTTTGCAATTGCCTTAGAAAATAAAAACACCAATTAATTTATTTGGTAGCATATCAAATATTATAAAACATAAACATCTCTCGTCCATACATTCTGGAGAAGTTTCACTTAATTTGGGGTAGGTTATTCATTTGGAGTAGGTGGAACCCAAGGATTTTCAGGTCTAGTCCCCACTAATCTTTCATAAACCTGTCTTTCCAATTTTGGAAAAACCTTCTGACTCAATTCAACCCCTTCACATACCCAAATCCCCCAACTTCCCATCATATTTGCCATCATCATATCCGTAAACAATCTATCCCCAATTATAACAATTTCCAGAGGTTTAATATCAAATTGAGCAAAATATTCTTTGATTTCAGGTAAACAACCTGGTTTTTTGGTTGAATGTCGTAATACAGTTACCCCAGTGTCTGTTTCTAATTTGAGGGCTTGGACATGATCTATATCGTCATTTGTTCCTGCTGAGTTGCTGACGATTAATAAATGTTCTTTTGGATATGTTTCTTTAAGTTTATTCCAAGTGTCCTATCAAATTGTTAGTATATATTATATTGTTCACTATCAGAACGATATTTTGGGATAAAAAAGTGGAGGGGACATACTTGATAGGCAGGCCATACCTTATCATCGTGATCTTTGGCAAAGCAATTATCTTTATCCAATACAACTCCTTTTATCTGACTGGTTGAGTTGTTTGGAATTGATATTGGAATTGATAATTGATCAAATGATTTGATTATTGAATGTGGTAAACATAAACTTGGATTATAAAGTAATCGACTAACATTTAAAGTGGCACTAACATTAAACATTCTTTCTCTCTAGTCTCTCTTTCTCTATTCTTTATACTCTACTATAAAGATATAAATATATATGGTGGATGGATGGTGTATTTACTATCGGATTAATTGATTTTGATAATGTGGAAAATTTTTTTGATTGGTTCCTCCAGCAACAACAATATGTCAAAAAAAAAAAGACGTTGAAAATTTTGAAGTTCTTCCGAATTAGAGCCCCAAGACATATCATTAGTTAAAGATTAGCACACCAACCAAATGTCAGCAGATCAGGAACAAACCAACAAACCTCCACATCAAAGGAAGTCACGTGTAAGTCGCGGAGGAAGTAACAAATCCAACACTAGCAATAGAGGTGGAGGATACAAAAGACATCGTAATCAATCAGGAAAGAGTAAACCAGAAGAAGAAGAAGAGGAAATTCCAGAAGGTGAACAATGTATAATTTGTGCAGAACATATCAAATACGCCGCACTAACTCCATGTAATCATACTACTTGTCATAAATGTACATTCAGACAACGTACTCTATATGAAAAGAATCAGTGTTTAATTTGTCGTAGTGAAAATGATCGAATTATAATCACAGAACAATTACATAGAGAATATAATGATATTGCCAGCAATGATATAGTTACTACTGATGAGAAACATCAAGTTGATTTCACTTCCAATTATGCTAAGGAAGATACCTTATTGTTATTATCAAATATGTGTTCTATTTGTAATGATATTTGTCCAACTTTCAAAGAACTTCAAGATCATGCTAAAGAAGTCCATGGGAAATATTATTGTTTGATCTGTTCAAAATTTAAAAAAGCATTCAAGATTGAATTATCATTATATACATTTAAACAATTACAAAAACATCAATCAGAAGGTAATGAAGATGAAGGATTCACTGGACATCCAGAATGTAAACATTGTAGAAACAAAAACAATCGATATTATTCCGAAGATGAATTAAATATCCATATTAGAGATCGTCATGAACGTTGTTTTATCTGTGATCAAGTCCAACCCAAAACTGCCGACTATTATCGAAATTATGATTCCTTGTATTATCATTTCCAACAAGAACATTACGTATGTAATGTTGCTAGTTGTGTTGAGAAGAAGTTTGTTGTATTTAGGGATGATTTGGATTTAACTGCGCATATGTTGAAAGAACATGGAAACCTAACTGGAACTGGTAGTGGCAATAAGATTGTAATTGGATCTAATTCACATCATTTTTCACAATTATCATCTAATTTCCAAAGGAGCGCAAGTCCGATTATTCGAGGTTGGAATGGACAAGATGATTCAGCACAACAAACTCCCGAGGTTAAGAGGATGAGATTTGAAGAACGGGCAAAACATTATTTAAATTACGATTTGAAGAAATATGATGAATTTCATGAATTAAACACAAGTTTTAAGAATAAAAAGATTACTGCTCAAGAATTATTAAAGTTTTATAAGCAAGATTTATTCATTCATCAAACTACTGAAGAATTGAATTTTTTGATTAAAGAATTTTCAGAATTCTTTACCGAAGGATCAAGTTTACAAACGGATTTATTATCAATCGTTAAAGAATTAAAAATTACAGAGGAAAGAGAACAATTCCCAGTATTAGGTGGATCAAAATCCTCTAACGTCCTAAGCCAATCGTGGGTCAAATCCAGCTCCTCCTCATCTGCATCCTCAACACAAGACAAATTCCCAGCATTAAGAAAACCAACTCGTCCAGTTGCCAAACCAGTCAACCCAATATCACAGCCAATCAGATATACAACTGTTCTCAAATCTGTCCAACCCAAGAAATCCAACTCTCCCATCATAAACACCTCCCAGGCATCAACGAGTTATAGACCAACGTATCTCGAGAATACCAAGAAAGCCCCAAGTTTGTCCTCACTCCCAGTGCTCGGATCCAGTTCTATTCACAACACTCCCTCAACATCTAATTCCACAAGAAATGGAAGTACAGGGGTGGCTGATAGTAGTAAGTTCCCAGCATTGGAAAAGAAATCAACCAAAAAAGTCATTCCGAGAGTGAATGCGATATCTACTACTCCATCGTGGGGTGCCAAAGCTGTAGTTTCTTCGAGTATGACCGCGAAGAGTAGCACTGAGGATGATGGATGGGGTGGGATTCCAATCGTCGATAAGAGAAAACAAAAGGCTAAGAGAAATAAAGGTGGGTTAGTGAGTGATATTTTGTAGGTAATGTATATGTATGTATCTATGTATGTAACTAATAGAATGTAACTGGACAATTGATTCATGATGAAGTTTTATATAATTTAGGTAGAGATTTTTAGATGGCAAGATAGTTGAAACATTCAACTGGGTTGTCGCTAGTTTTAAGCTTTGAGATCACCAATCTCTAGTAGAACACTTCTTTTAGAACATGATATAAGATATATATAACTCCTCCTTAAACCTTGAATCGATAAGCGACAACACCACGAGGAAATAGATGATTACAGAAACCACACGAGCTTGGCTTTACTCTCTTTTATGAGATCGAAGTTTCTTAAGAAACACCTCTCTCATCAGGATTGACTTGTACTTTAGTGAACGCAAAAAAGAATCATGCATAAATCCGCTATTCTCTCATGTCAGAAAATGTCATTATGAGGCTAGTGAAGAATGCTGCAATATTGTGTTTATTTTCTATTTTTTTTTTAGTAATTTGCCACAAATAGTCATTTTTGTAAATCTTCTTTATTTTCCCTTAACACCGAGCTTTTGTTAAATTATTAAAAGATTCTATTACTCTTAAGATATTTTCTAGAGCACGAATTACTTTTTTACGGTTAAACTCGAATTCAAGACCACCATTTTCTTTTAAGAAAAACTCAAGAAATTAATCTCTTCTTCAGTAACATACCCTCGAAGCCGACGATCCAAGAGTAGCTCAACCATATCTGGACTCGACGATTTTAATTGGTCTACAATAACTTGTACATCTGTCATTTCCCAATTTGCATCCAAACTCAATTCCTGTAGTTGACTGCAGGTCAGAAAGTTGAGTTTTGCAGCCACTCCCTTTTGTAGACAATTATTAGCAAGATTCAAACTCATCAAAGATGATGGAAAATTTAACGTATTCCGATCGTCTGATTGGAAATAACTAGCTAATTTAGAGACCTTTGTACTTCGCCACAAATATCCAGATTCGGTAGTCCTTATTAATTGATGAGCCATACTCAATTCCCATAAGTTTGCTAGTTCCATAAATACATCGGGATTGACAAACATGGAAATCGGATTGTCATCAATTCGTAAATCCTGTAACGATATTGGAAATGCATTGTTCTCTAACCGAGAAATCATATTATTCAGTAAATCCAATCTGACAAGTTTTTTATAAGCTTCTAAGTGAAGTTCCCCTAAGATATCAGATGTTATTTTGCACAGTTTTAAATATAGTTCCTTTAACAATGGGGGAAAGACATTTGCTGTAGCAGTAACAATACCCTGCTGAATAGTCAAAGAAAGCAGATCAACAGAATCAGGAAGTTGAAAAACAGAAGCATCCAAGTACTCAAATCTAAATGATGAAAATTGAATCAGTTTCAAATTTTCAGCTTCAATCTTAACCTTCTTAAGAGTTTTGTTATTCTTTACTTCCAAAATCTTCAAACTGGATGGAAATTTAAATATAAATTCCTCCATATTCTTGATTGTAATTTTAAGCTGAACTAAATTCTCAAATTCAAGGAATTTCATGGGTTCAATCGGATAACCGGTAGTTATTTGTAGACGCTGCAACGATTTGGGAAATGTAACTCCTTCTATTCTAGTAAGCAGAAGGGTTAGTTCAAGTAGAGAAGGAGGAAATCTTGCAAGACGCCAATGCTCTTCTTTCTCTCTCCCTTTGAATTGAGTTAAAATTGACAAGACCCTTAATGAGTCAGGCAACGCCAATTGCTCAGGCAGATAACTAATTTGGGGAGTTCTGAGTAGTAGGACCTTTAAGTTATTAGGAACATGAAAATCCTTCCCCACGGTGGCGAATGGGGTATTAGAGTCCGTGACACGATTAGATTGAAATAAACTGATTTCTAGTTTTTGTAAATTTTCAGGAAAGCAAATTCTTTTTGAAAATATTTCGGTTTTGTTAGATAGGCCATGATTTCCAATCTGAAGCTCTTTTAGATTAGTGTATAATTGTATACTATCCAAACTTTCTATGTTTATTCTGAAGTCCATATTCGTAGCTCCCCTTACAAATATCCGTTCAATTCCAAGAGGGAATTTGAATCTATCCAATCTACCTATCGCTTCCGAACATTCAAACACAATCTGCTTCAAATTTTGTAGATGAGAAACATCAAACCTGTCAAAGGTATTCGTTGCTATTTGCAAGAATTTTAAACTTGATGGTAAGTTCGGCAATGGCTCATTCGATAAGTCCACGAACGCAAATCGTAATCTTTGTAAGTTTGGAAATAATTTGGGGAGCTCCTTCAGGGCCGACGTGTATAATTCAAGCTCTTTGACATTTTCACCCCAGCCCGATTTAAAAAGAAGTAAATCATCAGAAAGCGTGTTGTCCAAAATTAGGTGTAAGTAATCTTTTGGAAAATCACCAACTTTCCAAATGCGCAGATTGTCTTTGGGCGTTGAAACATCGATTCTTGGCAATTTATTTAGAATTTGAGGATAATGTTCATGGAGCCAACCCAACTGTTCTGTCAGCGTGAAATGCACAATCTTAGGTCTAAATGCGCTATTTGCTTTGCAAAATTGAACGAGTTGATTGATTCGCCATCGCTTATATGAACAAGCTCCACTACTGCCATCCTTGATATGTTGAATACGAAGCTTTGGATTAACTATCCGTTTATAAATAGATCTGTAACCTTTTGGGGCCCAATCCTCCCACAACCCTGATTCTGAAGGTGTGATCTCTATACACCCATAGAGTCTATTTATAGCATATGTTCCCATGAATGGCAAATCAATGTACGTTTCCAAATAATCATCAGGTATGAAGTAAAATATAAGTTCCAATAGATCTTGAGGTACCTCAGATAGTTTACTGCTCAATTTTTGTCCTTTGACTTTTGGTTGTTCAGATTGTTTAACCATTCTGTCTGATATGAGTCCTGTAATTGAAATTGGTTATTTGTAAACGATGAATGGCTGCAATTACCCATAGTCTTCAGGGAATAAATATAAGCATTTAAAACTACAAATAAGAAAACCTCAGTCCATTCAAGGGTCGTTTGGGAAAAACGACATTCCTCGGGAATTAATTATGTCTCTTTTGTGACTATTGCGACACCACCACGAACGGTTAAACTGAGCAATATTCTTATTAAATAATTGGATGGCTTTGTAAGTGTTAAGTTAAGACAATTTCAAGTGATGTAATTACCGTTATTTTATGTTAATGTATAATATATATAAGCTGTTTGAATCGCAATCTATATCGTTTTTAGTGGTTTTAAAATGAAGTAAGGAAGATATTTTCTAAAGTGAGATTATTTTTTATCTTATCTATTTGCTGTAAAAAATAATTTTATTGTCTATAGTTTCATATAAACTAAAAAAGCGCACCGGAGAGAAAAGGAACAAAATATTAAGGTTGCAAACCTTTGCAAAACTCGAATTCAAGACTAACCTTTTTCTTTTAAGAAAAACTCAAGAAATTAATTCCTTCTTCATTGACCTCCTCTCGAAGTCGGCGATCCAAGAGTAGCTCAACCATATCAGGACTCGACAGTTTTAGTTGGTCTACAAGAATTTGGACATCTGTCATTTCCCAATTTGCATCCAAGCTCAATTCCTGAAGTTGACCGCAGGTCAGAAAGTTGAGTTTTTCAACCATTCCCTTTTGTAAACAATTATTAGCAAGATTCAAACTTATCAAAGACGATGGAAAATTTAACGTATTCTGATCGTCTGATTGGAAATAACTAGCTAATTGAGAGGGGTGCGTACTTCTCCACCAAAACCTAGATCTGGTCATAATCATTATTAATTTACGTGCCATACTCAATTCCCGTAAGTTTATTAGTTCCATAAATACATCAGGTGTCGAAAACATAGAAATCGGATTGTCATCCATTCGTAAATATTCTATGGATATTGGAAATGTATTGTTCTCTAACCGAGAAATCATATTATTCAGTAAATCCAATTTCACAAGTTTTTTATAAGCTTCTAAGTGAAGTTCCCCTAAGATATCAGATGTTATTTTGCACAGTTTTAAATATAGTTCCTTTAACAATGGGGGAAAGACATTTGCTGTAGCAGTAACAATACCCTGCTGAATAGTCAAAGAAAGCAGATCAACAGAATCAGGCAGCTGAAAAGTGGAAGCACCTAAGTACACAAGGCTACTCGTTGAAAATTGCACCAGTTTCAAATTTGCAGCTTCAACCTTGACCTTCTTAAGAGTGTTATTACTATTTACTTCCAAAATCTTCAAGCTGGGTGGAAATTTAAATACAAATTCGTCGTTGAAAAACCAGCCAAGTTTAAGCTGAACTAAATTTTCAAATTCAAGGAACTTCATAGGTTGAATCGGATAACCTGTAGTTATTTGTAGATTCTGCAACCAGTTGGGGAATGTGATACCTTCTATTCTAGCAAGCAGAAGGTTTAATTCAAGTAGAGCAGTAGGGAATGTTACGGAAGACCAATCCTCTTCTTTTTCAGACCCTTTCATTTGACTTAAAATTGACAAGACCTTTAATGACTTAGGCAACACCAATTGCTCGGGCAGATAGTTAATTTGCGAGGTACTGAGTAGTAGAGCCTTTAAGTTATTCGGGACATGCAAATTCTCCCCCACGGTGGCAAATGGCACATTACTATCGGTGTTATTGTCAGATTGAGACAAACTAATTTCAAGTTTTTGTAAATTTTCAGGGAAGGTAGTTCTTTTTGAAAATATTTCGGTTTTCCTAAATATGTCACGATGCCCAATCCGTACCTCTTTTAGATTAGCGTATAGTTGTATACTATCCAAACTTTCTATGTTTATTCCGGAGTTGTCAGTCGTTGCTCCCCTTACAAATATCCGCTCGATTCCAAGAGGGAATTTGAATCTATCCAATCTATGCAAGGGTTCTAAAGATTCACCCACGATTTGTTTCAAATTTTCTAGATAAGAAACATCCAATCTGTCAAATGTATACGTGGTTAGTTGCAAGAACTTTAAACTTGATGGCAAGTTCGGCAATGGTTGCTTCGACAAGTCCACGAAGGCAAGTCTTAATCTTTGTAAGTTTGGAAATAACGTAGGGAGCTCCTCCGTGCCAATGGTGTATAATTCAAGTTCTTTGACATTTTCACCCCAGCCTGGTTTAAAAAGAAGTGAATCACCAGAGAGCTTGTTTTCCAAAATTAAGTGCAAGTAATCTTTCGGGAAATCACCAACTTGCCAAATGTACAGACTGTATTTGGGCGTTGAAACATCGATTCTTGGCAATTGATTTAGAATTTGAGGATAATGTTCATGGAGCCAACCCAACTGTTCTGTCAGCGTGAAATGCACAATCTTAGGTCTAAATGCGATATTTGTTTTACAAAATTGAACAAATTGATTGACTCTCCATCGCTTATATGAACAAACTCCATTATTACCATCCTTGATACGTTGAATAAGAGTCTTTGGATTAATTATCAGTTTATAAATAGATTCATAAACTTTTGGGCCACGATCCTCCCATAACCCTGATTCGGAAGATATAATGTCTATATATCCGTAGAGCCTATTGATAGCATACTTTCCTATGAATGGCAAATCAATGTACGTTTCCATATAATCATCAGGTATGTAGTAGAATATAAGTTCGATTAGTTCTTGAGGAAGCTTAGATAGTTGGCTGCTCAATTTTTGCCTCTTCATCTGTTGTTGTTGTTGTTGACTAAACATTCTGCCTGATTTGAGTTTAGCAATTCAAATTGGTTACTTGTAAAAGATAAACCATAGTAATTAGTAGTGGTTTAGGGAATATATATGTAATCACTTAAAGCTATAAGGAAGAAAACCTCAGCCCAGTCAAGGATCGTTTGAGAAAAATGAGTGAACAACACACGAAGTGACTAAAGAATTTAGAGAGAATTATTTTTATTCCATTTACGTCAAAATAATATTGTTAAAACCAATTAAATTTAACTATCTTTTGCATCTTTCTGTTGCATATTAGAAACCATTTGATGCTCCCACAACCACCATTTTCGTCTAGTATAAAGCTTTCCTTGATAGGTTATATAATATTTGTGTAGAAGAATGTAAGAAATACCACCGGAGTTGGGGAACTACTGGATGCCGAAGTGAATGAGTATGGATCGGTTAAAAAATTTGTTAGTCGGTCGCAATAAATGTTTTGTGTCATTAAGAAGGAATTTATCGGAATGGGTTGCAGAAACACAAAACTGTAAATGATGCAAAAATAAATATGAACAGAAATGGGCGAGTCGGTCATAATCGGTTTTATTAGTCCGATGACTAATGACTAACCCGTTACATAATCAAGAAAACGCTAATTAACAGCCAACCAACATAATGAATCGCCTAGAAGTAAATTGAGGATGAAGGTAAGATTGTCTATGAATGGCTCTCAAAATGTCCGAGAATCCGAAAATGTGAATAACGAAACGTTTGTAGGTCATCGAGTATCCAGAACTAGTTAAGCGAGCTAACTATAACAATTGAGAAATGTCCGATGTTGTTTACTAAACTATTGTCGGCATACCTTTTTGTACTAGTAAACCTTCAACGATGAAAAATTGCGCGGATACTAGCAGTCATTGTCATACGGCCTTTGAAATGAAGTCATGGTCAATTGGAAATGTGAGTTTAGTTGTAGCGTCCTGATGGCAACGTGTCAGGTCGTTTGTTAAAGAATATCTTATTAGGGTGGGGATGGTTGATGTCGGAAATCTAGTGTCTAAGTCCGGTTAATGTTCAATTAGTAATTTGAATGAAAAAGACAAAAACGGTGATGACGGAAAGAATATTTTATATCGGAAGACACGGCTGCCGTTCTTTGTTTTGAAGGGTACGAAAAAATAATCAAAAATTTAAATATTTTTTATGCATAATTAGCCATTGAAGAATAGATGCAAAATATTTGCTCACAGACATTTTTTTTTATATGAGGAGAAAGATGGGCAGATGGAATAAGTTAGAGCAATACAATGGAATATTATTTGTAGATCTTGCATATCTTTCACAAAACAAAGAAACCCCCAACAGTAGATGATGATGAAAATGATAATGATGACGGCTTTTGGCAGATATATAAATATTTCACCAATTCCCGTCTTTCAGGCAACTTCAATTTTTATACCCTTTGTAATTATAACCACCATCTCGTAGAGAGAGAAAGTTCTACACTGTACTATTAATTGATATACCTTTCGTAATAATGCAATCCAAGACAAGTACAATTGCTACTGTTAAATATAAATTGAATAGATTATATCAATTATATTATTATAATAGTCCAATACCAGTATTAACAACCAATGAAACAATTATATTTAATATAATTAACTTAACTATAGTATTGGTTGGTATATATTATATTATTAAATATTTACCATTGATTGTATTACAATCAATTGATAAATTATATTATTATATAACTGGATATCAATTATTATCCAGTGGAATTGGTGGTTATACTCAACTGAATTATTCACTGTTATTATTACAAACCTTTCCATTTAATACAACAGAATAAGGAGAGTGAGAGGGTATTGGCTTTAAGAAGAAGAAAAGTGTATTTTGCTATGAAATTTAATGGGTGGTTTGGTATGGGTTTGGTTTTATTTATGTCTGTTTAGTTAATTGTTATATATTTCATTTCTTTCCAATATGAGTTTAATATTGTTCTTTAATATAAAAGGTTATTTTTCAAGTTCAATTCTTTAGTAAGAAATTATATTTACATGTGTATTTGTTTAGAAGTGAGCTTTTGTCTTTTTTGCAACACTTTTCCGTCAATTTCACAGGCATATATACTTAATACCAGATTAGGGTAGTCAGCTGTAGTCATTGTGAAACAAGTAAACAATAAATGATGAGCTCGTCTATTGTATGCCTTTTTGAATTATACACACCCTATAGCAACCGCTTTCTTTACTGGGAATAATTGAGATCAGAAAAAGGTTAACTTGGGGTAGGGCAATAGAAGACAAAATGCAACCTATTGTCTATTTTAGGACCAGGGCACCACCAGCCTCTCTATTAATACAAATTTCTTACACTTTCATCTATGATTTAAATATCTCTATCTACAAAAAATTATCTAACCAAACAAACTCCAATCTTTGACCTTCAAACTCATAGAAATTTGTCTAAACAGAGTATAAATCCTCTTCAATCTCTCACCTTCTTCATCATCAGTGCCATTAAAATCAATTGGTTTCATTCGCACATTTCTTAATGGAACATTATATTGAATCAATACATCAGTATTCACTTTTTCCAATCGAATCAAACAGAAAAACAGAACAATCAGTTTTGGATTATCTACTTCAACCTTCTTGTATCCAACTTCTTTAAGTATGACATACGTAAAACATCCACCCTCAAATTCCTCTACAAAATAATCTTCCCTTTTTTCATCAAATAAATCATCTAAATGCAATTTCATAGCTTCCTTTATATCAGAACAAGTGACAGATTCTAATAAGTCGAATATAAGTGATTCATCATATTTTCCCAGAGTTGATTCTTGAGGATTTCGATGCATAAAACATTCTTGATTATTGGGAACTTGTCGAAATTGTGAGATGTCTATGAATGACTCTGGGAGTTTTTGGATTGTAATTGCTCCTCCGTATAATTGTGTTTCCATATCTTTCAGTGTTACTCTATAGATGTAGAAGAGAGAGAGATGGGATGCACATGTGTATTATACAGGAAATTTATTTATAGAACAATACGTCGTGTACTTTGTTCAATATGGGTAGTAATAAATGCAATTTATGGAGATTGTCTATTTATCTTGAATATTTACGAACTAGTAATAATGGTAATAAGTATTTCATTAATATTAGAATATTATTAATTAATCTTACTAGAATCTATTTATTTACTTTAATTTTGTTCATATAAACAAAATTTATATATAGTGGTTTAAGATCTGTATGTAACCACTACTATATGCAGTATACCCTGTCAAAAACCCTTACCAAAAAGATCTCACCTAGAGAAAAATAAAAATCCCAACATCATGGGATTGTTACAGCCTTGGCTAAGCAATAAATACATACACAAATACCCTAGAAGAGGGCAAGATCCAATAGATTCATAGACACAAAATACTCCCTCAAAGGAAGGATCCTTGTACATATAACTTCATTTTCAATAGATATCCAGCAGCAGACACAGATCTCATTGACCATGACCAAATATACTGTTAAAAGTGGTGGTGGAAGGATAAAGAAAAGATGGATTGTTTTATTCTTATTCTTCTTATTAATAGGATTTGCTACAGTAGTGACAGTTTCATCAATAGATTCATCTAAAGATATATCAGAAGTAATCACCAATATCCCTAATGATAAAATCTTTAATTTCTTATCAACAGAAAACACCAAAAATCAAGATGAATTATTAAATAAAATAGATAAACTTAATAAGAAATACTTTACAAAACAAGAAGAACGATTACTCAAACTTGAAAAACAAAATAAACAATTACTTCAAGAACTTAAATCATTAAAAACCCCAAATCCTTCAGCTTCAATCCGAGAAAAATTAATCTATCTTTATCCCTATGATCCTCATTCAAAATTCCCAGCATATATTTGGCAAACTTGGAAACATGGATTAAACGATGAAAGATTCGATGAAAAATTCAGACAAGGTGAATCTCAATGGGCCTGGAAAAACCCCGGATTTGTCCATGAATTATTTAATGATGACACCGCTCATACTTTTATTAAATATTTATATCAACAAATCCCAGAAATCATTGAAGTATATGAAAGTTTACCCGAAGTCATATTAAGAATGGATTTCTTTAGATATTTAGTCTTGTATGCCAAAGGGGGTGTATATGCCGATATTGATACTTTCCCATTACAACCTATCCCCAATTGGACTCCTGAAAATGTTAGTCCTAATGAAATTGGAATGATTGTTGCTGTTGGATCCGATTCAAATTCTCCAGATTGGAAACAGGAATCAGCTAGACGATTAGAATTTGGACAATTTGTTGTCCAGTCAAAACCAGGACATCCTATTCTTCGAGAAATTATTGCATCAATTGTAGAAGTCACTAAAAGGAAACAAGCGAGATTGGTAGATAATGAAAAGTTAAGACTTACAGGTTCATCAAATCAAAGATCTTTAGATATTTCAAAATGGACAGGATGTGGATTATGGACAGATATTATTTTGAAATATTTGAATGATTATATTCAATCAGGAATTTTTCAAATTGTTTCTTGGAAAGATTTTCATGAATTAGAAATTCCAAAATTAGTGAGTGATATTTTGGTCTTACCAGTGAAATCATTTGCCAGTGATATTGAAATACCTAAAGATGGAAAGATTGAAGATCCATTGGCATTTGTTAAACATTATGCTGGGAAGATTTGGAAAACTACTTAAGATGGCATAAGCATAATTCACCTTTTTTATAGATTTTTTTCTTAGAATATACGATTATAATTATCAAAATATTTCATGTATAGTCCCGCTGAGGTTACGTACTTCAGATTGAATTCTGTCCAGTTGGCAACGCTATTAGTTGAGATAACGAAGATCATGGATAGAAGCAATCAAGTCATTTCTTCATGCCGAAACTCTTTCACACCAAAGAAACCACCCCAGGTTTATTATGAAAAACAACTAACACTATTGAAATGAACAGCACTCGTTCTAGTTTTGACACTTGGGTGTCGTCTACTTTGGGATTTCTCCAAATTCTGTTTTAGTTACTGGGGTATTAAGTCATGTCAAAAAATAGCTGGCAGTTTCCTCTTCCATTACTTCCTAGCCAAAGAAACCTACCTTTGTTTTAGAACCTAGGAACGTGATCGGCATATGCCGGAGCAATACTTTCTATTGGTCTAGTAGCCTTCCTGTCTAGTTACGTCAAGGTAGGAAAATCAAGATGCCTAAATCTATAAATAATAAAGTTTATAATTAGATTTGCTAACAGCTCAGTAGGTACAACGGAGCTATTAAACTGGGATACAAAGGTCCAACCGACGTGACTTCTCAGGTTTTGGCTTTCTTATTTTGATAAATATGCACAAAGAGCGCCTGTCTAAACAGGATCCGCCATTGAATCGAAAATTTGTTTAGTATAACGGTACGTTCTTAAGTCCGGATAGTGTACATTTTATCAATCAAGATGGTGGAGGGATTGTACATATCATGGTGAAGTTTGTAAATTTGCGCTTTTTCATGCCCCAGGTACATATTAAAAATAATTCGACAGGAAAATATGATCACAAGCGAAGAAAATAGTTTGATATAGGAGACATTGACAAAATCTTTCTCTAAAATATGTTCGGTAATCCACGGATAGAGGACAATGTGTTGGCAAAAAGAGGAGGTGGCGCAAATAATCTCATGTTTTATGTTTTATTAAAATAGTAAACCTAAAATACTGAGCAGTACAGATATTTGAATTATCTTAACTATAACTATTGTTCGAACAGGCTACGTTATAATTCACTTTTATAATTCAAGCCTTCAGATTTAAACTTATTTTTGAGCTGTGCCGGGTTCTTTTTGTATCTTACTTGCACCAGACGTGAGTTAATCCCTTTTCTCCCGGAATATACTAAGCTCTATTAAACACCCAGCCTACGAGAACTGTTAATCTTATCACTTTCTTAGATAAAGAACCGGTTGGGATACAAATTATTTAGACTTCTTAAGCTCTTCCGAGTTCTATTATCAGGGGAAATGGTTTGGAAATTTTTGCAATATTAGTTGCAAATATTTTTAGGTCAAATCACCAAACTTGAACAGTCTTTGAATGAAGATAAGCCAAATGAAACTTCCCAATAGAAAATAAATGTTTATAGGAAACAATTGTTGCCTCATTCTCTTTTTATTCTGAAACCCGTGGCATTTATTTTAAAATGGTTGCAAAAAATAATGCATCAAAACTGTTTGCAATTTTTTATAACCACAAAAAAAAGTTTCCATTTCAAAAATCTTTACAATATTTTGCAACCATTCTTTTGCCAATAACATTCCTTATCTAAGTTCCATAATGTGGACTACTGGATGTTATCATCTTCATCAAATTCCTCAGCATGTGTCACCTCCTGTGCCAGTAGCACCCCCATCAACAACAACTACTCAAAAACGACAATACCCAACTACTAAATCAAACCATAATAATTCATGTCTATTTGCCCCAATTCAAACCACAAACATACAACAACAGGATGAAACCCGTTCTTGCAATATACATCCTTGTCTAAATTATCATGGTTCAATTCCATTTGGATATAATCCGTACCTTCCCATCCATCTTTCTACTCCTCCGCCACCACCACCACCACCAGCACAACTACCGCCACCAGTGCCACATCCTAGTTTCTCCTCTAATCCAAATCAGCATTTTCATAGTTGTACACAAAGAAATTGTCAAAAACCACAGGAAAACCTTGCTTTTCATACTTTGAATCCATTTCATTTCCATCCACCACCCCCATTGCCTGTCGAGTATTATTATGGTAGTTGGAGATGTGGTTGTGAAGAAACACAGCACGACACACAAGAGAATGAAGAAGATAAGTCAGAAGATAAGCTTAATAGAACAGATGAGGTACAAGAAAATAAACAAACACCAGAGGTGGAAACAAGCCGGGAAAAAGAAGAAGTTGAAGAACAACCAGTTATTGATACCAAAACAACATTTTTCAAACAATCAAAACATCCACCATCACATAAGGAATTTAGAGCCCCAAGTTTCACAAAAATCTATCAAACTCCACCAACGCCCAAACAGCAACAACAACAACCAGAAACGGAGAATATCCTACACAGATCACATTCTAGACTCAGGTCGTTACTTTCCAGAAATACTAGATCTGAAGACACATCCAACAGAGAACAACTCATGAATCAATATTATCTTAGAACATCACTGGAATATGACAGCAGCAACAAACGGGGATCTAAGAAGTTTAATACTTTGTCAGGGTTTGACAAAATTGGCGAAAGTGCAGGAGAAGGAGAAGGAGAAGGTGGCGGTGAATTTGATAGTTGTCAGTTTAGCCAATATATGGAGCAAGATGGGAAGATGCTTTGGTGTGATTATGATTGTCAGACCGAAACTGAGATTGTTTCCAAGAGTATGAGAAAAGATGGAGAGTATTCATATAGAGAAAATATGAATGAAGAATCGATTTTTGAACAAGATGAGAATGAAGAACCAGAAGGTAATGATGGAGTTTTCCCTTTTGAGATGATCAATGCGGCGGATAGTTTGAAAGAAAACGACGCATCTCAATGGTCAACAACAACAACCGCTAAGAAAATAATGGAATCGAATAATAATAAAGAAAACGTCCAAATCTTATCAGGAACAACCATACAAGTTGAATCCAGTGATATTATTTCCAAATTGAAACAATCTTCACCTAAACGAAATACCATTCCCGGAGATTTCCTTGGCGGTCTTGATGATAGTTCGTCTCAGCCTACGAAAATTGATGTACTTGTCGAACCCGAAAGTGCCAAATCTTGGATTTCTAATATGACTGGATATTCTTCAACATTTTTTGGTACAGTTGCAAATAAGTTGTTAAACAAAGTACATGCCGGGGAATCAGATAGAATTGTAGAAGTGAAGAATGGAACTGAGGATGATGACTTGGAGAAGGATGGAGACGATGATGGGTTTGAAACACAAAGGAAGAGGAATAGAAATAGAAACAGACGTAAGAATTTAGAAGCGAAGAAGAGAAAGAAGGAAAGACAAAAGAAGAGGAAGTAGTAGTAATTGGGTTTATATAGTCTTTTATTAATTAATAATAATATACATCTCTAACAAATGTTTATAAGTTAGCTGCGTCTCTATTGGTAATGATCTTTGGATATCTCTTCTTTTCAACATGTTCTTCAAACGTATTATCCTCGCCATGATTAACGTAAGTATTGTATCCCCAATTATGAGCCTCATAGAAAGTTTTTCTATCATAACGAACCAAAGATTTTGGATTATTCTTCAACTTATAAACAAAATCAGGATTTGAAGTAAAAAATCTCGAAAATCCAACCAATGTTCTTCCATTAGCAACATCTTCTCTAATAGATTTAAATTCAGGAGCATCGTAAGTATAATTCCCAGCTCTTAAAATAGTCCCCTTCCAAACCTGTTCAACAAACTTATTATCCCCCTTCATCGAATTAATATCGGCCGTAACAGTTCCTTGCACCCTAGGTTCAACTACTGAAACATATGCCAATTCCTTCCCCAGATTAGCCCTTCTTTGTAATTGATCCAACAAATATGAAAAAGTCGGAATCGGATTCCCATCTTCCTCAATCCCTTGAACTTCCGCCCATGGAGAAAGTCTAATCGCCAATCTATCAGCACCAACAACCTCAATCAAATGATCAATCAATTCCAAAACAAACCGACATCTATTCTCAATACTACCTCCATATTTATCAGTTCTTTGATTTGAACATTCATGCAAGAATTGATCAATGAAATATCCATGAGCTCCATGTAATTCAATATAATCAAACCCGGCCTCCATGGCATTCTTAGCAGCAATAGTATAATCATGATATATAATATCCTTAATCTCTTCCTCGGTAACCGCTCTCAACTTCATCCCCGCCTTTTCGGCCATTTTTCTCTTGATATCATCTTCATAAATCGCCGATGGGGCTAATAAATCCAATCCACGACTCTTTAAAATGTGCGGAAACCCAACCCTACCCAAAAACCATAACTGACAACTCAATAATGATCCACGTTCATGCACACTATCCACAATCTTCTTCCATCCACGTACTTCCTCAGCCGTGGAGATTTTGGGACATCCATCATATCCACCAGCACGATCTGAGATCAACGTGGCTTCAGTGACTAATAATGTTCCTGGATATTGGGCTCGGTCGACATAATAGTCTTGCATTAAGTCCAGGGGAATATGACGTGGTGCATTAGGGACATGGGGATGTTCACTGGCGGCTCTGAATCTGGTGGTGGGACAGTAGACTATTCTGTTGGATAAGGTGGCGTGTCCGACTTTGATGGGTTCGAAGAGAAGGGTGTTTGATAATGGAGATTCTGACATAATTGGTTAGGTGGTAATATTGGTGGTGATGATGGTGATAGTTTTGGGAGAATTTGGGGTGGGTTTATATAGAGTTGATCATGCTGATAGATATCTTGGCTCCCCCACATCTGTCCCACCCAACAAAAAAAAAAAAAATCGACGCAACGGATTTTTAAATTTTTTCCGAAGATTTGATAAGCCACATTCTTCTGGAAATGTACCACCGGATTTATGTCTTTTGTGACAACATTTGGATAACTCCGTGATAACTCCGGTATATCGGGAATCCTTTTGGTTTCATTCTGTTAGTAGGATGTACACATATTTCATTGTTATTATTACTCTTCTTCTTCTTCTTCTTCTTCTTTCAGGATAACTTTTCTTGTAAGCAACCTAAGAAGTAGCGGGGTTGTATACTATATACTCTTAGTAAACGGATAAATATAAACGACAGAGAAAGAAAAAGGTAATTTATAAATTAAATAAAAAGAAGGTTGGAAAACTTTAATTATCATACCACCCCATAGGGCACGTGACCAGTAGGTGTTTAGAACAAACAAGCGGCTGAGAAAACTCTGCCTTTTAGGAGTCCTTTCTTTCTTTCTTTCATGGTACTTCTACTATATGTATTCACACCCTATATTCTTTACTTACATATTCTGAATTAACTTAAACTGATTCAATAATAATAAAAATACATTTCTAACATCTAATAAAACACTACTACAAACTTTAAGCAATTACTTTACCCAAGACTTTAACTTCATCTTCTTCAATAAATTCTTTATTTTCACCATAATTATTCCAAGTATTATATCCCCAATTATCTTGAGTATAAAAAGTTGGTCTTTCATAAGGAGTCAAATTCAATCCATCTTTCAATCTCCTAATCAAATCAGGACAAGAAATAAAATATCTTGAGAACCCAATCATGGTCCTATCATCTTCCAAATCCTTCAACATTGTCTTAAATTCAGGTGCATCATAAGTATAACTTCCCGCTTTCATAAAGGTCCCCTTCCAATACTTTGACGCAAAAGAATTCGACCCAATTTGATCCTCTTCCGCCACATCCCATGATGCTTGAACTCTTGGCTCGACTAATGAAACATACGCCAATTCATTCCCTTGATCAGCACGGGCTTGGAGTTGGGTTAAGATATATTTATGTATTTCCTCACCTTCAACCACAACATTCTGAAATTGTGCCCAGGGGGATAATCTAACCGCCAATCTATCCGCACCCACAATGGGAATCAATCTATCAATGATCCTCAATAACAATCTAGCCCGATTTTCAACAGTTTCATAACCATATTCATCAGTTCTTTTATTCGTTGCCAAATTCAAAAATTGATCCAATAAATATCCATGAGCACTATGGATCTCAATATAATCAAACCCGGCATCCAATGCATTTTGAGCCGCTGCAGGGTATTGATTCTCAATAATATCCTCAATTTCATCCGTCGTGAGTGCTCTTAACTCATTTCCACAAGCCTTAGCCGCAGCTTCTGATTCCGGAGTGAAATATACCGGAGATGGAGCGACAAAATCCAACCCATGGGCTTTTAAACTTGCAGGATCGGCAACTCGACCCAAATACCATAATTGAACCGAACTGAATGATCCTTGGGCATGAATTGATTCATTGATCTTTTTCCAAGCTTTAACTTGTTCGGAATTGTAAATACCGGGAATGTATGGATTAAGACCCCCTTGGGCCGAAGTATAGGTTGCTTCGGTGACGATTAATGTGCCTGGATATTGGGCTCTGTCGGAATAGTATTGGTGTTGAAGATCGGTTGGGATGTTGTCTTTGGTGGCACGACAACGGGTGGATGGAGCAAAGGCGATTCTTTGAGGTAATGTGTTACGACCAACTTTGATGGGTTGGAATAATTTGGTGTTGCCTAATGGAGCGATAGGTGCGGTTGCGGTGACAGTCATGATGGGTGATAGTTTTGATGATGATGGTGATATGTATTTATGAAAATTCTAAATAGATAAGAAAAGATGAAGAGATTTATTTAAATATTTATGTGATGATAGTAAGAACAAGGCGTTGGGAATGAGATTAGTAAGACCATTAGTAATAACGGCCGATTTTGTGTAAGTTGATTTGATATTCTAAATGATTCCACAGTAGTAAAGAAGCCACACAATCAAATGGGTGTATTACGAAATTTCTTTTCATCATGAGAAAATTTTCGAGACAATTATTTTTTCGGTAGTTTCTTTTTTGTACTCCTTCCAAAATAAGTAACTCTCTCGGAACTCCGAACCACAGTCACAATTCCTCTTACTCATTCTTCTTCTGCTTACTAACAACTTCACCAGTTCCACCTCTCTTCAACACCTTCATCAAAACCGCCACCAAAACCATCCCCATCCCAACCACCACTGCCAACGTCGTCACATAATTCACATCCTCAAACCGACTCATCCCATTCGGAATCTCCACCACAACATTCGATTCCAAATCATGATCAAAATGATAAAACACAGTATCAGGGGTGAAATATACTTCATAATTCCCGCCAATTGAACTATGAGTGTCAAAGGGAGATTTATCTAACAAATTTGCTTCATTTACATTACATCCCACGAATATCATTGGTAAAGAATTGGATATTTTCGTATATGCCCGGGATTGATTTGGGAGTTGATATCTTGAATGTAATGTGAATTCAATGGGATTGGGAACATTAGAAAAGGGTTGATTTGATTCGAATAAAATTTCATTACCCCAATTTTGGATTTTATAATTTGGTAATTCGAGATTTTTGATTCCATTATTGATAATTAGATTGAAGTTTTCCGGTATGGATTGGAATTGATCAAATATGAAGGATGATTCTAGGTTGATATAATAATACAATCTGCATTCTTCAACATCGTCATCGGTGATGTTAATTGTGGTGGTGGTATTGGCGTTGTTTGGGAATGTAGTTTTGAGAATTGGATGAAGACCAGTCTTAGGAATGATTTCGGAATGAATGCTAGTGTTTAAATATCTATGTCTTGGCTTTATGTGAAACATTGTCTGATGGACATTTTTAGATTCAGATTCGTTATTATTGTCAAGAATGACTCGAAGTCCAGCCAAGACAATATCATCATTAGTATTGGAAATAGAATTATCGATTAAAAATAATCCAATTTCTTTATATATCCCTTCCTCAGTGTTGAATTGAACTGAAGAAACATCACGGACGACTTGTCGAATGACTAGCTTATCATCATTTAAAATAACTTCATAATCATCATCTTCTTCAAGAAGTTTCATTCCTTTAAATAATTCATGAGTTGTATTTAAATTAATTGGATTGACATTATGATAATATAATGAGTTATGATTATTTATTAACATAGAGTTATCAACTTCAATACCAATTAATTCATATAATAATTTCTTAACTTGCTTATGGAATACCACTACATCTTCTTCAGTTTGAACCCGAGAATGAGGATTGATATATAAATTTATACCATGATTAAATTCAGTTGGGAATATTTTATCACCTAAATCTTTAGTTCTATTAAATTTAGTTTGTAAACGGAATTGTCCAATGTGATTGTATTGTTGATTGGTATCTAACTTTATAGTATATCTATTTTCAATTATAAATTGATTGTTGTTGTTGTTGATGTTATCAATTGATTGTAATTGAAGATTAGTTTGATTTAAATGTTTAATAATTCCTTCATGAGAAGATTGAGGATTAAAAATTGTTGTTCTTTGTCTAATTGTACGTGTTCTTGTCATTACAGTGCTTGTCTCTTGATTGTTGTATATATATATATATGTAGTGTGTATAGTATTCTACTTTAAGGCAGAAGAAGAAAAGGTTATTCAGTTAATTGTTCAATTCTCTATGTGGATCTTTTTTTATAGTGGCAATATTTCGATTACGTAATCAATATAATTCAGACTGATAGGTGAAATATTCGACCTACGGCTGATCACATGTAAACATCAATGGTTCTACAGGCAACCCTCCCGACAAGAATGATAAGCTCAGACTTAACCACTATTTACTCCAAGGAAGATATTGATTTTTCTCTATATACTTTTTATATACTAATTAAACTACTACTACTTTCTGAGTTGTGGGGTATGGGACTACCACCCTGGGACGGGTCATATCAAAGCTTTCAATTTCTTAATTAAATCATTCCATTCTTCATTCTCAATGATACCATAAGTAAGTAACGTATAAAACTTCAGTACATCTTTATTAGTTAATTTATCGGTCTTTAATTTAAGGGTATTTTCAATCTTATCATATAAACCATTAATTAACGAGTAAGAACTTCCATCATCTTCATCATAATCAACCTCTACTTCTTCTCCCTTGGCTTCTTCACTTGTCCTCAATTGTTCAATATATAAATTATATTCATATATTCCTTCAGTTATACTATCCATTACATCATGAATACCATCACATAAATATGACATAACCAAATATTCTAATTTACTTTTGATAGTCTTTAAATTTATAAATGATACTTCATCAATATCAATATTTGCTCTTAAGATATCATTAAACATCTCAATAATCGAAGTTAATTCAATTATATAATCATAAATCATACTTAATTGATCAATAATATCTCCATGATATGGTTTTGCTGTTTTGGGAATATTTGGATCTAATATCAAATTATCACCAAATGAATTGAATTCATGATTAAGAAACAGTTGAGTAATATTCATTAAACTATTGGCATAAAATAATTCATTACTTAAATAATGAGTTATAATGGCATAAGTAGTTGCATGTTCATGAGATATTAAAGGTAAGGTCTCCTTAAGTTCATCGACAAATGTCAGTGATATTAACCAAGTAGGAGTATCACCTCTTTCTCCTGTATTCAACCCAAGAAGCGGTGGTTTTGGCATTTGCTCTTTTGGCTTCTCAACTATATCTTCAACTAAATGTTTTTCATGTAAATATTTAGAATTAAAATCATCTATTAGAACTCCAAATGGTGTAGACCTTGGAGTTGGACTTGGTGTTATTGAATTCTCCATCTTGGATAATGCTTCATTATCATTTAGTTTTGTAGGGATTGGTGCTATTGGTTGTGGAGCAAATACACTACTACTGGAACTAGATAATGAAGAAGTCATGGATAATGAGGATGTTGTTGCTGCGTCCTTTCCAATAGTCGTCGTAGTAGTAGCTGTGGCAGTAGGAGTAGAAGTAGTAGCAGTAGCAATAGTTCTATCTACAAATGATGTCATCTTAAGTTATTTGATATGAAGAAAGAAAGAACGAAAGAAAGAAAAGAAGTCAAAAAGTAAAGTAAGGGGATTTTTTCAGTTGAAGTTTTTGTTAATAAATATTATTAAGCGATTGTTTTAATGTACTTATAAAATAAATTATTATTTTTTTTTATTCTCACATTTGTTAAATAATAAATTTGCCCCACATCCTAACCCCCCACCCTTTTCTCCCAAAAACCCTAACTATATAATCCCCCCTCTCCCTCCATATAAATCAAGATATATAACCCATTAAGCATATTTAAATCTTGTGATATCATAAATTATCAGCACTTATAGCATGAACAACCCTGTACTTAATACTCGTATTCAATATAAAACAGCATAGACTTATGTAAGTTAAAGCGATGTTTTATCTACTACTACTAAATTATCTAATCCACCAGAAGAAAACCTAAGCCGCATCTTAATGATTTATTTTTTTAGATTTTTGTTTAAATAATATTTTTAATAATTATTTTTTACCATTTCTTAGTCAGGACACTACCCGCTAGTCATTAGCTTTCTATGGAAGACTCTTAAACAATCAATGAACTTCCCATCTTGCTTAGATTACATCAATAACCATTCATAGTCTGGATCTAAGTTTAAATCCCTGCAGTTTACAGAGACAATTTTCTTGTGACCGGATAAACGATATAAACAGATAAACGATATCCAAAAAAAGCGCATATGAATACATATTAATACTTACAGAATAATGACGTCAGTATCTAGAACTATAATCTATATTTATAATTTATAATCTATATTTAATTATCATAATTCATCTTTCTTAACACCACCAGCGACAAATGCTTTTGCTTTTGGTTGTTGTTTATTAGGAGATCCACCCGGTATGACCACCTTATACTCAATAAACAAATCACCAAATTGTTCTTCCTCATCATGATCTACAAGTATTGGCATTCCCTTCCCAACAAGTACTTCAACTTCTCCATCGGCAACAGGCACGCCAACACCACGACTCAACTTAATAATATCATCTTCAACATCCAAAAACTTTATCTGTCTTTCCCAACCACCATATAAAGATTCATTCAATGAAATAGGTTCAGTACGATATAAATTATTTCCAACCCTTCTATAACCCCAACTTTCATCCAATTTTTCTTGAAACAAAATAATCAAATCCCCAGGAATCCAATTTGGATTCTTATCACCCTCACCTTCCAACACATGAGCAGAATCTCGAGGTTGTCCCGGCTTAATATATATATCATAATGTCTAGGTCCACGAACCACACCCTGTCCTTGACATTGTTTACAAGGATGAGTAATAACCTTCCCCTTTCCACGACATTGAGGACATACTTGTCGAGTCTGAGAAATCATATTTGGAGCAATTTGATGTTGGATAAGAATCTCACCTTGTCCTTTACATTTAGGACAAGTATGTTTTTGATTATCTTCAGATCCGGTACCTTTACAACTTTCACAATCATTCATCATCATAACATCAAATTCCACGATTTTCCCATTATAAAAATCCTTAAGTGCAACATCTAACGCGGCCCGGATCAGCTCTCCCTTTCGTTGTCCTGGTTGTTGTTGACGACGACCCTGTCCCCCGCCATCGAAGAATTGCGCAAACATGTCACCAAAATCACCACCACCACCTGGTTGTGGTCTGCCTTCAGGATCACCATATTGATCATAATTACGTCTTTTTTCAGGATTGCTTAAAACTTCATATGCTTCTCCGATTTCGATGAATTTGTCATGGGCTTTATCATTGCCCGGGTTTTTGTCGGGATGGTATTTGAGTGTGAGTTGTCGATAGGCGGATTTGATTTGTTTCTCACTGGCGTCTTTTTCAACTCCGAGGATTTGATAATAGTCTGCTTTTGCTAAGACTGTTGTTATTATGAAGAGCCATATCGCGGTGAATATGAATGATAGTTGCATATTCAAATTCAATTTATCTCTGTATGTATGAAATGGGAACTGTCAATTAATGAAAGATGTGAGATGTAATTTATTACTAGATGAGATTGGAAATCTTGTAGAGACACGTCAACTAAAAAATTATAAATTTTTCATGTCACATGATTATTGTCATATGACACAAATCACATGACTAATGTCACACTATATTTACTCTTATCTATTATCTCTCTCCATGAGCTGCCTTCCCCATAACTTGGTACTATTTTGATATGTATTTATAGAAGATATACCTTATTATATTGATCAAACTCTATATATGTTTGTCTCGTACTTCTTTATTGACGGAGAACATCATCACCTTTCATGGCTTTGTAAGTCAAAGAAACCAGAAATACCTTATGGCAAAAAATCCTATAACCCCTATAACATACAAGGGGGAATGGTTGCTTTGTTCAGTCTCATGTGTCGTCTTTTGTCCATGGTATTGTTTCCTTGTTTGTTGGGACTGCTTCCGTGTTTTCTGAGACTGCTTGCGTTTTTGCTGAGACTGCCTCCGTGTTTGCTGAGACTGTTTCGGTCTCTGGGAATGTGTTGGTGTTCTTTTCGCCTCATGTGTCGGTCTTCGCTCTGCGTCATGCCTTGGCCTTCGTTCAGGATCGCATAAAACTTCATAAGCCTTGCCGATTTCGACGAATCTATCGAAAGCTGTAACATCACCTGGGTTCTTGTCAGGGTGGTACTTGAGCGCGAGCTTCTTATAGGCTGATTTGATTTCTTTTGTGGTGGCACTTCTGTCAACTCCGAGAGGTTGATAGTAATCTGATATTGCTTGGACTATCATTAATAAGAATAGCGATATAGCTAGGACTAAGAATGAAAGGTTCATTGCCAAATTATCATCTGTGGATATGATGATGAAATCTAGGAGTTCATTGGTGAAAATTGAGATTGGATTCAAGAAATAACGTCAAGCTAATTGTGTTTATATTAATTATAATTCAATTTTTTAGCTTTTGCTTCTCCTCATACTCCTTAAGACTGGTTCAAGTATAATAGGCATTTCGGCCGTGGACTTGCGACCGTTTGAATAAATTATCCAACCACCATCAATAGCATGTCAGATTCACTAGGTGGGAACCTTCTACGGGTTGGTGAATACTGATATCGTCACCACGATATGAAACTTGAATCATATCAACGAAATTTGATTTCTAATCCAATAAACCAATTAAGCTACCTGAACATCTGTTAAAGTTTTGTAAATATTGATAAATATAATTATAATTAATGAATAATTATAAAAATATGAAACTATAATTAAGGTGAAAAATTCGTTGGTCCCCGCCTTTCCATTCCTCAATGCGAAGGGGACAAAATACAATCCTCTTCCTTCGTGGTTGTGGTTGTGACAATATAAGCAAGTGATATTATAACTTATGAGTACAGTCACTAACTCTCACTAATGATTATGACAACACTATTGTGTGACATGACACTTGTCACGTGAACGAAATTTCTAGAAAATAGTTTTATAAACTTCTATGCATTTAAACAAAGAAATTCCTTCTCCACATCCCCCACGATTTGTCCCACTTGTAACAATATACAATTGTACAATACTACAATAAAGGAATATAATTACAAATCACATGATAAAACTCATTGAAATAAACATTGAAGATGTGTTAAGGTTAACTATTACATGTATAATAATGTAACATTACATTTACTCTTCCTCGGACCAGAGAACATTTTTTATTCCTTCTATTTTATTTGGGGGAGTCAGGGGACAAAATAGAATAATAATAATTAATCGGATGATTTATTTTTCCATTTAATCCGTTATGAATAATTCTTTCTTACTTTCTTTCTTTCTTACTACTTGTTCTTTCTTCTTTGTAACAATATACCCCAAGTAAAGAGTAATAAGTTATGCACTGGGAATACCTTCCAATAGCAATTCGATTCATTAGAGAAACATCAGCTGATGAACTTGAAGATGAAACCCATGCGGTATCAGGTATTCATATAGTTATTAAATCAGAACCATATAATGCCATAATAGATGATTTTATCGTGACGGTTAATCATATCCCACATGTTAATCGATACAAAATCTTAATTAATCATCATATAAATAGCGTACAAGATGTGGTATGGCATCGTGGAGTTATTGCTAAAGAATACAAGACAGATGTATTACAAGATTTTGAATATTTCAAGAATAATGGGTTTAAAGTATTTCCTCATGATCAATTAAATAAAGTATATTCAAATATATCAATCCTTAAGATTAATGTTGTTTCAAGACATGATTATTTTGCTGAAATTGTTCATTCTAATTTAAAGAAATTTATCTTGACTGATGATATCAATATTGGTGATTCAATAAATATCATATCATCACCATTTAGTTTTACAAATTCATTAATATTTGGTAATTTTTATAGTTCAGGTATTGTCAATTATGTCTGGGGAAAATATCACAATGATCAGAAGGAGAAACTCTTTTATTTCACCGATATAAAATACTTAGAAAACATGAATGGAGGTACTTGTACCACCACCACCAATAACAATAACTCCCCACCAGGCGGGTCCGTGGGGTTAGTAATGGGAAACCTCCGTAAACTAAATGGCGACGGTGATCTCACAGTCATAATCTCCTGGAAACTAATCTTCCAAATCATGCACCATTTCCTCCCACCAAAATCAAATTCCTTAAACAAAGCCCTCACCAATGGCACCACCACCCTCCTCCACCCCGGGACTGATTTCAAATCAGATTCGGTTCTTCCAATGGTAGTCTCAGACTCCAAGGGCAATGGCACCTGGGGAACATGCGTCTACTACAATGACTCAACCCTCGTCACCAACCACCACGTTATCCAAGCCTATATCCACGGAGGAAGGTGTCAGATCCACCTCCCCCATGGAGAGGGAAGCAACAAAGTCATTGAATTATCCGAGAATGATATTGTTATTACACCAAATCCGGAAATCGATCTTTCATTTATATTCCTCTCCCCGGAACATTCCAGGAGTTTGGATAGATGTTCATTCATAATTCCGAAATTTGATTGTGAAGTTGGTGAAGAGATATATACTTCCAGCTATGGCTTATTCTTTTCGCCAAAATCATTATCACCCATTGAATCAAAAGGGGTGATTAATATGGTGTTTAAATTGCCAATTGGGGATTATGGGATGCTGGGAAATTGTATAATCATCGCATCGGCAAGTTCATGGAATGGATCGAGTGGTGGGGGGTTGTTTAATAAACAAGGACAATTCTTGGGGTTGATTTGTTCAAATGCACAAGTAAAGATGCCGTATTTGTATAAGGAAGGAGAAAAAGATGGACTGGTTGAAAAAGTGGCTAGGTTTTCGTTTATTTTACCGGTTGATATAATTGAATACTGTTATGCGAATGTTATGGATTCGAAATTGGGTGATTTGGATGGTGGGGATGATAAGACAGCTAGGGTGAAGATTAATTCCAAGATTTCAGATCTTTGGAAATTGAAAGCTTATCATCATGATATCATTAATGAACCACCAAAGTTGTAATGCCAGACCCTTCCCATCGCCTACTATTTACACATGTTACTGGTATCTCTTCTCTCTTTTATTTATTTATTACATATGCCATAGGTTTATTTCCATTTTATTTATTCAGTTTTATATTTATTACATCCCAATATATATATGCACACATATCATCTATATAAAACCTATTTAAAACTAACTAACTCTCTCACATTAATCCTTCTTCATCATCCCACCTGCACCTCCAACCAACTTCTCCTCCTGTCTCCTCCCACCAGCACCACTATTACTACCCTCACTCGCCAAAATCGGCGGCAACAACAACACACTATCCTTATTCCCCCCAACACCACTACTACCACTATTCATAGACGACAAAATAGGTGGTGGAGGGGGATATGTCGAATAATTACTATAATAACTCATCTTTCCCCCATTATTCCCTCCATTTCCATTCCCACCCAGATTTGAACTCTGCATCGTAATGCCCAGCATACTTGAAATCAGATGATGATGCGACATGGCGGGTGGTTTGATCGAACTGGCCGAGCTCGACGTCAGAAGGGCGCCTGTCATGGGAGATCGAGCTTCGTCTTGGATGGTTTGCGCCAAGAGTCCTAGTGTGATGGAATTGGATCGTTTGGAAGTGGTGGAGGGACCCATGGTGGTGGCGGTGTAGCGGGAGTGAGGGTCGTAGTCGGGGAAGGTTGTTGATGTGGAAAAGTTGTACAGTGGTTGTTGTTGGAGAGGGATGTAGTTGCTAGATGAGGTTGGTGTCATTCCGAATGACATTTGTTGTTGTTGGAGTTGTGGTTGGGATTGGTGTTGTTGGAGGTGTGGTTGGGATTGATGTTTTATGGGTGGAGTGATTTGTTGTGATTCTTCTTCCACTATAAATTTAAGACCTTCAGTTGAAAGATATTCATTTATGAATTTCGAGATATTCAATTTCAATATTGATAAATTATTATTAAAATGAACATTTGAATTATTATTCAATTTAATGAAATTCAACCAAGTTTCAAAAATCGATTGAAATTTCAATTTCAATATCCAAAACCATTTCTGATTGAATTGAAACTCTTCCCCATCATTACCTCTATCCAACCCAATAGAACTACTATTCTCTAAATTCAATTTATGTAACAAACTCCCCTTATTATCCAACAACAAATATATCAAATTCAGCAAAACATAATTCTCATCAAATAATTCATGATTCGACCAAATCATAATCAACACTTTATGCATAATACAATACCATTCCACCATAAACAAATTCACCTGAGTCAATTCCAAGAAATTAAATCCTGACAAATCAACCAATCCCAAATTTAAATAATTAGCAAAGAAAACCAAGGGGTATGAAATTATCGATAAGTTATTATTGATATCCAAGGGGCAGGTTTTGAAGTTGAAAAAGGCTCGGAGGGAAGATTCAAGATTTGGCGTGAGATTTGGGTCTCCAATGGTATCGAGGATGAGTTGGCGGGATAGTGGAGAGTTCATGTTGATTTCTTGGAGGGTGAGGGAGAGTAATTCCCAATTATAATATTTCAGGGGGATGAATAGATAGTTGTTTAATAATTCATGGAATTTGAGTGGACTATTGATGATGATGTTCTTCTTGAATAATTCGAATAACTTGATGGCAGAGGAGGAAGTATCTGAGTCATCTTCTGATGATGAGCGATGGATGGTGGAGTGGAAGTTTATGGATTTGTTAATTAGGATGATTGAATTATGAAGACAATTTTTGGATTCATAAAGAAGTGGAATATCTTCGTGATTATTCCCCGCGACTTCTCCATTGGTGTGACGTTTCAATTCATTGGATAAAGTAGTCACAATAATCATTTTTAAGAATTCATCATTATTCAGTCCAGAAGCATTACTATCCATATTAATAAATGATTTCAGGAATTTATTCATCAATGATAATAAAGTTTCATTCCCCTTGACAATCTTATTGAAAAAGAACAGATATATCTTTGGTGGGGTTTGTTTAATATATGTCGATAACATAATATAAATGGTCCAAAATAAATTAATATTCAAATCTACCAAATTATCATTAGCACTGTTTAAATCCTTTAAGTTTGATATAATGATAAAACTAATATCATTAAGATAATTCAATATGACTTCATTATTGATATACACTTCTCCTTCATTGTCATCCATCAGTTGCATCACCATATCATTCTCATCATTCTCATTGATATTATAAGATTCTAAATCATAATTCAAATAAATATAACTCAACATAAACAAATTCGTCAAGATTCCAATCTGATCCAATAAATTATTATTATTATTATATTGTGGAATCAATTTCTTTATCAATAAATTCCAACTCTTTTTAAAGAATCGAGTAGCCCGACTCGGATTCTTATTCATAATGAATCCTAAAGAGATTATTGAATAGATAATACCAATTTTGAAATTATTAGGTTCTCCACCAGCACCATTACCATTCCCACCTGATTTTGGAGATGTCATCCCGTTCTGACTATTATTACCGTTACTATTATTATAAAACGAATTCAAATTATAAATCAAATCTTTCAAAATCTTATCAAATATTTTATATTCCTTCTTTGCCAGTTTTGATAAAGTGATATACCCAATCAAGAAATGATCCGATAAAGAATGGTTGGCATTAGTTGGATCGAATTTTATTAAAGTATTTTCAAGTTTCTTGGTTATGGATAATAAATGAATTAAATCATGACTAGCCAAATCTTTAGCATGTGCTGAATGTGAATGATGAGAATGATCAAATGTATCTTCAACTACTGATTTCTTTCTTCTCTTATTGGCAGTGGTTGATGTGGTAGTACTTATTGAATCTCTTCTGGTATTTGCCGGAGTCATTGGAGTATCTAATACAGCTTCAGCATATCCTAAAGAAAAATGATTTTGAGAAGTAGCAGCTGCCAATTGTTGATGTAATTTCTGATTGAATTGAGTAGGTGACCGTTGTGCCAACAAAGGTTGAGGAATCTGATGATGAATAAGTGGACCACCATGCTGACCAGCAGCAGGTGGTGGTGGTGCAACCATTGATTGATTGGTAGGACTAGCAGGTAATGAATCACTTGAATTTGAAGAAGTAGAACCACTAGTTGATGTAACAGTTAAAGCGTGACTAGTTGGGTTATTTAATGATTTATTAGAAGGTAATGTATTGGGGTTTAATTGACTATTATGAACAGTACGACAATGACGTTGTAATAAATCTCTTCTAACAAAACTACTGGTACAATGTAAACAATGGAATGGTTTTTCATTTGTATGTGATCGTTCATGACGTTGTTTATGTTCTGATCGAGTGAATGCTCTGGCACAAAAGGCACAGATGTATTTCTTTTGAGTGGCCATCTGAAGTGTTGTTGTCGTTTAATTCAAGTTGTTGTAAAATGTATGGAGTTGCCTTGCGTTGTTTGAAGATATTAAAAATTTTTGCAATTAATATTAAAACTGCTTTCTTGATTAAATGGTTGCAAACAGACAGACAGACAAAATAGATACAGACGTTCTCTTTCTCTTTCGTTCTCTCTTTCTTTAAACTGAATATTCAAATAGACAGTGGTGATTTACTGTCTGATGATAGAGATGTTAATTAATATTTATATTTAGACACAAATTTCTTCCTCCTCTTTTTTTGTTAAATTCATTTCATAATTTTTATTGTTTTAGTAAGAGAATATTATTATTTAGAATTTATATGTCAGACACAAAATTATTATTAATAAGAATAAAATGGTTTGTGTCTGACTGGGGGGAAATGGGGAACAATTTGAAATATCCCCGCAGTGTACATTTTTAGTCCTTTTTTTTTTCTTTATTTAGGAAATATTAAATTCCACTTCTTACGAATAAATTATATCGGACAAAGACAAATAATGAAACTAGTACATCCCAATGATATTTCTGAATCATCATCAGATGACCACGATTACTATTGAAATTTCAGTTTAAAATCAAAAAGGGAATTGTGTAACTAGCAATAGATAAACAATCGCTTATCAATAAAAATATAGTCATTCTCATGAATCATTTGCTTAGGAATCAAACTTTTACTCCGCATCCAGTTTAAGCGAAACCTATTTATATCAACTGCTCTACGCTGTCCATTCCTATGTGATATATGAATGTACGGACTGGTAAAATTGTATAATTGGAGATGGCGGTTAGTTTTCCGCCTCCCCTCCCTCCTTTTAATGCTTTAATCTTTCCCCCAGATTCAAGAGAACAAGTACAGTAATGACAATCGCTAGAGAAAGAGAGTAAATGGATGCAAAAAATTCAGACACAAATCTTTTTTTGCAGGTGTGGAGCAATCTAAAATGTCAGAAAGTTCTCTACCCCCCATTGCAAAATATAAATTAAATTAAAAAATGAAATAAAAAAAAAAAAAAACTATGTACCTCCTTGATTTGGAGTACCCTGAAAGAAGAATAAAGACTGTATTGATCATTGTGGGCGGCGGGATGTCTATGTGAAATAACTAAAAGTTAAATGGCATACGATAAAATGACTCTGACGCTCTCTTATTTATACCTTTCACTCCTTCTGATTGGGAACCAGCTGTCATTTATGATAAGCGATTGTATAGAATTGGTAGCAAGAGATTAATCACAAAAAGTGAAAAATCTTTCTTTTGCGCTTCGTAAAGTTTTTTTTTTTTTTTAAAGTTAAAAAAAAAAATAAAAAAAAAAATTTCAAAAGAATTCCCCTCTCCGAGAATTTTTTTATTTATTTATTTCCCCCACCACATAAAATCCATTGTTTAGTTAGTCTCCTCCTCCTCTTCACTGTCACTTAACTTTCTCTGGTGGTGGTACCTAGTTCGTATCATACAATGTACAATATGAATACGAATAATAATCATTCATTCTAGAAGAGGGTAACTCTTTGTTTCAATTCGGACTTTGACGAAAGGGATAGGGGTCCTCAGTTTTTGTGTCTGAAAAAACCAAAGTCCTCCTTTTTTTGTGTTACTCGCTCGTTGCAAGTTGAATATTACTCGATTAAGTTAAAAGATACAAGATATATATATTAATAGCACTATCTCACATTTCCATATCTATCAAAAACATCTGCATCTACTTTGGGTATTATATATGTACAATCTAAATCAATTGACCTTATTGTCTGATTAGGATAAACGGCACAATTCCAATTATTATCCCCCCACTTCCCCCATGTGGGGGAGTCTACTCAATACACCTGATCTAAACCCTAGTTAGATCAATGAATCATCTACAGAATCTTGCAGCCAGAGATATCTATACATAATTGAAGGCAACTCCGAAGTCAGAACAACCGATAGAAGACACTCGCCGGAGTTATTACTGTCTCTCTCTCTCTTTCTCTCTCTCTCTCGCTCTCTCTCTCTATCTCATTCCACCATATTACCCACGGCAATCAGATTCAAACCAAATCATGACTATATTTCTTGTTAGTGTGTGGCCAATATGCCAAAAATGTAACAACGATCTTCTTCTTTGTTTCTTCTATGAAATTTTTGGGGTATCACCCCGCTATAATTATCCATAAGCAACTCCACCCCCCACTGTAACTGTGGTAGATGATGACATTTTTTAAGGTTTAGTCTCTCCACAACCCTAACTAACCAACCACTTTCTTCATATTCCATTCCCCTCGCTTGGCTGATTAGAACAATTGCAACCTTGAGATAGATATTGGTACCTACATACACGTAGAAGAGTTAATGATTGTTCTTATTGTATGTCTGCCAAGAACTTGTTACGGAATTCTTCTACTTCCCCCCGCCAGGCGATACATAAGCGAATTATTGCGCTTTTTCGTTTGCGGATTTATACAAAATAATAATAATAATAATCATTTGCCACAATCTATTAATTGTTTTTGTCTTCCAAGAATTCTTTTGAAAGAAGTGTCTATCTTCGATTATATACAGATAGGTATTATGTTTAGGTATAGACCTGTAAGATTATGATTAGGCTTAGAGATAAAATGAGGATTCATATAAAGAAAGATAAGGCTTTATGAATTGCGCGATCGGTTTTGCAGCCAAATTTGTATCAATATTTCTATTCATTACTCTATATATCGATACTTTGGTCTATTTATAGAAGGATATATGTTACAGGCGAATTGTAGGTATCGTTGCTAATCTCGAGTTGTCTTTCTAGAACCTGGGAGAGCTCGGGATAGATAAGGAACATGTTGATTGTAAAGGTAATACAACTAGGAGGTGTGGCTAAGGTATTGTTTCTTTCCGTCGTCAGTCTCAGCCGTACACAAGTTCCGTACGGTACACGCTTTTGCACATTTATTGCCCAGGTTTTGGGGTATGACTTGTCATGACCTGGTTTTAAGTCTGTCATGAAGGACAGCACCCACTGTCAGGTAATTATCACTGTCACATAGTGTCATTGTCGTATTATCGTGAATACATTAGCTACCCCAGGTAGGACTGTCAACTATCTGACATTAACGATCAATTTCATAGAATCTCTTCCAACTCCATTCAAATATCTCCATTTCTACACCATTTGAGGTTTCTTATCTCCTTTATATTTCCTATACTCTTGTTCTCTTAATACCAACATCACACAACACAAGATCAAACACTCCTCACTAATATTATCATCACTTCCACCCCTGGCACCATGCTCATCATAATCAAACAATTTGATAACTCCATTCTTAATGAAATTCTTCTTAATCTTGACATTCCCCATATCTACATATGTCGCCAATGGTAATCTTATCAACGGCGTCTCATTCCCAATCATTTCATTTATCGCATATCGATCTTGTTTATTTATGATCCTAGATAATTTATTATCAATATTCAACTTATTATTATTATTCCCCCCACTCCCACTACCTGGTTTTATCGATACTTCATGAGTCAACAAATTCTCACTAGATTTCATGACATACATCCTAATCAACCCATTCGTCCCAAACGTCGACGTCGTCCCCGTCACTCCCAATACCCGGAACTGACTATCCAAATACTCAAAATCAACCGTCGGCTTATGACTATTATTATTTATCAAATACACCTTCATCCCATTTCCATCTCCACCTTTTAAACCCGGGAATTCCAATATATAATAAGTAATATTCGTCGAATATATCTTAAACCACGCCCTACAAAACTCCACCCGTTGCTTGTCTGCATTATATCTATGTATATTCAAAAACGGCACCCCTAATCCCAATCTAAACAAACTTAATTTCTTCGTCGGTACTCGAATCAAGATCGGCAATTCATTCCTTTCAAAAGATTCAGCACTCTTGTATAAACTGACTCCCGGATGTAAGAAAGTCAGAATGATGGGGATTTCTCGAATGGTTGTGAATTGTGAGAGTGGATGATTCATGATTTTGATCTGGGGGTTATTGGTTAGGGTTTCTTCGGATTGGGTGGTGAAGAGGGATATTTGGTCGCTAGTGGGGCTGAGATTGTCATGATGAGGAGGAGGGGTGTTTGTGGTGGTGGGATTGACTAGGGTGGCTAATGTTTCTTCTGATCGTGTCCTGCGTAACATCGTATTCTGAATGTTAGGGGCTGATGGATTGGTGGAGTAATTAATTAAGAAAGACGTTAATTGTGGATTAATTAATTATTTTTTATTTTTTTCATGCATCTCTGTCTCGAGAGACAGATGGAAAAACTTGGAAATAATCGGATCAATTTGGAAATATGCTGCACATCAACTTGTTCTTTTTTTCATCGTTTGATATAGATTATTACTATGAAGTCTTAAATCAGGATATTAACTCTCTTGAAAGTTGATGATTCGTTTATTATTACGTCAATATAAAGTCGCCTATATGGGGGACACATTATCCATTTATTGTGTTCGCCGCATTTTGTATCAACACAATATGTTGGATCAATCTCCAACAGTGTCTTTGTATAAATATTCTCGGACCGTATGACCAAACAACGGCAAGGCACAAATCTCATATTAGAAGCCTCATATACTGAGGCATTTATTACGTACTATTAATTAAGAATTTATAATACCGCCATAATACCGCTCTAATGCCGCTATGGTGGTGGCTTATTTTTGATTTCTAATAATGTGTAAAAACCAAAAATGAATATCGGAATTACTAACCACAGTATCGGAATTTCTATAAATAAAATTGTCCTGATTTCGCTTCTTGATTTGATTACTGATTCTTCTTATTTCTACTTTTATATATTCTCTCTTGCTATTCGTATAATGTCACCAAACTAAACAGAGAGGTAACAACAGAAGCAGTATGTCACTTAAGAACACCCTCAAGGACTTCCCAGTCCGACAAATGTTAATCATCTGTCTAATCAGATTTTCCGAACCACTAGCATTCACATCGCTTTTCCCTTATGTCTATTTCATGATTCGTGATTTCCAAATCGCTCCCACCGAGCATGAAATCTCAAAATATCTGGGATATTTAGCTTCCAGTTTCGCATTCTGTCAATTCTTATTCGCAGTCCGATGGGGGAAATTATCCGATCGAGTCGGAAGAAAACCAATCTTATTGATCGGTCTTTTTGGAACTTCCATTTCACTTATTTTATTTGGTTTCAGTCAGAATTATTGGTGGGCTCTTGCTGCTAGATCGTTGGCCGGGTGTTTGAATGGGAATATCGCGGTTTTGAGAACTATGATTGGAGAAATTGCTACTGATCGAAAACATCAAGCTACCGCGTTTTCAACCTTGCCTTTATTGTTTAATTTTGGAGCTATTGTGGGTCCAGCTATTGGTGGGTCCAAATTATTTACGAGACCAAGCGATAAGAATCCATATCATCATGATGAGACTGGGATGGTGTTAGGTGTTGGGTCGGTTTATGAGAGATTTATTACCAAGTTTCCTTATGCATTGTCTAATATTGTTGTGGGGATGTTTCTTTGGTTTAGTTTAGCATGTGGGATTTTGTTTTTAGAAGAGACTCATGATGTATTTAAGTATCGTGTTGATTATGGGGTAGAATTAGGAGATTGGTTATTACATAAAATCGGTATCTCTACTCCGATCCGTCCTTGGAACCGAATCCAAGAACAAGAACCAGATGAAACTACGGGTTTACTACATGAAACTGCTAAAGACTCTAGTGCTATTGAAGAGTCAGAACAAGATAACAATAACGCCGACGTCGCATCAATAGACAGCGAACAAGGCTCATTATCCTCATCCTCATCATCAGTAGGCAGCGTCAAACCCTACCTCTCCCGCAGAATGTCACAAGCAATAATCCAAACCTATTCCAGACCAGATGAAGAATCCCAAATCACAATCTCCACCCCCACCCAACCTGATTACTCACGCGCATTCACACCAAAAGTCATAACCGTCATCACCGGAAACTTCATAATCTCCCTTCATTCAGTCACCTACAATGAATTCCTCCCCGTTTTCCTCGCATCCCGATTCCAACCCGACAACCTCACCTTCCCATTCAAAATTGTCGGGGGATTAGGATTGGACACCTCATACATCGGTACTTTATTTTCACTGACGGGTATTATGGGAATGTTAATAATTCTCCTTATTTTCCCAATTATAGATTCAAAACTAGGCACGATTGGTGGCTACCGTCTTAGTGTATCCATCTTTCCCCTCGTATACTTCCTAGTCCCATTTTCAATCTTTACATTAAACAAATACAACCCGGGTTTCCCTACTTGGTTCACACCAATCTTGTTATATACATTAACGTCCTTAAAGACATTAGCAAGTGCTACGGGAATGCCTCAGATTATGATCCTAAACCATCGTGCTGCACATAAGAAACATCGTGCCTATGTCAATAGTTCCACTATGAGTATTATCGCGTTGGCTAGATGTTGTGGACCAGTTGGGTTTGGGTATTTGATGTCGGTGGGGGAGAAATGGAACATGGGAGAGTTAATTTGGTGGAGTATGTCGCTATTGGCCTTGGTGGGGATGGTGCAGTCGTATTGGATGAGCGAAGCAGATGAAGAGGAGGAATAATAGAGTAATACAGTGTGGACTGATGTTGGGTGGTGTGAGGGTTGGTTGGTCCCTGGAATAAGGTTTAGCCCTGTCCGGAGAGTTAAAAGTTTTTCTGGGGATGAATTTTGTCCCACATTCCTGGTGGAAGAAGAGTCTTACATAAAAAAAGAATACGTTGATGGTTTGTTGATTATGTCCTTGAGATTGTTCAATCAAATTCGAATTGTATTAAGTGTTATCTTGTTGATTGCATATTTTAGATAGATTTTATAGAAAAAAATTCAAATATAAAGATCTTTTAATTTATCCGAGACAAGACAGATATGACGTATGACGTAAGTGCCCGGCACTACACAAAAAAATAATTATAAAAATTTTAAATAATTTTTTTTAATGCATGTGGAGGGCATGACTAAAATAAAAATCATCTTATTGGTCATCCCGAGAATAAAAAGAATCTAATCAAACTAAATTTAAGAGGCAGATCGAGAAATTTCAACCCTTAAATATACTCTCATCGATGTGGTTCTTCCACTAAAAAACTAACGGTTAAGCCATGTCTCAAACATTTTGTCTATCAACAATCAAACCGAAAGTCCTGGCGAATTATAAACATATTTGACATCTTTGTGCAACGTTTATTTTCAAAACGACATTTTTTGATTGTCGTTGTCGATCAAAAAAAATATTGAAAAAAAAACCCAACGAAAAAAAAAAAAATGTTTGAAGCATCGCACCACTGCAAGTCCTCCCCTCCCACCCGGATTTTTGTCTTGTCGGCCAAAAGTTAAGATTTGCAATGCCGATCTGACATCACACACACAATTGAGCGTTCAGTGTGACCTCTTGCAGTTCTACAAGCTCTCTGTCTCTATATACTCTATCTTATTCTACAAAGTAAACGAATAATGCTTTTTGGCTTTATAGTTTTGTATATTAATAATTAACAAAAACAAAGGGTGAGAAATAAAAAAACAACAGATTTGGATAGAAATAATAATTAGCTTTAAATATTTCAAAAGAGATAGCAACAATAATAAAAATAAGCAGCAATTAAGGTGGAAATTTAACCAAAGGTTCAGCCCTTTTCTAAAATAAGTAGAAATATTGATTCCCCAATCAATAAATCATTTAAAAAAGACTAAAAACCAAAATGTAAAAACCACCAGAAATAACCACCGCCAATCTCATCATCATAAAAATAATCTCATTTGAAATAAATCTTCAATTTGATAATGAATTTTCTTTTAAATAGCCTATTAAATAATTTCAACGTTGTAAAGCAATGAATGTAAAAAAAATAGTAAATAAATGTTATATGATAATCTGTATGTTGTAGTTGGAAGGTTTCAATCAATCGTGACAATATATATGAAAAAAGTATAGTTGATCAAAATTCCCCAATTTTAATCAATTTTAAATTCGATGATGAAACCAAAAACCAAACGATAATGATAATAATAATATAATGAAAGTAAGTTGTAGTAGTAGTGTCTAAATGAAAAATGAATAAAAAGAATTCCCCAATTCTTTTTTAATTAGATATAAAAACCAGCGAAGTTATGCAAATTGTGAATAATGATAGCCATGGCCATAAATATAATATTCCCTTAAATTTCCCAAAATAATAAAAAAAAAGATGATAATAATGTAGTATAAAAAGATAATAAAAAAACAACAAGTAGTAGTGAATATGAACAGTATCAATATCCTAATAGTAAGGACATATCAACGGTATCACACACATATAGATATAAAAAAATAAACCAATTTCGTATTATAGCAAACTCAATTTCTTTGATTCAAAGATTCCAAGAGCTAAAAGCCTTAGAACCTTTGAGTAGCCTTCTTAGCAGACATTCTCTTGTGGATGTAAACACCACAGACACCAAGGAAGACACAGAAGATCAAACAAAAGACTAAGATAACACCGGCTGGTAACATTATTTATGGATTGAAAGTTGATTGAAAAGAAAGATTTTTCAAAGAAAAAGAATTTTAAAATTCAACAGGAAAATGGACGACCTTTTCGGTTTTTATATATTTTGACTTCTACTCGCAAAACTAAAAAAAAATAATGATGATGTCGTTTGTTCAAATTAAAAAATAATTAAATTACCTCAAAATAAAAAGATTCTTCCAAACAAAAGTTTTAAGCGGCTTTTTCTTATCCAGCTATAAATGTCGCCGTTTTACAGTTTGACTTCTTTTTTTTTTCACACATTTTTTTGTTTGTGTGTGTGTGTACCTTTCAACAAAATAATGTCGCATAATCTTCTTTTTTTTTCTCTCGGACCTGCCGGGGGTGAGATTTTTTTTTTTTCAGTAAATCAGATTATTTTAACTGCTTACAAATTCTCAGTTCTTCCGGTTTTAAATTACGCCGAGTGGTTTTTTCTTCCCACTAGCGGAGAGATTAAAAATGTCCTTAACTATTCCATGGAAAAAATGTATTAATCCTGACAGAAAGACAAAAAGTAATTAAAATATCATCGCAACGACATTTTGTAAGAAGCGGCTTAAACTCAAGTTTCAGCCCAATCATCACGTTTCCATATTACAGCTCATCTTAAGCATATAAAAAATATGGAACGGGAGGCATGTTTTTATGTATATTAATTTCCAGAGAGTCATGTTTTATTTCGGTGAAAAATGTAGATAATCTGATGATTATCTCGGAAATTTAGTTAAGTTCTCCAGAGATTATCGTTTCTTTTCTGAGATGAGAATCAGTCATTCTGTATTATTAAGTATGTGTCTAAATTATTTTTCATAATGGCAGTAGAAAATATTTTTTTGTCTTTTTCTTTTTCTTTTTCCCATTGATTTACTGAATGTCGGTTATTGCGGTTTTATGTATTGTTATTATTCTTTACTAGTCCGATTGTTTTTGATATATTATAAGTAATAAACCTCACGACATGAATTCTAGAAATTGAATAAGCAGTCTGCAGAAATCACAATCTGCCCCACCTCAAACCACCGTTCGCTTAATGATTTCCTCGAGATCTTAGACCCTTGGAAGACTTCAATATAACTTCAAAGTGGATGCAAAATCATATTCCTCGACCTGAAGTGATTTTCGCGAAGCACCGATTTGTATCACAAATCAAATCAACACAGAAAACTATTGCGAATGTCTCACAATACACATACTGTGGGTTGTTGTCCTTGAAGGAATTTTGAATATCCTAGGACTAATTGAAAGACATGGCAAACTTTGTTCAACTAGCATGTCTACTGACACCTCTTACCCCGTAGTAAATATCTGCGTGGCCCAGAAACAATCGCTTCAAATCCCTCTTAATAAAATTCAAGAAGTCTGCAAATGTTTACCTACCTACCCGATATCACTCATAATATTTGTCTTGCCTCGCGAGTCCTAAACGGCTTTTATCAACGATATTACACTTAATCTGATTTCTCTAAATGCGTGTTTTTGTACGGTAAGAACGGCAAGAATCCAATATGTTCAAAACATTCTAAACTTATATCGCCGATCCGGTAACTTTTATACTGTCGCTATTTCAAAGAGTGCAAAACGGTTACGACATTTTCTGTTAAACGCATGTCGCATTTCCCAATTCGGAAGGCGAAATACTCTATCCAGCAACAATCTGTAAGTTTTGGATGTCTTATATGTCGGATCCATTGTTTTTTTTTGGTGAATCGAGTTACAGAAACGAAATTATGGGATAATAATTAATAGAAGGCTGTCAAAAAACCAGTTGATATAATTAGGTAACAAAAGTGATCGCACTTGGATTAGAGTTGGATATTTTGATTGACACTTCGAATTTGGTGATCGAGAATTGTGGATTGTTGTTGTTTCGATTTTTGCGATCTTTGTTTAGATGAAAGAAATTTTGCAGCAATTTTCAAAGCTCGGTAGATTTGTCCCTTTCTCGGAGAATTTGTTGCGTGCTTTTGCTGATTTGTTCCTCAAAATTTGTGCAAAGAGTTCTCTCTATTTGAAATTCCCTGAGTACTTTGGATTTGAGAAATATTGAGAAATAGGGATATTACTCCAATGCCCGAGTCTCCTCGAGTAGTTCGGAATTTTTAGGCTGTTTTACAACTAAGAATGGGATTAGACTCCCAATTCATTCTTCCAGGCTGGTTTTTCAGAAAATGCAAAAAGCAAGTTAGCTTTGACTTTTATCTTCCTTAACCGCTTTGATCTGATAAAGTAAGAACAGAATATCTCGCAGAATCTGCAAGCACATCATTGTCAATTCTACATCGTGGCATTTCGAGTCGTGGTGAGAAGTACTCATCTTGAATTGTCATCGAACCATATATCAGAGTATCAAGCCAGAAGACCATGCGTTTACCAGTTTTCGCTAATTTTACCATGAAAAGCAGATATTGTTCAAACAATGTCCAAGAAAAGATAAGAAGTACATATAGATTCCCGTTTTTCGTAAATGGTTTGTCTGAAATAGGGAGTGGTTCTCAAATAATATTGTGAAACAATGGAAAAGTTTTCAATCTAGAAAATAATTAGGGATCGATCCCAGAATCACCCCAATTAGTGTTATCTCAGGCTGAATCGAGAACGAACTAATTAGTCTATTTAATGGAAGTTCTGAGAAGCAAAGATAAAAAAATGCTTTACCAGATAATTGGTCGATCAATCTGGATTGCTAAGAAGACAATGGATTAGGTTTCTCCATCAATTGTCAACCCGAATTAACCCTGAATACTATCAAAATTGAAAGAGGTAATTACAAGTACACTACAATTGCTGGTGATGCGACGCAATTATAGGTAATATTTCTTAATATTGCAGAACGAAAATCAAGATCCAACAACAAGAAGGACGACGCCCCACGGCGATGACCCATTGTGAGACACTCCCATCACATCCAATCATCCATAATACAATTCGTATTTTAAAAGAAACTCGTATTGGTCACTCAAAGCCCCTATTCTCAGGTATGAATAATGTGAACACGTCAATTACGGATGGTAGCGTCATGCAATTGTAACGCTAGAAAAATAAATGTTTAGGGTTTTTTATTTTTTTGCATCCATTTCGTATTCATTGTCCTCTTCTCCTCTAAACCACCCCCCTTGAAATCCTATAGGTGGAATATTGTCATGGTTATCTTTTTGAGAAATTGACAACAAGATATAAATATATATTAAAGTACATCCCGTAAAAGTTATATCCGTTTTTATATTCCTCTTTTTTGATGTTTTTCACTTTTGCTATTCAATCATGCTATTAATTAAATCTCTTATCTTAATAGTAGGAGTGCTTAAGGGAATAACTGCCGATGAGCCCTTCAATGACGGGATATATGTCTTTAGTAGTTCCTATTACGAGAAACAGGAACCTGACTATGTTCTGGTAGGTGCTGGGATTACTGCTGAAGATGAATGGAGTTCTGATCACAACCAAGATGAAGACTCTATTGAATTGCAACCAGATGAGAACGTCAAGGCGATACAAGATGAAAGTATTGAGGTAGTACTCGAAGAAACCATCGTGCATAAAAATGATAAACGGGATGCATATATTGGAGAGTCCCATCATCAACCACCCAAATCTAACCATCATAAACATGTACATGCCGGTAAGATTCAATATGTGACTACCGTAATCACACAAAAACTGGCAATTGAAACCAAAAAGGCCAGTGCCAAAGGCGGCACTGTCCCTCCTCATGCTAAACAAGAACCAGCAGTTAATGCTAACAAAATTGGTAAACCCCCATCCAGACCACCTGGAGGAAGACCACAAGTCAACATTATCAACAAAGATGGTCATTACCTTCATCCAAGTGTCCAAAAGGTAGAACAAGTTAAACAAAAACCAAACAAAAATTCAAAGCCACTGTTCTTCCAGAAGGAACCTGAGGCTCATTCTAAACCAACTGGAATGGTTCAAGAATCAATGGAGAGTCTACAGTCTGTATTCAATCCATTTAATATGAAAATAATGTCTGTTGTTGTCGTTGTTGGATGGTTGCTTAAGATGGTTACAACTAAGAAGAAACTTAAAGAAGATGATCCTGCGATCCCGGTTGTTAATTATGATTACTTGAATCAAAAAGATGTATAAATTAAATAGTTTGAAATTTCTGAGTCTGTGTTTTAAGTATTGATACCCTTTTGCATACTTCAGATTTCAATAATTACGTAGTTAAGAGATCACCATCATTCAGGTTTATATGAAAAATAAATATCATTTAAATTATTACTATTATACAGTGGTATATATATACGTATATTCTTCTAAACTATAACGCAACATCAAAAAACAATATCATGGAATAAATACATCTATAAATGATTATCAAACCACGAAACGTACAAATAAATAGCTCGATCACATAAACATAAAACGGAGAATCTCAGTTCTCGTGAAAAATCAATGACTGTTTCAGCAAAAACAACGAAATATTTCGAAATGAGAACAGTCAATTATGGAAACTAAAAAACAAACGGCATCGGTAAAATTCCAATCAATGGCTGGCATTTTCAACGCCTCGCCAATTATGGGGGGAAATGGATACAGATGAACAAAAACATTGAGCTATGGATGGCTAACAGGTAAAAGATATCGAGGTTGTAACAAAAAAAGGGGTATCATAAATTCTATTCATTATAGTAATCAGCCAATCGTTATGTCGTCGTCGATCGAGCGTCTCACTCGCAGAATCTAGGGGAACCATGATTGTCGGTGGTTTGTAGCTTGATTGTGGTGGGATTAAGCTTCGCGTATATGGATCTTCCAGGCTGATCTCTCGAACACAAGTCTTGTGAATATCCAGAAATACATCTGGCACGCTGGCTTTGTTATGATGAATTCGGGACCAGGCAATTGGTGGTTCTTTTTGATTCGTCTCGGAGAGTGTTTGGATATTCACATTTGACGGTGCTAGTGTCAGATTTGATTTCTCTGATTTTTTTCCCTGAATCTGTTTTACCCGTGTCATTTTTCCAAACTCTTCTGGTATCCGTTCCTCCTTTATCTGTTCTTCCCGTCTATGCTTCCCCAGACCCGGGTGTTCCTGTCTCCATTCCTGTTGCTTCCGTTCTTCCATTCCTTGTTCCCCTAAATTGTTTGCTTTGGGCTTCTTTCCTGCCTGGCATTCTACCTTCGATTTGCTTGTATTAGATTTCTTTCCTGTCAGACTCTTTTCCTTCGTTTTCTTTCCGTCCAGTGTCTGGTCCTTTGCAATCTGTTTCTCGACTTTCTTTTCATCTGGTTTCTGTTCGTTTTCCTCTTTCTTAGATTCCATTTTGAGTTTTGATAACACTGATTCCTTTTCCTCCTTTGGGGCTGATACAGAAAGCCGGGAATTTTCGGTTGTCCTTCTTGCAGTTGTCCCCGTTGGGACCAGTTGTGGCAAAATAGTTCCCATATCTTTATGAATTGAGCGTTCAATCTTGTTCTCGAAGGATTCATCGATTGCTTCTTGGTTATCCACAATTTGACTAGAACTTCTATCTCTGTTACCCATCAAATAGGAAGTTCCATTATTAAGAATTATATCCAGCGCATATTCTGAAGCTAATACCCCGTTGTCGAAGAACCGACCGAATAGCTTAGATAATACCAACATGCATCTTCTAGTATCTCCATCTGGATGAGGAATTCTGAACAAAAGATATGTTCTTTCCCCTTGGTTAAGCGCTTGATGTAATTCTGCGGTCTTCGTTACAACTGTATATCCTTTCTTTCGCATATCTATACGATGTACAGATGGAACTCTGAAACACCAACCTTGAGTCTGGTGCCAAACCAAAGGATACCCTTCCCATTTTAATCCTAGCAATAAGGGAGTCACTCTCGTTCTTAAAGAGATATGCATGGTTTTCTTTTCTCGGAATAAATCACGATACCATTCTGGATATCCAGTTAAAAATGCTTGTTTTGCATATGGAGTTCCATCTTTTTTTATCCTTGGTTGTTTTATGGTCCAATCCAATTGGCTCAACCATGGGTCGTTTATATGATCTGGTTCTAGAGAAGGATCATTCTTTTTGATATATTCGACTAATTGTGTTGCTCGTTTTTGCAAAAGCTGAAGCATGTTATTGTTTTCCTGAAAGAATACAGTTGCCATCGATCCAGAATGGTCCGCGGATCGTTGTCCTGATTTAGTAAAATTCTCATCTAGTGAATTTCCTATTAGGCCAGGACTGCTTTTAATTGTTAATGGTTCCGTTATTTGAGTCTTCTTCTCACGTAAGTCGCGTTCTTGGACATGTTCTTTGGCTACCTTTCCTAGCGGATGACTATCGTCTTGTTTTCTATAATCATGAATGCCCGTAGTTGGAAAACTTTCCTTATGTAAACTCTCTGATAGATGCCGTATTCCTACTACCTTAACTCTTGGTTGCTCTTTTAATGACAAATATCTCAAAGCCAAAAATGATGATGATGATAAAGAAACAACTCTTTTATGCAAAGGTAAACATGTTCGTAGGAGTGATGTATGTCGAATCATGACTATCATCTGTGGGTTTGTGCTCGTTTGTTGGTTGTTTCTATATTAGTAATTGATATCTGAACATGTAATCTTTTTAGTTATCTAATAATTGGGAAAATGGAGTAAGTATTTAAGTTAATAATTGTTTACAATTGTTGTTGTTGTTGTTTGATATTGTTTGAGGTTTTTCCTCATTCTGCTGTTGCAAAAATTAAATTTTGTTTGTAAAGAAAAATGCGATGGGTGGAATTGACAACCAATAACAGAAGAGATGGTATAACATGTCAAATATGATTTGAATGAGGAGAGTAGTAGCTTATAACCATAAAACAACATATAGAGAAAAGAGTAAAGTTGAGTTTATGCTTTTTGACTGCACATTAGTTTAGTTGGTTACTTGGTTTTTTGATCCCCTTATGAAATCAAGACAAGAAAACTCCACCATAATGAGATCACGTGAAACTACAATTTCCTGGAGTTTTCAAACAAAGCTTTCAGTAAATTTTACTTGGAAGTTCGGTTTCTATCATCTTAGATGTTCTCACAGTGTCAAATTTTTGTTGGGGTGGAGGTGAAAGTGGAGCAACATCATAAAAGTTAATACCGTGTTGTTGTTTTGTTTTTTTTTTTTTTTTTGGGGAGTGAAAAATTTCTTTGGTGTTTCCTAATTGGGACAAATATAAACAGAGCTCAAACTGGATTTTTAGGGTTCGGGTCACGTTTATTTCAAGAAGGTAGGTTATGAGGATAAGGGAGAAGAACCTGGAGCTACGAACGACAGTAGCCAATTGTAGAAAAGTTGTTAATTTAGCCTATATGAAATTGATGACGGCATGGGATGGCATATGTCTTTGGATGCGAAACGAGATCGAGATCGTCTAAAATGACACGTCATATACAATAGCAATCAAAAAAAATTTCCAAAGAAACAAGTCGTCTATATGTATAACCAAGCTGGTAATAGATTAGGTAAAGTATCACCTCTCACCACACCTCTGTTCACACTATATATCGATCTTGAAATTTCTCAATTGCTTCTCCAGTGTGACTGTCAGTCTTAGTTTCAATTGCTCTCACAGAAAAAGTGCGCGACTGCCACAGACAGGTTCCAACAATCAGAGTCAGACCAAAAAAAAGTTCCAAAATCAAAACAAATCCAAACCTTCTTCTCTTTCTCTTCTCTTTCTCTTCTTTCATATTATTAATTCAATTGAAGTCCATTCAAACCTCAAACCTGCGAAAAATGTCTGACCTTTCAAAACATAACAAGACCGAATTAATAGCCGCTTTATCCAAACTTGAAATCAAGTTCACCAGAAAGGATACCAAAAAGGTTTTACTCAGTAAATTACAAGAGTACATTGAAGAAAATGAAAATGGCCTCGAGACAGTTAAACAAACCCTCGAAGAATCTAGTGGTGCATCCGGTGAAGGAGATGAAGAAGAAATTACAATTGTTGATTCTGAAGACGAAGATGATATTACTGATGCAAAAATTGCCGCTGAAGATTTAGGTGAAGAAGAAGATGAAGATGAAGATGATAAAGATTATCAAGCTCCTCCACCTTTCAATGTGAAAGATTGGGTAGTTGATCCATTGATTAGTATTTATGAACAAGGTGTTGATAAGTTTTATGAAATTGGTGATTGTGTTGGTTTAACTTTTACTAACTATAGTTCTAAATTAAGACAGCAATTATCTTCAACTGTTACATTAAATTATTTGGAATTGGTTATTGAATTGGCTGTTTTCTTATATCAATTTGTATCAATTGTACCATTAAATGAAAATAAATTAATTCCTCAATCAATAATTCCAAACCTTCCATTCCTTGGTACTTCCACTGTATCAACTTTTGAAATTACTGAATTATTCACATCCAAAGCAATTTCAATCTTCTTTTTCTGGGTTGTTACTTCCATCTTAGGTCCATTGGTTATTTCTTATTACTTGAATTTTACAAGAAGAATTGTTGAATTTGAAGAAGAAACTCTTTTATTCAGAGTTTACGATTTTGATCCATTTATCTTTGCCATTTCCAAAGTATTCCTTTTCTACCTTGTTGGACATGAATACAATTTACTTCAATTGGTTGAAGGAGGAAATATTTTGTGTGCTATTAAGAACCAATTCTTGATTTATTCACAATTATATGCCAAATTTACCTTAAGCTTTGGAAACTGGCCATATGTCATTGGGGGTGTGAATGTCTTGATTGCCCTTTATTCTCAATTTGAAGAATATTAAAGAGGGGGAGAGAAACATAGGAATGAATTATGAAGGAAAAGAAGTCGTGTTAGATGTTTGGACTTTCTGATTCCAATTGTATCTGTTTGTTATCCATTTCATTTCTTCAATGATTGTGTTATTCACTAGTTTTTTTGACTTTTTTTATTTGAACTTTGTTGATGATTGTGTCACTTGTACTCCCCCAATAGTGACTTGTCGCTTATTTTTATTATTATTGACTTTATTGCCACATAGTACCAACCCTTCTCTTTACCTTTTTGTTTTTGTACTTGTCTTTTTTATACTTGTTCTTTTTTGTTTTAAATAATTTGTTTAACGTTTTGTAAAAATACTATCAGTCTGTTTTATAATATATACAGCTATGTTCTATATAATATAAATTATTTGAAAACCCCTTTTCCCAGCTATCTCTAGAAATATCTCCCATCTTTTTCACTTCACTTCAGCACGGGCCATCTTGTTTCAATACCCATCTTTTCCAAATCATAATTCAATTCATCCAGTTTAGCCATCTGTGGTCCACTAAATTGTTTCATAATCTTAGCCAAAAGTGTTGCTTCCGAATACTTAACATCAAGTCCAACATTTCCACCCACAATACCACTTTCTTTCGTCTTATCACTACTTCCACCTCCACCTGCCCCATTTCCAGTCCCATTCGCAGCCGGTTGTTGTGTCCCACTTCTTCTTCCACGTCTCTTGGGCGTGGTCGTACCACTACCCAGTCCAAACCCACTACTCAAAACACCACTATCACTTGCATTCGAATCCGATCCGGATGTCATTCTGTCATATAAGGAATTTTTGAAGATTTGATGCTTCATATTAGCTGAAGGTTTGGTATCGTTGGAGTTTTTAGATGATTTTGATTTGGTGACGATATTGCCGGTTATAATGCTGAATTCTTCCGGTGTGATCATTGGCATGAAATCATGTACTAAGACATCACCATACACGTCGGCAGTTGGGGTTGATGATTGTGCTGGTAATTTGGTTAAATCAACATTTGGCAATTCCAAGGGTTGGATACCTGGTTGAGGTTGATCCGGTGCTATATCATGTAAGATTGAATCCTTGATTACATCTTTAATTAATTGTGAATAGTTTCGTTCGGAAATACCAGTGAATAATTTCTGGGAATCTTTGGAATTAATATCGAATATATCTTGTTTATGATCAAGACAATCTTGAAATATATCACGTTGATATTCAAAGAAATTCTTCAATTTTTCTAATTTATTAATTAAAACCAGATTTAAATTCTTATAAACCTTATTTGAATCTTCATAAAATATCATTGAACTTTTTAATAATTCATAATTTTCTTGTAATTTCAACCTAATCAATTCTTGATCTCTTTCAAGTTCTAATTTTTCTCGATATTCTGCTAATTCTTTATCTTTAATATCCATATGGTTGAATTTTATCTTTGAATTTCTTAATGCCGATAATCGATTCAATAATTCATTCTTTCTCTTCCAATAAATCTCTTCCCGATGCTTCTCCTCAAATTCTTCAAGATCATTCACTTTCTTCACCAATTGTTTCCGTCTACGTTCTCGATTAGTCCCCGTAGGGAAAATGATCTCCATACCAGGTTTACTTATTATATCTTCAACCTGAAGTTTTTTCAACGTATCATCGGCTTCAAGTGGCATATAGACTTGTAAATCTTCCAAGGGACGTACATTCTTATCTTCCTTCTCTTCAATATCCAGTCCTCCGCTACTCATTTTTTGTTTCATTCGGGTAAATCTAGGATCAGTAATATTGATTTCTACTTGTAAATCATCCCTCCTATCTTCTTGATATCGATCAACAAATTCAGACGTATCAATACCTGACAAATATTCCAAATCTTCCCTACCTTCTTCATCATCTTCCCGTTCTTCATGATCCACTTTATCTTCATCATTATTATTACCTTTTCTCCCTCCATATCTATGCTTCTTCATCAAATACGCTCTATATTCCTCCAATCCCTCCGACTGCTCATATCCATCAATAGTAAACCCCTCCAGCTTCGCCTGGTCCCTCATCTCAAATAATGATCCAGCAGCACTAGCCACCACCATATCTATTCTCGGCAACTCTTCACTCGCCTCAAGGAAAGCCCCAAATAGTTCTTCCGGCACTAATGTCGCCTGGTCAGCTAATAAAGGATATGGCATATAATTAGGTGGTGGGAATGGTAATGGTGGTGCTTGAACAAAGATCCCATCGGGTAAAGCATATTGTGAATCAATATCTTCTGGTGCATCGAATTCTGGTCTTCTTTTTGGTTTTCTTCCTCTTATTTTTGGACCATGGGCTATTGGGACAGATGGTTCTTTTTGAGGTGGGTGATAGAGGGAAGAAATTGAATAGGGTAATTTATCGGGTTGGATGATGGGTGGTGGGGGATATATGAATGGAACCATTATTCCTCCTGCTTCATTTGGAGAAGAACTGGAAGTATCATCTTTATTTTCAGCAGCAGTAGGGCTGGTTATATCATGTTCGAATTGTCGATGAAGATTTGCTGCGAATGGTGGCATTGGAGGCGGGAATTTTTGAATGATACCTGATATTTGATTAGCTAATTTCTTATTACTTAAATCCGTTTTTACATCTGTAAAATAATCACTAATTATAGCAGGGGGATGAATGATTGGTATTATATTTGGTGGTGCTGAATTTAATAATGGGACATTTGATAATTGTTGTTGACCAAATGGTATTGATAAAGCAGGAGGAGATAAATTATGATGATGATGGGGTGGGAATGTATTTGAATGAGAGGCATCAGTTGATCTATTATCAATTCTTGTATCATTTAATCCCCTTGGAATTGATAATTTCTGACGTTTTGCATTATTAAAAATTGCCGCAAGAGTCTCTGGAGTTGGTAATTCTATTGGTCGTTTATAAGAATGCATACTATGATGTTCCATCTTTTATTCCTGAAATAATATTGATTAAAACACCTTTCTCTTTTTGGAACTCCAGGTTTTGACCTTCTTGTATATATATTGTCTATAAGTAAAATGAATGTGAAGTTGTTTGACTAAACCACCTTTTATTTAATTCGTAAATTTTTGCCAGTTTTTTCTTTTGGGATTTTAAGTTGTAAAAAAAAAACTTGTGAGGTTTTGTAGTTAGTTAGGGAAAAAAAAGGGTTAAGCTAACACTAAATTTAATTAACAACTGATTGATTAATAATTAAATGGATTGATTGGAAAATTCAATAATAAATGATTCTTGAGGGAAAGTCGTCTTTCTATTCTGTTTGGATTCTTCAAAAGTAGTTTGAATTTACTAAACTCTCTGTAAAATGCTTGCTCGAATTGTTAGGTTTTGGTGTAGTCAGATTAGGCAACAAATTTTCAATCTAACATAAAAAGATCTCTTGTCGTCCTCTGTTGTATTACCTTCTAAGGAATTTGACCAAATGTGAATGCTTAACTCAATAATAAGAGATTGCAATTTAAATGTAACCAATATTTACTGATTTATGACTTTGGCTATTATATCCTATAGGGGGAAATTGGCAACGATGTCAATTTGCAATTAAATCACACACACAATATTTTTTAAATGATGCAATTAAAAACTCACTGATTATTTCTATAAGAAAATCTCTAAGGAATAGCTTCTTCTTAAAAGTCTCAAATACCTATCTCAAGCTTGAACTCTGAGTTAATCGTAGGTTACTAAAGAAAGAGAGAAGACCTTTGGGTTTTTGGTTGTGTCATTCTCATTTTCCATTATTAACCCGGAAAAAAAAAGACTCTGCAGCCAATTTTCTTTTTCTTTCTCGCATTAAATTAGATTAAAGCCGATAGATTACAGGTATAGAGATTGACTCTTCAAGTATAACCAATCCAGCAAACAAGGTAAGCTTGATTTGGGAATTAGTGCCTAGAGGCAATGTATACTAGCAAAGTACTATAATTACATAAAATTTCTAACTAATTTTTGTATAAAAATTGTAGATTTGTCAATTTTTTGCAACAATTAATACCAAAACATCCAAGACTAAATTGCAAACAAGAAATTAAACTTGATACAAGTTTGAGTATTTGTAGTAATCCAATATTAGATGTCCCATACTAAAAAATAACTCATACTTCTCTATATTTCAATTTTGATGGGTTGACAGGTTGCAGAAAGTTCCTAATAAAAGATAAAACAAAATACAACCAGAAATTATCCCAAGACAAAATTCAATATTACTAATATTCCTAATAAATTGCTCCATAATAGCAAAACAAAGATGCAAATTAGATCTATTATTGTAGATTATCAAAAGCCATTAACAAGAAAGATCGCACAATTTTTTGCATTCGAGAATCTTCGACTTTTACATTGTTTTCTTATTGCAAAAATTTCAATTGGAAGCATAGTCGAATCATCATCCTGTATATAATTTTAAACCGAGAAAGAAAGCAAAATTCAATTTTGTATTACATTTTTAAAACAAAGAAGGGTAATAAAAGATACAATTACTTGAGCTAACAATAGAAGATAAACTTAAAGCCCATGTGGCAACGTACAATTTCATATAAAGTTAAAAATAGAAAAGTAGAAATAATTAATATGTTTATGTTACAGTTATTATTTTGATTTAAGATGATTTTTATAGATAAGCACATTTATTTAGCGTCTTTTTGAAAGGGGAAAATAAAAGCGCAATTTGATTGATGAATTTTCATACTAAGAAAAGAGAAGACTTGTGATATCTATAGTATAGTTGTACTTGTGATTTTCTAGAAGATATTCTTCTATAGGGTTAGAAAGAGAAGTAATTTGTCAGGATTAGCATTGATTGTAGAATAAGGAAATTAGTCACATGATTGGGTGACTCTTTTGTATTTCTTGTTGATTGTTGATTCTCTCTTTCATTGTTACAATTTCATTTCCTATAAGAAAGAGCCGCACAAGTTTTTAAATTAAAGCGCAACATTATTCCACCGCCATCCACCGCCACAATCAAATACTTGCCCACTAACAAAATTGATTAATTGTTCTTATTGTTTATTTTCGGTCTTTGTTATTTCGGTCATATTTCCGGTAAGAGTATTTCAATTTAATTTCACCCACATTTTTCAATCATCTCCTTACTAAATTATGATCACTGGGGATATATGTTTTAGAGTCACCCGAAAAACTTAAACTTTTTTTTCTTGCTGTAAAACCCAATTTCTCTCTCTTTTCATATCTTTCTTTTCTTCTCTCTTTCTTCCAATCAATCAATCAACACTTTCATCAATTGTAGCGACAACAACTAGAAGATCTATCAATATAGATTAACCAATAGATCATCATTACGCTGTTTGCTTTTTTATTACATTTTGTTAGCTGTTTAAAAGAGAAAAACATCCATCAAACATCAACTAGAGTTACAAACCAATCTTGCCCTGTCCACACACACCCCACCCCCCCTCTTCCACCAGCTTAAAAAACAAGAAAAATAAAAACACGTCATTTTTTAATAAATTTAATTCAAATTCCAAACAGAGTGTGTGTGAGCTTATTCCTTCAACTATACAATATCATTTACAAGCGCTGTCTCCATACATATAATAATACGACATTCCATTAATCCATCAAATAAATCTCGGTATCCAAATTAAAGCAATAAATTAATTAATTTAAAGCAAATACCCACACACACCACACACAATTTAATTAATTTTTTTTTTCTTTTTTAATTTCAAGTTTCATCAAAAAACTTTCTTTCCCCGAAAATACCCAACCACATCTTTCCCATTCAAAGAAAAAATAGGGGAAACTACTAAACAACATTCTTTCTATTCAAAACCAACATACACAGATATACAAGATTCATCAGAAGAACAAATAAGACATATTCACTCCCCCACATAGAGAAAAAATGCCACCAAAGAAAGCAGTAACTAAATCACTAAAGTTTGAACCTAAGGAAATGGTATTTGCAAAAATGTCAGGATATCCACAATGGCCAGCATTTATAACACCACAAGAATTAATCCCAAATTCAGTATTAAAAGTGAAAAAGAAGGGAACAGATTATTGTGTTATGTTTATACCTGATGGTGATTTTTATTGGGTAACTGATAAAAGTTTAGAATTATTAACTCAAGAAAAATTGGATAAATCTTTGAAAGATATTCCTGAAGATATTAAGAAGCAAGCAAAGGAATTAAAAGGAAAGAAGAGAGGGAAACTGAGTAATATCAAAGAAGCCATTGCTGCTGCAGATGGATTGGATTTTGAAACTTTTATTAGGGCGTTTAATGAAGATGTTGAAGATGAGGAAGAAGATGATGAAGAAGAAGAGGTAGAAGAGGATGAAGAAGATGTTGAAGAGGAAATCGAGACAAAACCAGTAGTGAATAAATCCAAATCTGTGAAAGTAGAATCTAAGAAACAGCCAGAACTGAAAAAACCGAGAAAAGAAGTTAAAAAAGAGGTAACTAAAGACAATCTTGAAGAAGATGAACCTGAAATTGATATATCAGAGGGAGTGAGAACAACACGAAATGGAAAAACTAGAGTTTCTATACCTAAAAAACCAGTGGCAACGCGAAATGGCAAGAATAATAAACGAAAAGCACCAATAGATGAAGAACAGGAAGTTGAAGAAATCATCAAACCATCCACCAAGAAACAACGAACCCCATCAAAACCCGAATCCGACAAAAAATCCGACGAAGATGAGCCTAATCATGACGAAAATCAAGATTCTTCAAATATAACATCAAAATCAAACAATTCATCAAAATCAACAGCCACAACCACCTCATCTGAAGCAAGTAAAGATGAAAAACTGCAACAATTATGGTTATGTCGAGTCAAACTTCAACGATCACTAATACAAAGAAATCAACCCACCACACCCAAAGATACCACCAATTTAAAACCACCAACAGCGGATGAATTACTGGTTGCAAGATTGATATTGTATCGATTAGGAGATTTCCCCGTTAATACTTCATTATTAAAAGAAACTAAGATTCATAAAGTATTGAAATGTATTTTGAGAGATCCAGCATTGGAATATCCTGATAGTTTTAAATTACATGAACGATGTGAAGAATTGTTGAATAAATGGGATCCAATTATTCAGAGTTTAAAAATCGAAAAACTGGGTAATAATAGTAGTCATCATCATAATCATAATAATAATCGTGGTGGTGGGGCGAGTTCTCGTTCCGCAATGAGTCCGAGCAATGAAGAAAGTGGGAAGAATACCGTGATTTTTAAGAATGGACTTACGGCGACAATGGGGAATAAGAAATCGTCACCGATTAATAATAATCATGGGGATGATTCTGAAGTATCGGCACTTGAACAAAGTATACTGGAAATAGAGCCTAAGAAACTGAGTAGTGATGAGGATTTGGCGGGTGGTGAAAAACGAAAATTGGGAGATGATGCAAGAACACCTACTTCTGTGGAAAGTTGATCAAATTCATCAATTTCATCGATTATGCAGTCAATGATAGATATCTAGGAGGAGTAAAGAATCCAATTGAGAGTTTGTCAAAAATGGGAAGGATGTATTCAAAATTTTGCCCTCCCGGGCAAAGTCCCCCCAGCCAGCCGTGCGTTATCATACAGAAAAGAAAAAGGTTAGTAGTAGAAAGAAATATATCTTAACATTTTTTTGGGAATTGGATATATTTTGTTATATTTTTAATGTAATTTTGTTATATATATATATAAATTGTATATTTGTATTATTATTGTTTACTTACTCATTAAGTATTGAACAGAGAGAAACGGAGAGACAGAGACAGAATGTGTGTGTGTAGGTTGTACCTGAAAAAGTTAAGATTTTCAAAATTTAAACTTCGGTAATTGAAACAAGATCGATCTCTACAGCTTATAAAAATCTGAAATTTGCAACTACAGGCATGTAAACAGAATATGGTTACAAAAAAGATAAACTCTCAAAGTACAACGCAAGGCAATATGGATGAAACCTAATTAATTATTGCTAAACTAAACCAATCAAAAGTAGGGTAACAGTAATTATAATATGAATTAGTCTGAAATTTACTTAAATTAGTTCGTATATTTTATACCATCTACATCCAAACTTCAATACGTAACCCCAGAGTTTTGTGTAAAGTGAAAATTTTTTCTCTAATTAAAATTTTCGACATCTCAACACAAAAATAAAAACAATCTCTCACTCTCTTTTTTTGTTTTTAATGTCTGTCTGTCTGTTTTTGTCTTTGGTTTTTTTTACATTCAAACTGTAAAACTTTCTCAAACTTCTCTCTCTTTTGACCCTTTTTTTTTTCAATTCCTCTCTCCTTCTTTTTCTTTCTCTTCTTTCTCTTTCTCTTCCTTTTCGTATAAACCCATATATAACTAATTAATAAAAATGGCTGAAGAAGATGTATGTAAACACAATTCATAAACTTTAATCACTCACTACTGAGAGAGAATCTTTTAATTTCAACCCCAATTCAACCCCAAAAATCTTCAATTTTCTACTTTGATGAAATGGAGAAAATTGAGGGCAAAAAAAACTTTTCAGGAGAAGGTTTTTCAATGGACTTTCAATCGACAACAAGCGTGTCAGAGGTTTCAATTACTACGTGATATTTCAATATGTAATTATTTATTGGATCATGAGTTAATTGGATCTATCCATCCATCTACAAATAATTTTTGGCTCGCTTGCCCAACAACAGGAATAAAATGAGAGAGGAAAACTGTGGTTGTATTTTTTTAAGGTTGTATTTTTTTTACAACCTCCCTCCCCATGCCCCCGCCGTTTCAGATTGAGAATATGAAATTGAGATTTTGAAAGAAATGTGGAATAATTGGATCCGTTTATGATTCGATTGAATCAGACTAGCAGATCCATTTTCAACAGGATGGTCGTATGCATATCTTTTTCACAAGATATCTATATGGATCTGACGACTCCAGGGGGGGTAGCCACCACTGTTCGATGCCAGAAAAAAAACAAAAAAGATTTAAAAATTCTCAGTATGTGAATCAACCTATGTTCCAAAAGGCATTTTTTACTAACAATTATGATTATAGCACACCTTTGAAACCGCCGATGCCGGTGCTGCTTTAACCTTCCCAATGCAATGTTCTGCTTTAAGAAAGAACGGTCACGTTGTTATCAAGGGTAGACCATGTAAGATTGTTGATATGTCTACTTCTAAGACTGGTAAGCATGGTCACGCTAAGGTTCATTTAGTCGCCATTGATATTTTCACCGGTAAGAAATTGGAAGATTTATCTCCATCTACCCATAATATGGAAGTTCCAAATGTTCGTAGAACTGAATTCCAATTATTAGACATTGATGATGGTTTCTTATCTTTAATGACCCAAGATGGTGATACTAAGGATGATGTCAAGGTTCCAGAAGGTGAACTTGGTGACAAGATCCAATCTGAATTCGATGAAGGTAAGGATTTATTAGTTACTATTGTTAGTGCTATGGGTGAAGAAGCTGCTATTTCTTTCAAGGAAGCCCCAAAGGGTAACTAAACTTAGAAATAAAAATAATAATAATGAAATTTTGTGTTATTTTTTATTCTAGAAACAAATTAGCAATATTGGACATACCCAAACATTATAAGAATGATAAGTAGTTCACTCTTTGCTTCTCTTGTTTGTATATGAATCATTTTTTTGTTTTATTGAAATTATAATTTTTTTTGTTTCTTGTTTTAGGTTTAATTATACTTTATAAAAAAAATTATCTTCATTTTTACATAAAGGTTCATTTATATTAATTAAAGAAATTTGTTTGTTAAAAAACGACCTTGTAGAGTTCATTGATCTCTTTCCACGAATTGAATTGACGTGTAAATGAAGAGAATATACTTTGTTTTCAAGAATTATACTTCGCAAGACTACATATGAGAAGATCATTGACTATCAATTTTATGTATATTTAAAGCTACATACTACCCGCTTACTTATTAGCTTGATTTCAAGCTTCTTAAGCCACTAATTTTCTCTTTACTACAAGTGGAAAGTCGCTCAATTGAACCTCTTTCTTAGTCCTACATCAATCATGCTTGTATTTTCCACTCGACTCAAGTACAACCGTTGGAGACGGTTATGCCTGTCAAGCGTACGCTCCCGAGAAGGCTCTAAAAATCATAATTGCTATTAACTACACTAACTACTATGGCTAATTCTGAACTATACTTTGGATATGGGCATTGATGTGAGCCCTTATCTGTCTCAATCAATGATGGGGGACTGGTGGTGGTGGAGGTGGTGGTGGCGGTGGTGGAGGTGGAGGAACACCAACTGGAGCTGGAGGAGATGGTGGAACGCCACCAGGAGGTAATGGTTGATTTGGAATTGGATTAGTGATTGGATTTATAGGAGCTGGAAACACTGGTTCATCAGCTCGACACTCTTTATAACCCGTTGCACAAAACAATTCCGTCTTACCACGAATTGGTACATCTGTTTTATACCATGGTGACCATTTGCCTTGTTTATAGCCCATATAACTCTTCTTATCCAATCGATGACGCATCTCGGCGGTATATAATTGATGTTGGGCCCAAATTTGAGCTGCTCCTCTATCTTCATTAAAACTAGTAAAATTGCAATTGAAACTTGAAGGAACGGTTTCTGATTTAACCAACAAAAGATCCGGACCTGCCAACAAGGCGACATCTTCAAAAGTAATCCCACTATCATTTTGAATTTTCCAATCTAATGAATGAATATCGGGCCAGACTGTACATTGTCTGAAATCGGGATTACATAACATACAAGGAGAGGCTTTCTTCCAAGGAGTACGTAATGTTTCATATTTATCTCGTTCAACTATTCGAACATATGTAGATCGGGAAAAGAATTTCAGATACCATTTCAGTTTTTGTCCTTCAATGTGATTATTCCCATATTGAATACTGGCAAACATATTCCCATCTGAGCTTAAGATTTGTCGAACGCCAATTTCTTCTAATTGCGGGAGATTCAGATCTAACCATTCCGGCAGAAATTCTCCAATGCTAATGGTTTTCAAATCATTCCAATACCATACATGGGCATCCTTGAGGATGTTGGAACCGACTGCGGCGGCATTTACTAACTGAATTAAATATGATTGAGTTAGTAGTATGGTTAGAAATGTTAAATACCAGTTAATTCTAGTTTTGTGTGTCATGTTGTTGTTGTGGTTTGATATATGTATTCTTGTTGTATAATATATGGTGTCGCTAAGGATCATGTTATATTTGATCTGAATATGTAAAGAAGGGGCAAGGAATCTTGAAGTGGGAATGAATATGCTTTTTTAAGAAAAAGCAAACTGGGGAAATAGGAGTTCTTATAATGAAGTGTCTTTAGCCATAACATAAATCCCACTCTTGAAATGGAAAACAAGATTTGAAATGCTATTGTAGATTCATATTCCCAATGTCTTTAGGTAGATCATAACATAAACTTCATTGTTAGGGTCATAAATCAACTTTGTTAGGAACATAACTTTATTTTAAACCGTTTGATATGGATAAAATTCATATGTCTAATCTCTCTGGACCCCCTAAATAAATCTCACTACTAAATAATAGCTCTTTTATTATAAAAAACTTTATTAAACTAGATTATTTGATTATTTAGTGACAATACGGGGCTTATATGTCAGCATTCCGAAATATTGTAGGCTGCAAAAAATATAGTTGGCTGCAAAAAAAAATTTAATACTAAAAAATAAAGGAAGGCAAGCAATTGCATAACCTTAAACTAACTAAATTTTAAACTAGTTTGAACCTTAAACGACTAACCGCTCTATTGTTTCTTCAAAATTATCTTTCAACAAGAACTATATTTTCAACTTCCCAGCCATTTTCAAGTTTTGCATTACTTCTCTCTCGCAAAATCAATCATTCGCAAAGCTAATAGTAACTTTCATTTTATACCAGAGTAATTTCTACATATATTAATCTTAGTTTATTCTAACTGTTATTCATGAAGCCTCTTACTATCTAAATATAAGAAGAAAATCATCTACTTTCATTTCCCCTATAGGAAAATGAACAATTCATCTAACTACCATTCAGCAGCTTTATACCCTCTACTCTGACAAAGATCAGGTTCCAACCCGCACCATAAAACAGTCTGCAACCCCTCATTAATAGGGACATCAACTCTAGGAGCAGACCAAGCCACTTGTCTAAATCCCGAATCATCCTTCACTTCTACACTCACATACAAACTCGCAGTATAAGTCTTATAAGATAACCAAATCTTCGCTTCTATATCAGTTTCATTATTCCCACCAACAGAAGTACAATTATATGTTTTGGCAGGTAATACCAACGACTTAACCAAATATTTTGCCGGTGCCAAAAAATTAACTTCATCAAATGATAATTCCGTATTATCAACCTTCCAATCCACTTTGTGAAATTCTTCACCCGGATTATCAGTGGATGGTGTATCAATCTGCCATTCGAATGTCCCCAATTGGGGCCATACTGTACATGTTTCCCCCGCTGGACAAGTCCGACATTGCGAGGATTTAATCCAAGTAGAATACAGGATCTGGGATGATTCGAGGGTGATGGTTTTGATCATGGTGGTTCCTCTGGGTGGAAATATTGGGGTTGAGGCTCCATAGGTTATAGTGGCTAATTTTGTTTGATCATGGGTGAAAACGACTCTGATTCCGGAATCTTCCAATCGGGGGAGGTTTTCTGAGAGCCATGTTTGAGATATTTCTTCGACGGAGATGGCTTTCATTCCTTTCCAATAGATACCATCGTTGTCATGGGTGATGTATTTGGGTAATGGAGGGGCGAGACGGGCGTGGGTTAGTTGGGAAAGAAAGGATGATAATGTTAGGAAGATGAATAACCAGCGAAGGTTGTGGGTTTTTCGGGTGATGAGTAATTCTGATGTTCCTTTGTTATATGAGTTTGTAAAGTGCATATTGGTTTGATTTATTAGTGTTTGATTAATTTGTGGGCATAATTGGTATATTATTCTCATCGAGATATATCCCTTAGTTTATATGTTTAGTTTTATCATAACATAAATCTACATTTTCATTTGGATCTTCGATATGCATTATCTTGGAATACATTCTAATAAGCATACCATCAACAAAGACATGCATACCATTTGTACTCTAATAGAGTTTTGTGAAAAATAACTAAAGTGGACGGCATCATTCATAATGATTGGTATATTGTATACGAAAACTAAATCCATTTTTGCAGCCAATAGTAAAATTCAAAAGTTTTTTGTTATACCACTGACCATACCTACTCTTTCGTAACTTTGAAAATAAGACGCATTTTGAATCTATTTATAAGCTTACTAATATTTATAATCATTCCCTTGCTAAGCAATAAATCAGTGTAAGAATTATGTCTTGGCCAATTGTTGGAAAATTAACAAATTGTCTTACTTCATCCTGAATTCTTTTGCATGTAGATCAAATTAAAACCACGTGTGTGCTTGTCGCAAATTCATTAATTGAGTTTATTCGTGTTTCATTTCTATGATCAAATTCTAAATCAGTTAACCTAGTTTGGGAGTCTGGTCTTGGTCACTTATGTTTCAGTTTCCTGATTGCCAAATAATATTTTTTTGCCTCCTCTCCCCATTTCCTTTACAGTCGAATTATTATTTATGAATATTTTCAAAATAAGAATATTTAATATTCTTGTATTTAAAATTCAAAACTAGGTGTTGCAAATTGTTTACTCAACCCTTTGAAGGAACACCATAGATTATTCGCACTTTGACCCCCGTCACTATTTCTCATACCGTTTCGGAAGAGATCAAAAACTGATCCTCTTTCCAATATTCATACCCTAAAGAAGTGTGTGAGCACTTTCCAGTATTGCTTGCAATTGCATTATCATATGCGTACTAATATTCACTATTTCCGTACTATCAGATCTTCTGTTCTATTAATGTCCCTTCACACCAAATAGCAGTTCGGTATCCACTCTAGCTAGAAGTATTAGCTCTATGGAACTCTTGTGATGTATAATGAAAATCTTTAGTCAAATTTTCAAGGTCTCTGATGTGGCTACTGGTGGTAGAACAATAATTAGCATACCGCTGTATCGTGTGATGATAATACACCTATGAACTAGCTCTTATTAAGTGGAATATGCGATATCTCACTTGAAAGCAAATGGATAATTATTTACAATAAAGTGATTGAAATATAAATTAACAAGGTATTGTTGTTTTCTCTATTAGGCCTGATTAATTATTCGGAGTAAGAAATATAATTAATGATATATACGATCTTTAAAAGAAAATATAATGAAAATTAATAATTGATTGATTAAACAACTATAAACGAAAAATATAAAAGTCGGAAACATAAGTCTTCTTATAGAGCTTATGGATTCCGTTTACCAAGAAATAATAATTAATCCTAAAAAACAATAATATAATAGCTAACTTAATATCTTATGACTAAGACATTAAACCGAAAAATGTTCGACAAGAACAGTATATCACAAAGCTAACTGTAATATAAAAAATACAATAAAGGAAAAGCAAGCTTAAATAAATCTTTCTCTCTAGCTAAATTCAAATCATGAAACCCGCAAACACTGCAACTAAACTAAGAATTATACTGGAATGTGCAGTGGGATTAGCTGAACCTTCATAAGTCAATGTTGGTTCCGGCACCTTATCCCATCCACTAGAGGTTTCAGAATTATTCGTGGCATCTGTTGTAAATTCTTGGACTGAAGTTTGCTTGTCGTTATCGTTACCAGCAGGAGTACCTTTAATGGATTCAGTATAACCAGTGCCACTTAAGGAATTAACATTACCATCACCTTCCTTGCCATCAGTTCTACCAGCCTCAGAATTGATAGAGTTTCTGTTATCATTATTGCTAGCATTCCCGTTTCCTACGCTATCTGGCTCTTTTCTATCTCCATCTGAATATGATTTGGAAGTTGTTGACATAGCATCTTTTTCACAATTCTCCTCTGCGCATGAAGTTGTTATTGTCTCTAAAGTGGTTCTTAAGGGATTCAAGGATGTAGCTTCCTGATCACTTTCAGATGATGCTGCAGTAAATGTGGTGGTAATGGTGGTGTAATAATCTCCACTAGAAATGGTAACTGTTTTGGTGAAAGTTAAGGATGCACTAAGACTTGATGGGGTTGTTTTGTCTGAAGATGATTTTTCTACGTTTGACGAAACTTGATCTGGATCATTGGACACGGTAGCCTCACTCGATTCACTTGACAATAAGGTAGACTGGCTGATTGAAAGTTCAGTAGTTGATGATTCGGTAGTTTCCTCAGTATTTGATTCAGATGAAAGTCCAGTGGTTGGTGATTCGGTAGCTTCTTCAGAACATGATTCAGATGAAAGTCCAGTGGTTAATGATTCTGTAGTTTCTTCAGTAGATGATTCAGATGAAAGTCCAGTGGTTAATGATTCTGTAG